AAGAGGATTCAGAAGAGGAGGATATTCAACCTAAGATCTCAGGGGATACAGCTCTTCAGGCCCTTGAACATCTAAGGCTATATGAGTTGCAGCAGGTAGATGGACAGCCAGAGATTGTGAGCATTCTTGACAAGCAAGAGACTGTAATCAAAAGAAGGAAGGCTGAGATGCGAAAGCAGAGCGATATCACGTGTTTCTTTAGTTAGACTGGATAGTCCTATAACCTGGTTAGCAACATAGAATGAACTCAGGAATAAGTTATGTTCTTATCCAGGTTTGACTGTTGCACGCTATACCGCGGCGTCGAGTACATATGAGCTGTAGCACCACGGTCAGCTGGATGGGTGAGATGGAGGCGTGCGCAACCAGCCAGTCGTGGATGGCTCGAGACGGGCCCTGTCCGCCCATCTCCAGTCAGGACTCAGGTTGGTGCGAGTGCTGGGAATTATGCCGCGCCTATACCTGCGCAGTCCCTACATCGAGCAGTGCTAGGACAGCGCTCTAAACCTACTATAGCACCCTCCTGCCTACCCACGAAAGGTGCCGCTGCGGGCCGGAGCTGCTGGCGGATTGGGCAGACGCACGCGCCCTCTCTACCCATCGTCTGCACGGCTGCTCATCATCCTCGCTGCTGTTGCTGCTGGCGATGCTCCTCGCGCAGGTTCCAGTGGGATTGCAGATTGCAGGGCCTGCTCTGGCGTGGGTTGGCGTGAGGCTGTGCATCGCCGGCCGCACACAGGTCAGCCAGGACAGCTGCTCTCCACACGGCCACTGCGCGCATCCCATCCCGTCGACGCTCGAGATAATACCGCCCGTACACACGCCTGCCGCTGAGCCCGCCCGTCAATCCTCCATCTCGTCCACCCATCCTCGCCCGCCCGCTGGATCCCTCCCCTCCTCGCGCAGGGCCATGGCGTGGTAGGGCTGATGAGCGAATCACCGCCTCGGCCTCGACGACTGCTCTACCCACACACACCCTCCCATCACTACATACTACTGCGCTGCTCTGCTCCCGCATCCTCTGCTCGCATGACCTGTGCGCGCGCCGGCCCTTCAGCTTACTCTGCTCGTCGCCCAGCCCACGCTGCCATTGATTGATTGCACGACCGTCCGATTGCTCCATTGATTTGCCTGCTGCTTTTCCCCGTTTGATTCACCTCCTCCGCTGCCTCGCGCCTGCACGTCTGCGGTCCTAGGAGACGCCATAAGCGCTCGCACGCGGCTTGCCACGCTGGGCGCAGGTGGTGGCAACCGCTTCGACCGCTCCACCGAAGCCATATTGCCTGACCCGAACGTCTTGTCGCCTCTCTGCCTTGCAGGAGCGGGAGTGGAGCTCGTGTCCCTCGAATGCTCTTGCGTGTCCGCCTATGACGGCGCCAACCACAAGAAGCAGCAGCGTGAGAGGCCTGCGAACTATTCGTCATGCCAGGCAATCCGTCCATCACCATCTCTCAACACCACCGCTTCGCCAGTCCGCCCCGCTACCCTCCCTTCTCGGCCGCCCACCACGCCTCAGCGGCCCCAATGGCCATCCCGAGAGCACAGGACGCCGTGCCGCCACCCTTACCACCCCCCAACTACATATCAGAGATTTCCCAGGGCCACGATCCGGGCTGGCAGTGGGGCAATGATCCAAATGGCGCGGACTTCGGGAGGCCCGCCTCTGTGAAACCCGGCAGCAGTCTCCTAGGTGGAGCGTTGATGAGGAGCGTGAGGCAGGAGAAAGAGCAGGACCATCTTCCATACCACTCCTTCGACGATGCACGACGGGGGAGCTCCATTTCGACCGTCACGGTTACTCGAGACTACGAGGCGTCCGAGGGCATGTTGACCCCCAACGAGGACGATTGTGGTCTGTCACGACCTCCATCGAATTACAGGTACGTTGTTTTCATCCGTCAATCTCCATCTAGTCCATGTGCAACAAGAGGACCCTTTGTTGTTGCACCATTCTCTACACTGCCCAGCTGGAGCAGCACATGCACGACCTGGACACTTCAGCCCAGCACGATCTCGGATAACCTGAGTCAACACTGCGGCGTCCAAACGGCTGTACCACTCTTCACGGGACTTGCTCTCGAATCGCGGATATCACTCGGGTCATCATGTCGAAGTCGCAAGCTTTTGTGCCACCTTTGTCCAACGTCTCTCGTTCAGACTGATCGTCGTTTTAAAGCAAGGCAATAAAAGCGACGTCCCTTCTGACAGATGCAATCCGCCGGTCGTCCGGATCACTCGGCCTGGTTAGACATGACTGCCAACCCGAAAGCTGGGCCTTAAGGAGTGTTATAAACGAATCAAAGGGTTCACGCTTGAGGGAACTAAAACCGGGTACTATGGAATCCTGCGGCCTCAACTTGGCTACTTCTTCTACCCGGCACAGGACCGATATACCTCCTTCTTTCTCTGTTGATGTTTTACGATGCGCCATGCTAACGCCCGACGACAGACTGCACGGCGAGAAACAGCTCGAGCAACGAACGCTGGAAGAGTCGTCAAACACCTACGACAAGCAACTGCTGAGCCGCATTGGAGGCCCCAATGGCGGAGCTGGGACGCCGAAAAGGACGTCGATTTCGTACGGCGCATCGTCGAGCGTTCAGGAAACGGCGCAGCTCGCACACGCGGAGGCGGAGCGGCGCAGTGCGCAACAGCAGCAGCAGCAACAACTCCAACACCAACAACTGCGGCCATTGTCGATGCCTGAGCGACACGGACGGCAAACTTCGCTCGACTCGCCGGCTAGCTCGCGCTGGCCCTCATCGGGCGCCGTTTCTCCAGGATTTACCGGCTCACGCTTGTGGCCAGAGCACGGACCCCCGCCCGACCACAGCCGCAACCTCAGCCAGAGCGCGAGCGCGGGCGCAGGCGGACATGCTCACAGCTCGCACACGCACACACACCCGCTCTCCCACACGCACTATTCCCAGGCCCTCCCGCCCACGCGCAATGCCAGTCTGACCTTCGACGACAGCGTCTCGCAGCGCGGCAGCTACGACCACGCCATGTTTGCGCACGACGACCTGGCGGAAGACGGCCCCATGAGTAATCTCAACCTCCACGACCGCAGCCCCGGCTCGTCTGTCGAGCTGCAGCTGAACGCCAGAGCCGGTACCAAGCGGCGCGCGTCTTCACCGCCACGCGACGCATCACGAGAGGAGCGATCATCAGTCAGCAGCACCTCTGGCCACAGCGAGATCTATCACAGGCGTTCCATCCAGCAGCTGCCCAGCAGAGGCTCCCCCGTCTCGCGCTTCCACCCCAACCACTCGTCGCTGTCTTCAGCCTCATCGTTCGGCCCGCGACAGAATTCCTTGGGCTCTTCCCTCGGCGTATCCAGCATCCCCAGCAGCGCGACCAGCTACGGCTCCGGTGGTCGCCTCTCCCCCAGTGCCTTGTCCCCTGCCTATGACCCAAACTCGGATGTTCGCATGGCTAGCGCCAAGAACTTAGATCCTAACCCTGCTTCGGCGAACCACCAGCGCACGCACTCTCAAAGCACGCAGGGAGGTGCCCACAGGACGCCGACAGGCAGCGCTTCACATTCACGGACTAGCAGCGTCTCCCAGCTGCAGAGTGTCTACATTTGCGAATGCTGTCCCAAGAAGCCCAAGAAGATTGACACTGAAGAGGAGCTGAGGTAAGCAATCTAACCTGCATCAACGGTCTCTGCCTCTTGCATCCCGCTTCTTCTCACATCAGCACTTGATGGCGCAATGTAGCGTGGACATCTGGCTCGGAGTTCCTAGCGTTCGCTTCTTGACCGACAGATGCTGACTACTCGCAGGCTTCACGAATCTGAGAAGCAGTACACCTGTGCTTACTGTCCGAACCGATTCAAGAATAAGAACGAAGCCGAGCGACACCAAAACTCCTTGCATCTACGTAAGAATTCCTGGAGCTGTGCCGCGCTCTCAGGTGTCGAGGCCGCCTTTCATGGATCATTATCTGGAAACGGGACCGACATCTGTGGCTATTGCGGTGAAGAATTTCCCAACCCTCCCCAGTGGGATGTCAGAGCCGAGCACTTGAACCATGTTCACAAGTTTGGCGAGTGTAACCAGGCGAAGAAGTTCTTCAGAGCGGACCATTTCCGGCAGCATCTCAAACACTCGCATGCTGGCACCAGTGGGAAGTGGACCAACATGCTCGAGATCGCATGCATGAAGGACGAACCCCTACCGGAAAAGCGTGTCAGCCATGCTGCAAGCTCGGCACAAGTAGGACAGGCACCGCCAGCTTTGATGGTATCCACCACAGGGCTGTCGGACCCTCAGCAGTTGGCGGGTGGTGCATTGGAAGAGGCCAGCTAACGAGCATATCTTGGTGGCCTGCGGGTCACAGCGTTCCGATCATTGCCATCTACCGCACGCGCATTGTATTGCATCGCATAGATGATCGGCAAGCTTCACCTCCACGAGGAAGGAGGCACTGGGAGCTGCCCATCGCTACGAATTCATGACAGCATTTACATCAATGGAGGACGAAAAGCATTGTACGCTCTCGCGATGCATCTAATGGCGTTCAGCATCGACCCTCACTAGATTCAGGGTCGCGTTCTTTCGGACTAGACTGTGCGGCATGCTCGAGGCATTGCATGATGCACCTATCCTAACTCATCATGGGTGGAAAAATGAAGGCCATTCACCGCGCCGATACCGTTTCGGCACGGCGTGGACACAGATCTGAAGGCTTGATGGAAAGGTAATTACTCGGGTCAGGCAAGACAGCGATCCGCAGCTAATGCAGAAGCTGCTGCGAGCGACGCTCTCGCCCCGACCAGCCTTACGGCTGCTGGCCGACTTCGAGTAGCTTGCATAAACGAAGTCTACTTGTTGAGCAAAGACGAGAACTCTCACCAATCCGCCCACTTAGGCTTCACGGTGTGCATCCGAAGATCCGGTCTAGGCAAGGACTATCATCATCATCATCGTCGTCCTCGCGCCTTGGAACCTTTCCAGGCCGACCAGTCAGTTCGGAACTTCCGACAGATCCCCCACTTTGAATCATGCACAAGGCGAGCAGGACATGGAGAGATCTCACTGCAAAGGATCAATTGTATGGTCATGATCAGCAGTTGGTCGTCAGCGGATCGCGGCTGGATGTGACTTGAAGACTTGGCGTGACTACAGCTAATAATAATGAGGCGAGCTTCAGATCCCCCAATGGACTGACATGCCGTGTGCCATTCTTATCACCGTGCGAAGAACGGGTATGAGACGGGAGCACTGTAAGCCAGCCCTAAGTATGGCTCTCCTTCCATCTTCAATACAAGCACAGCCCGAACATCATTCATTGGCTGATGGAACATCATCAAAAGGCGTTGCTGTGTACGTAAGCGCACAAGGTTTGGCAGGGGTGGAGAGATGTGGTGCGTGCGAGCTGGCTCGTGAAAGAGCACTTCACGTGGCAAATCTGACACCTCGCAGCACCACGAGTTGCCTCATCAAGAGACGAAAACGCCTGCTGTCAGACAACCACATTTACGGGCTCTTGCTTGGCATGTGTCAGATGCCAAAACAGATAGCGTTCAGGCAAGCGAGATATGGCTGTAGATCCGCCCACGGGCGTCACAGCTTGCTCATCAACTTTTTCTTGTCCTTCCCCTCTGGCTGTCTTTGAAGGATCGAGCTGACAGCCACAAACGGTGCATTTGCAGGACACAGACAAAACAACGCCCCAAAACCTCAGGCCAGCAATCCTACGGTCGAGCATGTCACAGCTTCATATTGGAGGCTCGTACGAGCTGGGCCACGAGGCGCATCGTTCCCCCCTGCCCCATTGCAACGCCGACACGGGTTCGCCGGACCCTGCATATCCTTGCGAGACAGCTGCACACAATGCCGTGCGATCAATTTGCCAGCTAGCAGGACTCAACGGCTTGGCATTGAGGAGGAGGTCCCTTGGAGTCCTTTTGAACTTCATGTTCTGTTCCTTCCACACCGCTGCCCGCACGCGCGCGCCTGGGTAGGAAGAAGATGCGAGGCGTGCGCCGTTCTAACATCCAATCCACTGCTGTTCGGAATTGCTTCTGCATTGATCGGGCCGTGTCTCTCTGATCCGACCTGCTTTCCTCTCCGTGCCTGATTCAAGTCGGCAGGACTGATTCCTTCCCAGAATCCCCGCCGAGGGAGCGTGGCGTCTGTCGCCTGTAGAGTCTCGTAGGGCTTGCCTTGCGGGTGTCGAGCCCCATGCTGGTGGTGCGAGGATCGCAGTAGTCAGGGTGGAGGATGAAGGACTTCGAGAGTGTAGCAGGGCGGCTATTCCTCTCGTTCAAATGGGGTTTGTACACATACTACTTTCGAGGTGTACGAGTACGACGTATCTGCGTAGGACCTCAACGAAAACCTTCCAGGTTGGTTGTGCGAGGGCGGGGATGCAATGTTTCCGGAAAGAGTCATTGAGTTGAAGGAGGCTGTTCCGATGTATACCCCTCTCTGCTTTCCCAATGCTCGAGCGCAACTACTGCCTATTCACGCGCAGCAGATCACATATCGATTTCTCTCTTCTCTTACCAAAAGCAGACCTTTCTTCGACATCACCTCTCACACCTCGAAAGGTACTTTAAGCTACCGACCAACTCCCTGAACCAGCCTAGTCCATCAGCGCAACCACGTTGAAACAAGGATATCCCTATATTCGGTCCTCGCATAGCATACTTCAAGCATAACGACGCCTCAGGGTCACCCGTCTCACTCAGACTGTCAAACGTGAAACGGCCCGTCGGACCGTTGTGCTTGAGTGAGAGTGAGACGGAATGAAGTGACTTGCTCAGGCAGGGATTCCGCCAGTCATGAATTCATAAGCTTTTGAGCAAGGTTGATCGATTGATTGAGGAGACGATTGCGTGCGTGTGTGTTTGTTGCGAAGGTCGCCGTTGCTAGGTGCTTGCTTTCGCTGCTGGTCAGTCATGAACAACACGAGACGAGGCGCTGATCACCAGCAGACATCGGCACGGAAACATTCATCCATCACACAGATCACAAGGAAAACATGCAACCAGGATCCAAACCACCTTCCGTCCTAGCCCACCTTATCGAAAATCCAAGATCCCACAATGGTTTGACTCCCACAGCCCTACATTCCTGCGCCGAGACCGAGCTCGTCTGAATCGGGCAAGAACAAACTTCCAAAACGGATTACACGCAACTGAAGTCAATGACCAACCAAGGCTGCATTAGTGGAAAGAGGGCTTCTTCATCGGCCGGTGACGCCGAGAGTCGCAACGATGGGCGGACACGGGTTGGCTGGCGTGTCCGCTGGGGGCGCGGCCGTGGATGGTCTCCGAGGGGATCGGAGGGGGATGGTCATCGATGGAAGGGATGGAGGTGGAAGATCGTTGATGATGAAGGTTGAGCAGGTGTTTGAGTCGGGTCGGATCCGTGCCGCCGTGCCGGTGTGATGTGGTGAAGGATGTGAAGAAGGTGGACAGTGAAATCATCAAAGACAATCGATTCGTTTCCCTCGTATAGTAGGAGACTGTCCGTGGAGGTCGACCTTCAGCTTCCGTCCGGGGGCTGGATCCGCCGGATAACGACAAGGCGTGAAAGGCACTTTCCGCAAGGACGACGTGGGGACTTCAAGGCGGCAGCGAGCTTCTGTTCGTATTCGTTCAAGGAAATGATTGCTCCGGAACGTGTTTCCGCCGCCATCATGTGACGTTTGTCGCCGTCTTCTAGGCCCGCGGAATGTCACATGCCGTGGAGTGAAAGGGACATGGACCTAGCGGTTAGCAAGAGTTCGATGGCTGCTATTCGTCCGTCTGCCTTTCGGTGGAGCTGCCGTTGACCAACCTCATCTGGCTGCAGCATTGGTAATGGTGTCGTCTGGAGTCAGGAGATCGAAAGACGATATGTGTACAGAAAGAAATGAGAGAAGTTGGAGATGAAAGAAATTTATGTGAGCTCGGAACGATGAAAATGTTTCCCCTTACCTATATCGTACACCTATGTCTGGCCCTACACTATGACCGAAGCAGAATTCACGGTTTCCTATGGGAACATTGACTTGCTGTACAGCGTCAGGCGGGGCAGGATGTATTCGAGGCCTTGCTTGACAGCAGTCTTGCCCATCATGCGAGTAGACATCAGGCTGATTGCGAAATGCTAGAACTTCCTCATGACTGGGTCTCTCATGGCACGGTTCTTTCGCCGCTCCACCAACGAGAGGAAGCCAACCTCCGTCTCACGTGGGTCGTTCGACCACAGCTCGCTCATGGCTAGAGTGTCCAGGTTCAACTCGTTCATGATGAGTGCAAGAGTTGGAGACCATGAGGGGTTAGTGCAGAGAACTTGATGCAGGGTCATCGACCTGAGTGACTCCTTGTGGCGGATGAGGACATTGTGGAATGAGTTGGCTGGGGTGCGACTGCTCCAGATAGAGATGGAAGTCAGACCTGGGACAGTGATCACTTCAAGGACACGAAGGGCCTGAGCGAGGGTTGTTGATCCACAGATCTCCACCTTCATGAGCGAAAGCAACAGGCCAAGAATCTCCTTCAGCAGCGCGTGAATCTCATTAGCCTTGTGCACTTGTTGACCAATAGAGGAAGAAGGGTTCTGAGTGAGGCCCTCAGCGGACGTGGGCTTGAAGGTGATCGTCTGCACCTGGGAAGCGACGTTCGAAGACCGAAGCTTACTCAGGACGTACTGCATGTTTGGCACATCGAGTTCAAGGCTCAGATGCTTGAAGTTCCTGTCGATGAAGTTCTGATACGTGTTGGCCTCGATAGATTTCGAGGTGAGACGTAGTGCAGAGAAGGATGTTGCGCTGAGATGGCCTGCTACCTGATTCAAGATCTCGCCTGGCAGGTCTTGGAGGGTGGTTTGCGTGTTGCTGTCTGTCATCTTGGCGGCGGTTGTCGGTTTGTAGGAAAGGCTGTGTGACTTTGTGTGGAAGGTGTGCGGTGATTCGAATGCCAGATCCGAATGTTTTCGAAGTGTGAGAAGGGGAAGGTAAATAATTGGGGGAAAGACTAGATATATGCCAGTCCGAGGACACCACACAATGCATTGTTCAAGACTCTTTGTTTGAAGAATCATGATGGTGATAGCATACAAAGAGCCCATTCTCGATTGAAAGCCATTGGACAAGGCAGAGACGTGCTGCTGTATCCCAGTAAGGGTTCTAGCACATGGCTCTTGGTTCCGCTGGAGAACAGCCAGAAGAGTAATGTCATTCATCCCGTGCTGTGGATTCCCATCCCACGCAGCGTACACGCCAACACCTAAGCATGCAACGGCGCAGTCTCCGAGGTTTTCAGCGCTCGTTCTTTGAACCGCTTGACCAGCATTCACTATGCATGTGTTTCTCCTCGTGTGGTCTCGATCAAGCTTGGACGGTTTGAAGAAACCTGCCGTGATGCACATGCGCTGTGCCCAGTCATGGTACGCCTGAGCGTGGTGGCCTCGTGCTTCGTTGTGCCATGCCTAGCTTCGTATACAATGCAAGTTTTGTGAGGCTGACCAAGTTTCGTTACCAGAAAATGCATTCGCCTAAGTGGTCCAAGTAGGCAAAATGTGATGATCAGTTTCGCGAAATCGATGCTGCAACTGTATGACGGTCCAGCTTGCAGCGGGAACCAACGGCCTTGCCTCGGGAAACAGGGAGCGTGCTGACTGCATGACGCTCGCCTTCTTCGCGCTGACCACCTACTAGAAAGGCAGCTCACCGGCGCGACAGCGCTTTCGCCGTGGTCAGGCAGCTCTCAACACCAGTGCACGATGGTGGTACAGGTTTAGCGGAGCTGAAGGTGCAGTAGCTCCACGTGCTGTGGCTGGTGAGTCTCGGAGCGTGACCGGACGGCAGTGATCATCACGACCAGTGTCGTCTAGACAGCTCTCTGCATGCTGCGACGCAGGACGAACAGATTCCGGAAGGTCTATCAACCGCGTCGTTGGGAGAAGCTAGCTGGTCAGGCCTGACCAGGAGCTGGGTGCCTCCTGTGCATCGGCAAGATACTTTCTCGCTGTTCACTAGTTGCATAGGAGCTTCTGTGGATGAACAACATCAAGCAAGCTCTGCGACATGGTGCAAGCTCTTCATGAGGTAATTTTCGCCATGGACGGGGGAGCTTTCGGGCATCGTGGATATACATGTCAAAAGACTTCATTCAAGGTTCTCCTGATGGCACGCTCGGAAAAGAGGTTGGATTGCGCAGTCGGTCTCGAGTCCTCTTCGTCTGCTCCGCGTCGCGTTTCTTTTGTATCCGCATCGTGAAGAAGTGCTTGTGCAGCTCGAATATGCGGTTGCCCTCAACCTTAGCCTTCTCTGGTTCTTTCTTTTTCTCCAACTCCTTGAGCTTCTCTGCTTTCTCTTCCTCGTCCTTCGCATCCTCGGTTTCATCCTTTCCTTTCTCCTTTGGCTTGCCTCCATCTTTTTCATACTCCTTCCGCTTTCTTCGGTCGAGCTTCTTACGCATCTTCTCCTCGAACTCTTTCTTCACTGCTTCGATTTCCTTCTCAATCTCCTCATCGCGCTTTTTCTTAGCGAGATCCTCTCCATCCTTTGGTATAGCAAACTTGGTGTCATTCAAGTGTCCTGGGCATACGTAGAACCAATCGTTCTGGTCCTCTGAGATCAAAACCGTAGAGCTGGGCCTGTAGCACACCCAGCAAGCTTTGGCGCCTGAGTCCGCCACCAGCCGGCGGTAGTAGAGGTTCTTGCTGGCCATACTGCCCGGAGGGTGTTGTGGTGCGGGACAGTAGTGTCGAAGGTCAGTGAAGTCTGGGGCCAAAAGGTGAACGAACGGGTGGAGTCCGGGGTAAGCGAAGATGTCACGTGCCGATAGCGCAGCGATAAGGCGTCGTCAGGGAGACGGAAAAAAGTTCGGATGACTGTGAAGCAATGAGACTGAACATTGTGAGACCTTCACTTCATTACTTGGAAGCAATTGACATATACAATGTCTTCAAACAATGATGCTCCCGCAGCGGGAAAGCTGTCTGTGTTCCACATTCCATTGTCACTTCTTCCAATACTAACTTATCAACAGATGGGGAGGAAGATTCACGGGCGGAACGGATCCGATCATGGTGCAATACAACGAATCGATCTACTTCGACCGCGTCTTCTACTCCCAAGACATTCGTGGCAGCATTTCCTACGCCAGAGCCAACACGAAAACTGGTCTCCTGACTGAGCGAGAATTCGCCGAGATCGAACGAGGCTTCAAACAGGTCTTGAAAGAATGGCAAGACGGCGTCTTCGACATCAAACCAGGCATCGACGAGGACATCCATACCGCCAACGAGAGGCGACTGGGTGAGATCATCGGCAAGGAGATTGCTGGCAAGCTGCACACTGGACGAAGCCGCAATGATCAAGTTGCAACTGACATGCGATTGTGGCTGCGGGATCAATTGGAGCAGCTGGAGAGCTATCTCATTGCCTTTCTGAAAGTAATCGCTGCTCGTGCTGAGAAGGAGATTGAGCATGTCATGCCTGGCTATACGCATCTGCAACGAGCTCAGCCGATCCGATGGAGTCATTGGATGCTGCTCTACGGCTCGTTCTTTGCGTCAGATCTGGAGAGACTGCGAGAAGTGCGTGCTCGCATCAACAAGTCACCACTGGGTTGCGGTGCTCTTGCTGGTAACCCTTTTAATATCGACCGAGAAGCCATCGCGAAGGAACTTGGCTTCGATGGCCTCATCATGAACTCGATGGCAGGCGTTGGCGATCGTGACTTTGTCGTCGAGACGATGCAATGGGGCACCATGCTCATGACACATCTTTCCCGCTGGGCAGAAGATCTCATCATATACTCTACGGGGGAGTTCTCGTTCGTCAAGCTCGCCGATACCTACTCGACAGGCTCATCTCTCATGCCGCAGAAGAAGAACCCCGACTCCCTCGAACTCATCCGAGGCAAGTCTGGACGTGCTTTTGGACACATGACAGGTCTCATGATGAGCATCAAGGGCATCCCATCGACATACAACAAGGATCTGCAGGAATCCGTCGAGCCTCTCCTCGACCACATCAAGACCGTCGGCGACAGCGTGCAGATCGCCACCGGCGTCCTCTCAACTCTGAACATCCTGCCTGAGAATATGCTGAAGTCGCTTTCTCCGGACATGCTGGCCACCGATCTCGCAGACTATCTAGTTCGCAAGGGCGTACCCTTCAGAGAGACCCACCACATTTCTGGCCGAGTTGTCGCGCTCGCTGAGAACGAGGGCAAACCCATGGATACGTTGACGTTCGAGCAGCTCCAAGGCGTTGACAACAGATTCGAGAAGGATGTGCTTGGCGTCTTTGACTACCAAAAGAGTGTCGAGATGCGCTCTGCGAAGGGTGGCACCAGCCGAGGTGCTGTACTTGAGCAGATCGAGGCCATCAAGAAGACTCTTGCTGCCAACTAAACGTTCACGAAGAGGAATGGAGATGCGCACCTATCTGTATCACTACGCAAGCCTGTATCGCTATAAGTTTTTGGAACCAACGTGGCTGATCAAAAGCTCTAGTCCATATCATTCAGGCCTCTATAGCTACTCGACTACCAGCGACGACTTCGAGCGCACTTGAAGTCAGATCCCATCCAGCTTCCTCTAGACGCTCCTCGTAGGTCTTCAACAGCTCATTGACTACGTTGCTTGTTCGTTCCGCCTCCTTCAACGTGGTGTCAAGATCGTTGGATTCCACACGGTCGTCGCAAGCCAGCGCAAGGGCCTGCCACCAAGCTTTCAGCATGTCCTTCGGGGTCGCTCCTTTCTTCAAAACCACGAACAGGCTCGGCCTTTGTTGCTGAGAACGCTTATCACACCACAGGATGTACGGTTGTGTCTCGAAAATGGACATCACTTTCGCGAGTGCATCTCCCTCCAGCTTGTTCGACTTGGTCGTCGCATGCTGCTCAGAAATCGCCCTCAGGAGGCGAGACATGGATGCACCAACGACGCAAAATCCAACGATACCATCGTCGCTGCGTCTTAGCACGCCATCGCGCTCAAAAATGCGCTCTTGCTTCGACACTTCCTCCGGCGTCGGGACGTTTCCTCTTTTCAGGTGATGGTACACAAGCGTCGCCCGCTGTCGATTCAGCGTACGCATGCTAACAGCACGCACAGCTCTCCTGTTCGTCTCCAGATGAATCGAAAGCAACAAAATCAGCGCCGTCCAAGTCGCCGTCTGGGAGGTAATCCACGAAACAACCAAACTCCCAGCCCACATCCCCAGCAAAGAAATCACCGTCTCCTGACTGGAATCCTTCGCATTCAACTCCCCAAGATTCCCCCACTTCGCAAAATGAGCACTCAGACTCGCCTTCGCACTCCCTGCAGCAACGCCACAAAGCGACCTCAACACGCTGCTGAAGCTGAGAATCACAACGCGGATCGGCTTGGGAAATACCGGCGAGATCATGTCCAGGATGAAGCCAGTGTCGTTGAGGATGTCTGCGAGGAGTCGGTACATCTTGCATTCTGGCTCGAAGGACATGCCCAAGCGGTGGGCGAAGAGGATTGTGGCGAGACGGCCGATGGATTCTTGGAAGATGGAGAGCAGCAGGGCTGCGGTGGGTGAGGCGTCTGCATCTCCTACGCCGACGCTGGAGAGGACGGCGCGGGAGGAGAGGAGGCTGGCGATGCTGCTTGAGAAGGCTTGGAGGGAGTCGTAGATTTGGTACCTTGACGAGCATCAGTCCAAGATCTTGAATGCCTCTGTAGGCCTTAGCTCACTCTAGGTAGTCGTGTGTAACGCTATGAGGATACCCAACAGGTAGAAAAACATCAAGGCCTTTTTGCCAGAGCGATTTCGAATCTGATGGTGGCTATGCATTCTATCATCAACATCATCTCATCGCTAGTACCTGCATCAAGTCACCTTACAATCACATCCACCCGCCCCTGAGATCCTCCCTCACTCTGCACATACGTAGCAGTAACATTGCCCGCCTCATCGAACTCGGTGATCCTCGGCGCCATAACAACAAATCATCTGCTATTGCAGCGAAGATTGACGCCGTTCCTGCAAGTTGTCATCAACACCGAAGAGTTTCATCCCCTGACAGGGAAGAGACTGCCGACAAGTCAGAAGACCTGCTACTGAACCTGGACGAAGCTCTGAAGCCTATTTAAGCTTTGGTTTTGGTTTCAAGCGCCGGGTGGATCCGCGACATCATGGCGTCACGATTCGATTGGGCGCGCCGGCAGGGAAGTAAACAGATCACCACGTCTTCTTCTTCTTTTCCTGGCGAGTATCTGTTCGTCTCTAGTACACACGCTGGGTGGACGTTTTTTCCAAAGGCACTTTCAGCGAGACGAGACGACAATGCCAAGCCTACAACTCGTCCCGGGCCTCATCCCGCCCTCTCGAGAGACCTGGGAAACAATCGCATACGCCTGGCAATTCTTCCCAATCGTACGTCCCACCAAACAACGCCTTCAAAGCCTCAAAAACTAACACAGTATCTAGTTCACCGCAATCCAATGGCTCACAGACTTCTACCCACAAGGCAAAACCTCCATCGCCTCCAAATACAACCTGCCCGGAAAATGGGCCTGGCTACTGATGGAATCCCCCGGATTCCTCACAGTCCTCTACTGCATGTTCACCATTCCGGAACGCGAAGGCCTCCCGGGCCTACCCTGGGCGAACTGGACGATGGCGGGCATGTACACGATCCACTACATCTACCGCGCGATCCTGTCGCCCTTGTATTTGAACCCGTCAATGTCCCCGATCCATCCACTGGTGTTCGTGTGCGCGTTCGCGTGGCAGGTGACGAATGGGCTGAGCTTGGGGGGTTGGCTGGGCGGTTATGGGCCGACGACGGTGCACGATTGGGCGGGGCGGTTGTATGAGATTGAGATTGGGATGGTGCTGTGGGGGTGGAGTCTGATGGGGAATATCTTCCACGACGACGATTTGCGCGAGATTCGAAGGTCGGCGGCGAGGCGCCAGCAGGCTCAGGCGGAGAAGGACGGGAAGCCCGTGGAGGGCGTCGACAAACTTTACATGATGCCGAAGAATGGGCTTTTCCATTATGTTCTCTACCCGCATTATCTATGCGAGTGGTGCGAGTGGGCGGCGTTTTGGCTGGTCGGTGGGATCAACTGTGTGCCCGCGAGGAGCTTCTTGATCAACGAGATCGCGACGATGTTGCCGCGGGCATTGACTGGCAAGCGATGGTACCTGGAGAAGTTTGGGAAGGAGAGGGTTGGGAATCGGAAGGCGATCATTCCGGGGATTCTGTGATTGATTGTTCTGCCGAAAGATCAAGGGTATCTAATGATGCTCATGCTATGAATGGGAATGAGCAGGCACGGGCTTTCGAGTGCTTTTTGGGCCCCAAAGGGTACATCGAATGTAAGATGGCGCTGCCAAATCTTCTTTCGCAGCAGCTTGTCTTGCAGCTGAATTGCGCTCTCGTGATCTGAACGACGGCATTCTCGACGTCCGCTCAGCTCTGCGAGATTAAGGTCTGCGCTGGAAGCAGCCCGAACGGGGGAGATAATTGAAATGCCGTAATATCAATGTCCATCTCTTCAATTCTGCTGCCCCATAAAGAAGTCAAAGTTCTCATGTGTCCCCAGACCAGAAGTGTCATTCTCAGCCAACTGTTCCAGCAAGCTCAAGAAAGGGTCGTTCTCCGCCTCGACGTGGCCATTTTCAGTGCTCGCGCTGACGCCGCTGGGTGTACTCTGGTCATATGCTGCCGCGTTCAGTGCTACATCGTAGTGTCCATTCGGTAGGGACTTCAAGTTCAGTGAAGATTGAACGGGGCTGAAGGCGAAGTTGGGCGTGAAGGTGCCTTGGAAGAGCATGGGGTTGGGATCTTGTTCCTGATTTGATGGGCCTGGCACTTGCTGGTCCTCGTTGGCTTGCATCACGGGCGGCATGCCTTCTGAAGATGGCTCTTCTTCGATCGTGGCTTGCACCAGGGAGGAAGGGTCAGGCTTTGGGGTCGGGTATGGTAGCGAGGACGTTGTCGACCGGCGCTTTTTGGACTTTCGAACAGCTCCAGGGAAATGGCTGGGCTGAGAAGGCACAGTGGGCGCATACACATCAGGCAAGAACTGGGCAGGCCACACGTCCGTCTGGTGGGAGAAGCCGTCAAAGGCGGAAACATTCTCATACGAGGCATCCACGACGATGTCAGAGAATGTGACGTTGGCTCCATCGATGTACGAGCCTGGATACCGATCGAAGAAGTCCTCCATCTGGAAGACGGGCGAGAACCGCATGGGGTTCGAAGCGAGAGATTTCACGAGCTGACCATGGCTTGCACAGACCGTCTGCAAAGTATCGCGCTGATGCTGTACGCCAGTCCAAATCAAACGGAGCTCGAACAATTGCGCCATTCCTCGAGTGAGGAACTCGGAACTGTGGCAGAAGGCGTCGCCTTCTCGGTATGACATGTAGTGAGCGCCATGGACATGGATCGTGCCAGCTGTGCAGATGCAGTATCCGACAAACGATGGCCAGTCCAGCAATGCCGTGTTCTTGCCAATCTCAACGAGCTCAGCAATAGCATTTGCGTGCAAGAAGCACAAATTCGTGGCCTCAATCTGCCATGACTGATTCTGTCCAGTCCCAGACAACTCCGCGAGATCGACCGGCAAGAATGGCCTGTAGATGAGGCAATGGATCAGATGGTAGATCAGCTTACTCAAAACAAGAGTCGAGCTGTCATGCGATCCGAACAGGGTGTCGATCGAAGTAAAGACGTCTTGTGTAGCAGCGGCCCAGTAATCGAGATCCGATCGGATCCTTGACAGCGTAGATTGAGCGTGCCAGGGGAAGTGCGAATCGCCTTTGACGCCACCAGCGGCTAGGTAGCGATTCGTTACACCAAGCACTCTGACAATCTCGACCAGCATGCTGTTACTCCCTTGTCCTGGGTTTGCCGCTCCTGAGGCATATGTCAAGCTGGATCCATTGGGGAAGAAATTCCCGTCCACCCAGACCTGTGAGCCGGGCGGCTGCCATCCTGGGAGTCGCAGGTGTATTGATTCATCTGAAATGAGAGATGGTCTCTTCGAACCGCTGACTGTGAAACGATCCATCAGGTAGCAGGTCCAGAACAGTTTCCGTCGGCCCTCGCGCTCGGATGTCGATATTCGAAGTTCACTTGGGAGTTCGCGGTGTAGATTGAGAGCGAAGGACATGCTGACCGCATGCGTTAGGACCATGTAACACCTCTTTCCTTTTCCATTCTGGAAGTTTGCCATCGCCAGAAGAAGCAGTGCTTGTAAGTTGTCAATGCTGGGTTCATCGACATCGATCTCTGCCCTAGATCGCATTACATAGTCTTGACTGGATCGAATGGCGCCGTGATGTCCACCACAGAGGTGAGGAACATATCGAAGTGAGACTGCGTGGATGGCGTTGACCAGGAAGCGTGGCAATCGACCATCTCGCAACCTCTGTCTCGTTGCGGTCTCGTCGAGTATGTAGTAAGGCTTGTTGTGCACGCGCGCAAAGTACGTGTCCAGGAGCGCATCGGTGAATGCGAGAGGTTCGTGTGCTTGTGCTGGTGGCGCTGGCTCGATTGGGATCGGATTCGATTTGACTTGCTGGAGCTCGTGCATCTCCGTCTCGACTCGTGGTGGTGATGGTCGAATAGGTGTCTTGTCGGTAGAATCTTTGTTTACTTCCTTCGCCTCCTGCGTCGGACTAGATGATTCTCCACCCTCGGGGGAAGATGACTTTTGCTCGTCTTTCAATCGCTTCTCCAGTCCATTGACACGCTTCAGGAGCGCTTCCAGAACATCTGTTTTCGGGCCACGCTTCTTCGGTATCGCGTCTTCGGAAAGACATCAGTCAACGTTCGTGGCATTGAGTCGTACTGCTCACCATATACACAAGCACAGTTGAATACCTGACAAGCCTCACAACTCGATTTGAGCCTGTTGCATTTGATCTGATGAACGATTAGCACGCGACCTTCCACTTCTCCCGACAAGGTCTCACCTTTCGTTTCCTGCACGACTTGCAATTCATGGCCTCCTTCTGCTCCGCAGCCGGCTTCCTGCCCTGCAGGCGGTCTATGCCGACTTGCGGCCTCGACATAGCCATGATCGTGTTTTCGCTCTCCATAATGGCGGCCATGACACCCAATGTCACCGCATACCTCGTCAACGTCAAAGATAAACGACTTTCGCTGTCAAAACGTCGAAAGCAGAAGGATCACAAAAACGGAGAAGCAGTCCAGAAACGTGGTGGAAGTAAGGTAGGGAGCTGTGCGTGTGTGTTCAATGATGTCGCAGGTACTGTGGAGCCGGCGCGCCATACATTGATTGACCCTCCCTCCTTCTGTCTAGCTGCCAGAACTGTCACGAGCACGAGGTCAGGGCGAACAGAGCGAGCGAGCGGGGATTGCAGGGAGCCGTCTCTCGCACCAAGTCGTAGCGAGCGCAGGCTAAACTGCACGACACACGGCCTGGGCAGACGAACGTGCCCAATGGCGCCGATGATCCATTTGCGCCAGCGCTGGACGGTACCGCTTGTGCCAAAAGTCAGCCGCCGAGCTGTGTCTGTCTGTCTGGTTCCTTCGAGGATGGGCATACGACCGTGCTGCGAGGCACATGCTTGCGAGTGGCCACCTCCACCTCCTCCGGAGGGGTTGCTGGTTGTGTGGTTCGGCCCTCGATGCAGGCCATATTGACGTGGACGGCACGCCCAGGATGGCTACTGGTCGGGCGTATGGACAGCCCTGCTGGTCATGCAAGCGACGTCTTACACGATCTCCTTCTGGAACGATGTCCTTTTCGCGGGGGAGAGCCGCCGGGCGAAGCGAGTTTCTGAGAAACGCATGTCGTCAAGAGGTCGTGGCTTTCGTTTTCCTCGTGTGGGCCACGAGATTGTGGGAGCGTTCGCCGCCATGGCGACTGTGGCTTTGCTGATCCCACACGACCATCCCACAACGGAACGGCATCTATAGGGCCCAATCTGAGCCCACGGTCCGAGACGGCTGAGAAGTCGCACAGAATCAGGCTAATCTGCAAACTCTGGTAGATTTCCCACATGGAGCCCGAAGGATCATGCCTTTCTGCTCGTCACGTTGGACCAAACAGCATGGCCACGTCCCGACGCAGCGGTCGATGCGACGTGGTACAGTTGCATCCAGAAAGGCACATCAATACCACTACCAGATTAACAAGGTCTTGGAAAATTTCTCGGCTGATGACGAGGACACTTGGAAAACGGGTGATCTCGTGCTCGACTGCTGTTCATCTTCATGCACTCCTCCCTTCTATCCCACTTCTAGCTGGAACCATCATCGATAGCCTCGTTCTTAAATACGAGACCACACAAACCTAAACACTCCTCTTTCCCTCCAGTCGCCCTCGCTGGTTCGTTCCAGTGCCACATCTGCCGCGATAAACATAGCTGTGACATTCATCACACGGAGTCATGTCGGCGACATCGACAGCAACTCAAAGCAATGGTCTCGTATCATGTTCCAAATTCAGCAGCAGCAGCAGAAGCAGCAACATATCATTACCCAGTAAAGACCGTGAAGTTTACGCCCATTCTCTAAATAAAGATTGTAGATTTTCCCATCGAACCTCCTCGTCATCATGTGTATAAGTTTCTCCCTCCGACCAGCCTGACAAAGTCCCAAGGCACGTTCTCTCCAATCAACAACCTCAGCGTCTCGACGATTGTCCATGCGTTTACATCAGCGATGCCGTTTGATGCCCAGCCGAGAGACGAGGCGACAGATACCGAGTCTCCTTTGCCTTTGATGCCATTCGACAAGTCGACAAAGATCTTGCCCGAGCGATTCGTGGGCTTGCCTTGTGCGTTGCTGTAGTGCTTCAGAATTGGAGACACGAGGTGTGACTTCTCAGCAGGTAATGCTGAGATGATTACGAATGGATGTTCCAGTCGTTTCAAGTCGTCGAGGCCTTGCAGTTGTTGGGTATCGACACCCAAATGAGACCTGACGCCGAATCCAATGGTATAGACTGAGCCGATGTCAAGACTTGCCAGTGCGTAGATCGCCGCGGCGGCCTGTGGCTCAGAGTTGCCGAGCACCAGAGCAGTCCTGCCAGCGTATGCCGAGGGAACAAAGTCTCTTGTCAGTGTTGCACGCACTCCTTTCCAGGTGACATTGTCGGCGACCAACGCCTTGCCGCTATTCGTCGAGCGGACCGCAATAGTGTCGACTTGACCGATGGCCGATGCGGCTTCAGTGAGCGTTGGTAAATAAGGGGCAGTCTCGACTGGAAGGGGTGGATTGATATAAGCACCACCGAATTGCTGGCGGTGCAGGAACGGCTCGATCGATCCATGAGGCAGCGTATCAACCGTAGTAAGCTGGTGAGGTTGACTCAATTCGTTGAGACACTTCTCAAAGAATGTTCCCAGTCCATTCGATCTGACATGGCCGATGGCGTACATGTCCAGCCGTGGCATCTGTCCCATAAAGTGAAGCATGGAGTTGATCTCTGCTGCACTCAATTGTCCAGGAGCCGCAATCAGGGGCAGAAGCGGATGTGTTATTGGCGTGAAGACCTTATTCAGCGTCCTTGACAGCTGGCCAACAGTGCCCATGTTGAGTCCTGAGAAAGGAGGGTTCGAAGGAGTGCTTTGAAGGGTAGAGCGGAAATACTCCAGTTCGTAGTTGTCCTCCATGTTGTTAACCAGAGCGATCATCTTGACAATGTCGCCGTACACTGCGCCCTCCTTATAGAGTCGATGCGCATCGGGCGATGTCCATTTGAACTGACCCGAAAAGTCGTGCCAGGCAGATATGATCTTGCTGTTCCCCTTCTCGGTTGCAAGCTGGCGTCGAATTGGTTCGGGTAGCCAGAGCTCAACATCAATGTATTCACAACCCCATTGTATGGCCTTGCGCAAGTACTGATAGAACAGCGCCGGGTCGTCCATGGGAAAGCGTCCATTCTCCCGGGTACATCTCGTCGTAAAGATGATCGGCAGCTCAGTCCTCTGACGCAAGAGCATCACTTGCTCGCCAACATACTTCAACCCAGGGACGGAGCTGAACTCTCCATCTGTGGCCGGATCCCTGAGCAAGTCGACTCGAAGCTCCACCGAATCTGCGCCAACCGATAGAATGTCGAGATTAGGCAATGCGCCTCGAATGTCAGGAAAAGTCGTCGACAGCAGAGTAGTCCGCTGCTTCCTCTTCAGATCTTCATGTGGTTTGATCTGACCCAGTATAAAGCTCAAATACCGCGCGAGGTCGCGCCGAATAGGTGTGCGGTGTGTATAAAGGTATTCATAATCGCAAAAAGAAGTCAAGTGTTCGTCGCGTAAATCCTGCGAATCAATGCAGTGGGTCGTAATAATAGTCCTGTCCAGTTTGCGCAAAGACTCCGGCTCCGTAATCAAATCGTTCTGCAAACCGACCACCACCTCGTCCAACCATCCCTTAGCAATATCCCACGACCCGGCGACCGAGTACGTATGGCCCAGGACGTCCGCGACGACCCTGGTAATCTCTTCTTGGCCCTTGTCGTATACGATGAGCAGTCGCGGAGGCTCGTTGTGGATGATCTCCTCAATCTTCATCACTCCATTGGGTTTGATCATGGCAGCAGAGACGGCTCTGGCTGCCATTCAAGAGAGTATATGTTCCGTTCCTCGCGACTGCAGGTCACCGGATTGAGATGTCGTGCGCTCCGTGGCCAAGGCTGTCGTCCATAGTTAGGCACAATGTCTTTGGGTGCGTCTCACGAAGATTGAGGGGATGCAGGGCCACTTACTGGGTGCTATGGGATGGTCGGACTTGCTGTGCGGCAGAGCGATGCCACATACACATGCTGTGTGCAGTCCGTACTGTTACCACAACGGTGGAACAGATTGACGAGACCAGTCAGTCTGTAGCAGGCGTGTGTTTTAAGTGTCCCGAGAGAAGATTGTCGACATGGATATCGGCAGTGGTGAGTGGGTTTGGATAAGGGAAGACTGAGGACTTGAAGTGTTCGAGATGCTCGCTTCTGTTGAGATGCGCACCAGTCGGCGTCAGTTGGGGTCTGTCACGGAAATTCATCCTGCGAGCGTAAGTGCATCAGAAGCATGTCGTCGTAGCTCGCGTGCATCGGGTGGACGGCTAAATCGTTCTCACTAACTTTCAGCTAGTCGATCACTGGAGTTGCGGCGGAAGAATTGTCTCCGCCAATCAAATCAATCAAATGGTCGTGGGATGGCCCCAGAAATTGTCCGTCGTCTTGGTAGCCGGCTCCACGTCTCCATGTCCTCGCCCCATACTTGTAGAAGAGGAAGTTGCGCATTTTGGAAACGGCATGCGCGTCCCGAATACGGTGTCGAGTCCGCCAGGCATACATTCACCTCTCTTCACCAACGTCGCTCCATCGACACTGAAGCAATACCAGCCTGATCCAGTATCTCCTCACCCTCACTTCTAGCAACAGCATTTCAATCCATTCCACCACTCCCTCCGCTGATGAGCCAATCCATGTCCCCAACCAAACGGAAATAAATGCGCATTCCCATCACCAACTCCCCTCCATTGGTGGATCATCTAATACAAGGGACATCTCCCACCGAACGATAAGTCATCAAGGTATCGTCTTCTCGCATCGGCACATCATATCCATTGCCAAGCGCATTGCCGAAGGAAAATCAAGCCTAGATGTTGCTTTTCTTCGATTGCCTGATGCATAGTAATCTACGTCGGTAGTTGTGGTCGTCCGGTGCCGATCGTTCAACGACTACGACACGGAGCGAGGAGGTCCATGAAGGATATGGTGATGGGATGTTGAATGTGGAAGGAGTCTGTCCGTAGAGGGACGCTGATTCAGGACGTAGATCAGGTGGCTTGACAGGTGAGGCAACTCTTGTTCCCAGATAGTGATGTCCTAGACATCTTGCATGACTCGTAATACATGTAGACGAACCAGAAAGATACATAGTACACTGCCGTATTCAGTACACAATAGGATGACATGACAAAGAGATAGAGAACGGAAGAAGCATTATCAACAAAAGCCATAAACAAGAAGTTGTTATTTAAAGGCCTCCCTTGGACACGACCGCTGTAATGCAAGTCTTCCGGTGAGAACCCGTCCAAAAAAAACATATAGATCCAAGAACTGCAATCAACAGATGGACTCGCGCGCGCAACACACACAGATAGGACAGATTTCAAATACACATAGGGATCAAACACTTCCTTTTCTCTCCTTTCTTCTTGCTTGGCTTCCTTGCAATACTCAAAGGCGCCCACGAAACTGGGGGAGGATATCTTCAAAATAAGTGGTTGGCAGCGCTGTTCTGCGTCATCAAGGTCGTGAAGGGGGTTAAGCTGCAACTTCCGTGACGTGCGTCTCTCTTCCTCTGCTATTCAGCGGCTGATCTAGTAACCAGCTGGCTGCTGCCCATAGCCGGCGGGCTGCGATGGGACAGGAGTAACAGTGGCCGTGCTGACTGGGGCAGCCGGGCTGGAGGAACTGGAGGATGGAGCGTAGGTGTACGCTGGTGCCTCAGGCGCGCTGGAGGTCGAGCTGGAGACTGGGCTCGCAGGGGTCGACGAAGAGCTCTGGCCGTAAGATGGGGGAGTGTAGACACCTGGTGCGCTGGAAGTAGAGCTGGAGCTGACTGGCGACGCTCGGGTCGAGCTGCTTGCGCTAGAGGTGGTCTCTGGGGCAGCAGGAGTCGACGAGGTGGCGTACGATGGAGGAGTGTAGACAGCTGGCTTGGTGGCAGAGCTGCTGGCGCTGGAGATGGTCTCTGGGCTCACTGGGGCAGTGGACGAGCTGCTTGAAGAGTAGGCTGGGGCGCTGCTGCCAGTTGGGTAGATTGGCTTAGATGCAGAGGAGCTCTGGCTTGGGTAGCCAGGAGCAACTGGGCTGCTGGAGGTGGTTGGCTTGGCGTACGAGGTAACGAAGCCAGAGCTGCCGCCTGCAACGCCGGAGGACGATGGGTAGGCAGCGCTGGTTGGGTACCAAGCTGGGGAGCTGGACTGGATTGGGCCAACGGTCTTGGAGGAGCTGCTAGCTGGGACAGTAACGTAGATGGTCTCCTTCTCAGTAACAGTGGTGGTGCTTGGAACGCACACCTCGCCGCTGGCAGAGCCAGATGGGGAGCCGTATCCAGGGGCAGATGCAGAGCCAGTTGCGGTGCTGTAGCCGGCGTTGGTCACTGGGGTCGATCCAGAGCCGTAGCCACCTGGGGAGCCACCAGTGCTCTTGACGGGGTAGACAGTGATGTAGTTGGTAAGGGTGGAGGTGGACTGGACAGTGGTGTAGCCAGTGGTGGTCTCGCCGCCGTAGCCTGGGGCAGAGCCAGTTGCGGACTCAGCGCCGCTGGTTGGCTTGGTCAGGTAGAGAGTAGAGGTAAGGTACTGAGTAGAGGTGGACTGGACGGTGGTCGTGACAACAGTGGTCGAAGATCCGTGGCCGAGAGTGTAGGTCAGGGTCTTGTTGGTCACAACGGTAGAGGTAGCGACTCCCTGGCTTGGGGAGTATCCTGGGGGCGAACCAGAGCCACCAGTGGTGATTGGCGAGACTGGGGTGCTGGAGGAGCCGGTGCCAATTGGGTAGGATGGCTTGCTGGACGAGCCGTAGACAGGAACAACTGGGGTCGAGCTGGCAGAGCTGACTGGGGCAACTGGAGAGCTGGAGCTGGACTCGGCAGGCTTGGAGTAAGAGGCCGAAGCAGAGAGCGAGGAAGCGCTCTCAACTGGGCAGGTAGTGGTGTACACGTTCACGGTGCTGGTGGTGTAGACCTCAGTGGCGCTCTTCGCTGGGCAGTTGGTGACCGTTGGGGCGCAGCTGGTAATGGTGATGACCTTGGTCTCGGAAATGGTGGCAGTGGTAAGGGTCTGCGAGCTGCTGGAGCTGCTGTAGCCAGTGCTCAATGGGACAGACACGGAGGAGCTGGTGGTCAGGCCGGTCGAAAGAGGAGCCGATGGCGAGCTGCTAGAGCTGCTGACTCCGGTGGAAAGGGGAGCAGATGGGGAGCTAGAGCTCGAGCTGACTCCAGTCGAAAGAGGAGCAGAGGGAGAGCTGCTGCTGGAAGAAGAGCCATAGACTGGTGGCACAGGCGCCGACGAAGAAGAAGAGTATGGGGCGACCGGCGAGGAAGAAGAGCTGGAAGAGACCCAAGTGCTCGAGCTGCTGGAAGAGACTGGAGCAACTGGCGTGGACGAGCTGCTGGAGCTGGTCTCGACGCTGGAGCTGCTGGCGATGCTAGAGCTGCTGCTGGAGGCGCCGTAAACGGGAGGCGCTGGGGCGCTCGAGGTTGTCAAAGGCGCAGCAGGAGTGCTCGAGGTGGTGGAGGCACCGTAGACTGGTGGTGCTGGTGCGCTCGAGGTGCTCTCGGGGGAGACTGGGGCGGTGAAGTTTGGGATCTCGCTCGAGGTGCTGTTGACAGAGGCAGTCTCGTATGAAGGTGCGCCGTAGCCCTCGGGGGCAGCACCGTAGCCCGCTGGGGCTTCACGGCGGAGGTCGCGGGCGCTGGCGCCGAGCGCCAGGGCGGCGATGAAGGCAATCTTGCTGTACATATTGAGTTGAAGGCGAATCGGAATGTCGAGGGATGCTGTTTCGAAAGCGGCTGTTCGGTAGGAATTCGAAGAGGCAGGAAATCAATTCCGCCTAAGAAGCAAGCAACAACACACGCGCAAAGTAATGAGTGACTGAAGTGCTAAAGAGCGTAAGTGTCTACGAGAGACAAGAAGGAGTGTGCGTCGCGAACAGAAGCAAGCCTTGGAGAGGGAAGAAGCCCAAGAGGAACGGGTTTGTATGGGGATGCGAGGCACAAAAGAGAGGAGGCGCGTCTTTGTCCCCTGGTCGCCGACTCATGCGTAGTCTCATCCTACCGCAATCTCTGGGTGCACGGGTGCGAAGCCAATCTTGAGGGATCAGGGGTGCGCCGCTGTTCATTGGTCTGTTGTGCGCAGACCAGAGAGCCGCACTGCACGCACTTGGCCAGCGAGAGCATAGCGCCCGACGCTGCAGGAACCCGTCGCAACGTGTGCTGGCCGCTTTGTCGTCTTGCTGTGGGCGCTTTGGCTTTCATTCGCTGCACAATCATGGGCCAGCTCTCTTTCAGCGCTCGCCGTCTGGCCAACAGGCGGTCGCGAGTCCATTCATTGGCAAAAGGCCGTCATCTGGTAGAATGACACACGCTTACAACGGACAATCCGCCTCTGCCCGGGGGCGAATGGCCTAGAGATCCTTCATTTCGCGTAAGCTCTCGTACAATTATCACCCTGGCTGGCGATCGGAACACCAGGCGTGTTGGCGCGGTGCGGTGTGAAAGCGCGGTCGTTTGCAACGCCAGCCACGCTGCTGCTGTGGTACATCGAAACGTCGGAACACTGCGCGGCCATGCGTTGGCAATCCTTGCGTTCTCCGAACCAGAGCTGAGAGCGCATGCCGTTTTCACGTACGTCGCCGCGAAGCAGCGTGAAAAAGCGGCCGGAAGAGGTCGTCCAGATGTGCTGTCGGGTGGACGGCAGGTTGCACAGTGGGGAGTATGCCCACGTTGGCATTGCGCTGCGCAGCGCTTGGCTAGAGGGTTTCAGCTAGAATAATTAGCCTGCTGGCTCCTCCTCGGTATATAGGCCAGCCGTTGGCTGGCAACGATGACGGGCTGGCGCTTGTCGTTGACGTTATTTCAACAGAATTGCTTAGTCCAGTTGCCTCAGGCCGGCGTCCAAATAGCAGGTCGTCGTCGTTTGGAGGACCGCGCATTCGTGATCGCCGTGCAGTGCATCGCAATCATCTCCGCATTCTGGAGACGTGTCATGTACAGTGCTCGATGAGCAGATTCAATGTCAGTAAGGCTGCTGTGCAGAGTGGCGTTGTGGCGGAGTACAGCGTTGCGAGGAAGAAACACGTGCAGGCAAGGTCCAGCATTGCCCGTCTGCCTCGAACTGAATCGACATCTCGCAGGAAGCATGCTCCTCGCAGCCTGGGAGCCGGCCATGCTGGCTCAAAAATAGGCCTGGATCGCGTCATGGCGAAGTCTCAAGGCGAGGACCTCGAAAGCAGGAAAATGTGCGGGTGGCGGGTTTCAAGGAGTCTGAAGCGACTGAAAGGTCTCGACCTCGACATTTTGATGCGAGACAAGTGTGAAGACGTGAGGTCGGTGAGTGATAGTTGGGTGGTGGAAGGACAGCAAGCCCAGGTCGAAGAAAGAACGAGGAATGCTGCCCCGCGTGATCATCGAGCAAGAGTCAGCATTCCACAAACAAAACCTTACTCCAACATCACAGAGCCGTCTTCACACTCTGCCGACGAAGTCATGAACCCCCTATATCGCGGCATTGGCGATAATATCAACACAACGAAAAAGCCGTGGTTGCCTCAGTCACCACCCCACAGATCGAGAAGAGAAGCGAACCGAACGGCAGACGTCAACCTGGGATGCCTGCCCGACCTGACACGGGAACATGTTCCTTCATCGCCCATCACATCGCCGGGCTTGCATGCCCGGAAAGCTTCGAGGGATGCAGGCTGAGACGGCGGAGGGCTGATCGGTGCTTCACGTCGCCGGATGTGGCTGTAGAGCGGCGTGGGTAGCAGTCCTTCATGATGACTTGCCGGATGTTAAGGGTGTGTCGATTGTCGCTCCTAGTCTGTCTGCCCTTTGATGCAGGTAAGGCCATCTTTGCGCAAAGTCAAGACGAGCGTTGCTGCACAAGGCTATCCAAGTCTGTGCCATTGTCAACAGTGGTGAGAGTCATGAAGGAGCAGGTCAACATTTCTTCAACTCCACATCATCACAGCACACATGAGAACCTTCAACACCATTTTTACATTTCGTCAACTCGTTGCTTTCATTCATTTATCTATACAGCCAATACACTCTAATTGATGCTTTCATGAGGCCATGACTTGACGTGAAAGGCTGATGCTCAGAACGACCGGCCCATCAGTCGAGTTGTTATCCAGAAAAGCAGAAGACGGATTGAGAGCCAGCACCGCATTGATAACATCGATTCCTTGGCTATGGGATTCCCCCCAAATTCAGTAACAAACCCATTGTCGCCTCAAAGCAGCCGTCCACCGATCTCGATGAGACTTGGCTGAAAAGGGGTCACACTCACAATTGCCATTGTGACGCCTGCTCCTTGCTGCCACGAGCAGTGTACGGATCCGTCAACTTGCCTCCAAAAACCGAGGGCTTCGTAGCGTCATTGCTGTCACGGTTGACAAGACTCCAGTACTGAATGTTTACGAACCCTGTTTCGGCATCCACGAAGAATCTCTCGAAGAACTGAAGGGCGTCGTAGGCGCGATCACAGTAGGAGGTGTTGCCGGTGGTGCGGCAGAGTTTGATGGAAAGCAGTGCGTAGTCGATCGTTGAGCCAGAGTCGATGGAGGTGTCTGTGGCTGCGCTATTGTCTGTCGCACCAGGGACGCCATTCTGCCAATCTGACATGGCGCCTCTAGATCAGCGATGTTTCTGGCGCATGAACTGTGTTGGAATGGCGAGTCCATTTACGTATGCCACCGTATATGTTGCGACTGTTGCATGTTGGCTTCAATGTATTGTTGAGGTAGTACGTGCCCTTCAAGTAACCTTCAGAGATGACTGTTTCGTTGATGAACCCGTGGTTGGCGATGAACCAGTCGAACCAAGCCCTGGCCTCGCAGTCAAGTGGCGAGACCAACCCACCTCGTGCACATTTACTGCCCGCTCCAAGAAGACTTCATCTCCATACGCGGCATATCCCTCCCGACTCCCAAGCGCGGCCGACGCAGCATCGTCATTGAAGCAGTCCACGAGCGACACCTTCCAAAAATCGAAGCATCCAGATTGGTGCTTCGAGTCGTAGGCCAGGGCATCGCTAGAGTCGGTATAGAACGTCCGTGTCTTTTGCTGGAGATCCCACTGAGCGACCGTCGTCCAAGCATTGTCAGCCTTCCAATGGGTATCATTTCCAATGCCGTCATGAGCAACAAGGTGTCGAACGCTCGCTACAGAATCCCTTTCGATGTTCGACCGCGATTGTTCGAAGACCGGATTGACATAGGAGGAATTCAACAGCGAGGCGTAGAGAGTGGATGCGGATACAAGAGCGAAGCATGAGAAGTAAAAGACGAAGAACATCAAGGTAGACATTGCCCACCGGATCCGAGATAAGCTTGCCAGTGTTGAATGTTTGCCGTCGTTTCTAACCTGCCGATTGGCACTGGGTATAAGCCAAGACTATAACATATATACGCACCCGCGTACTTGCTCCTAGACTTGCTCTACACATAGACTTATTACTCTCCCCATGAGCAGGATCATGTTGGCGCGGCATAGTAGATGAGTTCTTATCCAGCTCGTATCGACAACCGCAGAGCCACGCGTGTACCGCCAGCTCTAGAGACCTTCACAACAAAATAATGGTGGCTGAGATCGTCGCTGGGGAGCCCCAAGCTGGTATATGACTTTCGAATGCTGAGGCAGGGCTTTGAAGCCTGCGCAGCAAGCTGCCACGCGTACCTATGTGACGCTCAGGACCTCGTAGTGGGTGCCATTTCTAATCGTTGGCGAGCATGTCCAACAATGGGGGTCATATCAAGAATCCAGTCGTCTGGCGCGCAACTCTGCAGCACCGCTAGCGAGCCGATAGTGACCTGGGAGCACACCTTGTTCCTGACGGCCGAGTGGTGTCCACTCGTGACTTCGGGTGTGGACATCTCGTTTCCTGCGGTACGTGGGAAGAAGGCCTGGTTGTCTCGATCAGGCATATGTGGTCTCATATGAAAGATCCAGTCTTCGTTCCGAGTATGCCCGTCTACGGAGATGTAGGGCCTAAAGCCTTCAGGGGAGTACCACACTCAAATAATCACCAGCAAGACCTAATGTTGCAGCGACTTCGAAATGCCACTCTCCACTCCTTTGCAGCTAGCACTCACCCTCAAGAACCCGACGAAAGCCGCCCATGGCGCTTCTCTCACCCAGACAAGCCTGCGTACAGCAGCATCCGAGACACTACCTCGCCAGAAAGCCGTGTCCACGATGGCATCGACCCCTCACAAGAGCAGCCAGGCCAGCATTCGACAACAGCAGCCCAGACCCTCCAGCACTCGGAAGGGAAAGACAGCCTTGTCGTCGAACTGATCACGAGGTCGCAAAGCTGGTCGAATCGAACTGGGAGCAATGCCTGAGACATCGCTCGTTATTCGCGCTCAAAGTCCTTGCCCAATGGCACACTCGTATGCGAATCCGTCGGTTGTGAAGAAGGCATCAAGACCTGGTAAACGAGGATTTTCCGGAGCGGAGAAGGCAGGGGCCTGGGGTTGAACAATGATGGTCGTTTAGTGTCGAATGATATTGAGGAGTTCGGGCGGGCGGAGATGCGAATGGGACGTCTTTTTGTTGATCGGAAGGCGAGTTGGGAGTAAGAGAGACTTTGTAGGGCAGCAAGTAGCAGCACGTGATGCAATTTCACATGAAGATGTTCGCCAAATGGAGGTTTCAACTCTAATCCAACTTCAGCTCATACTCAAGAGAGTGGAATGTGGAGGGCTCACCGAAGTCAAGGTCAATGTGTAGACAGCTGGTCCATTACTGAGCTCATATATTCTGTGGCTGTCCTCGTAAAGGGTGCGTTCCTAGCATAATGTCGTCGGCTCGTTGCCGGTTTTCAAGGGCCCGGGTTGTCTTTCCGAAAAGACACCTTCTCCACGCCCACATTCTCGTTGCCCTCTGCATCTCTTGTGAGCTGGTAGACGTACAGTACCAGTACGTCTCCTTGCACGTCCATCAGCACGAAGCTTGGTGTATTCCTCTCGTCTTCTTCTGAAGCTAGGGTCTCGTCCAGCCAGCTCACAGCACCTGTCGCCGAGCCTGGGTTGACGAAGAACTTGCCCTCCATCTCGTATGCCTCGAACTTGCATGTACCGCCCCAGCAAAGCACGTCTACGTCCATCTGGCGGGCTGCAATGAGAAGCGCATCCGGATCGCCAGGCGGTATGATGGAGTCGCCATGCGTGAAGCCAATCCTCAGGCTGCCATGCGTGACAACTTTGCTCAATGCTGTGGGTATCGGGAATGTCGCTTCCGCCGCGGTGCTCTGTGGTTGCTGGCCCTGCTGAAACGGTGCTGCTGGCGCGGTGGTTGTGAGCGGTATGTCGAAGTCGCCTTTGACGAGCTGAAGGTCAGGCGCCAATGTTCGTAGGAAGGCGTATACGGAGGGAGAGGTCAAGTTGCCCAGACATAGTATCTGACCGATCTTGCCGGGAGTGAGGAGCTTCTTGAACTGCACATAGTCTCAGTGTACGTTCAGGTCGTCATTGTGCGGAGTGCCTGCCTTTTGGGGGATGTCTATCGCGCGGTCGGGGATGAAGAGGTCACCGAGGACGAGGACTAGTCGTGAGGACATGGCTGGGACAAGTTGTGTTTGTTTACGTTGTCGTCGCTCTGTAGCTCGACCTCACCTCACGGCGTGGCAGGCGGCAGGGATATTGCGGAGCTGTCCACGGAAGACGGCAGATGCCGCCGTGTGAGATTCAATGTCGGGAGCAGAAACCGATGAAACAGTGCGCGCAGGCCTCTCCTTCGCTTCTCCAATCTCACGTCTCTTCTCGCGTGTATTATTGTCCACAGCCTCCCACGAGCCCGTCAATTGACTTTTGTGTACGAGAACGGGCGAGAATTGGTCGGAGTCAAGAAGAGGAGTCGTGCCCAGGGGTCTGCCTCGTCGACTGGAGCGCAGCGCGTCGACCTCGAGACATATGAACGCGGCGTGTCTCGTTCGCAGTGGGAGTAGAGGCTGGCGGAGCAGGAGTAGCAGCAGTCGGCTTCACTTCCAGGTGTCCAGCAGCGGATCGGATACTGCGGCGTCGAAAAACATCTCGACCGTCGGCCTGCAAGGTACGGCCAACTGCTCCTCCAATTGGACCTCAGCAGCGTCCAGACGTCATCCGCGTGCCCCACGTACCCCTCCTCGATATTTGACCTTCATGTCGCCCACCGATCGCCTGTCGCTCATCTCGAGGCACTTCGACTATTCCAACGCCCACGACGTTCCACTGAACACCCCCTTCTCCATTGAGCGAGAATCGAGCCGAGTCGTCGACGACTTCAACAACAAAAGCAATCCATTCAAAGGTCAACAACAGAAGAGAGACTTCTCTCACTCGGCCCCGTCACTGCAAGAAGAAGCAAAGGAAGAAAAGCCTCCTACCGAAAACATGTCGAAACAAGCACCACACCCCACCCTCTTGATTCCAGGACCCATTGAGTTCGACGATGAGGTCCTGAACTCCATGAGCCACTACTCCGAAGCCCATGTTGGCCCAGCTTTTGTCGCTGTCTTTGGCGAGACTTTGTCCATGTTGAGGAAAGTCTTGCTCACCGAGAACCCCAAAGGCCAGCCCTTCATTCTCTCTGGCTCTGGAACACTCGGCTGGGATCAGGTCGCAGCCAACTTGACTGAACCTGGAGATGAAGCCCTTGTCCTGCACACTGGATACTTCGCCGACAGCTTCGCAGACTGCTTCGAGACATATGGTGTCAAGGCAACTCAACTCAAAGCACCCATTGGCGACCGACCTCAACTTCCGGAAATCGAGAAGGCGTTGAAGGAGAAGAAGTACAAGGTGATCACTGTCACGCACACGGATACATCCACTGGCGTGAAGTCCGACCTCAAGCCATTGGCAGAGCTGGTTCGACGAGTGTCTCCGGAGACCCTTATCGTTGTCGATGGTGTCTGCAGTGTTGGCTGTGAAGAGATTCGATTCGACGAGTGGGACCTCGATGTTGTGCTCACCGCATCACAAAAGGCTCTTGGATGTCCTGCCGGCCTGTCCATCGTGTTGGCATCGCAACGTGCCATGGAGTCTTTCAAGGCCAGGAAGACCCGACCAACCTCCTACTTCGCGAGCTGGAAGAACTGGACGCCCATCATGCAAAACTACGAGGCCAAGAAGCCTTCATACTTCGCCACGCCATCCCCTCAATTGATCCACGCATTGAACACATCGCTGAAACAAATATTGAGCAAGCCAATGGAGGAGCGCTTCGAGACGCACAAACAACAAAGCTTGAGGATAAAGAAGGCCATCGAGGGCTTCGGTCTCAAACAACTCGCAACGAAGCCCGAGAACCAAGCCCATGGCATGACAGCTATTTGGCTGCCAGAAGGCATCACTCCACCGGATGTACTTCCGAGCCTCCTCAAGAAGGGCGTCATCTTTGCAGGTGGTCTTCACAAGGAGGTCGCTGCGAAGTACGTTCGATTCGGCCACATGGGTGTCTCCGTCACCGATCCAAAGCGGGACGACATTGACCGTGCTATTCAAGCACTTAAGGACAGCCTTGTTGAGGTTGGTTACAAGGCGCCCAGCTAGATTGGATCGAATCTGTCCAAATATTATGATACACTTCATAGCTGACGTTAACATGTGAAAATTGACATGAGCCATAGCAGTCGCATGTTCCTCTCAGCTCCTGTCTTTCGACATTACAAGATCCAGGAAGACACTCACACTGTGCCAGTTCGCACATCTCTTGACGGAAACCTGCAGCCAATGAGCCGACCATGCAAGTAGCCGGTTTGCGACTATCAGCATGCAAACGCAGGCCAGCGATGTCAACGCTGCCATATCGTCTTCTGATCCCCTCTACCCATTCGTCTTAGTTGCGTTTCTTTTAAGCGACAAAAGGGGAGCAATACATACCATGGGCGATCGACAGCAGTTCGTCGTGGCTGCTAAGGTCAATGGAAAGTATCGCATGGTCGCCAGTGTCCACCACCAGTCGATCTATGGACGTACCTCCCTTCGCCAATGTCTCAGTATCCTCAAGATATTGTCTGCTGCTTGCAACCTCCCAAATATCCGTCGAGAGCTGGCCGACGCAGCATCATCTGTGAGTCCTGGTGTTGCATTCTCGCCTGAAACAGAGCTTACAATACATATAACAGGTCAAGCCGTCTATATCGTTGGACGCCTACCCCTTCATATCAACCGCACTCATCGTCGGCTCGTCATATCATGAAGAAGGCAGTTACACGGCAAACGTCTTACCACACAAACTCGACGTTTCATGGGACACTTTCCCAACTGTGAGGATGGAACCTACACGTGGTGTTCAGGACTGATAAAAACGCAGGACGAAGGCATCGTTGTCTTCGACATCACGGACCCCTCTACACCTCGCTACGGATACCTTTGGCTCGGTGGTGATATATCCCGTGCCCAGTACGTCTCTCGTTTACCGCTCATGACAGTCATGACGGCTGCCAAGTACAGCAGCGGATACTACAATGTCGCCGAGTTGGCAAGAAACAACGTCAATGGTATCTTGGCGGAGCTCAGGGGCTTCTGTCTGATCGATGTCGCGATGCTCCGGGACTTGTGGCCCAACAGCAAGTTCAGAGACACGAAAAAGCCGTCATCGCCTCCAGACCTACAGGTGCTATCTCTTGAGGATTTCGGATCTGCTGTTATCGACGGGTATTTGAAGGCTGAGCTGGCCGAGCTGCCAACGACTCAGGAGCTGAGAAAGTACCGCGAATGCATAGCGAAGAGGTTTGCAGCGGATCCATTGCTGCTCCACGACAAACGAGGCTGGGAGCTCTTCACACACTTCGTCGGCGGTGTGAACGAGGTCGATCTCACACCTTTCGTCGACATTAGAATGGAACAGGTCATGGCTATTGTCAAGGCTGCTTCTGCACGAAAGAGTCTCACCCTCCACCTACCCAGCAACGACAGCATCAACATCGAGCACCTCAGGAGTATTGTCAGCACGACCGCGGTGTGTGGCCTTCATCTCGGACGCACGAAACAGGTGAAGCTCAAGCAAATGCTCACAGAACTCTTCAAGGACACGAGTTTGACGAAACTCACCTCGCCTCTCATGTTCTCCCGAGTCGTCCAGATCACATTTGGCCCCGACGAGAATCTACAGCAAGCTCAAGTGCGCGTCACAGAGGTATGTGCTGCAAGACTTTGGGCCTTTCTTGACCACTCGAATGCATGCTAACGGTCTCTCCAGGCCTTCCCAAACGGAATCGGCACGAGGTTTCCACTCAGACAAATCGTCTACCTCACGTCGGTCGCGGAAGCCAAAGCAAAGCGTCTCGAATCCGGCGGCCTTTGCTGGAAGCAACGCACAGCCAAATCCCACAGCGTAGCCCTGTTCGTAAAAGACGCCCTGCTCTCGATACACGAAATGGTCAAGCTTGCCCCAGCAGCCCTGGCGAGACTGGCTACAGCCCAGGAATGGCAGCTCGAGAGCCAACCAGTTGCCAAGATCGTCTTGGGAATCGCAAAGATGCTTTCTATTGATGTGAGAGCGATCTTTACCCCTGAGTCGTCCTCGTCCTCGTCAAGCTACTAACTTCCCACCTAGGAAACCCACAGCATCAAACCCCTTCCAGCCCTGTACACCACCGCCACCCACGCCCATTACGACAGCACCGTCCGCGTCATGCCATGATGCCCATCGAATTCGGCGGCTGGACGCTGCTAGCCCTGCACGAGCGACCACCAAGTCCAACCAGCAAAGGCACTTCCACAATCCGGTACGCCTTCATCCATCAAGACCAGGACTCCCCAGAAGGACAGCAAGATTACAACGTCCTCTCCGCCAAGACCTTCCTCTCCTCCTTCGCGCAGGGCCGCGAACTCGAAACCCTCGAATCTCGCTGGCAGGAGGCTCTCGCTTGTCTGAGGCTTTCGATGACGACGGCCGTGGAGAGGGGGCCTGAGACGGCGGCTTACAGCTTGCTGGAGCAGGCGGCTTTGAGACGAGGTGGAAGGGCGGCGATGGATGCGGAGACGTGTGGGGATGTCGAGTTTGGAGTGGCGGAGTATGAGGAGGTTGTAGAGGCGTTGGGGGCGGTGGATTTGCTTAGAGAGAAGCCGATTAATCGCTCTGTGGAGGAGGGTGGGCCGCCTGCAGGAGGGAATTGAAGTTCCAGTGGAGGATGGATGCCGGCGACTGTTACCCTGAGGTGTTCGTGAGGGAGTTGTGCAAGCATGCGTCTCTGCAAAAAGCTTGGAACTTCGCGGTCCTGCATTGACACTTACGGAGAGCTCGGTAGCTGCCAATATCGTCGATCGAGGGAGACGAACCCTCCCTTTCCAGGAGTCTCCATGCAAAAAAGAAGAAGAGAAGTCCACGGAGCCAGCTCGAAGGTAAACATTACCAATGGCTACATTCGCTACAAGGTAGATTCTCTCTCTCCCTCTCTCCTTCCAACCCTACTCATCTTTCCAAACCAAACCCCCTCTTCATCCATCCCCTCACCACCAACCAGCGACAAAAAACAACCACATCTACAAAGCAGCAACCAGCCCAAAAACCGCCGCGATCAAGCTACCAGGGATCAGCAGATCCGAGGACGCGCTCGACGACGAGGTCTCGCTGGCCGACGACGACGTGGCGGAAGGCGAGCCCGATCCGCTGGCGGAGGTGGCGCTGGCGGCGGCCTCAGAGTCGGAGCCGGAGGCAGAGGCGGACGATGCGGACGCGGTGGAGCTGCCGCTGGAGCCGGAGGCGGTGGCGGTTCGGGATTGCGTGGATGAGGAGGCGGAGGAGCCGTAGCTTTTGGAGAGGGAAGTGTTAGTTTTGTTGTTTGTTGCGGTTCATACCCAAGAGTCGGAAAGTGATCAAGCTGATTCTCGTAGATCGAATCGAATGCCATGGACAGTCTGTGAAATATGGGAATAGACGTACGCTTTAGCAGCATTGCAGTACGAGACGTTCTGCTGATCGATGCCGTTGCGACGCGGGTCGCTCGGGCAGTTGTTGTAGCACGTCAAGACGTTGTTGGATTGCTCGCACATGCAGTCCCAGTCGTTGGTCGTGCAGGCGTCGAGCTGGGTCTGCGTGGTGCCGAGACAGCTGGCGATGATGCTGTAACAAGCCCGTCGTGTCAGCGATGTGAAGCTCGCCCTGCTCATATGCTGCTGTGAGTGGGTTCTTACTCGTCGATCTGGCTTCCGCAGCCTGAGGTGCCTGCCGCGCTGGACGTGCTGGCAGCAGCAGAGGTGGTGGAAGTTTGCGCGGCTGCGAGGCCGGCGATGGCGAGGAGGAGGGCCTGCGAGACGTGCATGGTCGTTTTTGAGTCCGGGGGATGTCGATTAGAAATGGATATGTGAAAAGTGCTGTTGGGTATCGTTCAAGAAGGGCAGAAAGAACAACAACGGTTTTGTTATAGCGAGAGACTAGGAAGTTGACCAAAGAGCGCAGCAAGCAGCAGGATGAAGGGGAACAGGAGAGGGGAACGGGAAACTCTTACATATATAAAAGGACCCAGAAACAGCAGCATGGGCCTGGGTGAGCCATGTCCACCGTCTGTATTCAAAATATACTTTATATATTCCCCTGTCTCATCCAAGACGAAGCTGGTAAATCTGGAGAAATAGCGCATGACAACGGCCATTCCCACGCGCTGATTCGTCGGAAGGGATAGGCGGCATGTCGGGAAGGGCAGTTTGGCGTGAGCATGCATGGACGCCATCGATGGTTCGGGAGGATGAGACGAGACGAGAGGATGAAGCTCTTCTTGTGCATACGGGCTCGATGGGCTTGTTGTGCTCGACCCCTGGTGCTGGTCCCCGGAATAGACTATTGATTGCGTACAGCTGTACCACTCAACCACCCTCCACCTAAAAAATCGTCAGATGTATTTCGTACATTCTTGGTCGAGAGATGAGGAGAAAGAAAGTCAGCATCAATCTGGAGCGTGCCGAGATAGCTGCAACCGTCTTCACAACGGCTGGCGTGGAAATGAGGAAGGCCATCCGCGTGCGCTAGGATTGATTCGGGGAACTGCAGTGGTTTCCCTGCGGTCGATCCTCGTATAATAGTGACAGGGAGCCTGGTCGAAATGGACTCATGGAATCTTCGTCTTCTTCTTGGCCCACTCATGCGTCTCGTGATGCCTCTGTTTCGGCGCCATCTGGTTGCCACTCGCCACGTTGATGGGGGGAGAGACGTGGATACGACATCTTCATCCGAGCTCGGCTCACTGCTGATGGATAGGCCAGTGGGTCGGGTTCGACGATATGTGGACAGCTTGTGGTACCATTTTCAACTAATCGATTGGTTAACAGTATGCGGCTTGCATCTTTTCGTTCCTCACGTTGGCCGATGTCAACGAACGCCCTAGACTATGCAACGAGTTCGTCCGTAACCTCTCTCCCCGTTTAGTAAGGATATTATGACGATTGTAAGTCTTCAGACAGCATGGTCAGGCTTCGTTTTTCGGTATTACTACTACATACTTTCAAGGAGGATGATTATACTGTCACTGTCATCCGGAATACGACTCTCTTAGAGCTTCCTTCTCCAGCGCATTGCTCGCCGCGATCGCAGCTGCGGTGATGAGGCCTCCCAGCACCATCTCAAAGAGGGGGTGTATCCGCGAAGAGCGCCTTCGCGAAGCCCTCTGGGTATCGGTGTCCACTAACCTCAGCATTTTGGCACGCTTGCCGAATCTCGTGCTCCTCCTCTTTGGTCAACTTGACCTTCAAAGATTCGACGTTCTCCTTGAGCCGATCGAGGTTGGTGGTACCTGGGATTGGGATGATGTCGTCGCCTTGAGCCAGCAACCAAGCGAGAGTGAGTTGCGAGGGAGTACCATTCTTCTTCTTGGCGATCGCGGTGATCTTGTCGACGAGCTCGAGGTTCTTGGGGAAGTTCTGCAAGACGAAGTCAGTACGTGCTGTGAGAAACGCAAGGCTATGTTTTGCTGACCTCCTCATTGAAGCGTGGCGCGAAAGATCGAAAGTCTCCCTCTTCGAAGTCCTTGGGGCTTCTGATCTGGCCTCCGAGCATGCCACGGCCAATTGGCGAGTAAGCGACGATGGCAACACCCAGCTCGCGAGCGGTCTTGAGAAGGCCAATCTCTTCGCTCTCGATGTCGAGGGAGAAGGGCGAGTACTCGATCTGGACGGCGTCGATGTGCTCGACCTTGCAAGCTCGACGGAGAGACTCGCTGCTGCACTCAGAGAGACCGATGTACTTGATCTTGCCCTCCTGCTTCAGCTTCTTCAACTCCTCGACCGTCTTCTCGATCGGGGTCTTGCCATCGAGGCGGTGGGCATAGTCTGTCCATCACATATCAGCACCAACCCAACACCCTGCTCACTCTTGGAAGGCCTTACAGAGATCGATGTGGCTGACTCCGAGTCTGGACAGTGACTTCTCGCACGCCTTGCGAGCGTACTCTGGCGAAGAGTCTACGTATCGACTGCCGTCTTCGGCCACGACGTTGGCGAACTTGGTGGCCAAGAAGATCTTCTCGCGCTTGCCCGGGTTCTGCTTGAACCACTTGCCTAAACAATCTTGATCAGCACTACGTCCATCGACCGCAGGCTTCTCATCACGCACCAAGCAGATCCTCAGAGTCCATGTACATGTCGGCAGAGTCCCAGTGCAACTCGCCGAGCTCATAGGCCCTGTCGAGGACCGCGAATCGCTCAGCATCTGGCTTTGGCTTGCCGTAGAACGCACTCAGGCCCATGGTTCCATATCCGAGAGCAGTGACTTGAGGTCCATTCTTTCCCAGCTTGCGAGTTGGGAGTTTGTGGCCAATGGCACCGTCAGTGACCTTGCCGAGAACTTCCTGAACTTTCTGCATGGTGGTTGTTTGTCTGTCTTCAATTGTGGAAGTTGTTGTTGGTACGAAGGAAGAAGTGATATGAGCTTCACTATATAGCACATGCCCGAGGTCCATTCAAGTCGTTCTTGCCACAAGATTTTGTTTGTTGCGATGACGTTCGACGCGGTAGAAACGGAGTTAAAGCAGCTATTTGCAATCGACAGCTCCAACGATGAGGGGCTGACGCAAGATCGATCGTTGATGGCATTGGCCCATCCACCTTTCCATTGCCTTGAAGAGGCAGTGCCTTGTGCTACTGGAGAAGGCTGCCTCTTTTCGACCAGTCGATGGCATGCGATCTCACTTATACAACTTTGTGCAGGAGGCCAGAGTATCCGAACCTCCTGGTATAGACCGTGGATCAATGAGCACAACACGAGACAGGGGCTTGCATCCTGAAGCATTAGGTGGTAGAAGAGTGCTAAGAACATATGGATGCGGCCGCCCGTCCGGACGCAGGATTCGGAAGGATCACTCGCATATGATCAATCATACTAGGTGAATATTCACTTTTACACACATGCCCTCATCTGCATATATGGCATATTTTTCTATGTGCAATTTTCAAGGCATTCTCCATCCTCCTTCAGTCCTTCTTGACATAACCAAGCGAGCACAAAAACTCGAGGAACCCATGAAACTCGACCGGTGGTCCCGTGCCCCAAGTGTGAAAGGAACAGAACCTCGAAACCGCTCAAAGGGAAAGGATGAGCAAGTAGTCACTATGTCCGGTCTGAGCCAGGTTTATCGCTTTCGCTGTAATGCAGTATGATTCTGTCGTACTCGTATGCATCTGTACACGTATATACAGCCAAGAATGAAGTGAACTCGCCTTGGGCATCCGTTCGCCCAAGATACTCTGCCCAGAAGTGCCAACCAAGTATGGCATCCATCCACTCACACCATGCGTAATGCAAACTCCCCGACCTGTCCATGATGTTTCCCATACCCATGAACCGCAAGAATCAATGCGCTCAACCAAACGCCAGATGCACCTTCCCAAATGCTGCCGTAGCTTCCCAAATGTTAGGTAGTTCATGATTCATTCAACGTCCCACTAACTTTTCTCTCCCTGTACTCCACCGCACCACTTCCCTTTCGATTCTTCTTCCCAATACTCAGCAGACTCAATGCGCGACTCGCTCGACTGCTCATTGAACTTGGCCGGGATTCGACAGTGCCCGACGTGACGTCCTTTATCGGATCGACCACACGGCGGACTCTACCGCTCGCGCTAAGTCCGATTGCGAAGACGGTGCCACCAGCATAGGCAGCAATAGCTACGACCAGACTGTACGACACGGAGCGGCCGGAGTCGATGATGGTGGTGGAGATGGGCGAGAAGACTGCTCCGCCGCTTATGGCCGACGTCAACATCACCGCAGCGGCCTTGGTGTGCTTGCCTTGTCCGCGAAGGGCTTGCGCGTAGATCAGAGAGAAGAGAGGACCTTCGCAAAAGAAGACCATGACCATCATTGCGAGACCCACACCACCCGTGTAGTGGGTACAGAGGCCAAGGAAGAGGATGGCTCCGCAGTAGAAGAACAGCATCAAGATCCGGGGCTTGATCCAGACTCCTAAGCCGGCCGCCAAAAATCGAGACACCGCGAACGCAGTATGTGCCACGGCGAGAAAGTTCGAGACATTCCGGCCTGGAGAGACAGCTTCGACGTACAGGCCGAACTTCTGTCCAACGACCTCCTGGGCCCCAACGTAGCAGAACTGGCTGAAGATTCCCAGCCCAAGAACAAGCCAGATCACCCGTAAATTGCCAATCTTGGCCTTGTTCGCGCCGTCCATTCGCTCTGCGGCATCTTCAAGCTCTGCATCGGTGGCCTCGTTCAAAGGCAGGTAGAAATATATTGCAGCGAGAGCGACAGTGGCAAGCGCAATACCGAGATATGCCCACTGTGTATTGGCCAGTGAGGGAGCATTCAGCGACTTGTGGTAGAACGCTCTATTCGCAATCAGGGGCGCCACCACGGTACCAACAGCTTGTACGCCTTGGCTGATATTCAGCCTGACTTCTGCGTATTCTGCGGGTCCGCACAAGGCGATGAACGGATTGGCCGAAACCTCCAGGATCGACAGCCCGAATCCAACGATCAAGTTGGTAACAATGAATGTCTGCCAGGAAGTCAGAACAGCAGCAGGCCAGAAAATCAAGCATCCACCGGCGTAGACACAAAGTCCAATTGGAAAGCAGGCCCTGAAACCCCAATGCTTCAAGACCGGACGTCCTACGAGAAGTGGCCCCAGGAAATACCCGCCGTAATAAGCGCTGCGAATTCCAAGGTTCTGCGTCGTTGTCACCTTCGCCACGGACTGGAATTGCTGGTTGAGAGTTTCCAGAAGTCCATACTCGAAGCCCCAGATGAAGAACAAGACTGTCACCGCAGCGACTGGATAGATTGCCTCCCGGTTCGTCAAGTGAACAGCACTCTTTCGCTGCTTCATGTTCACGAAGTCGAAGAATGTTGGTGTCTCAGGCCGCGTATGTCGAGTCGTGTTTGTCAACGCTGTTGGCGATCTTTCCATTGGAGGTATCCCCGCCATTTCGGGAGTCGTCAGGAAGTCCATCATATCCATGGGCCGTTCCTCTTCTTCCCCTGGAGACTGATGCGTGTTGCCTGGCCGACCCGTCAAAAACTCGAACATGTCCATCTCTCGATCGTCATCTTCCTCTGCTGCGCGACCAAAGTCTCGCTGATGCACATCCCCAGGGACAGAGATTGGCATGGGTGGTGTAATCTTCTCTGGCTCTGCGCTGGGCACCGAAAGTGATCCAAACACCGATGGCGGATCGCTGTGATCTCGTAGCATGTTGGGCATGAACCTTGCGACGAGAGGTTTAAGTCCAGGAACACAAGCACACATAATCCCGACTGAGACCTCGATTGCGCTCCACATGAACGAGAAACCTAAGTAAAAGGAAGAGTCCGTCTCCTCTGCTCTCTGCCTCCCGTCCGACGAAGCCTGGCTCTGGATCTCCTCGAGTCTGGTCATTGCTGCTGATTGCAGATACGAAATCCTGACCACATCCACCACTGCGACGAATATACCAAAGCTGAAGGTGATCATGAGGATGATCTTCTGCTTTCGTGGCAATCGCATTCCTGTAAGAATCGGCATGGGTAAGAACAGCAGCGTCAGGTCGGTGATGATGTTGAGCGGTACTGACGCCAGATATATCGTCAATATATCCGTACAAGTCGCGTTCGCGGGCGTAATGAGCTTGAAGACGGCGGATATCGGTTCGCACTGGAATACCGTCACGAAGGTCAAGGCAAGCCCTCCAGCATTGACCACGAAAAGCGTTACATAGCAGGCCCATCGAAAGACCTGGTTCGCTGTGGAGAACGTGAGATAAAAGGCCAGAATCGACGTCTTGGTCGCCATCAGAGCCGGCTGGTACAACACGCTGAAGGCATAGTTCGACTTCTTCAGACCGCCCTGCCACGTCGCCGGCACGTTCTGTTCATGTCGCCCAAGCCCATACGCCGTTCCATAGCAGATCGCAACCGAGAGTCCCACAGCCAGCGCCCACGCAAGAGCCATGAAGTAATCGTCCCACGAAATCTTCTTGACAATCGCCGCGCGCGAAATGATGCGAAAAGTCACGAAGACCGTGCACAGTACAATCATGATGATCGTGACGGCCAGGACCGCCTCGCTGCGGCCTTGAAAGTCTCCATGGCGGTCTTCTTCGCTGTCCGCCATTGTGTGTTTTCAACTTCCTGGACCCCACAGGCCCATTCTTCGCTGCTCTTTCTCCTCTACGAATTTCGTGAAGGTCTCCGTTCTACGATCGGCATTGCGCGAGTTCGTGCGACATGGTCTTGTGTGTGTATGTTCGTCGGAATAACGCTGCCTTCTTCTCCTCCCAAGCTCTTCACCAGATCTCCCAAATACCCCAAGAAACCGCTCCAAGACACAACCAAAGTCTCCCCAATTCCCAGCCTCGAAACTTTGAAATACGAGAGTCAAAAAACCCCAAGATCCAGCCCCAAGCTGACGGTAGTAGTAAAGCAAACCAGAGCGGTAGAGTAGCAAGAGCAAGAAGCAGCAATGCCACGAGGACGACACGACGACGAGCAAATGCAAAAGACAGGTACAGGGTACACTACCAAAACCAAGGACCTTCCTGCCCGAACTAAACCTCTTCGTCTTCTAGCACGGGCGGTTTTAGCCTTTTCGGCTCGTGTTTCTGCGGGGCAGGAAAAGCAAGACAACGGGCAGAGAGAGGGAATTCTCTTTCCCGGCTGGTGGAGCTGCCGAGTTCTCTTGGGCGGGCACTTGGTCGATGATGATGATGATGACTCGGGACAGAACGTCGGCTTTGCTTGAGGTTCACAAATCCAATTCAAGAGCACTTTCATCTTTGTGCGAACAGGCTGATCGCTCGCTTTGCAGGCATGTATCCCTAGTCCTAGATCCCGGATCTTGGACCACGTTGTTGGCATCCCCAAAATGGCGCACGACTGGACCTGTCACGATGAGGCCGAAGACGCACCGATGGCTGCATCTCTCGAGCTCTCACACCGGCGTAGTTTAGTTCTCATGTGAGGGGTTCGTCAACGTGGTACACTTGCCCCACGGGGATGGTCACGCAGAGAGAACGCCTTATTCTACTTCGCCAAATGCTCGGTGGTGAATGGGTGTCCGTTCGCCTCCTTGCTCCAACTGAGCATACACGATCAACACATATCAAGGCGTCATCGAATGGGCTTTGAAACATTCAAAACGATGAACAGTCTTTTCATGAAGAAATATCCGTCGTATACACATGCGCCTCTCGGTTCGCCGGTATATACATGTCCATAGTCCCCATTCCCGGCCGTGAGAACCCATTCCTTACCCTATGCCAAAATGAGCCGACTGTCGCCGACTGCGAGTGTGATCAAAATGACTGACTGCTCCACCAAACTCCGTCGAGACTTTCTGCTTCTTTCTCGTCGTCGAGTGGACACGCGAGTGCTGTTTACTCCTGGCCGAACCCGACCGTCTCCTCCACGGCCCACGTGAGCTTCTGGTTAAGAGCGTCGAATGATTTATAGGGGGGAAGATCCAAGCGGTTGAAGCAAGTGTGTGACTTGGGTAGCTGCGTCTCCTCGCCGGACTTCTCGATGGTGAATCTGCGAGGTCCGTCTGATCCTTGGAGATCTTTGAAACCGTTGACGGGGATACGCGATGTACCGGTAGCGAACTGCAAGAGACGGGACTTTTGTTCTGCGTCCCAGCTGCGAATGCACTGTAAATGGTTAGCATCTCCTCCAAGAATCTCATTTGTCCGGGATGTACATACCTTCCAGAAGTTCTGGATAACAACGTCGTTCTCCGTGTATCCACGGTAATCCGTGTGCTTCTTCCAGTCATCGACATCGATGTCTGCAATACCACCAATGAGCAACTCCAGCTCACGCTCGTCGAAGACGTTGACCAGGTCTGCGGGGATAAGCTCGTGGAAACCAGCCACAAAGGCATTGAACTGCTCCTCGACACGCTTCTGGATTCGCCATTCCGTAATGAGGTCAATGTACTCCTTCTTGTTCTCATTCGTCACCTCGATGTCCCTGCCACCAGGCTTCAGGTCGACGGTGACCTTCTCTCCAAATCTTTCATCCTCAACGGAGAAAGTGCTGTAGATGACATCGGTGATGTCGTTCTCCATCGACCAGGTAAGTGTTCGGTGGAACTCGGCATCGACACCCTCCATGTCTTGCAGAGAAACCTTCTTCTTCAAGATCATCTTGTAGAAAGCTCCAATGAAGAATGCATCCAAGAATCTCCTGTGGAAGATGGCCAGGCCGACGACTCGGCCAATGAATTTGAAGTACCCGAGATGCTCTGGGTTAATACCAGAGTGAGGGTTGATCTGAAGAGTGTAGTTGTCGTGTGCCGAGTATTCGAAGAGACAGTAGAAGGGGTTGAACATTTCGTGAGAAAGAAGGAAAAAGAACTCTCTGTAGACTTGTCAGCACGATCGAAACCACACATCATCAGGGGTTGACTCACCTGGAAAGACCACCATAATCCAAACCGTCTTCACCGTCGAACTTGATCATCAACCTCTTCTTGAGATCATTCGGGCTTTGACGCATAATCTCCGCATACGAGTCCTCGAAAATATGCGTACGGCGGACCTTGACGTGGCACTGGCCAGACAATATCCTCAACGCAGGCTGTGATCTGAAGTAGATCAGCTTGCGCCTAAAGTCACGCTTGTACTGAGGCACATTCTGATCCAAGGATGACGGTAATCTTGGATCGTCCCATGTTGTCGTCTTAGTATTATGGTCCACAAAGTAAACCCGCGCGGTGTTCGTAAGCCGCATTTCCCATCCGCTCGGCAAGGGCCCAAGTTGCGACACTGGTTGTTGCTGAATGGTGCTGTTCCCAGTAGCGTTCTGACCGTACATTCTTATGTACTGTTGACGCCTAGGGTCGACCCATGTTGTCGTGCGCGTGTTGTGGTCAACAAAGTAAGCTCGGCCCTCCGGAGTATGGCGTTGCTCCCAGCCAGCTGGCAGTTCTCCCGTTCCAGCGGTAGTGGCCCCGGTAGCTACCATTTGTGCAGCGTTGGCGCTGTTCGCATTAGACGGGTTGGGAGTGTGAGAGGGCGAGCCTTGTCGGTCTGACAGCGTTGGGCTGTTAGCACCGGTACGGTCTTCCGGCAACATTCTCGCCTGATGTCTTGTTCTCTCCACCTGTTGCTGCTGCTCCATTTGTGCTCTCTGTTCACCAGCATTGTAGTTCGCGGTGGGGCGAATCCATGTCGTCTGTCGCGAGTTGTGATCCACATAGTATGTTCTGCCCAGATTATCCTCACGTCTTTCCCATCCAGGTGGCAGTCTCCCTTGAGCATCTTCAAATGCACTAAAGCCGGACTGATTTTGTCTGGCCGGGGTTGGCGCGCCATTGGGAGCACCACTGGGCGCTGGCATGGCGGTATTGGTATTTTGACGAGAAGCCGCCGCGGATCCGGGATTGCTGGTAGGGCGATCGGCAGCGAGGGAAGCGGTGGGCTGGGCACCGACCGGCGTAGAGGGCGTATGTGCTCCGTTCGTGGATGGTCCAGCGGATGAGTTCGATGGCCGAGTAGAGTTACTGCTGCCGTTCGCGATGGGCGCTCGCAGGTTGGTCGAGAGGTTCAAGATGAGCTTGCCGTTGACCACAAGGTTATCATTGGATTTCCTGAGATCCCTCGTAATCATCTCTGCGCTCCAGTCAGTACTGCACGTGGCGTTTCAGTGCTATTACACATACCATCACCGCCGGCATCGAGGTCGATAACACTGCCTATGCGGACATTGACGACACCGAGAAAGCCCTGGTCCTTCTTCTTGAACTTCTTTTGGTCAAAGATCTGCACTGCTAGTATGCTCTCTTCTGTAACTCGCCTATAGAGCTGTCAGTGAGCGCTCCACGCAGCCGCCAGCGATGTGTAGACGTACATATCAAAGCTCTCATTCCAGTAGGGGTTGAGGGTCTTTTTGATGACACCGGTGGTCCTCGTTTGTTCGCCACTGATGGTCGCAACTGCGAAGGGATCCGGGAATCCTGCTCGTCATCAGCATGCGTCTTGGTCTCGTGCGCACCTGCCCATCACTTACTGAAGACATCTCTCTTGTACAGGCCATCCGCGGCGATGACTATGCCATGTATTAGTCTTTTTCTTCTCAGATGCCTCCTCACTGGCGCCTGCTCTTGACATACTGGTCACCCGCAGGTTAGGCTGCGAGGGAAGCTCCATAGTGATGCCTTATCCGACTCAACCGCCGTCTGAATGTCGCTGGCGGCGCGACTTCTGTACCATGCACCGGCAGCGGTGCGCGAATGTAATGGAATAGGGGTCGACGGGCGGAATGGCAGGCAGGTGTTTGGAGAGGCAGATGCGCGTGCGGTCAAAGAATGGTGGGATGACGACGGCGGTGACTGTGGCGCAGCAAAGCGGTGCACTCGATCCTGGACGGGACAGTGCGCCGGCGAGTGTATGGCGAACGGCACAAGCGGAAACAGACAGTCGTACAGGGCGCCGCTGGCGATGCGGGTCGCTGGGGAGGGAGGTGGTGGTGGTGTCGAGGGCGGTGTTGAGAGAAGGTGTTGGCAAAGACGTCAAAGCAGTAGCGCCGCCACCTCAGCTCCAAGCCCAAGCCCTGGGTTCACTCAGCGGTCCGCGGGGTGACTGGTTGGTGCCCTTGACTTCACGAACGATTTCTTTGCGCCTAGAAACATCCATTCACAAACATCATCACTGTATTAATGCTCAGCTTCAAGTCTCATGAAAGACAGAGCAATCGGTTGTTGCCATTACCTATCGTGCGTCATTATCGTGGCATACATTACTTAGTAAGTGCCTATCCATTGATGAGCGGTGTTGAGAATCCCATGAAAACGCCATGCCATCACACCAACATCCTGTCTATCGCCATATCCGCAGTGCCCGGCCCTGCTGTCGTCGCCTGTTTGTACAAAATGCTCTCCACCGGCCACTCGATCCAGTGTTTCCAGGGCTCGTCCAGACTGCCCATCACGTCGGTAATCACTCGAGAACTCCACCCGTTTATCCACCACCTATTGTCCAACACGTCCATCAGAACGCAGTAATATGACAGAACGATCAACGCTTGAGGCACCCGCCTTCTTATGAGCTCTGCAAAGGGTACGGGGTCCTGCTTGGGAAAGCACAGTATCGAGGCCACGCTGCATGATCCGTCTGAGCGGAGGACAGAGTCGTATATCTGTTTCAGTTCGGCCAAGACCACTGCGCAGACTCGTCGGTCGTCCGGAATCATGGCATCAACTCCCAGCATGAAATCGAGATGTGCGAGGCCAAAGTCCATGCCATCAGGAATGGTGTAAGTACTGCTGCTCCTATTTCAGGCATTAGTTGCGCGTTTGACAAGATCGCCCTTGGCTTGGTAAGGCTTACCCATCGGGAGAGAGTGTTATGGCTTCTTGGAAGCCTCTCGTCAGAATGGCCGCAAAAGGGCCCTGTGCCACCCAATACCAAGTCTCGGACAGGATGGCATCTATGCCCTTCACTAGAAGAAAGAGCTCCACCATCGCATCGATAGGAGGCACACTCGGTGGTATCGCATATGCAAAAAGAGCCACCAGCCATGTGAACGCAAACTTCGCGTTGGCACTTTCAGGTGTTCCGATAGAGCTGTCTCGCCTGTACAGCACCAGCGCTTTGTCCAGATGGTCGACCGCGCTGGCTTGGAGCATCGGGGCGTTCTCTGGGTCCAAAACCGCCTTGTGTAATGCGCTGAATCCCAGCAGGCCGTGCATAACGTAGTCGCAAGTGAATGCCACCTTGGGAAGTTCTTCTTGCCATATGCGTAATATAAAGTCAATGTCCTGAGTCTCGTTCAAGATGAACTTCGTGTTCGACATATAGTGATGCATGAGTTGGAGATCCAGCTGCCAATTTTGTTCTTGACCTGGACCTGAGATCGGTCTGTCGATCAGTCCAGTGAGGACTGTGAACGGGCTGGGAGCTGAAGGGCTTTCCACGGCGGACGTGGAGCCTGTGTTGTTCACGGAGGCCTCCAACGAGGCTGTTCGAGAAGGGTTGGTATGGTCTGATGAGGCTGTGGATTTTCTTCGTGCTTTTGCATCCTCTCTGGGAACGTAGGGGCCGCCTGCCAACGAGCAGGCAACGCCATGTCGGACGCAATTTGAGCAGGGTGCTTCTTCGTTGCACTGTTGGTTTATATTTGATCAGCGCTTGATCTTGAAATTGCTTTGCATCACTGTAGCGTGGAGGCAAGGACAAGGAAAGTCTTGCTGAGGTCCTGAACCAGCCTGCGGTGTTCGCGTTCACAAACTCGCCAACTCCGTTCTTTTTATCCAACATTGACATCCTGAGGCACGTCGTCGGCGTTCAACTTCACACAGGTCGTGCGAACGCACCGCGTCCATGCCACCGGTGTCTCGCATCCTCTTCGCGTATACAATGAGATGCCGGGACGTACCTTCACGTGCCGTCGTTTACACTGCGCGCAACCTTTTCTTGACTTCTTGTGGCCCACGCGAGGTGCTCTGCTTTCCATAACCGATCCGTTAGCCTGAGCTAGAGTGTGACTATCGAACACCGGTATGGCGCCAGGGTGCAAGGCAATGGTGCTGGATAAGGGAAGCATAGGAAGAATCTGGGTCTGAGAAATGTCATACTTGCCAACGACCTCCTTAAACTCCGAAGATCCAGGTACGGGCGATGCGTCCTTATGGATTGCTGCCTGCAACGTGTTGTTGTGACGATCTGGCATGGCAGGCGAAGCGGCCAGCCCTACTGCCATTGCGGAATAGCTGCAATCGCATTGAGCAGTGGTGCTATCAGTCGTTCGAGGACTACCTAAGCCGGGAGGAAATAGTTGGACTGTTGCGTCACCTCCCATGAGTGCCTATTATTCCTTTCCCTCAGCATGCAGGTCGCGCTAGGAGGCACGCAGGGTCGTAGCACGCGGCGGTTGTCTCGTCTGCCCGGTATCGAAACGGCAGCTACATGCAGCGCGCAAGGCTCATCAGGCTCATCTATTCTGACCCTCGCATTCGCGTTGAGGCTGCTCGTACCTGATACTTTGGGACCCAGATGGTTCTAGCGCAGTGTTTGGGGGGTCGTCGGCTGCTGGAGCTGCTGCTTGGCAGGACGGTGTCTCTGATTCAGCACGACCACATGCTGACATGGACAGGGTTGTGCAGGGCGGATGCAGACGTCAAGTCGGCTGTATCGACCAGTCCGTCGTCCGTCCCCGGCGATAGTTGTGCTTAGAAATGGTGGATGCAGCGATGAGTCGAAACAGCCAGTCGCGGATGAGCCAGACAATCAAACGGGGCCTGCAAAAGCAAGCAAAAAGTGAAAGTGAGCACGAGACGAAGCCAAAAGACGGCTGAAAACTGCGGTGGATCAGCAACCAGCGCTCGAGTCTTGTTGGTCGTAATGGCCAGACGAGGGAACCGAACACTCGGCCACGCCTGTGATCCTGACGGCCCGCCGCATGGGAGGCATCCTCCACTTCAGCCCGCGAAATTCTCGTTCCTGGGAGGAATGACTATGCAGCATTGCAGCCACCACGCTCTCTGTACAGCGCCCTACAGATGGGATACACGCGACCTACGGGAGGCCGCCACGAGGATCAATTGCACATGTTCCATCTCTCTCCGAGCCCTCGGCCGTCTTGCTACTCCTCCAACGACTACCCACAACTCACGCTCGATGTATTCGAGCATGATATCACCGTGGCTGTGCAGAAAGTCGCACTCATGTCCCGTTCGAGGAGTGGTCGGAGTAGCTCAACTCCGTGTGCGATTACGCTGCTGAAGCCCAGCCACGTGGAACAATGGCGTGAATGTTCCAACTTTCCAGCCCTTTGGCCGGCGGCGGCGATGCCGCCATGATTTAGGCTTCAGCTATGGACGATGACTCCCACCTCACATCTCACCCTCCCCGGTTCTCGGCAGACCATGCATGCATCCAGAGGCACTGCTTGGATCGAGCAAGTATCGAAGTCTCCCTCTTGGCACCTGCAACACCGAGCACCGCACCAATAGCATGAGACAGAGGCGTCCTTCTGCCTTGAGCTGAACGTGGGGTCATGGCCTGCATAACGACCAGTTACTATATTTCGACCGCGAGCTCCTCGTCTTCGTACCTCCCCAAAAAGGGTCTCCATCTCGCTATACTCAAATCGAACGCCGTATCGGCATGTATAAAGTATAAGCAAGGTGCTGCTTCTTGGTGGCACCGGATCGCCGTCGTCTAATGCCAGACTAGTCGATCCTTACCACATGGTTATCTCGACTTCAGTGGGTCGGTGAGTAGAGGTGAAGTCCAGACAAGCAGGTGCCAGCGACGGCATCTGCGGCGAATACGCTCTCATCCGGTTCGTCCAGCCCATTCTGCTACGTCGAGGTCATCTTGTCGTTGCGGTGTCGGGCAGGCTAGAGACGTATTCGGCTTTTCCTTGTGCGTGTGACTCAGGTGTCCACATTGAGCAAGTACCTTACCATTGTCTCGAAATAGGCATCGGAGAACACAGCACTGGCAGATGATCAAAGACGTCCTCCTTACGAGATTTGAAGGTGCAATCTCGTCTGACATAACGTCCACTGAGCACAGCTATTGCGTTCATGTCTGCCATGCCGCCAATAATGACGAGCCTTCTTCCGCGTAGCTTCCTGCGCACAGCCTCACGTAACGCATGGCTCAACAGCTGATTGGTGTCTTCGCACTCTTCGGACAAAGTCCTCTCGAATGCCGCGGGCTTTTACAGTCCGAACTGTGCAGTTCTGCCCCTAAAGGCGACGCGGACTAGATTGTACGTCCGTAAACGGTATTTGATATCATGCGCATCCCAGGCATGCATTGACCGAAGCCCTGCAATCCTTCGGCGTATCAACGCGGAACTCTTTGCGCTCGGGACGACATTGCGCCTCCAGCTTTGTCGGGGGGTTGGTTCATCAATGCATCGTACCCCGTTCCAGGCAGAAACGACATCATCAGGTCATTTTGGACATTGGCTAAGCCTTGTATGCTCAGCTACCGTCTGTATGCAATGCTTCCAGGAACTTGATCGAAGATGCAATATACTTGATGCCTGAAGTCAAAGCATGTCAGTTCTATCAATGCTTCACCAATTGCATGAGGCGCATGGATTGACGTACCTTGAGCGCAGTCGATGAACGGTGTCATACGATAACATCGTGGACCTCCTAAGATTTCGGGATCCGCGCGACTTGCCCAAGCCTCCACGACGATGAGCTGTTTTCTGTCCATCGTCGTGACGTACACGCCCCTGCGGCGCTTTCAAGGCCATGCATCCAGAACATCTGCAGACTACACGCGAAGGCAGTGCAGACCAAGCGACATAGCCTGCATCACCGAGGCGTCCATCCGATAACAAATGCCTGCCAGAAGAAGAAGGCCGTGAAGTCGGCGTCACCGAGTGAAATTTCCAAGGGACGGCGTAGGCCTGAGGAAGAGCATGTCGAGAATGCGTGAGCAGTCAGATGTCTGCTCAGCTCGGCTGTGAAAGCATGAAAGCCAAGATGGCTGAACCGTCTGGTCTGATACGGGATCCCTTGGTTTGGTGAAACAACTCTGCCTTCCAAATTCACATCTTGTCCACGTCGCAGACCGCTGGAACTCGAGATGTGAGGAAAACAGCTCTCTTGTGAACCCGATATGCAAGCAGTTTCTTCACGCCTCATATCTTGTGGAAGTTTTTTGCTAGCTCTTCTTTTCACGACGCCTTAAATGGCTGATGGCTCTTACTTTCCAAAGACAATGACCTCTTGTGGCTTCTTTCTTGACGCCCTAGTTTTTGCATTCTATTGAAACTTTTCTCGTCTCCTCTTCTTCTCATGACACAAGCAGTCCGTACATCCTGACCTCAGAGAGTCCAGAAGAGATGTGAGAAATCCAGCACCCAGTGTGATCGGTGGTTCCAGCGTGAGCGGCAAGGATGACTCGCCGATGCTAAGGGCCGTTGAGTAGCGCAGTCGATGTTCGGCACATCTCTAGCCAAGACACTCGTGGGCAAGGCTTTGCGATCGCCTAGTGAACCTTGCCGAGCTGTCCGTCCCTGAGATGCTGTTCTGACGTGGTTCCGAAGCTCAGTATGGGTTGTAGCCGCGACCTCGAGGACGGTATCCGCCTCTGTAGCCGCCTCGTCCCATTGGCGGGCCGCCGCCGCCATAACCACCGCCTCCTCGACCACCACCGTACATTGGAGGAGCGCCGTAGCCACCTCCAAAGCCACCCCGGCCCCGAGGACCACCGCGACCACCACCGCCGCCGCCTCCTCGACCACGGTTCATACCGGGTAAGTTGGTACGTTTCGGAACGACCTACAGAATTCAGTCAGTCACATGCTGTGCGCCTCTCACATGAACAGTGGGCCACGTACCTTGAGGCTACGACCTCGAAACACGCTGTCATTCAAAACCAAAGCCTGGGTGACCAGGTTTGGCTCCGAGAACTCGACGTACGCATAGCCCTTGGGGTGTCCCGTGAACTTGTCCAATAGTATCGTGACGCGGTTGATCGAGCCACAGCTCTGGAAGTGCGCCTGAATCTCCTCAGGACTCGCGCCGTAGTCGACATTGCCCACGAAGATACTCCGTGCGTCAATGTCCTCCTTGCTCTCGCGTAGATGCTCAGTCTGTGAGTCGATGCTGGCCTGCATTTCCCGCAGCTTTGCAGCTTCCTGCTCCATCTCTTCCACGCGCTTCTTCATCGCCGCAATCTCCTCCTCGTCTCCAAGGTCCTCATCCTCGGGCTGGCGGTCCAGCTGCTCATCTTCGCGCTTGATGTCCGTGTCGGCCATGGTGTGTGATGATGTGGCGGAGGTGCTTCGTCTGGTGGGTGAAGCGCTGAGGTTAGGATCGGGCATGATCGAGGAAATTAAATGAAACTTAAGAGGTCGCACGGACGTACCTGAACGTCGCGGGGGTCAGAGAGTGTGACAAATGGGTCGCACAGCTCTGGCGACTTTGTGTATCAATGTGAAGCTGTCGCAGGAGTTGGTGCTTGTGTTGAGATGAGTTTGTTGTGTCGCCAAAGGAGAGCTTCTTGAATTCAAGAGATACATGCGCCAGTCCGTGCTCAAAGCACGCTAGTCCGAAAGCACGTCAACACGACACGTGATTCGAGGTTCACATGAAGTAACTTCTGAAAATGATGCTTGACATATCTTGTATTCACTTCACGTTATTGCAGTACCTTCACGAGGGCATGCAGGATTCAAGTGCCAATCGAAAGTTCCGCCGAACACAAGCGATGTACAAGTCGACATCAACTCTACAAGACCACGTTCCAATGCTTTTGAAAGACGTGACTGATGTTTTCCAGTACACAGTGGCCTCGACAGAGAACCACGATTACATTCGACTACATGCTCTTCCTTTCAGCATCTAGCGCAACATCCCAAGCCCACCTCTACCCAGAAGCCAACTTCTTCAACTGCGTATAATCCCCATTAAACTTATCCGAATCGCCTCCATACGTATTACTATCCGCATTCTGCCAAATCGTATAATACGGCCAGCCGCCCTGCGGCGTGCAAGGGCTCGAATTCCAACACGCCATCATGAGCGGATTCGTATTGACAAAGGCGTTCGAGTTGCCCGTGCACTGGCTCCACCAGCTGGGGCTCGAGTACAGCACAGGGTATCTGCCCGTAGAGGCGTGGTAGGTGTTGGAGAAGGTGCGGATCCAGCTGACGGATTTGCAGGAGCCTTCGAGGTCTAGCATGCCCGGGAGCGTGATGCCGTCGTTGGACCAGCCGCCGCCGTTGGCGAGGAAGTAGTTAGCTTCTTGGCTGCCGTCGCCGGTGCCGCTGGCGAAGTGGTAGCCGCCGCGGATGAAGCCTGCATTCGTGGCGCCGGTGTAGTGAGAGGAGAACTTGGGGTCCTTGTAGGTGGTGCCTTCGGTGGCCTTGATGTAGACGAAGCGGAGACCGCCTGAGTTGTATGCGGCATTGAAATCCACGGACGACTGGTAGTGGCTGATGTCGAAACCCAGGACGGTGGCCCGCTTCTCAATATCTCTTGTCTCGTCGACAGGGGCGGCGAGAGCGCCGATGGCGAGGGCGATGGTGCTGAGTGTGACCTTCATCTTGAGGTATGTCTGTGCTGATAGTAGATACTGTGTCGAGGAAAAGCATAGCATTAGGAAATTGACGAGATACTTATACCATAGCCATAGCGCTAGACAACACCCTCCATTGCATGGTCTACTTTGCCAATAAGTCAATACAAGCGAGTCTAGCAACTCACTCCCTATCATCACCAATAGCATGCCTCCCTGTACGCACATGATGAGGCTTTTAACCTTCACCCTTCGCTTCGCAAAGTAGCAGCGCAGCTTCGTCCCTGCAGCCAGCAGATCTTTCATTCTGCCCTACCAGCAGTCGTTTTCCGAGAAAGGCAGGAGCGAAAAGGACGGATAAGCCTGGCAAAGCTTTCAAGGGTGCCACCAAGCCGTCTCGGGAAACGTAAACGTGACAGGAACACCAACCAGCAGCCGTCCGTCGCGCATGATTGAAGCAGGTGGTGTCGCCCCAATAGACGAGAAATGGACGAGGTCGGAAAAGGATCGCTCCTGGTGGATCTCCCGCGCGAACCCTAAATTCGTGGCCCCGAACTTCCCTCAACCTCACCTCGCGCCGTCGTTATATCGCCCGGGAGGGAGTGTCGAGACATCGCTTGTACGACCAGAATCCGACGGGAACTCGCTGCATGAAACGGGCGGACGAAACTGTTTCAGGACCGACGACATGAGCACAGAGGAACACCGACCTCTCCTGCCCTCAGATCATGCACGCGTCCGCTATGCCTCCGAAGTGACGACGTCAGCGCGAAGGCAGACGAGACAGTTCTTGACGTCCAAGACGGGCCATTACGCCGTGCTGTTGCTCGTCTCGTTTGACGTCAGCTGTGTGTTTGCCGACTTGATCATCACGTCGTTGGCGTGTGAAGGGCATGTAAAGAAGGATGACGCTTCCCGAGTGACCGAAATACTGGGCATAGTCAGTTTGGTGAGTGGATTGTGAACATATTGCTATTAATGCCTTCCAAGTTGTTCAAGACTTACCCGGATTGCAAGGTCTTCTCATGCCTCTTCATGCTCGAACTCCTAGCCAGCATCTGGGCATTCGGACTATCCTTCTTCAAGTCAGCCTTCCATTGCCTCGACGCTGTAGTAATTATCGCCGGCTTGGTCATCGACATTCTTCTCCGAGGTACCTTGGAAGAGATCGGCTCCATCGTCGTGGTCCTCCGTCTCTGGCGAGTCCTCAAGATCATCGACGAGCTCAGTGCAGGCGCTGCGGAACAGATGGAACCTCTATCTCAACGGATCGAAGCCTTGGAGAAGGAGAATGGGGAGCTAGAGAAGGAAATCGGGGAGCTGCGAAGACAGCAGCAGCATTCAGTGTGATCGTTGATTCCTGACGTCGTTCCCTTGATAGACTATCTTACAATCTTCATCATGCTTTCATGGCCTGCAGTATTGTACAGTGCAACAAGCCGCAAATCCTTCGACATCCCAGACGCCATCGCTGAGCAATGATCATACCGTCGTGAAAGCGTGAGCAAAGCGTGAACGCTGCACAGGAACGCTGCAATCGATCAAAACAACACAAAACGTGAACGCTGCGTCGTTCGGTTACAAGTGCAACCGAATGTCCGTCATGTATGGATTGCGAACATGCGGGTTCTGGTCCTTGTAGGCCAGATGTGCCTTATGTATGCAGGGAACATACTCCACGCCGTCTTGAACTCCCAAAAAGTCGGCGAGAGAGTTGCAGGGCTTTTCCACCTCGTCCACTCCTACACCAATGGAAGCGAACTCTTCGCTGTCCGGCAACACCGTCAAAGTCGGGGCAGATGGAGGTGGCCTCATGCTCGGAAATGGGTCTTCGAGTACGGAGGCACTGGCCGGCTTGCCAAAGAGCTGCTTTCTGTTTGGCCTGGCCTTGATCTCCGCAATCTTTTGGTCTCGGTCGAAGCGATTTTCGAGATGATATTCTGGCCAGTCCTCCAAATTCTTCTTCGAAAAGTCGATATTCTCCACCTCTTCACGAATTAGCTCTCGGATGTACAGATCATCCCGCACAGGACAAGCACCTGGGGCATCCAACAATGACATGATGTCCTTCATGGCACGCTGCGATGGTCCAAGTGGAGTTTCTCCGGTGGTTGTTTGTGATTTCTTGCTGGGTGTGGCGCCCAGTCCCGAGTGCAGCGAGGTCGTCCTCTCTTGTGACGCCGAAGAGTTGAAGCTCTTCCTGTTCGCCCGCGAGGCGAGGGGCTCTTCCTCTGAAGTTTCCACATCTGTGGCCTCTTGATGTCCATAATCTTCAATGCCATCGACTTCCATTGCATCAGCATCCGTTGCGAGTGCTGCACTTTTCCTTGCGCGCTTTTCACCTGGAGGCTTCACCCATTTGCTCTTCTTCGAACGAGATGATGTGGCAGAGTCCAAAAGCCGGGCTTGTCTCTCAATTTCGTCGTCGTCGTCGTCGCTGTCAAGTTCCAAATGATCCTGTCCGCTCAGCTGGCTGGCATTTGGCCCAGATAGAGGGCGCTGCAGATCGTGGTCCCAGCGATCCAGTGTGTCTTTGACGTCGGGCTTGAGCACCCACCAATCTTTCCCCGGCTCGCCATCATCGCCTTCCGCCCAATCAACTTGTGTACATATTATCTTGCCCGATTTGCCTGTGGCATTCAGTCTCAAAGTTGCTTTGATGCCGTTCGCCCACTTGCCATTGTTCTCATCATAATCAGGAACGTTATTCGAGATCCATTCGACGATTCCCTTTCCTTGCAGTCGGTAGTTGGGCGCAGAAAGGAGAGCCATCCCGATCAGGCGTTGATAAGTCTTCTTGGGTCGCTTGAACGAATTGCCCAAGTCGTATTCATCTCTCGCGGCTGCCCGCTGACTCTTGCGCTTGATTCCCCCTGTCTTTCGACCAGGAGTAGATGGCATCAGAGAGGCTTCTGCCATCCCCTGTAGAAAAGCTTCATCCTCTTGGCCAGACGCTGACACCCTGCGTGGCTCGTCCACCATCTCGACATCATCAAAGAGCGAGTTGACGTCCGAATGGATCTCCTCGACATCATCTGTCATGGGAACATCATCACCAGAGTTGTTTCGTTCTTCATCCTGTTGACCGGTAGCAGGTGTATCACGTAACGCATTAACTCCAGCAACAATTTCAGAGGGTGAATTGGCGTCCTCATGGACCGGCTCAATCTCATCTGCCATGTGCACGTCATCGCGAGAGACTTCATCGGGCTGTGGTTGCATATTGAAAGGTACGGCTGCTTGCGGACCGCCAACTTGTCCATCGATCAAGTGTCTTGGTAATGCTTCTCCAATGGAAGAACGCACGGACGTCTCGCCTTTCGTCGAAGGCACTGCAGCATCGAGAGTGCCTTCTCGGGACGTATGCGATGGCGAGATCCGGTCTAGCCGAGAGGCGTCTGCTTTCATCTTTTTCCTGCACTTTGAGCATCTAGTAGGTCCTACTGGCGCCTTTCCTGTTTGGTTCCCGCATTCGACGCAAGATGCCATTGCTACGGTAGGCCCCTTTTTGCGTTTGGTGACATGCAAGACGCTGTCTACTGGTGAAGCTGCAGCGACAATTGGTCGTGTATCTGCGCTGGGTTGCTCAGGCCCTGTTGTCTCAATGCGATCTTCACGCATAGTGCCTGGTGGCATTGTGTTGAGCTGTTCGGCATCTTGTGGTACGAGGTCAGCGGCGCCTTCGGAAGGCTTGATGATGGCCTCTTCATCCTGAGGTATATCGAAAAGACTGATGTCGTTGTCAGATGGCCTTGCGCGATCTTGTGTGTCGGTTCTCTTGCGCTTCGTAAGCTGAAGTTTGACGGGCTTTCTTGCCGGCTTGGTTTGATCTGCTTGGAGAGTAGAGAAGCTTTTGTCGACAAGATCTTGTGCCTCCGTGAAATGTGCATCGTCGCTGTTGACCTGTTTCGTCCGCGCCTGCGACGTGTCCGCATCGGGAGCCATTGACGTCTCGGTCGCCATAGACCGGTCGACCTGGACCGCGTCGACAAGCGGATCGGGGATTGGAAGTAGGTCTTGGTGCACAGCTTGTTCTGGCTGGTTCCCAAGCTGTGTTGTTTGTTCAGCGGGAAAGAGCGCCGTCTGCTCGTGGCCCGAGCTTCCCTCGAAGGCAGCTTTAGGGGGCGAGCTTTCCCGTGCTGTGTCAGAAGGCACAGCCGCTTCACCATCTGCAGATGTACCAACACCGCCCGGCTGGCTTCTGTGCAATGGGATTTTCTTGCGCTCGCATCGCTTACACTGCCAGTGGTCTCCAGGAAAAGCTGGTATTGATCTACCGGTATAGCAATAGCGATGGTAACGACGAACGCAGGTCGTGCACTTCACCAAGCTGTCGACCTCAGACCTGGCCTTGCAAACATGGCATCTGCGAGGGCCCATAGCAGAGATGTCGGATCCAGTTCTGCCGCTGATGCTGGAGGTGCTGTCCAAAGGTGACGTGGGTCGGGGTGGAGAAGTTCGAAGTGGTTCGGTAGTGCTTTGAGGTCTGGTGTCTGGTCTCGACTGAACCGAATGCGACGTCGGGAGCCCAGCACCTTTTTCTAGGAGATTCGAACTTCCGACAGGTCGCTCTGGAGGAACCTGCATGGCGGTTCTGGAAATGCCAGCCACACCGTCTTCTCTTTCAGGTGCAAGCGCCTCAAGCACCATTTGTATCTTGTCTGATGCTGGCGGATGGTGCTGTACAGCAGTTTGAGTTGATGCCTCTGCTGCTGTTGTAGCCACGGTGGTAGGAGACCGGCGATCCTCTGCATGTTCACCTTGTTGCTGGCCGAAAGGAAATGGCTGGAAGGTAAGGCAGTACATTCCGAAGAATGGCTCGCCTTTGTACGCCTTCTCGCATTTATTCATATTGGAACGCCCCTCCCTCGAATTTGCGAAGGCTATGTAGTAGCCAGTGTCGTCACAAACAACATCGACTGGTCCGCAGCGTCGCACCAGCGTCGCGAGATGGGGTACGGTTGATTGCGACGCAGGAACAGACTCAGACGAAATGACTAAAAGAACAGGGGCAGATGGTTAGCGACTAGAAATCGATTAAACACTCAATGCATCTTGCCCTTTGATATACGTACAGATATGTGGTAGCTGGAGTATAGACTGCGGAACAGGAGCGTTGCCACCTTTCATCGCAGGTCCTGTCGGCACGTCCTTGATACCATTGACCTCCGCTTTCCCCACTCTCGAAGCAGAGTCACTGCCAGCAGGAGGCGCCTTTTCGCTGACACGGGGCTTGACAGGCTGCCCAACACTTGAATTTGGGTTTGTCCAACTCAGGTTGCGGTATGTTGTCACATTTGGACCCTTCATTGACGTTGAGTAGTATGGCTCTTCGTGAGGCGAGCGTGGCTCATTACGAGGCAAGTGCCATTCTCCTGATCTCGAAGTATCTCGACGTGCCGGTGACGACGGCCTATGCCTCCGCTCCTTCCTTCGCGCTGCCGGCGAGCGTGATTCCCTGGGTTCCCAGTGATCTGTTCGAAGCGAGTCGTAATCTTCGACATCTCTGTAATCGCTGATATGGGGTGATGGACCAGACTCATGTGCTCGTGAGATAGGGGGACGCCTACGTGAAGATGGAAAGAGTTCATTTCTGTATTCGTTTCTCGACGAGCGCGGGCTTGGAGGCCTCCGTCTTGTCTCTGGAGAGAAATTTGTAGTGGGTGAAACGGGACGGTCGTATGTCCTGTGTGACGGCTGGTACGCATCGCGATTTGAAGATGGGGACTGATGATGCCCGTACCCACTGTGCAATGGGGGCTGATCGCGAAGCAGTTGATCCTGCTTGCGCCGCTCTACAGTCCCCAAGATTCTAAACTGATCCGGCGATGGTGATCTCGCGTTATTCTCAGGGCGCTGCTGTGGGATTCGCTTGAACTACATCGTGAATTAGCATCAGTCTTCCGCAGAATCAAGCCAAACGCTGTCGTAGAAGTCGTGTCCCATCAGATCTTTTCAGTTATTTAATATGCCCTCAGCAAACCCTCAGAGGCTACATGCAAAGCCGCAACCATCGAGAGGGCCGTTATCAGACCTTTTACCTTTGTTCATCACTTGGGAAGAAAGAAAACCGACGAGCACTTACCAGGTCCTGAGTGCGCCGGGGGCTTCCGAAGTCCTCACCTGGTGGCATGGCGTTGGTCGGCCGATGCCCATGCAGCGCTCTACTTCATGTGACAAGAAGACATGAGTCCCTGTGACAGCACTTGCTCTCTAGGGAGGCGGCGGAGCTGAAGCTTGTTGAAGATGAAGCGATAGCGAGGCGTAGTAGCGAGTGTATGATGCTGTGCCGTATCGCGGTCAGGCGTCTGGTGTTGAACAGCGCTGCAGGCTTCGATGTGTTTTGGTCGAGGAAGGTGTGGTGTGCATTGTAGAAGGTGCGTTTGACGACCAATTTCAAGGGTCTCCGCGTCGGAAACCCCGCGTCACACCCGCGCGCTATGGTCCGTGCACACATTTCGAGATTGGCGACATCTGGCCCCTCGACAGCTTCAACATTCACCCTTTCCCTGCTCTGCCACTTGCGCGTGTGCTCGGCGTCGTTGTTGCGGTCGCATATCAACAATCAGCTCTTGTCTCGACCATGGACTTCCTCAAATCGGCCGTGGCCTCGATATCGAAAGGTCCAGCATTTGCATACTCGTTTGGCGATCGAGTCGACATCGATCAATCTATCTGGACTCTGCACAACGGCACGAAGCGAGTATGCTGTTGAGACATTACATTGTGAACTTCACTGACGTTGCCCAGGAAGACGGTTCGAAATGCAGCATCTTCTCCTTTGACATCAACGCCAACCGCTCACGACTCCCGCTCGCAAAGAACGCTCTAAGGAAGTTCAAGACGTTACGGCATCCTGGTGTTGTCAAGGTGTTGGACACTATTGAGGTGGGTTGAAAGAGCTTCGAAACCATGACTTGGGCACTTATCGAACAACAAGGTAGACAGACCAGCTTATCTACGTCGCAACTGAACGCATTACGCCCCTGAACTGGTCGACGAGACGGAAGGCCTTGTCAGAAGAGAGCTTGAAATGGGGATTGCACAACGTGGCAAAGACGCTCAAATTCATCAACGATGAGGCCGCCAGTGTGCATGGCAATATACGCGCATCCTCCATATTCACCAGCGAGAGCGGAGAGTGGAAGATTGCTGGTCTGGATATTCTCAGCTCCATGAAGGAAGATGATGCTGTCATATTCACCCAAGGCAGCCTAATGCCAGACATTGGACGATATTCGCCTCCTGAGGTGGTCAAGACCGGATGGGAATCGGTGCGGAAGAATCCTACACATGCGGTGGACGCATACAACTATGGCATACTGGTGACGGAGGTGTTTAATGGAGGATTTTCAGGCTCTGATCAGGTTGGATCGACCAAGAACATTCCACTGGACATGCAAAACAGTTACAAGAGGTTGACGCACGCCGCTCCCAAAATGCGGCTGAGCGTTGCGCACTTCCTGGAGCAGGGCACGCGCAGTGGAGGATTCTTCGATACACCTTTGATTCAACTGGCGGACGGCATCGACAATCTGGGTCTGAAGAGCGATGCAGAGAAAGATGCGTTCTTAAGGTAAGTTGGATATCTATCTGACACCGAATCTCCGACTGACGATGTCAGTGAGCTTGAAGCTGTAGCAGAGTCGGACGACTTTCCAGAGGACTTCTTCAAGGTTAAGGTGCTACCGGAGCTACTCAAATCTGTCGAATTCGGTGGTGGTGGCCCGAAGTCGTTCGCTCTGGTCATGCGCATTGCCTCCAAGCTCTCCGAGGATGAATACGATACCCAAATCACACCTGTCATTGTTCGATTATTCACCAGCCCCGATCGAGCAATGAGAGTCTGCCTTCTGGACAATCTACCCCTGATGATTGATCATCTCAGCCAGAAGATTGTGTCAGACAAGATCTTTCCGCAGATGGTGACAGGTTTCGGAGATCTTGCGCCTGTGGTACGAGAGCAGACAGTGAAGGCAGTCTTGGTGGTTGTACCGAAGCTCTCCGACCGAGTGGTCAACGGCGAGCTTCTCCGACATCTTGCAAAGACCGCGAACGACGAACAACCCGGCATTAGAACGAATACTACAATCTGTCTCGGCAAGATCGCACGTAACCTTGGCGCAAGTTCACGGGTCAAGGTCTTGAGCGCAGCTTTCTCGCGTGCGCTTCGAGATCCGTTCGTCCATGCGCGAAACGCCGCGCTGATGGCTCTCGCAGCCACAGCAGACATATTTCCAGAAGAAGACTGCGCAAACAAGATGTTGCCAGCCATCTGTCCAGGTCTTGTCGATAAGGAGAAGATGATCCGCGATCAAAGCAACAGAACTCTCAACATCTACCTTGAACGAATACGCAAGTACAGCACCACTCTCCCAGATACAGTGCTGCCACCCCCTGAAACCGCCTCAGCCGGCGGCACAAGAATGAGCACACCACAGCCGAGTCAGCAAGGCAACCAGTGGATGGGCTGGGCAATCTCATCCTTCACGAACAAATTGAGCGCCGCCACTGGCGAAATACAACCGAATGGAACCGGCGCGCAGACTCCTTCGGACCGTGTCACATCACCGCCGGCAAACGGGATATCATCGCCGCCACCCGGCCTACACCACACAGCATCAGCGTCAGCCGTGCCGAAGGCAACTTCAAATCTGCGTACGACCGCCATGGCGCCCGTTGAAGATTTCGACAACGATGACGGCGGATGGGGCAACATGGACGATGACGACCCGGCCGACGCGTGGAACACTGAACCTGCCGCTACCTCTTCGACTCACTCGTCCAAACCCAGCGTCTCATATGACGACGGTGGCGAGCCCGACTTCGAAGGCTGGCTCAACGCCCAAGCGCAGGCGAAGAGCGCGAGTAAAAAACCTTTGCCGAAAGGCCTTGCGAAAAAGACGCCGGCTGCGAGGCCGGCCCCGACGTCGAGGACGAGCACCGTAACTTCCAAACCTAGCATTGCGGCACCGAAAACTTCCAAACCCGTCGAGACGAAGCCTGCGCCCGTGGAAGATGAGGATGAGGGTTGGGGAGATGCGTGGGCGGATTGAAGAGGGAGAGCAATACATAACTAGAATGACGAGAAGGTACAGTAGTTGTTGGCAGTTACAGCATCGAGATACCCTTTTCAGCCAACGAATACGTCGCGCACGTGCCACTCAAGCCCAGCGGTAGACTTTTCGTTCCGGCGGCGTCAATGATGAATGAGGAGAAGAATAAGCATTTTCGTCTGAACCCTTTTACGAGAACTCATACTTTCTAAGGTAATGCCAAGGGTACGGTCACGCTCGCCGAATGTATCGGTAGGAAGACCGACTTCTTACTCGCATCAAAATCTTACAGAACCCAGGACAGGACAGAGTGCCAGCATAGGGTATCCCCGCCTTGTGCCAAATCTTCGCTTTATCGGTTCGGCTTTTGAAGCATCTTAGATCTCAAGCCATTGCGCAATCACCCGACAGACAAGACTGGAGTCCACTGTCCACTTGTTTTAGATTTTAGACCCGCCGTTGAAGAAGAAAGATTCGCCGATAATGACTCCGTTCTGGACTGTAGTGACTACACCTCCTTGCCGTGACTAATGTTTTGAGAAGCACGCCTTTTCGGACACGAGGATTTTCTGTTGATAAGGATTTCACCGAGGTCGGTCAGATTGGGACTTTGATGGTCTTCTCGAAGGAAGCGGTGACTACGAGGAATTGGAAATTTTCTTCACGGACGCGCACATTCTCGGGTGAATTTGATATGCAAATGCTCACATGGCGTTGCACGGTTGAGCAAGTCGCATCGCGGGCTCCACTGGGGCGAGGAGGGCGTGCGTGAATGCGTGACTGCGACTTGATGACCGTATGTATGGGGATGGGGATGTGGGAAAAATTGGTCACGAAGCGAACACCGAGCGGGTTTGCGGAATTTTTCTTAGTCCTCCTTTGCCTCTTTTCGTGGTTGAATGCCGAAACATGACTTTTGTTGTGCGGTGGCCTTTTTGGCTCGCGGGCCAAGTCATGTAGCGCTGCAGTAGAGCCGGAGGATGGTGCAGGTTCTCGGGAGAACGGTGTCCGGCAGTTTTAGGAAGGTCTTGAAGAGGACGCGATGGCGTGGACAGATTCGTGTCTTAGCAAGAGGCTAGCTTTGCTGGAACTGTTTTGGTGCGTCGAATCTGAATGTTGTCTCACGGCAGCCAGCGCGTCGACGGGGTGAAGACGAGGTACGGGCGAATTCTAGTGCCGGAAGCGGCAGGCTTCCAGAATTCTTCTGGCGTGTGACGAATCGGCGACGCTTACATCACAGCAAATCTCTCGTATCTCGTGCACACCCACACGGAGTTCCACAATTGTCGCCATTCTTCGTGTGCTAAGCTGACTGGATCCGCCTGTTTCAAGATGGCGGGTCGGTTGCACGTGCAGGCGACAAAGGAATGGAGGGTTCCATTCCAGCGAACTGTCGTCACGACCCGACACGTTGGGAGGTGTTTTCGTCGCTCAGGAGATACGTCAGGAATGCGCGTGAGATGGGATCTTCGAGAGGTACAACAGCATGGAGCAAACCAAAGAGACTTGGAGCCAGTTGCGCAACAGACTTCCATGAGCGCTACTGCGGCGCTAAGAGGTGCTTCCTTGTAGGGTCGACGACTAGCAGAAGCGGGCGCGGTGGGGCCAAGGACTTTCTGTGCGCTCCCCCTCTCTTTCGAATGGCCACGCTCACGGTTCGCTTTTCTGTAGTTTCTGCAGCCATCGGCGATCAGAGATAACAGTTGGTATTGCGTTCGGCTTGCCGACGGCGAGGCCGACAAAGAAGTGAAGGTCATCAAAGCGGAGGCGTTTCCGAGGGCAGCTCGAAGGAGGGCACTTGCAAACGGGCAGGTGAGACAAGACGCGGTTAAGGCTCCTGGGGAGCGCTGGACGGCTTCTCGAAGGAATGGAAGCCTTGCGGGAACACACAGCTTGATGAACTGGGGTGTGTCCGCTGTCCAGTGACGAGCGCAGACGGGTCGGCGATGAGAGGAGCAAAGCTGTTTTGTGCGTCGAAGAAATGAAGCTATTCCGGTTGAGGCTTAGCGTATCGAGTTTTGATTGGCTAGAACAACTGTGGAAGCCGCGTCGAAGGGCAAGTGCGATGGGTGGATGCAGCACGCCTTGCCTGTCTCGCACGCTGCATTCTCTTGTGTGTCGTGAGAGAGGAGAGCCTCCATCGCTGCGCAGCGCCTCTGCGTCTTGTCTCTCTCTTCGTCCTCGCCTTGACTGCCTGACTAATTATTGCTGTTGCCGGTGACTCTACATCACCACCGCTGCACGCTCCGCCCCTCCCAACAGCCCCGCCGCCGTCTTGTCTCTGCAAACGACCAGGCCCCGCCGTGCCGTCAGATCTGACAACACGCGCTCGGTCATCTGTCTCAGCCAACCGCCACTGACTGCCACCCGCCGAAGAAAGACCACCACTGCACTGCATTCGCTTTGCCTGCGCGACACCGCCCACAACCCCTACCCACCGACACCTCAACGCTCTCGACGACAACAACAACAACAACAACAACAACAACAACAACAACAACAACAACAACAACAACAACAACGACGACCACCACCGCTGCTTCATTCCACAGTAATAATACGACGCAACCGCCGCCAGGGATCCTGTCGCACACCCGGCTCTAGACTCTGCCCGTCGTCTGTGCCTTGCCGCTGCGACGCCTGCGTGCCCTCCTCACTCGCACGAGACACGACGCTGCGTACAACACCGTGCAACCCGCGCCTTGTGTCACCCCCATCTCCCACCCGCGAGACAAGGACCTGCATGTCAAGTGCCACTGCGAGACCGCCGACGCCTATCGACGCACTACGCTAAGAGGAGGAGCCTTGCGAGAGCGATAACAAAAGCAACCACCGACACCGACCTTGACAGCACAACTGGCACGCAACACGCTTCCGTGAGACGGGTGTCTCACAGTCCCAAACTGGCGTCGACACAGCTGCCCTTGCGGCCAGGTCTGTGTTTGACTGCCAGCACTCACAAGTCTCGCTCTGGCCACAAGCGGAAAGGCACCAACATCTTTCGCAACGTTATGATTGCGAAAAAGCCTTCATCCAACTTCACTTCCTCAACTTCCTCCTCCACCTCGTCCTCCACCAACTCTTCCCTCAAGCCGCCCTCCCACATCACCGAGGACTGGGACGCCGACGACGAGGACACCATGTCCTCTGAGGAACACTCACCGTGCCCGCTGTCAGTCGCGATACCACAAATGGGTGCTCATGGTCCTTACTGTCCCCGCAGACCCAACCTGCGAGAGATCCTCGCCAACACCTCGCCGCCGCCATGGACATTAGCCGCATTCATGGCCTACCTCTCGAACAACCACTGCCTCGAAACACTGGAGTTCACCATGGATGCAGGCCGGTACAAGAAGCATTTCGCAAAGATGATGTCGAGGGCACCTGAAGGCGGTATCCCGCCCGCAAAAGATCGAGAATACGTTCAGGCATTATGGCAAAGGCTTGTGGAGGCGTACATTCAACCCAATGGCTCACGAGAAGTCAACTTGCCTTCTGATGTGCGAGACCCTATCATCAACCTTCGACCTGCGACCCTGCCGCCAGCACCAGAGACGTTGGATCCTGCCGTTGCCAAGATTTACGAACTTATGGAGGAGTCGGTCCTGGTCCCGTTTCTGAATAGCGTCTATCCGCAAACGGCACATCCAACGATCTCTACATGCCCGTACGACACATCTGACGAAAACATATCATTATCGCGAACGCTCGAAGACCGATCCATGTACGCGCGCCGGGCAAGATACCACAGCCGAAATTCGCCACCTCCACAGTCAGCGGTTGAGCCTCACGCCTACTCTTACTCACCGCCATCGCACATTCGGAAATCTGCTCCCGTCCCACTCAGTGCTTCCGCTGCGTCGCCGCACAAGTCACGCTTCAGCGTGAGGTTGACGCCGACTACTTCCTCGCCAGCAGCACCCTTGTCAAATTCGACCATTGCGGAGACTGTCGCGACAGGGTCAGATGCTACACTGTCCGGGACCGGATCAGCCAATGGTGGTCCTGGGATGACGGACGACAGCGGAAGCACTAGCAGCCCTACGAACGACAGTCCCATGACACCACCTATGAGCCCTCCCAATAGCGACACGCAGAGTCCCAAACGCGATTCTGGCATGTGGAAGAAACTCGGCAGGCTGAGTGGGATGAAGGTCGGCAAGAAGAAGAGTCATGGCGGACTTCAAACCGAGCATGAATGAGTAAGGAGCCCAATGCCGACATGTTCTGATTTATTCGCATCTTCCGACCTTAGGGTTGGCGACTGGGTGTATGGCCTGAGGACGGACAGACTTTCGACTCGCGCGACCACCCTTGCATTTCTCTCCGGCGCAACAGGGATATCGGAGCTGCCAACGGCAGCTACCTCTCTGGACGATTTGTTTACTGAGATCTAGCGTTCTGTTCGAGCAATTCCACTGGCAAGTGGCCCTCTACGACCGAAGTCCTAGAGGCGGGCGTTCTTTGGGAGATATGGTACTTCACGACACGAACCCGAGAAGGAAACACGGCATTTCTGACGGCGAAATTTTTTTAACGGACAACTCCTGTTTGACATGTGTGCTCCTCGAGAATGGGAAGAGGACGATGAAGCAAGCATCTTTTTGAACCTCGATCTATTGTACATATACCAACACTGCTTGCCGCGAGGAGATGGAGAAGGGAGGCGTCGTCTTTGATGCTTGCGAGATAGACGTCTGATCGAAACGACGAGACGAAATGAGAGGCTACCGTGCCCTTTTTGGGCAACACAAGGCCTGCTACTACTGACTCCATCCATCATTCCATCTTCCACCATCTTATCGAATTTCGAACTTTGCAACCAGGTCGCTTGCCTTGCCGTCCGTTATCCTCGGCTAAATGGAAGTGAGTTGGCTACGCCAATCGTTATCGGTACTACGGCGCGGAAAGGACTCCTTGTGCTGCGCTAGCGGTAGGATTGTTGTCCCGAATGCATCGAACAGTGCCCACGTTCAGTAATATACCCTTTTAGGTCCCTGTTGCGAACCAGTGTCATCGACTCGCAGCCGTATGCAATACTGACTTGACTGTGGCACAAGGACAAGGAAGAGTTGTGCACTGGACGACACTGCTTGCATAAAACAAGGCATGTTACAATCGCTTCGTCGAGATTTTCCCTTTGCCATTTCCCTACTATAAGGACCTTCATCGCCTCAAGCAACAACCGCATGAGTTGAATTCTTCCACGCGCTCTCGAAGAAACATGCTCGCCATCACGAGTCCGACGTACTCCGATCCTTCTGGCTACGAACTCTCAGAGATTCCATTACCGAAGATCACGGAGCCAGATGAGGTTATCATACGAGTCCATGCGGCGAGTATCAATCCTGTCGATGTAAAGATAGCTTCTGGGGCGTTTAAGCAAGCGGGTTTGCTGGAGGCGTGAGTCTTCGCATGAATCGGTATGGAACGTGGCTTTGGCTGATTGTTGTGTACAGATTCCCCATTAGACTCGGCTATGACTGTGCGGGCGTTGTGACTGAAGTAGGCAAAGATGTGAGAGATCTGAAGGTTGGAGATAAAGTCTGGTCACGATTACCAGAGTCGACGAAAGGCAAGTCTACCACATCCCCATCTGCACACTCCCTAACCTCCCCATGTCACAGGCTCCTGGTCCGAATACGCCAAAGCCACTCCCTCGCATATCTCCCTCATGCCCACCAACCTCTCCTTCGCCGAAGCCGCATCCCTGCCCCTCGCAGCCATCACCGCCGTGCAAGCACTACGGAAGTACGAGGGTGATCTCGCGGGCAAGACGGTTTTCGTGCCGGCGGGCTTGGGCGGGACGGGGGCGTTTGCGTGTCAGTTGGCGAAGAATGTTTTCAAGGCTGGGAAGGTTATTACGACAGTTAGTACGGCGAAGGTGGGGAGGGTGGCGGAGTTGTTGGGGGAGGGGGTTGTTGATCAGAGTAAGTTGCAATCCGTCATGGGGCTGAAGGTGGATTGTATGAGAGTTCCTGGTTTCGTCTTTCGAACAGCAGGAGATGACCAAGCTCACGATTCTCCGGCGAGCTTTTTGCAAATACTCAAGACCTACAAAGCTAACACCCCTCCCAGTCATCGACTATACCAAAGAAGACCCCACGACCATCATCCCCCGCGGCTCCATCGACTTCCTCCTCGACACCATGGGTCAGGCACTTTCATACCTCTCCCTCATGACCCCCCACACCTCCACCATAATGTCCATCTCGACAACCCCCTCCGGAACCCAACTCCAGTCCTCCTCCTTCTTCTCCCGACCCTCCAACCCCAAAATCCCCTGGCTCGTCAAGACCTTCCTGGACGGCGCGGACTACGTGCGGAAGTTGCGGGCGCGGAGGTGGGGGGTCAGGTATGAGTATATGTTTCTGGAGAGTGGGAGGGGGGAGTTGGATGCGTTGAGGGGGTTTGTGGAGGAGGGGAGGTTGAGGGCTGTGGTGGGGAGTAGGGTGGCTTTGAGGGATGCCGGGGCGGTGAGGGAGGCTTGTGGGCGGGTTTATCAGGGGAAGGGTGGGGTGGGGAAGACGGTTTTTGAGGTTGTTGGGGAGGGGGAGGGGTGAGGGGTGAGGATAGGTTGGGCTGGGGGAGTCTTCAGGTACAGCTACTATCTTCATGGAGGCAGAACGATCATGCTAAGCCTATTCTCACTTGCAAGTTGGATGGGACGCTATTATACATGGTGTGTTTGCGAAACCCGGCTTTTGCTCCGCGATGACATGCAAGACAGCATTCATGCCGCCGCTAAAGACCGGCCATCGTTGTTGTTCAAACTCTTGCAGATTTTAAAGATTCGAAGGCATACGGGTGACGGTGTTCTCAGGAAACAAATGGCATCGATCCTTGCCTGAAATCAAACAATGTTTACTTCATCGTCTCGTCCACAAAGGCAACCGGTCACGGAATACGCTGTGGAGATCGACGCCGTACCAATCGAGCGATGGCGCCAAAGTGCAACAGGAGTGCCTTTCGTTCGCAGTTTCAACTCCGGGAAACCTGGCCCCCATGTACTCATCACTGCTCTCACTCACGGGAACGAGATCGCCGGGGCTGTTGCACTCGATAGGCTGCTCGGCAGCGGACTGCATCCAACCAAGGGACGACTTTCACTCGCCTTCGCGAACGTGGACGCATACTCGAAGTTCAGTGCCAACGATCCCCGGGCTAGTCGCTGGGTGGACGAAGATATGAACAGAGTATGGTCGCCAGAAATTCTGCATTCCCAGCCAGCACGCAGCCGTGATGCCGCTCGCGCAGCAGAGCTTGAGCCTATTGTGGCGGATGCAGACTATCTCCTGGATCTTCATACTACACAGCATCACAACGAGCCACTCGTCTTGGCGGGGCCACTTGAGCGCAGTCGAATATTGGCGATGACGATGGGTTTGGCAAACTTGGTTGTGGTCGACAAAGGCCATGCACAAGGACCACGCATGAGGGATTATGGCGGGGTTGGGGATCCTTCACGAACGAATACCGCCCTCCTTATCGAAGCAGGCCAACCCTGGGCTGCCTCTAGTGTTGAAACTGCGTATGCCGCCTGCATCAGGTTTCTGTGCCGGCTGGAATTACTGCCTGAAGACGCCGGTCTTCAAGATACCACACGTCTACCACAGTCAGCTCAGCGCATTGTCGAAATAGCCATGCCAGTAACTATCAAGCACGAATTCACCTTCGCCATGCCACTTAGAGGCGGCGAAGTCTTACCGAAAGCTGGCACGGTCATCGGACACCACGGAGAGGAACCTGTGCGAACACCGTATGATGATTGTGTTGTCATTATGCCATCTCAGCGACTCTGGTCTGGATTAACCGCAGTTCGGCTCGGACGAGATATATCGGCTACATTAGTAGCGCCAGTATATACTTAGAGCTCATACAAAAGAGATAAGAGAATAGCAATAGAGCAGCTTACGCTTTCAACAACGAAGAGAGCATTCAGTTGCTACATGTGATCGTATGTCCGTGCGTGCCGCTAGTCCAGAAACAAGCCATTTGCGCTTTCGTTCATATCTCCAATTAGGACGTTAACAACGCAAGGCATTAATACGCGATAGCTGGCTGTGATTGCATTTCCCAGCCGTCTAACTTCCTCAGGTAAATCTTCCTCGTATGATTTGCGATAGGGGGTGCGTCTTGGCGCGGGATCGCTCGCTGAATCAGCCCGAATGGGCCATCGGTAAATCCCCTGACCTCACCTTCGACGAAGGAGGAGCCGTCCGAGTGAAAACTCCACCATAACTCAGCTACGACCAACAAACTGCATCATCGCATTCCTAGGCTTCAGCAAACTCCAACAACAACAACAGCAACAACAACAAAAACATCGGTGGTGCTTGAGTACACTTCGCTTCCTGGCCTATGGCAGATGGATTCGCCGCCGTCGCCGCCAAACATGGACACCCGCCTCCTCCAGCTCCCGACTACGCCTTTACTGAATTCGTGACGATAAATTTCCTTCAACCGGTTCGCTTGGAGGACAAAACGACCGCGACGGGACAAGTTTGGGAGAAAACGATCCAAACGTATTTGAACACAGCTGGCACCAAGGTCCTGTGGTGGGGACATGCAGTAGATCATCCTCAGACCGTCAAGTTGATCATTGGTAAGTTCACTGGACTTTGACGATGGTCCACTGCACACGAACTGACTCTGGTCAGACTGGAGTTCTTCATCGCACCGAGAAGCGTTCCTCGCATCACCGAGCATGGGTTCTCTTCTGGCATCATGGCAATCAGACACCGACTTCGGGCACTCTTCCAGCTCGCCGAATCTATTCGAGCTGTCACCCGAGACATCCGTGCGACTGAACGTCTTCCGACCACCCCGAGCGTTCAGCGAAGATTGTGTCACTATTCTGCTCACGTTCTATTTCTCAGATTCCTTCGATCCGAACGCCGTGCAGCCGGATGACGAAGTGCAACCTCACCGTTCCAGGCGCGCAGTCTGGGAGAATGCTTGGAGCGTCTTTGCACACTCAGCACTACGGAGCGAAGGTGGCGTCATCTCTAGCCGTGGAGAAGGGGCATGGTCCGTACGGGAAGGACCAGGAAGCAAGTGCTCCTGGATGGGAGCGTTCAGGTTCATGAATGCAGACTTGGCCCGGAAGTTCCTCGCCCTCGCTGACGAAGAAGTTCAAGGCTCTCAGCGAGGCGGATGGGGTCGTTTGAAGAGCCTTGCAGACGCTGGAGTTGAAGTTGAATTATTGAGCATGGTTCATGCAACGGAGAAATAGTGATATTTGGGCCGACTATTGTTGAAGCCAGCAATGTTCTTGCAATTCTTCGAGTCTAAACAGCTAAGTCATAAAACAAACGCGTGACCGACTGACTCCCCATCGACCATTGCCTATGAAGACGGAAGGTTGAGATTTCGGATCGTCTGTGGCTCGTTCTGCTGAAGTCTCTGATACTCGGACACAGTGCTCAGAGCTTTTCCGGTATTCCAAAGATACGGCGTAAGGGCCATGGCCAGGGTATACAGCGTCAAGCTGTCGGGGTTCTCCACCGCATACGTCGACCTAACTTGTTGCGCTCCTCCCCATCCATACCTTTCACCTCCGGCAGCCTGGCCGCCCGTCGAGTCTCCACGCACTGTGTCCAGGGTTAGCCAGAACAAACGTCGATGTGTGAACGGCTAGGATCGAACTCACTGGTATCAATAAGAGCGTGAGTCAATTCATGGAATAGAACCGTTGAAAGAGTCGTCTCATCGTCCAGGTTGTTCCCTTCTGCGAGGCTCAGCTGATTCAACAGTATATCGCCGCCGTTCTGCTTCAGGCATAGCTGGACGAATTCAATGTTGTTGATTTGTATTCGGTAACCAATTTGGGTGTTTGGCGTTCCGTTGATGATGACGGGGTCTGCACAGCGCTTAGTGGTGGCGGTAGAGTACCCGGGGTACGACTGGCCATTCGAAGGGTCGTTGAAGGTCAAGGTCCCGTCTTGCGCCTGTGTCCACAGCGCGCTGTCGTCGCAGGACACGTAGACGTTGCGTGTCGTCGAGGGAGCAGCTGCCATAGTCCCTAGGTTTGACTTGACATCGTTCCACCGCGTTTGCGCACCCGGGGATGTCGCGTCGAAGAAGGAGTCGAAGGTCACCACGGTTCTGTAAAAGTCCCAGCCACTGCTCTGCCCATTGTCTAGACTGTTCATGCTGTTAAGGGCATGCTGAGCCAGGTTCGTTACGTCTGTTAAAAGGCCTTGTACCGTTGAACTTCCTTGTGCACCGCATGTGTTGTGTACTGGATCAACGAGAATGACGGCTTCCGCAGAGTGTAAAAGACATGCTAGGAGAAACACACGTCGTGGGCACAAATGTTGTATCTTCATCGTGGGACGTGTCTTCGATGGGAGTGTCGAATGAATAGATGTGAATGAGGGGACAAGGTGGAACATGTCACTACTCGGTATATGTTGCTATATACATAGTCGACTGGTTTCATAAACTTACGCTGGGCCATCCTTGGTCTGGTGTTAGTGATGTAGTCTCAATCCTCCTCTCCGACTGTACCGGCTTCCCGTGTCTGTTCTATTCATGAGTTTAGCTTGGGTTGTTAGGATCAATCCTTACCAGGAAAAGAGCGTGCCAATCTCGCGTTCCCAGTTGATTCCAACTTCAATGTTATCTTTAGTCGGAGCAGTAAGCCTTGAATTTGGCGCTGGTGGCTGGCAGAATGTAGATTCACCCCTTTTTCGCCGAACAAGCTTGGGAAGCAGTGCATTCTGCGAGATAACCCAACATTCGGCGGCTTCGAATGCATCCTTCGTCAGTGAGTCCTATGACCCTTGAATTTTGAAAGCAGTAGTACCTGCGAGGGCTCACCTTGCTTAGAACAATTATGGTTAGAACCCATATTTCAGGACCATGTGGCGCCCGTGTTGGCTGTTTAGTTAGACCAACATGGCGGCGATCTGTTCCATCGTGGTTTCAAGTCTTGTTGGTTCATAGTTCCTTGCCTTAGAATAGTTACCATTATCATCCATGTAGTCTTGTTACGTAGGAGCCCCGTAGCCTTCGATGTCCAGCTCGATGCTGACAAGGCTTCATACCTATATATCAATACCACGTAACGCACCTTCCCAACGCAACACGGAATACCTACGAAGCAGATTCCGCAATGTCTTTGTTTAGAAGCTTAAAGTGTCTACCGTCATTCTTATACATTTTCTCAACTCTCACCACACCATCATTTGGGCTCGAACCGCGAAGAAAAGCAAGAGATACTCCAGGACAACTGCTCGAGGTTTTCGCGTCAACCTACACAGATCTTGCAGATGAGCTATCACTGCAGCTGAACTGTTTACTGCAACAGAATGCTGGCGTTGGTGAAGGCAACGATCTTCCCCTCCAAGTAGGGCAAATCGTATATGTCCCTTACGATTGTTGTGGCAACAGCTGTTCGGGCCCGGTCTGCTTCCAGCGACAGGAATGTAACGGACAATCCACGACCACAGCCCCAACAGCCGCAGGGTCAAGTCTAACTTCCGTCGAAATCTCATCTACAGTCAGTGTAGCTGGCAGCTCCGTGACGACAACGGCTCCCACCTCCTCAAGTACAAGTCCAAGCTCGATATCAGTCGAAACAAGTGGTACGGACAGTTCGTCAAGTCCTTCGCCATCTCCTAGCTCGACCTCTGTCTCCAGCTTAAACACCCAAATATTCACAGAGCCCAATGGAGCAACCACGGTTCTGACTTTGCCGACGAGCCTATCAATCACTGGACCCACTACACTGGTGACCGGAGGCTCGACATTGACTCTTGGTCTTGCACCAACCACGACGACTGGTACTGATATTGAAGTTTTTACCGAGCCTGACGGAGCCACCACTACCTTGACACTAGAGTCCGACTACCCAATTATCGCTCCAACAACGTTGGTGACAGGAGACTCGACACTGACGCTGTATCCGGAACCTACATCCTCCTCTTCGACCTCCAGTGGGGTGGTCCCCGTTATTCAAACACTTCAAGATCCTGATGGAGACTTGTTCACGGTTACGCAACCGTCTATTACCGGGATCGAAACCATCTCGACCAGCGGATCAACCCTGGAGCTTGCACCCTTCGTCACTCTCTTCACCAATTCACCAACGTCTACAATGACGACCGTTCCGCCCGGCGTCACTGTCGCAGCGTTCACAGAATGGACCGCATCGACCAACGGCTATGTGACCTCCACTGTGGGTGGAACTCCTGTGGTCTTCCCAGTCATTGTCCCATGTGCGACTTGCGTGCCGGACATCATCGAGGGATGGGATGATGATTTGCCGAACGTTTGGATCAAGTGGCCCAAGTTTCCGCACCTGCCGTCCTTCCACATTCCTTGCATCTTCTTCTGCAGTCATCCGAAAAAGAATCCCTCCCCGCCGGTCAACGACGGACCTCCACCGAGCGCTGAAGGGGAGCCTTCCGCCAGCTCTACGCCCACGAGCTCGCCAAGCCCATCGTCGTCGGGCTCCTCATCGTCGAGCTCAGCCTCGTCAACTTCGACGACCTCGTCCTCAGCCTCGTCTTCAGGTTCTTCGAGCTCTTCATCCACCTCTTCCTCCACATCTTCCGCACCGCTCGCCAGTACGACCCCAGATTTCAAAGGAACAGATCCCGACCTCGTCGCACAGGTGGAAGCGTACCAAGCACCATTCCTGGGCTGTCTATCGACATTCGTCCTCCCATTCCCAACTGCTTGCGTTTCTTCGAATAGTACAGCCTCTGGAAGCTCGAGCGCGTCTGCTAGCTCAACGTCACAGCCTACCACATTCTCCACCAGCACCATCACAAGCTCGACGGCGAGCATCCCATCGTTCTTGCCAATGACATACTCATATGCGGACCCTGACCAAGGCGTTAGCTCTGCATATTGCCAATACTCTGGACTAGACTATCCGGCGAGTTTCACAACCATTGGCACGTCGGTCAACTCGTGTGCTTATACTGCGGTTCCGTCAACCACCATTCCTCCGCAGAGCCTGACGTCGAGTACCCCTTCCTTCTTACCCATGACACATTCATTCGCAGACCCTGAACCAAGGCGTCAACTCTGCATTCTGCCAATACTCCAGTTTGGACTATCCAGAGAGCTTTGCAACCATCGGCACGTCAGTCAATCCTTGTGCATACACAAGTCTTCCCGCCTCGACAATTCCTGCTCCCACGGCGGCGACGACGACGGTCTCCTCGAGCCCGAGCTCCACCGCTCCTGCGTCGGCTACAACACCGACCCTGTCAACCATTGACCCCGCCAGTGCTGCCGCTGAGACGGCCCTTTGCTACTCAACCACCGATGGATCGAGCCACGTTCCGTTCAGCCTTTCAGATGCAAATACCGCCATCCACGACCTCTGCGTTAGAAGTGCGTCCCTGGATCCTACTGTGCAGGCTAGTGTAGACTTTCCACAATATCCCGGAGACGGCTATACCATCACCGTCGCGATGGAATGGGCGACCGACCAGACCGACTGCGGCGTCCCTGCGGCCTTCGATATCCCCAACCAGCAATATGATTGCGCTGCCTCATTCGAGGTCAACACCAATTGCATGGATGATGGGAATGTCATCGGAGGGGTGTGGGTGTTGAACACGGGTGCTGGCTGCGTTGGGGTCACGATGAGCGCCAATCCTAGTTCAGATAGCTGAAGACTGTAGCGTAGCAAGAGTTATTCATATTAGTATTGTTGTTCATTCATTTTCCTCCATTGGGTCTCGATACGAAGGCTTCGTGGCGATCGACGCCTGAAGTGTAGGAGAGCGGATCGCCGAACGATCGTTGGACAGACCTGGAGTTGTTAGCCCGCAAGCGCACATTGGAAGCCCTCCATCCGACCCTCCTCACATCCGAAAGAGAGCCCTCATCATCCCATCACCTTCTTCCGACCCGATCCAGCACTGAGCCAACACATCCGATCCCAGTCTGGCATCCCTTCAAGGCTCGTGATCTCCCCACGTCGACACCATGGAATACGAACGTCGACGGCCGATACGAACACCGAAAGCTCAACCACAGTGACTCGCAGATGACGACTCCTCGTCCCCGAACTTTCGCCAGGCGTAGGCGTTTACTCGTTTCGGGCTGGGAGGAAGTTTCGACTTTGCGCTCTCGCCTCTGGGGAAGATCAGGTGAGGTCGGCAGGGGATGGGATGGCGTCCGCGGATTCCCTCTCTGATTCGGATGTGGAGGTTGCAAGGGAGGGAATGAGTAGGCATGCGTTACATCAGGAGACGTCTTTCGAGTGAAGAAGTGTGGAGTGGTGGCACCGAGGTTTTGGCAGGAGGTGTGGTGGGCAGTCACATGCCAGCGCAGATTCATTCACTTCGCTGCTAGCTTGCTTTGGGGCCGCACAGACCAGTAGCTGGAATCGATGAGCTTTCTTCTTCCGCTTCATTTTGCTCTTGGCGATGAATCTTGTTTCTGGACTCTGAATAACGCGATGCGAGGCTCTTGCTGGTCAACCTCGATCAGTATTGCGCATGAGGGAAACCGGGAAAACGTCCTGCAACTCACAGCTCCCATCCGCGGCGACGTAGCAATCCTCCGTGAGTCGATGGTGAGTGCAAACCTGCCAAAATGCACGATACACACACCTTCAACCAAAACCATTTCCCTTCACGCACCATCTCTTTCAAGCAAAATCCAACCATGCGAGGCACATCCTCCCCATCAAACAGACTTCCCCCATCTCAATGAAAAAAGCCCTCGGCACATCGACCCGCCATCAAAGAAACACCACGCCGTCCGCAAACCTTCCCCCGAAACCCATCTGCGACCTCACCAACAGCTACGCCGCGATTGCCAGACCCTTGCCCTGCATGAGTGTCAACATAAGGTTCTCGGCTCGGATACGTCCCGACGCTACGGTTCGTCGGGGAAAGGAGCGTGGTGACGTTGGTGGATGCAGGAACAGAAGGGATCGCCAGCTCGCGACTGCACTTTGACGTTTTGCGACGGTTGGGCGTCGGGTGCGCTGCGTCAAAGGTTGTGACATGGCACTTCATCTCTTGTGTGTGAGTCTGTTCTCCCCTGATACGCCAGATTTGGCTTCTGTTATTGCGGACGTTGGTTTCGGTAGTGCTGTTGCTGCCAACTGCTGGATGCCGGTTGAGAGAAAGGCGACGTGCAGAGTGCTGTGCTGTTGGTTCTGCATGCGACACGAGAGCCATTGAAAGAGAAGCCTTGCGACGAGATCCTATACCCACCTACCTATCCACCATCATGGCCATGGCAGGCACAGAAAGCCCGAACACGCCTCGCAAACCCGTCGTCAACTTCTCCCGCCCACGACTAGCAAGCAAAGGGCAGACGGACAACGATGAGGAATTTGGCATCAAGCAACACGACCAGTCCATCCCCAACTCCGCCGTCAAATCCGTCTCCGCCTTCCACTCCCCCCACCCCTCCGACCCTCCCTTCCCCGCCGAACCGCGCTTCTCCACCGACAGCGAAACCCTCTCCAACACCTCCGCCAACGCCCGGCGCGACGACGCCCTCGCAGCCGCACGCCGCGGAGCCCCCATAGGCGGCCTCAATGCCCAGCGACACCCCGGGACCCGCCGTCTAGAATCCAATAGCACGACGACCACGACCACATCCGACAGCACGCACTCCCGCCCCAGCACAGCGGACAGCACGAAGCGCCTGATGCCGATCAAATCCATCCTGAAACAAACCTCCGTCGAAGTCTCCAGCGAGCGGGCGTCGAGCGACGGCGGGGAGGACACGGGGAGCCATCATACGGTTAGCGAGGATGGAGGGAGTCAGAGCACGGTTGGGTATGAGAAGGATGGGAAGTGGAGTAGTAGCGATTATGATACGAGTGAAATGAGCGAGAAGGAGGTAAGGAAGCTGGAGAAGAAGGGGAAGAATCCGGCGTTGGTGGCGGAGATGAGGGCGGCGAGGAAGGGGAAGGGGATTGTCGGGGTTATGACGGGGACGAGTTATGTTAGTTGAGGGGTCGCTGTTGCGAGGAGGTGTGCTGTGGGTGTGGTGAAGATGAGGGGATTTAGGGTTGTGATGGTCTTGTATAGCGTGTGAGGGTGCTTTTGGCGTTTCAATGTGGAGGTGATATTTTGCGAAGGATACCAGATGCAGTGTCTGATCAAATTGACAGATAGAAGAGACAGTGATACTCAATGATGCAGGGCTTTTTCATTCATCTCGTGGCTATAGGGGGATTGGTTTGCTGCTTTTCGCAGCTTCTGTGTGGGTCCGTCGAACGCCCTTCGTGATCGTGACTTGTGCAAGCACATCGAAGTCATGTCAACGCCGTGGTATCGTGGAGGCATGCGGTGATTTTGAGTGACTCAGGGCTTTGTGGAGATGCATGCAGCTGTTTGTCGAGTCGTAGAGAAGTGCCATCCGTCCTGGAGGCGCTTTGGGAAGGGAATGGTCGTGGTGGTGAGCTGGCTGGCATCTTGAAGAGACCAACTCGCTCAATGTTGTCGATCACTCCAAGGCAGCACGCTTGGAGTACGGCACGCTGGGGTCATCTTCATCCTCGAGGAGCTCTGTGGCTCGGCGCTTGTGAGGGTTGAGGAGCTTGTCGACAGCATTCTTGCTCTTCTCGAGGATGCCCCTGTAATGCTCGAGCTGAGTTCGCTTCAAGGTGACGAACTTCGACTCAACCGCAAGCTCGCTGACCATCTCGTCGGTATACTTCTGCACGATCTTGGGAGAGAAGGTGGCCTCTGCGAGGTCCTTTAGGAGGTTGCGCTCGATGACTTGTTGAGTGACGTTCTCTGCGAACGTCTCGAGGCGCTTCTGTTCGATTGTCAGTACACGTTCATGGCCTCGTTTCCCTGAAGTTGGAGGGCAGGACTTACGTTGAGGATGACAATCATGTGGTCTACTGCCTTTCGAGCAGCCAGGACATTGTTGTCCAGCTTCCGCATCTGCTGTAGTGGTTGACTCTGATGCTGGAGGCCGAACACCGTCGTCGAGGTCGCGTTTGCTGGCGGATGCACGGCCAAGGCTTTGGCCTGCTCTAGCTCGTTGTTGATCTTGTGGTCGTGAAGGCGCTGCACCGTGTCGGCGTAGTAAGGGTCGTAGATCGTCAACGGGCCATTCTTGTCATCGATCAGTCTCTTCAACTCGCGGTGAGCGTTACCAAAGCGACGCTTCAAGACCAGGTCTAAGCGCTTCCAGATGTTCTTGGCCAGATCGTCTGAAGTAGCGAAATGGATGGCAGCTTTGACGAGCTGGCGGCAAAGAGTGTCGATGATCGTGATATGCTCCTGGGCAATCTCGTCCCAGTGCGCGGACATCTCCTGGAAGAGGCGTCCCACAAGCGCGGAGTCGAAGGTGCCAGGGAGATCCAGACCACGCGTCGAAAGATAGACGCTCATCGCCCACTCATCAACTTCTCCCCGCTTCATCTCTTTCTGGAGCTTTCTAGCAAACTTGTATTGCTCGGACAAGGTGCGCTCAATTGAATCGGGCTTGTGAGTTCCACCTGAATCTTGGGTCTCGTAGATGCGGAACTTGGCGCCGTACATCTGCATTTGTGCAGTGAACTCCTCCTGATATCCAGCTACAGTGGATCGCAGAAATCTGTATCCCTCCAGCGATCGATTGCCGAAGAAGGCGCCTTTGAAGGAACCATCATACGCATTCTGAACGATCTGGAAGAAGTCGACGCTTGCGGACGTGAGGACCTTTCTCTGCTCGTCCAACGTGGACCGCTGCTGTCCGAGCTGCTTCAGCTCGTTCACCGTCTCGTGGTACCTCGCATCGGCTTCAGTGAGGAGCTTAGGGAGCTCTCGCTTGAGGATGTCGTACAGCAGCTCACTCACGCGCTCTCCAAGAGCGTCGATGCCTTTCGCGTTCGGGGGAATCGTCTTGTAGGCGCCGCGCTTGAAGAAGTCTTTCTCGATCTTATTGCGAGACTCAAAGCTCACACGACGCTCCTCGTAAGATCTGTCATGTGCTAGTCAGCGGATAGTCTCATTGGAAAAGTCCCCAGGTGAACGTTACTCACCGATTCTTAAGTATGTGCCAGCCTAGCTCGAGTGGAATGTTCCTGTTCCTCGCAACCTCAAGCCAGTCTTTCTCGGAGTCAGAACCAGCCGGCACAGTGTCTGGCTTGGTAATGATGCCAAGAGTACGACGGCCATTTGGGTCGACTTCCTGGCATTTCGTCAAGATGGTCTGAGTAGCGAGATCGCTCTTGGCTGATATGACGGCAAGAATGACGGTGCGCTCTTGCTTGATGTAATCTCCAATGAGCTGCTGGATCAGCTTCATATCCTCCTCAGTGTGATGCATGGTAGGCGTGTTGATCCAGCCAGGAAGATCCACGAGTGTGAGAGGTCGCCGGTCGGGGCCTTCAATCTCAACGCTAAGAACATTGCGGGAAAAGGCCTTGAATTTCTGCTTGCTGCTGTTCGTGTTGGTCTTGCCCTGAGCCTGGATAGGCTTGTTCAAGCCCATGTGTTCGGTTGCCGCGTCGATCAGCGCCGGTAACTCCGCAAAGTCTTGGATGGTTCGATCGAATTCGCCCATATGTGCTTTCTCTTGGGGGCCCAATCTGTCATCTGGGATGATCTTTGTGCGGATGGCCTCAGAGCTGCTGCGGCGTATCACAATCTGCGTTGCGAACCTGGTGCACAAGTTCTCTTTGGTCGGGAACGGGACTTCGGTGAGTGCTTCCAGGACTGAGCTCTTTCCGGCAGACTGGTCGCCACAGACAACAAGCTGTGGAAGCTGGAAGATAGAGTCGAGGCCGCATGAGCGAAGCTCGTCGACCAGATCAAGTGCGTTCACGCATTCGTCACCGAGCAGGTCGTTGAGCGAAATGGTGGTTGTTGGAGCTTGACCATCGTCGCTCATCGCATCAACCTGCGATGCTTTCTTCCGTACCATGGTCGGCTTGAGTGTTTGGATGCTGTCGGATGTCGGCGTGGTGCGTGGAGGTGGTGTGAGTGTTGTGGTGGAAGAAAGTTGTGGAAGTTGTAGCAGGAAAGATTCCTAAGTAGACGTCGCGGCAACATGCGACAGCTTCTGCGCCGTAAGTGAAGAGAAAAGTGAAAGATTTTTGATGCTCGTGACAACCAAGTGAAGTGATGAATAGGCTGCAGCGACATGCTATTGACGTCTTCTGTTTCTAATTCATTGATGTTCTCGTTGCATGTGATGTTAGAATTAACTCTGGCAACTTCACTCTCTCAAATATTTAGGCAATGTTGCAGCATGAGATGTCGCGCATGTGATTAGACTTGATGGGTTTGCACGGCATCCCGTGCACGGCCGCACTGTGAGTGAATGAGCCTCATATGGCGCTGGTGAGGTTGTTAAGGCAGCAGTCTCCAATAAGCCAAAGACATCGATACGTAATCTCACATACTTGTCCTGTGTCGGGATGTGATACAGAGATCGACCTCGACTGCACTCCTTCGTGAATGAAGTGTGGTTGAGGTTTCCAGCTTGGTTTTGGAAGGGTAAGCCTGAAAGCAGATTCAAATCGCCATCTCCCGACGACCGTGGATCAAGGCCTGTGTCTTTGGCTAATCGCTTGCTTTTCAGAGCACATCACCAGAAACGCAGTTCGAACCACATGCTATCCATGATTGAGAATGAGAAGTTCAGTGAGATACGAGCCAGGCCTTGCAAAGCGCACATCTGGTACACAAGGACCGTGGGATCATACTCCTCGTTGCCATGTCTCCCGGTCATTGTGTATGCGAGGAGCTCGTCGTAGCACATCTCCAGTAGAGGTGACGTCCAGATGATCGGCCGGATCCCGACGAAGAACATGGGACCGGCTAGCCTTCCGAAGGACGCTTCGACTCTTGGACTCTTGGAAAAATGATGCGGCAGCGGATCCGATGATGCTGGAGTGCAATAGTCGGCCAATTTCCTGGTCATATTGCGGTCTCACTCACGCGGACCCCGTGCTCTTGGCCGACCGGTTGATTTCGAAGCCATCTAGGCGAGAATTCCCGTATCGCGAGACCTCACGTCCCCAACGAGTCGCCTTCACCCATCCTCGCTCTTGATTCTGGCAATCCGGCACGTAGCCATCTGCAGCCATGGGACGTGTCGTCTGGCGGTGTATAGAGGTTCGAGTGAATCAATGCAGCGTGAGCCGGGCTTCCGAAGAGCGTGATTCGTACAAGGTGAGGTCGCGCTCAGGAACGCTCTGGCTAGCTGCAGGCTGCAGGCTTAGCTACCGCAGTGCTTGGCTGAGTAGTATATGCGGTTGATGCAGGAAGCGCCGAGTGTTCCACCGTTCAACAGCAGCTCAATGAACGCATCATCACCGGCGGATGTCTCTCATCAGATGGACATTCTCCCCAGCAATCGATGCGAGCAGGGTGTCAGATAGTGGGTGAAAGCGATAGCGACGAGTGTTGGCGTCGGACTTGGCTGGGGTGTCGTCGGACAACGGGCCAGCAATTTTTAGCTTCCGGTGCGCCTCGCGTGTGGCTTGAGCGTGGGTGAGAGATGTTTTCGGGGGCCGTTGGGCGGTGGCATCGTCTTCTCATCAAATGCATTACTTGGCAATTGTTGATTGGAGCGCAAGGACAACGGGACAGTCCAGACATTTCTCTGATCTCGAAGGTGTATCACTGCATACAATCAATAGTGCTGCAGCGCAAGAAGAAACAAGCAACACTTGAACGACGATCTCTCGAATCCCAAAAATGCGGGGAAGAGAGAGCGACAGCTTCGTCCTCACCACACCTCACGTGTGAGCGACTTGATGCTCGAGCTGTGCGTGGAAGCTGCATCTCCCATTGGACTGATGCGCCCATACACCGCTCTTTGGCCAGGATGCCCTCGCGCAGAGACACGCGTGGCCCGGGGAAGCAGGAAAGCCACCGCAGTCTATTGCTGCACTTACACATGTACCGTGCATCGCCAGCAAGGTGAGATGGAGCGATGGGCTGAGCTAATACCACATCCATCCCGCTCGCGCCCTGGTTGACGAGGCCCACGTCGCCGGAGACGTCGTGGCTGATAGCAGCGGCAGTGGTGCAATCATCGTATCGGGGTTCGCTGGTGGTTGAGGAGCTGCTACCTATCGCTGTGCAACGCTCGGGCGAATTAGGATAAACCGTTGCACGCCTCACTTCCACCGCCTGCACGCCCTCAATTTACATGCCGGCTTGACAGAGCTCTGCTGCTGGTATAAAGTACTTGTCTTCACCTCCGCCTCCTCCCTCTTTCTCCCGTTTCCACCGAGCTCAGATCCACCTCCCCGAAAGCTCGACTTCCATCCACCTCAACCAAGACAAGTCCGATACACCTACGATACCTAACAATGGCCGCTCCTCGTGCTACCCAGTTCATCGCTCTCCGGAACCTGGCTCGTGGCAGCCACCAGGTCCGCAACCTCCATATGACCGGTCCAGCCACCTATGCCTCGCCAGTCCTCACCAAGGCCGAACGACCAGTCCTCAACCTTCCCCGGGATATTGCTGGCCTGCGTGCCGAGTGCAAGAGGAGGAAGATCGATGCCACTGGACCCAAGAGCGACGTACGTTCAATCATACTCGCTCCCCAACAATCCCCTCATCTAACAACTCCCCCAGTTGGTCGCCCGTCTGAACGCCGACGAACTCGCCCACAGCCGAGCCTTCAGCACCATCGCCGAGAAGCGTCCCACCGTCGAGCAGAACAATGAAGTTCCCAAAGGCCCCGTCCGTCACTTCAACACCTCCCGCGAACTGAAGCAAGTCAACGACACCTCCACCATCGACTTCGCCTACCTTCCCGACGTAATCTCCCCAGAGAACGTCGACATCTACGCCCAAGTCCGCGTCCCAATCCTCCCCACCCTCGACGCCTCAAGTAGCAGTTCCTACGCCAACACAGCCCTCGAACCAGAAGAAGTCGTACGTCTCCCCCAACAACCTTCCCCCCACAAACACCCTTAAACCTCCACTAACACACTCTCTCGCCAAACAGGTCGTCATGAAACCCCAAATCTCCAGCATGTCCGCCGACGCCGTCTACCTCCCCATGTCCGACCTCTCCGACGGCCACTCCCTCAACATCGACTTCCACGCCATGGCCGACCGCGTCGCCGCCAACCTCCGCCGGATGAGCGTCCCCGTGGAAGAGCAGGCGGGCATCATGAAACAGATCTGGAATGATATGGTCGATGATGCTATGGGGTTGCGGAAGTTGCGTGTCTAGAAAATTCCCCCAATGCGACACGAATGGGCTCCCGAAATCCAGGATGTCGATTATCAATACTGTCTGTCTGTCTATTTGCTTGAGCGAGAGACCAGCGGAACCACAAGCGAGCGATCACACAATGGGGAGTTTTATCTGAGAGAGAAGGATCAACGACGGCCGAAGCATGCAATCTATCTCTCACTAGCTATTTTGTAGTCTACCGACTAAAACCAAGACCAAACATTTCAGACATTTCGATGTCTAATAACCACCACAACACAATGCTGATCAATTCTCTTCTCCTTTCCATATCAACCCACCTCCTCAATGCTCCAGTACAGTTATCTCGAATGTATAGAAAAGAAAGGGGAAAGTTTCTATCAAACGTTCAGAATATACTCATTAGTCATGACTCTCAGGTGCCAGAACTACAACTATCTATCACTACTACTACAAACTAACGTAGGGGGGGTTGGTTAATCGGAGGGTATCATCTAACTATTCAAAACACGGTAAGCTCAGAATCCAAGAGGCAAGCAAGCAAGCAAGCAATAGGTTCGCAGATCCCAGACTCCAAAAGCACACTTCGCCACAGACTCCACTTGATGATGATGATGATGCCGAACAACAGCAAAAAGCACTCGCAATCACACCCACTGCAACCCAGCAATCGGCGGTGGCGTCCTCCTCCTCTTCCTCCTCCTTTTCGAACCAGCGCAACCATTCTACTGATTACTACTCGCTCTCCTCGCCGCGCTCTGCAGACTCTGCGCGGTAGTCACCCGCTCCTCATAAAGGCGCCGCAAGTCGTCGACAGAGTTCTTCTTCAAATTCAGCCTTCGGGGCTCCAGATTCCCCGAGACCTTCCTGGGCGGGCTGTTGTCGACGGTTCGGGACGAGTTCTCCATGCTGGACATTCGTTTCAGGAGGCCCGGGGAGGGAGCTCGTGGTTTGGGGACGTGGGGTGCGGAGAGGGTTGCTTCGCCGCCGGTTATGATCGGGACGGTCTGCGTCTTGCGCACGGGGACGATGGGTTTGGAGAGGGATTGGATGTTGGGTGCTTGACGGGCGGCGGAGGCGGGCCAGGAAGGCTTGCGGAAGACGCCTTCGCTTTCTGAGGTGGCACTGGCTGGGGTTTTGATCAAGTCCGCTGGCGCCGAGTTGATAGGGTTGGGGTCATTCGTCGTCGAAGCAGCATCCAGTGTTAGGCGCTGAGCAAGGTTGTTAGCCGCCTGTTGCGCTGCCATCCTCGCAAGAACAGCACTCGTCTCGGATGATTTCCTACTCGTGTCGAGTACCGGTTCTGCCTTGTTGGAATCGGGCGAGGACTTTTGCGAGCTCGAGGATACTGCTTTACGTTGGGGGACAGCAATGTGAGGGTTCGTTTCTGACGATGGAGTCGGCAGAGACTGTCTCTTCTTCTCGTCATCTGCGAAGCTGAAGTCCGCTCTCCTGGGAGGCCCAAACCCATCGACCGGTACGTGTGTGGACGGCGAATCTGCTACGTGTATGCTCCTGCCATCTGAGTCAAAGACTGTGGAATAGCGGGGAGGTTGAGAGACTGACGCATCGATCAGCTGTGCATCAGGGGCATCGTCCATGTACGGCGAAGGTGGATCAGCATATTGCGGTGCAGGCTTCCTTTTCGGTAGCGTGGGCAGGCCAATCCTGGGCCTTGGTATCGACGGTATGTCAATATTGGGAATGTGTGGCGTTAATGCATTTTTCAGTGATGCCGCTCTAGATCGTCTCGGTGGAAGTGCTGGCTTCTCTCCTTCCGGCGACAGCAATGTCGGGCTGTCAGCTTCGCTCATGATGATTCGGTGTCCTTCTCCATCCTCTCCAGCGTCTGCCTCTTTGATCGATTTGGGATGAACATCTTCTAGTGGGTCTTCGTATTCTTTCGAATCTGTCGGTGGCTGTACGTCAATGAGGAACGCTTTCGAGTCGATGCTCAAGCCAGTTTGGAGTTGCGGCCAGACTTCAATCGCTGCTTGCAGCACCCTCTTGATAATCGCCGACATCTTGCCGTCTTCCATCTGATTTGAGCCACACAAAAGGCACATCGAGAAGCAAATTGCAAGATTCTCGGCGTTCATTTTGTTCTGTGGTTCATGTGAAGCCACTAGAGATAGCAAAGGCAACAGATGCCTTGTCACTATCTCCCGCGAGACAGGACTCAAAGGTGAAGCGTTTGACGCAGGCAAGATCAAGTCGACAAGGTCTTCAGGCGTGACCTGCACGTTGGGATCTTCGTACTTTTCCTTTAGCTGTGGATAGCATGATTCGGGGAAAATCGGTTCTTTGAGTTCTCGATACCACGTTTTGATGAGGGATGCCGCCAGATGTACGCCGTATGCGTCCTCTGCGTTGGGTTAGCAATTCTGCGATACTCTTCAATCAAGTTCAATACTGACCTAATCGGACCTCGTCAATGAGCGAGGGATCAACACCTGGCTGTACAAAGGTTGCCCCTTTCTCCTTCCATACGACGAAATGTTGGCCCCGATCGTATGCCTCCTTCAGCACCCCAGCGAGCGTGTTGTGAGGTGGGATACGGAACAAGCCTTCTGTGACGATGTTGGACGGCATCAAAATGAAGCTCGTGGTCTCCCTCAAGACACGGGGCGGTCTCGACTTTCCGGTATTGATGTTCTTGGGCAAAGGGTGCTTCACTCCAAACGCCCGTCTTCCCGTCACGAATGGAGCGTATATGTCCGGTACGGCCTTTCTGTCCTGCAGGTATGCACTTGGCGGTATGAGCAGCTTCTCAATAGGGAGGTGTAACGCCAGTTGTGACAAACAGTTGACGTGGAGGATCTTTCGTCGGAACTTGGGCGAGACTATCGTGCCAAACACGCTTATAAGCACCCTCACCCATGTCCGAGGATGTACGATATACAACTTCTGCAACTTCTTCCTCGTGGCCCTGCTGAGCACGTGGTACGCTTGGAGATACCACCCAGTGCTTGGCCCGTTCTTCTTCTCTGCTATTGCATTGTCTGGAGTTCCGCCGGCGAAGAAGACAATCTCATAGTCCGCACCTGCAATCAACTCGTCTTCGCCAGGGAGGCGTGCAAGGACGTATGCGAGTAAGCTGTCGTAATCAACCTCGAAGGCGTCGGGGAATGCTGCCGCGTTGAGTACGTAAATTGGTCGGCCTTCTAGAGATGGAAGCGGTGATTTGTAGAGGATGGATGCTGCTATGGCTGCCAGCTCGGGGATGTAGTCTTCGTCGTTCTCTGCCGGAGGGACAGTGGAAAGGGAGTGGCTTCGATCACGTCGAGGCCGTCGCTGGGCCGCGGCCGCAAGGGCAGCTCGCATGTTGGGCATGTTTGATGCAGTCCAGCAACTGGAGACGACGGTTCAGTTGGGGGTGGAACCCGTTTTCGTCATGTCTCGCACCCTGGCTCTAGGTCATCGCGGAGAGCTACACGCGTCTCGGTGGCGTCAGTTGTGCTTCGAGTATACTGGCGCCTGGCAGCACAAGAGCGACGGTGCAGTAAGAATAGCAATGATGATGGGGAGAATTCGGGTTGCCTGGTGACGCCAATGCCCTGGGAGCGACAGACTTTCGTGGCAGCGTGGACGAGGTGATCATGTGAAACTGCGAGTCTTGGTCTGCATCCTGGAATCTCGAAGGAAGCGTGCATCCATGCCGGGGTGCCCTGCGTCCAATGCTTCGGCAGCTAGGTGCGGCCCGTCGAGATAAGAGATCGGCGACATCGGCACGTCACAAAATTACCGTCCCTTCACCGAGGGGCAGACGCTCTGTGCCAATGGCTCTGAGTCAATCCGCTGCGTGAAGAGTCATCCCAACACCGCCATAAAGCACGATACGCCAGCTCCTCCCCTCATACACTCATACACGCTCGCTCAGCAGATCACCGTCATCATGTGTGGCATCTTCGCGTGCCACTGGTGCGTGTCCTCTTCATTCACCAGCACACGACCGTCACATGCTAATCCACCACCTCCAGCCATCCCGATGTGCAAAAGTTCCGCCCCACGGCCATTCGCATGGGCAAGCAGGTCAAACACCGCGGCCCCGACTGGAGTGGAAACCACACCGCCAACAACACCATCCTCGTCCACGAGCGTCTCTCCATCGTCGGCATCGACACTGGCTCCCAGCCAATTCTCAGCGAAGATGGCCAGATCGCACTGGCAGTCAACGGCGAGATCTACAACCACAAGATCCTGAGGAAGCAGATCAAGACCCCATACCCTTTCAAGACACACTCCGATTGCGAGGTCATCATTCCCTTGTATCAGGAGCATGGCATCGATGCGCCTAAGTTCTTGGACGGCATGTTCAGTTGGGTATTGCACGACAAGAAACAGGATAGGTTGATAGCAGCAAGAGATCCTATTGGAATCACGACTTTCTACATGGGAAAGTCATCCTCAACACCAGGTTTGTACAATCGAAGACTGGAGGTACATTCGCGTGCTGACCTGAGCTAGGCGCCGTATACTTTGCTTCTGAACTAAAGTGCCTTCACCCAGTATGCGACCAGATCGACGCCTTCCCGCCAGGCCACGTATACGACAGCAAGACAGATACGCTTACACGATACTTCACACCCAAGTGGCTTGTCGAGCCCGATAGCATCCCCACGACCCCGCTTGACCTGAAACTGCTACGAGAAACTTTCGAGCGCTCCGTGAGGAAGAGACTGATGGCTGAAGTGCCATACGGCGTGTTGCTCTCAGGAGGACTGGATAGCTCTCTCGTGGCCTCAATTGCACAACGCGAGACTGTCCGCCTGCAGAAGGAATATGCTCGGCAACAAGCACTGATTTCTGGCACAGCCAGCCCTACAATCAACGGCGTAGCCAACGGTGCTGCACCACGACCAGATGTAACTGAGGAGGAGCTCGCCGGAATTGACGAGAACTACCACCTCAACTCCGTCCCCGTTCTCTCACAACTCAACAGCTTCTCGATTGGTCTGCCTGGTGCGCCAGACACGAAGGCCGCTCAGGAGGTTGCCAAGTACCTGGGCACTCGGCATCATGCCTTCACCTTCACCATCCAAGAAGGTCTGGATGCTCTTTTCGACGTGATCTTCCACCTCGAGACCTACGATGTCACCACCATTCGCGCAAGTACACCCATGTTCCTCCTCTCGCGCAAGATAAAGGCCATGGGCGTGAAGATGGTGCTGTCTGGTGAAGGCTCCGACGAGATCTTCGGTGGCTATCTCTACTTCCATAACGCACCTGACAAGAACGAGTTCCACAAGGAGACCGTTCGACGTGTCAAGAACCTGCATCTTGCCGATTGTCTGCGAGCCAACAAGAGTACATCGGCCTGGGGTGTAGAAGCTCGTGTGCCCTTCTTGGACAAGGAGTTCCTCGAGTTGTCAATGAACATCGACCCACAAGAAAAGATGATCACCAAGGACCGCATTGAGAAGTACATCCTCCGAAAGGCGTTCGATACCGAAGGCGAGCCTGGTGCGAAACCATATCTCCCCAAGAACATTCTCTGGAGACAGAAGGAGCAATTCAGTGACGGCGTGGGCTACGGCTGGATCGATGGCCTCAAGGACGAGGCAAAGAAGATGGTGACTGATGAGCAAATGGTGGAAGCCAACATCCGCCAAGACAAGCCACAGTGGGGAGACGACATCCCCGATTCCAAGGAGGCTTACTGGTACCGCTGCATGTTCGACGAGCACTTCCCGCCATACTGCGCCGGCACCGTGCAACGATGGACGCCGACGTGGAGCAAGCAGACGGATCCCTCGGGTCGAGCCATCGCCTCTCACGAACAAGCCTACAAGCCTGGTGAGGGCCAGTAGTTCGTGATGCTGCCAGGAGCAGTGATAGCAGACTCCAGTCTCAGGGGCTCAAGGCCGAGCTTCTCAAACTCAGGTAGACCTCTATGCAGATAGATGTACCAATAGACCAAGGACTCAAGAAAGCGTTCCTACATTGACGTGTTCCCATCCTCGAGAGCCGTGTGCTTAATTTGACCAGTACGTCTGGACCTGCGAAGGGCTTCTGTTGGGCGACCTGAACAGTAAGACCTCTGCGTCGGTGTGGATAATGACACGCTTGTGTGCAGACTTCTCGAAGCCGTACTGCGACCAGGTCACACAAATTACATATGTGAGACCCGACGACGATTGCTCGTGCAGGTCTGTAGTTTGAACATGCTTCTGAACTTGAGAAGCGACCCTCTCGGGTAGTGTCTTGAAAGGCCCTCATCACTTCTAGGTATTGGATGAATACAATAATAAGAGACTCGAAACGACAAGCCCTCGAGCATCTCACGCGAATATGAGATAGAAAGGAACGGATACAACCCTTACCTCACGTTGTTACGCTCCAAGTGGAACAATTATCCGCAAGATTTTCGAGGTGTCTATCCAAGCGTTCTAGAAGACGATCGAGAGTTTGGTCGTCGCTAAAATGGGAGGAGTGACAATGTGATTTCGTTTCACTTTTGAGCAGGACGATGAGCATACTCGAGACTGAGCACATGTCGCCTTTGTGATGCAGAACAAACACATGAGGCCCGATGTTGTGCTGACGATGAAGAGTACGACGAACTCACCTGGCGACTATAGCCTCAACTGCCCCATCACGACAACACTACTCATCGAACAAGATCCATTTCACCGAGGCATACCACTGACTGCACAGTCTCTGTATGGACCTAAGATGTGGACAGGTCGGGCAACATATCACAGACTACTACCCTCCAAGAATCTTGGTCTTCTTGACCTCCACATCCCAAGAAGCTCGTCATGATTCGTCCCGGTAGATCATAGATTCGACCTAGGTGCGGTAGCACATAAGTGCATCGAAGGACGCATTCCACCAGTGATGTGCTGAGCTGGCCTTCTGGAAGCTCGAAGCTTTCGGTACTCGTCTATCGACGTCACGGTTTGGATGAGTGAAGCTACGTGTACGGCCCAGAGGTACAGATAGCATTCGGACAATGTGAAGCTGTACTGTGAGGCCTTACCTCGGTGTCTCATGACGATGGCCGTTCATGGAAGAACTTCTCCAGGGACGGAAGATTGTGGACGAAGCTTGCTCTGAGTTCCACGTCGTCGCTGATAAGTTCGCGAGCCACGAGCAGCCACACAAGTCTTGTAGTAGTAGTTCCGGACGGAAGAGCGTTCGAGAACTGCGAAGACTAGCAGTACGTACCGCGCCCAAGAAGCGATGGTCGTTCCCGTTTCCCGTTTCCAGATATCCGGCTCCTGTCCTCTCCGCTCGCTCTAATGCTGACCTCCAACAGTCCGCTTCGTTGATGACAGGATGGTGGAAGGCGGTAAGTGAGGCATCCTGTCATTTGTTGTTTGCCTTGCGTGTGAGACGTGCGAAGGCCTGCGATCTCCTGATGATAGAAGCGATTTGCGGCATTTTTTGCTCAGGCAAGCAGGACTGGAAGGATTGTGCTGCTTGGTCTGCACTGGGCGTTGTGGCGCTGGCAGAAGTCGAGGTGGGATGACGGACTCGGTGATATTGAGGAGTGATTTTTCGATAGCGATTCAATGCAATGTGAGTTGTCCATGCATGTCGACCGAACAGACTAGATGTTGCCGGTGATTGGTAGCGGAGATGCAGAGAAAGAAGAGTCATGAAAGCCAGGGAGGAGGAGAAAGACCACGACTTCTCTCCTCCACGATCGAGAACAAGCTTCTCGAGATGCAGCGACAAGCACGCGGCCAAGCATGTGCCAATGACGTGTGCGCCTCCCGCCGAACCATTGAACGGTCGAGCAAACTCTGCCGATCTGCCAGGGCAGAAGTCGACGACGCTCAGTGTCTGGAATAGCGAAAATCATACAGACATGTCTCTGTCGGACCTTGAATCGGAAAAAGGCGACGCGGATGGCCTCCTTTCAGAAGACCTCGTTCAATCTCCCACACACAAGGCAGCCTCCACGAAAGCGGTGGACTTTGACGGCCTGCTTACGCCCCCATTGCTTCTCCGCGAAGACCTCACATCCGGCAACGGTGGCCAGGCATGGCCTGCAGGAATGATACTTGGGAAATACCTCTTGCGGCGGAAGCGGGACGAGTTGCAGGATTCTTCAATGTTGGTCTCGAAATTGCTCATGTCTCATCTGCAAATGCAACTGCAAGCAGCTGACTAGAAAATCTCGCAGCGTTGAACTGGGTGCTGGCGGCGGGCTCTGTGGGTATGTGATGAGCACGCGAGCTTTTCTTGTCACGCATACCACGGGATGTACTCATTCATCGATAGGCTGGCCATAGCCGTGGGGTGCAGGCCCAAGGATGTCGTTCACATCACGGATCAGCAGCCCATGCAGGCCTTGATGCAGCAGAATATCGCGCACAACAACTTGCAAGATGCTGTCAAGGCCTCCGTGTATGACTGGGGAAATCCGCGTCCTCAAGATATCCCTCAGCCAGATGTGGTGCTTGCGGCAGATTGCGTGTACTTCGAGCCCGCATTCCCTCTATTGCTGCAGACACTGCAGGACCTAATTGGCCCCAATACTGTCTGTTACTTTTGTTTCAAGCGGAGAAGGAGGGCCGACATGCATTTCGTCAAGGCGGTCAAGAAGATGTTTCTGGTCGAAGACGTGACCGATGACCCCGACAGCGCCAGCTATTCGTGGGAAAACATATTTCTGTAAGCTCGGTCTTGTCAGGGACGTTGGTGACTGTTACGAGGCCCCGCTGACCTTGGCACCAAGCTGTACAATCAAAAGGAAGCCTGGCCGGTGAATGAAAGGAGACATGGAGTCGGGGATGACAGGATCGTGGCGAAGCCCCCAGCGTCGCATGGCATTTTACGATGTCCCATGGTGCCTGACCACCACTCCGCGGATGGAAAAAGGGCAGCGGACGGATCCTGAGAGGCCATCGATCTCATCGGATTTTCGGTCGGACGACAGCCATGGCTCGTCCGAAGGGGGACGCGCAAACAATAGCAGGCAGAGGAGCAGAGTGAAAGTCAGACTGCCGTCTATTGCGGGTAGGCTTTGGATTGTAAATCAAGCGTTTCGTCTCCGTGGCGTCTGATGTCCAAGAATGCCAAAACGTGCTGCTCCTAGAAATGTAACAGTACACGCGCTTGCGGCAAAACTGGCCGTCGATTCCGTGCCAGCCGTCTAGCTACCAACTCATAATGATTGCTGCGCACGACATGATCGGGTGGTCGCATCTGCAACCAAGCGAGGTGCTAGAGATGCCAGGGTCGTCATTCGCACTTCAATCGCTCTGCGAAACACCGACGCTGATGAATGAAAAATATACCGCGGCGGCTGCGGATGACTGGTGAGCAACCAACAGAGCAGGTGTGGTGTGTCAGTGTCCATAGCTCCAGACCGTTCGTGCATATTCCAATGAGGGACGATGGGGTGGTGTTATGGTCTCCACGATTTCTGTACTGTTCTGTCGTTGCGCACAGCAGGCGTGGGGTCGTCGTTTCACAGCGCCTCCGGCCTCTGCGCCGCGCCTCGAGACGTCCCACACAGCAGGCAGACCGTGCCAGGTTGCTTCAATTGCCGACAGCTCGAGTGCGCGCTCACTGGCGGGCATGGTATCGCCGTGGCTGCGAGCTCCTGGTCTGCTTCAGGCCAGCGCTGGCTGTGCCAAAGGTCGATGCTGGGGATGACGGCGGGCGCCGCGCAAATACCAAGAGGCTTCGCATCAGGGCGCGGATAATTGTAGACACTCAGGCCAAAAGGGCGTTGCGCAGTGCAGGCCAAGAAGCAACTACTTGCGCGATCCAAAGGCTTGTCGGGCGAATGTTGCACGCAAAGGCGACGATCGGTGGAGCATCACGACGCTTCCGTCACTGAGCGCCAGCGTGAGGCCTCTTTTTGCGTGGCGCGGACGGGCGTTGCAGTCAGACACCGAAGCGAGCTCGGTTGGATCGGCAGAATGGCCTGCATTGCCTTTCCGCTAAGACTCTTGTCCTGCAAGCTAGAGCGCTCGATGTGGGTACGCTCCCACTGCTCGAGGGTGCCCGTCGGCGCGTGCGTCTCCCTCATATCTCCACCTGCTCAACGCCCTCTTCTTCTCCCAGGACCCCTCCATCGAAACACTCATTCACCTACCACTACTACGATGGACCAGCAGACCAAGGCTATCCGCGGACGAGCTCCTTCGACACACAAGCTGCTCACCAACCTATCCTAGGTCCGTTCGACACCACAGCTTTACGTGCGACCAGCATTGTGCAGGAACGGCACTCTTCGCCCAGTGCTTCCATTCTCATCGGGTCGCTGCGTAGCCAAGGCTGAGCAACCTTTAACGTCCATTGGACTCGACGTCAACAGCAACCACATTCATACCTTTAGAACTTCGACCGCTCCCTCAGACGACTTGATACACGACACACCTCTCGACGATGCGACTGAATTGCTTCTGTGCCGCGCCGGCCAATTTCCCACAGCTCGACCAAGACGAGGCGCCTCGACTGCCAAGGAAAAAGACAGGCCTCAAGAGGCAGGGGACCGGCGAATCAGCGAGCAGCCGCTGTAGCACTGCCTCTAATTCCAGCATATCCAAGCTGCCACCATGCAAACGACAGTCGGATCCCAAGATTGAAGCCATGATGATGCCGGAGCCGGCGGGAGAGAGGCCAAGCCGATGTTTGCGGATGAGCCACCCCAAGACCTACAGCAACATCGTCGACTCGATGAAGAAGCAGAAAGGCTGCCGCGACTGGCGCAACTTCCAGGTCTTTTACAACGACGAAATCGACATGACCATCTCTGCCGTCGACGTTGCCAAGAAGAGAGCCGATGACTACGAACGCCGGCTTCGAGATCTGAGCAGCTTTGGTTCCAGTGAACCACGACATTCACTCGGCGTTGACATGATCGGTTGAGCGTCATCGTCGTTGTCGAGTGAATAATGTTTGGGCGCCCGGCGTCTTAAAGAAATCCGCCGACGCCCGCCTCAGCAAACCGTCTCGTTCTGGCCTGCGCCCCACCTCCGGAATTTCCAATCAGCCTTCGGTCTCCTAACGGCTCACGTGCAACGGCGATATTGCTCATCACCTCTGGGACTCATATCTCCAGGCGCTTCCCGCCAGGACGACCTCTCCAAAATCTCCCCAACCCTTGAGATGGTCACGAATTTGACATCATCGTCATCTTCCAGTCGAAGCAGCACGTTCGACAACTCGTCGGACATCGGTCGATCAACGTCACCAGCCTCGCCCGCCAGTCATCAATCCTCCGACAGGGCCTCACCGTCATCACCCAATAATCTTTCGACATGTGACTCGACGTCCACCGGAGGTCATCCACATGCCGACCGTGACAACTCAAGTCAACTTCTGATGAAGCGGTTCATCTTCGGCGACTATAACATCGACTGGAGATCCATCCCTACCGTCGACGACGACAACCTCTTCAACCATGCGACATTACTGTATCGCCGCGACCTTCGATGCAAAGCATCGCGCGAGTACTACATGGAGATTCTCAACGGCTTCCGGATCAAAACCATAGATCCTCCAGCCTCACTATCCGACACCAACACGATCATCATCGACGGCGAAGAAGTCGTCGACATGATCGGTTGATTTGACATTCTCCGAGACAACGACCACACGCATTCATCGTAGTGGCAGCCTCGCAGAGCTGATGCATTTGAAGCGCACTTAGCGTTTTTGGAACGGGACTGACTGCGACTTGAGCATGTTCAGGACCTCAGGTGTATGATGAGCCTGGTATTTGGTGTTTTAGCGATGCATTGTGATTGAGATATCCCGAACTAAAAGCGTTCAAGCGATGGAGTTGTGGCAAGCTCTTTAGATGAGCTCTTACGTGTAGATGTCAAAAGAATTCAAAGATGACATGAACTTAAGACTACATACCTTTCTACTCGTGCCTGCTGATCTCTTGATCAACCTTGCCCTTGCTCGAACTACCGTGAGAGGCCATATCGCTCGCTGCCGTCCCTTAGCCCTAGGTGGGACATCTGTGGTCATCATATGCTTGGTCGTTGTCTTCTTCTCAACTGTAACGATAGATAACGCTACGAGCCAAGTTTGCATGCGATATCAAGTTCTTCGGGGAGATAGGTACTCAGCACGCAGTAGAACAGTAACAACACCATACCACCTTCTATTCACAGTAGGCACAACGCTGCCACAGGGGGACGCGGCGAGATAGGCGTGATGCATCTATAAAGATGAACAGCCATCTCGATGAAGCGTCAACCAGTATCCCGTCGATTCGATCAACAAACTGTTCCAAGGCATATCCTACCACAACAATGAAGTTCTTCTTGCCCACAATGGCTTTGCTGATCGTAGCTGTCTCCGCCGCCATCTCGGTGCCTTTTGGACTGACGGCTCGTGATGGAGTCCTGATCAAGGATGGTGTTGAGTGTGCAGGCTGTTCGTGTCCTTGTCACGTCAACGGGGTATGTCACGAGAGACGAGGTCTTCTATTGCGAACGATGGTCGCAATTTTCTGACCCGTGTCTTAGTGCTGCGGCAGCAAGTAACGCAGGCCGCAAATCTGATTTCCGAGGAGGTTGATGGCTACGCTCGGTACGTTCTGGTTCGATGGGACGAAGAGCTAGAAAGTAGAAACGTACGGGGTTGATCGTTGGTGTGGAAGTAGAAGTACTGGGAGAGATAGAGACGTATTTGTCCTAAACATGCGGGGCCTGTTCCCTGGTCGCGACAGGTACTCAGTGCTTCTATATTCATGTTCCTGCTGATCTTTGGATCGACCATGCTTGACCTGCGGTGTAAACCATCCTTGTCGTTCTCCTCTCAGCAGAGATCGCCATGTCTTGGCGTTGGCCCAGCTTCGACTTCAGAGCTCCTAAGCATCTTCAATGTTTCCCGTGCATCGCCCTCCATCATGATACTACGACCGCGCATTCGGCCGGCGTCAATCCGCCAGCTCTTCAAACAACAACATGGCGCCCGCCGCACCATCGTCGCCGCGCCCAAACCAGGCTCAGGTCCCCTCATGGAACGCCGCTCCGACCGCGCCCTCCCCTCCATATCGACAGGCTCCTACCGCTGGCTCAAGACCATGCCCATCTTCGCCATCATCATGGTAGGCTCCATGCTGGCGATTTTCAACTATCAAAAGACGAGCAGCTCCGTGGTGAGCAGCACCCTCTACGCATTGCGGACGAACCCCGAAGCGAGACAGATCCTGGGCGACGAGATTTATTTCGCGAGCCAGATTCCGTGGATTGCGGGGGAGTTGAATCAGTTGCATGGGAGGATTGATATTAGTTATTGGGTGAAGGGGACGAAGGGGAAGGCTTTGATGCGGTTTAAGAGTGAGAGGAAGACGAGGATGGGGCTTGTGAGTATACCCTGGAAAGCGTGACATTCTATCTGCAAGAGATTATTCGTATTATGGATGGAAGCATGGAGTAGATGTGCTGACATCTGGTTGACAGTTCGAGACGCTTGAATGGAGTATCCAACCCGAAGGAGGAGAGAAGATTTCGCTGGTTGGTGGAAACGATCCCTTCAAGCAAGAGACTGCAGACAGCATTGCTGTGGCGGTGTGATTGTAAAAGAGCTAGCCAACAAGACCATATGCCCAAAGTTGATCGGATGTCGTGCTGAGGGCATTGATTTTTGATTGGTAAAGGACATTCTGGCCCACCGACATCTCGGTTCGTGAAAGTGACGATGGAACACAGCTCGCATTTCTCACGGCTTCAGAAAGCGACGTACTGTCAGGTGTTGATTCTACATGGCTCGGATCAACCGCCCTAGACAGATCAATGGCAGAGCTTCACGCATCAGGCATGGCAATTGCTCTGATCTTGAGTTGCCATGGACTGGACTTGTTCCTAAAGCAAGACTCTCTTCGGAGGAAGGTCAAAGACCGCTGCTCATGCCGCTTGTTAGGCCAGAGACACGAGATGAATGACTGGAACTTGTGCCTGGACCGAACGTACAGGCCAAATGGAATGGAAAGACTACGCTCTGAAGGTCATATTACTATCAGAGCTCTTCAGCGACCACTACAAGGCTTCAAATGCAGCCAATTCACCGCTCGCGTTCGATATATCTTTCCAAAGTCATTTCTCAAGTCCTGTTCTGCCTGTCTTCCGTGCTCCTGTATCTGAGAACTTATTGTGCACACAACCCCGGAGCTCACGAAGTTTCAAGTAACTCCTAATCATGGTACCCTTCATACATAATTTGCCTGGATAACAAGGAAGAAGAAGATTGCCAGAGACTCAAGAGCATACATGTACATGCTCTGTTTCGACTGATCGACCACGATGCTGCCGCATACGACTAGCGCACATCTGAGATCTTGTGAAACTCAATCTCGTCCGCGCCAATCGAGCGCGCTAGGGCTCAGAACAGGCGCTCGATGACGACGTCGACACGGTTGTCATGCTCATTGTGAGGTACGCGATGCCTGTCATGCTCACCATTCGTTGCATAGCAAGAGGCGAACGAGGTCGTTATGACTTCTTTGTTCCTCGTCTCCTGCCTCCCTTCCTTGACGACAACTGGACATGACTGACGAGCCACGGCCATTACTGGAGTCCAACGGGTCTCAGACGAGGTTCAATATGAGTAAGAATATGGAGGGCCAGAAGCGGAAGAAGGTTCTGGTGGTGGGTGCTGGAGCTGCTGGTGAGTAGTCAATAGCGCTGGAGGTAGTCTCGATGCTGACGGTATTAACAGGCATGTCCTGCGCACACCACCTCTCCAACCATCCGGACAAATTCGACGTTACAATCGTAGACGCCGTCGACTACTGCGGAGGCCAAGCCTACTCGATCCCATTGAACAAGCAAGAGACGGGTGCATCATGGCTCAATCAAGGCGTGCAGGGAGGCTCATACATCTTCCACCACACATTGACGATGTTCGCGAGGAACGGGTATTGGGCGGATCCTGTGAAGCTCCAGGTCTCCTTTGGCAAAGGCGAGCAGTTCTGGAGCAACGTATACCCCACGAAGCTACTTGAGAAGCATTCGGGCGAGGTTAGGAGATTCAGGACGATGCTGAGTGTAGTGCGGATGTTCGAGATCTTCTTTGCTCTTCTGCCGATCAAGTATCTGGTCAAGCTGTTTCGCTTCTCGGACGAGTTTGCGAACATTGTCACGCTGCCAATGGTTGCGCTGTTCCTGGGCACCGGAAACTACACACCTGAGGTCCCTTCGATGATCTTGGAGAGATTGTGCACGAGTCCCACGTATGGCATGTGGTATCCCCCGGTCAAGAACAGCGTGGCTTCGAATCTACCGCCAATGGTCGTCTTCCCGAACCTGAGCGATTTCTACGAGACTTGGAGGAAGAATCTGGTCAAGAGGGGAGTCAATGTCCGCCTGTCGACGGAGGTCACAAGAGTGGTTCGCAGGGACAAGAATGGGGTGACCGTGAAGATCGTCGGGAGGACCCCAGTCGCGGATGGACACAACCCCAACTCTGCTTGGGTTCCGGACGATGTTGAAGGCTCCAAGGCAGATCCAGATGCAGTGGAAACGACCGAGGAGTACGATGAGATCGTCCTTTGCGTCCTAACTGACACTGCGAAGCGTCTGTTGAAGGAAACCATTACAGGCGTCGAGTCTCGAGTCCTGGGATCTGCCAAGTTCGCAAACGACATCACCGTCACGCACCAAGACCACGAGTACATGAAGCGCCACTACGAGAACTTCTACGAAAAAGACCTCGCCGTCTCCTCAATCAACGGCGAAGGCATGCAATCACGCTGCGACTTCGCCAAAGACAACTTCAAAGCCATGTACCTCATCCGCATGTACCCTCAAGACCTCACCAAGCTCGAAATGTGCTTCGACTGCACCAACTACCAAGCCCAATTCCCACCCGAAGTCCCCTTCGACAAGCACGTCTTCCAGACAATCTTCCTCAACAAAGAACGAGACGGCCATCTCTGGACCCTGGACGAGATCGACGAGAAGAAGATCATCCGCAAGGACTGGTGGCACCAGCTCTGCCACAGCTTCACACACTACCTCTTCGTCGTCCCCTGGATGTGGCTCCTCCAAGGAAAACGCCATACCCGCTACGCCGCCTCCTGGACGCTCGTGAACGCCCACGAAGTCGCCTGCATCAGCGGTATCAGCGCCGCCGTCGACCTGGGCGCCGACTACCCCGAAGACCTTGAGCGAGATAAGTTCGCGTTCCTGGCGTTCAGGCTCTACTACCTCCTCATCTATGGCAAGTGGTTCAGGCGGAGAGCGACGAAGAAGAGCAGGGACGGCGAGGGCGCACAATGGGCGACGGGGAATGAGTATGGGAGTATGTATAATGGGCCCGGTGTGCAGACGGGTACGGATAGGAAGATCTGGAGGCAGGAGGTCGAGGCTGGGAGGAGTTTGGAGGGGTTTTGAGGATGAGTTCAGAGATTAATTGAGAGAATTGAAGTTCGATTTGCCTCAAGTATTTGTTCCCATCGTGTTCATCGTTCCGTTCAAACTGCTTCTGTCGCCAAAGACACCACGCTGCCGATAGTCTTATGTACCGCAACCCCTTCCAGGCCGGCAAGATGGGAGACTGGAGATGAAAGGGTCTCCTGAGGCGTGAGGTCTCGCCTGAATGCAAAGGGCTCGGACATTATTGGAAGCGTGCGACGTCGTTGAGCAATGGCATGAGTGCATTCAAAGGTAGTGGGAGGCGGGAGAGGCGACTTGAGTCGATCTTCGCTGGAGAGTGGGCGACAAGCTGTTGAAACATTGAGACGATGACATGGCATGGCGGTCTGGCAGGGAGAGCACTTCGAGTGGGATGGCAGCAAGGTAGAGGAGTGGCAAGATGTCGAGTCAGTGACATGACAAAGGCGCGACGGCGACGGTGGTGGTAGACTGACAACCGCTTTGCCCATGGAAGGATGTATTGCAAGAAGGTCAGACAGGAACATGGCAGCAGAGACGACGATGATGAAATGGAGACAGCGGTAAGGTCATAACATCATTAATCATTTCAGCATAGCGCCAACCTACTGTCCGGCGGCAAGGACTCTCAGCTCATGTTCTTCCTTCTCCCCAAGCTTTCTGAGGTCCAAGATGGTCATCACGACTTGCATGATTGACTCGAATTGCTCGATCACCGCCGGTGTAGGGAGCGGGATCACCTCTGGGACGCCAATGTGTTGTAGTATTGCCGCAATCTTCTCCGTCTGGATGCTTGACTTGGCGATTCGAGGTTTGGTGAGCTTGTCTGAGGTGAAGGTGACACCTGTGGGTAATCTCTCTTGCAGGACCACGCCGTAGCGCATTTGGTCTGCTTTGGGGAGGTCGACAGGGAGGGTGGTGGCAGAGGCAAGCGAATGAGGTCGACGAGGTGTTTCTCGAGGAGCGGCAGAGGTTGGTGTCATTGTTGACATGCCATCAACGGCTTGGTTGCCTGCTTCAAGTCAGAGACAGATCCAGAGGCAGAGCAGCATGTGACGGCGGAGAAGGGTGGAGAGTGAGTCGTGGAGTGATGTGGGAAGTGAGTGGTGGAGTGAGATGAGCAGCGAGTGCGGAAGCGATGCGGGCAGTGAGGAGGGCGGTGATGGCGGCAGCAGATACGTACTCGTTGGGCGCAATCGTGGGTTCTTCTTCATCCGATCCTGGGTCAGCAGTTGCTGCCACAGGCCGGTGAGCGCTTGTGATGTGTTGTATGAGTAGCCATTCGTTGATGGCGATGGGTTGTCAAGTCGATGCCGTAGCTCTTCGCGTTGGCTGTCGAGGGTGGCTTGGTTGAGCATGATGCGCTGCAACTCGCCCAGCAGTACCGTCTCTTCGTCGACTTCATTTGCGCGTCGGTAGAGGTGTCCTTCTGCCAGTTTCTTTCGCGAGGTCTCTTGTGCAGCGTTGAAGTTGGTGAGTGTTTCGTATCGATGGTATTCTGATGCCGTCATTGATGTGATCGGTGTGGAGAGTTGGAGGAGTGTCGCTTGGACAGCGTAGAACCGCGTCTTGAGATCTTCCATGGAACGGTCTGAGTCGGGGTAGTCGTATCGGTCGGCAACGACTGGCCATTTGCCATTGCATTCGGAGTACGTGTTGATGAGGTAGTCGGTCTCTTGCTCGGTCCATCCAGCGTGGGCAAGGTTCTTCTCGAAGGTGTCGTGGTCGTACTGGGGCACCGAAGGCGCCACGGCGTACTTTAAGAAGTGCTCACTGCTGGGGAGAGGGAGGGGGGCTGCTCCTTGCCGGGTCCACGCCGTAAACGACGAGTTGCTGGGATGAGGGGTCCTCCTCCACTTCGCTGCCCTGCGTGGCCTCGTCGGCGGCGGAGGCGGTGGCGGCGGCGGCGGCGCCATGGGGGCAGGTCCCGTACAAGTGAGCCTCGACTGCCGAGGCGCTGTCCAAAACAAGGAGGTTCTTGTCCCTGGGATGGAGGTCAGACAAACCGGTCGATGAAGGGATCGATGGCGTGGACGGGGATGAAGTTTCGGGGATGATGTTGCGGGGATGGTGTGAGGTGAGGATGGTGTACTCACTCAGGCGGACGTTCCGTGTAGTCTTTGGGCTCAAGGCCCACAAAGCCGCGCAGCTTGTTGCGGCGCTTGCCTGGGAGGTGTCAGTTTTCAACCTGGGGACAGTGAGGTGAGGGAAACTTACCGCGAAGGCCAGCGGCGGCGCGGCGCGCGCGTGAACGCTCGGCCTTGTTGGCCAAGACCACCGAAGCGAAACCGACACCGATCGCGAGAGCGATGTCCACACCGATTGTCATGGCGGGCGGGCGGCTAGCGGCTTGCGGGGCAGGGTTGGTCGCGGGGGGGCGGGCGCGCTGCTGGGTAGTAACGCTGCTGGGGAGGAAAAGGTTCACGCGCGGAGGGGCGCGCCCTCACCTCTATATACTGGGCACGGTGTGATCTTTCCCTACACCTGCGCTTGCGCCTTTCCTTCACCTGGGACTTCACCTGGGACTTCACCTTCCCTCCCAGCGCCCAGGCCGCGCAATCCTCCTAACGTACCTTCGTCGCCCTGGGCTTTTCGCGGATATATTGCCTCACCTGGGAAATATGGCCCCATGAGAGCCTTCCTCACGGCGAGAAGGGTCCGCACCTCACCTCTGAAATCGGAGCGCTTCGAGGGCAATTGTACCTCACCTGGCCTCTTTCCCCGAATATCCCCAAAGATCCATGGCATCCCGAGCCGATACGGTATATTTGACCATGGGAATGATCCGGGGATGATTTGATGTGAAGATGGAATACCTCGAATATACCAGCGCTGGAAAGCTCTCTTCACAGCAAGAAGAACGCATACCTCACCTCCTAATTCTAAGCACTCTAAGGGCAATTGTACCTTACATCCCCGGTTTCTCCAAAGATCCCCAGCCTTCTATGGCTCCCAGAGCAGGTGCCATACATTTGACCATGGGGAAGGTACGGAGAAAGCATGCAGAAATCAAACCTCACCTCGAAAATACCAGCCCGTGAAAGCCCTCCTCACGGCGCGAAGATCCCCTATCTGGCCGTGTTGATAGCTCACCTCCCTCGTAACCTCACCACATCTCATGATCATCCCCAGGGTCAAACTGGCCGTACTCTCCATCGACAGCATGGACAGACCCTCAATTCTGGGGATAGACACATGTTTTCTTCAGGTGAACTCCCATCCCTTACTTCACACTCCCGGCTACCCGCCCACCAGCCGCCCCCATTCTTGTGAGGCCTCCTCAGCAAGGGCTGCGATATAGCCACTTTACGCGTACACGCGCTTCCTCGCGTACTGGATGATACTTCACACCTGCATCCAACGCCCCTACAGCTAATGCAATGTGCTGCAGGTTAACATGGCCACCCGCACAGCGCCATTATGGATCATTTGCTGCGCTTTGATCAAGATAGCAGCTACTACACCTGCTGCAGCCTTCCCATTCAACTCGCAGGTCCCAGCGGTCGCCCGCGTGAACACTCCTTACAACTTCCAGCTTTCAGACTCCACCTTTGCGCCGAGTTCAACGAATTTCTCCTACAGCCTATCCAATCAACCAGCATGGCTCTCAATCGACAGTGCAACAAGAACTCTCACAGGAGCGCCAGGTCAAGGAGATGTTGGGTCCAGCGAATTCACGTTGACAGCTGCCGATAGCACTGGAGCAGCTCACATGGGGTGTACGCTGGTCGTTTCGCAAGATACCGCACCACAGCTGTCAGGAGATATTAGCAAGCAACTGGCTGCTACAGCAAACCTTTCCAGCAGCCATCCACCGGTGGTCACACTCCTTCCAGCCACAGTCTTCCAGTTCGATTTTCAACAGGAGTCCTTCATCGATATTGTGCAGAGGAAGCTGTACTACTACGCGACACTCAGCGACCACACCCCGCTACCTTCATGGCTCAAGTTCGACACTACACTGTTGACCTTCTCAGGAACAGCACCATCTCTCAGCGCCTTTCCACAATCATGGGAGATCCTTTTAATCGCTTCCGATATCCCGGGGTTCAGTGCTACAACCGCCTCATTCACGATTGCCATCGGTACTGAGCAACTCGCTTTTGTGCCCGAAGAGCAGGATATGAACGTCACGGCTGGCAGACACATCGCGATACCTTCTCTTCGAGACCAGCTGTTCCGCAACGGGGTCAGATTGCCAGTCGCAGAGTGGCAAGGTGCGAAGGCTTCCTCGCTGCCTTCATGGTTAAGCTTCGACATATCCACACTCGCGATCGAGGGCAATGTGCCAGAAGACGTGAAACAACAGAACTTTACAGTAACAGTCACTGATCTCTTGGGCAACGTTGCGACGGCCATCATCAACCTGATTCCGAACAATACAACTCTCTTCAATGGACAAATTGGAATGATTGTGGCCGAAGCTGGCGATACTCTGCGCTACCACTTCGACGATGCTCTGTTCACTGAAGTCGATCTTGTTCTGAGTGTCGCACTTCCAGCGGGATTTGAGTGGCTGCGTTTCGAGCCAGCAACAAGAGAACTTGTTGGCACCGTACCCAGGACCGCAGAACCAGCGACGGTCAAAGCCACTCTGACCGCAAAATCCAACGATGGAGATGAAGATCAAAGTCAGATCTTCACAATCGATATCAAAGCCATCGCGGCGACTAGTCCAACCCATTCCAGCCTCACCACACGCACGCTCGCATCAAGCAGTCCAACATCGACGGCTGATGCTGAACTGGCCACTGAACACGCCAGCTCAGGCCCAAGTGGAGGCGTGATCGCAGCGATCGTGGTCCTGAGTCTGCTTGGCGCTGCGTTGCTGATCGCTTGTTTGGTGTGGTGTTGCAGGAGACGACGTCGTAGATACGAGACTTGGTCGCCAACGCCTTCCCAGAAACCAATCTCACGGCCAATCCCACCTCCAGATGGTGGTGATACGATCATAGTCACCACAGAACTGCAAAGGGATGTCGAGAAGAGCGCGGGCATCGATGAAGAGACAGAAGCAGCAGCTTCACTATCACAGACGGCAGAGCATCCACCACAAATAACGCTGAACTCCCTGGATTTGCCCTCTCATCCAGCGAATCGCAGATCTAGGTGGTCGAAGCGATTCTCACGCATGAGTTACGCATCCTCGATCGGTCAGGGGGACGCTGCCATTCGCGCAGACACCAATATCCCTGAGTGGGGTCAGGACGCACCAGGGCTTCACACGCCACACGACAGTTTCTCAGTACCGGCCGAAATGGCTCGCAACTCGAGGCATCTCTCGCAGCTTTCGCCTGGTAAGCGTGCGCAGCGAACCTCCCGCCACTCTCGTCGATCTGGTGGCGACGTTGGGTTGGGAATTACCACGAGCGCAATCGGTGGCATGGCGAGACATTCATCCAAGCGAATCGACAAGCATCGCAGAGGGAGGAGCGGCTTCGGCGGCTTGTCAACCACGAGAGAAGCTAGCAGCATGGCTTCCATGACGACCACACGAACAAGCCTACTCTCTACAAGGCCGTCCGAGTTTCCACAACCACCTCAATCTGAACATACAGGGTCGCTTTCTATTCCAGCCTTGTCCATCGCCACTATCGACACTCTGAAAGACCCCAAGCGTAAGAGCATTCGCATGGTGCAGCGTAGCGACAGTGTCGCAGACAACAGACCCGTGGACGTCAAGCGACAGTCATTCATCCACAACCGAGCGACCGCCGTGAAGGATAGATCCCGTGCGAGCGTGCAGAGCCCGCTCTTTGCTCATGGGTCTCGAGCATCCTCGCTTCATACAAGGCAGCCCAGTCGCTCTGCGAACAGGTCCTCTGCCGGTAGCCTCAGACGCACGAGACGATCGAAGAATGGCAAGAGTATGCTGACCACCTACTCCGAGTCCTCCTCCCTCGAGCCTCAACCTTTGGACCCACGAAGGTCGAATACTCGCAAATCTAAAAGACTAAGCCAAAGGGTCAAGTCTACCTTTGCGCCCAACTTTCCGCGGGTCATGAGTCAATCCATCATGATCACTCCAGATGACGATGGGGAGTATACCACGACGGAGTCGTCGATGAACAGCAACGACTGGATCGAAGACGAGAGACCTGACTGGCTCAAAGATGCGCATAAGCCCCGACACGAGAGAGATTGGGTGCTAACGCACGAGGCATCACCCACGCCCCCACCGGTACGACCAGAGTCCCAGCCGCCATCCAGGTCGAGGCTGAGTACATCTCCAGCGGAATCGGGAGCACTGAGGCCAGCGTGGAAAGACCGCTTGCAGGAGATGTCGTCCTCTCCACTAGCGTCCAACGTCCAAGTGATCGAACCTTCGTCTGTGTCACCAAATCGAAAGACAGGTAATCATCACCACAACAGGCTGAGCGAGCCCATCGACCTGGTCAGCGCAGACAGCATGCACAAGGCAAGGCCGCGACTAGCGCAGACCAAGTCAAGACGCCCTGTCAGCGTGGAGGGTGCCGGGCTGGCTCCTCGAGCGACGAGCGGCCGTGCAGGCACACAGAAGTCTGATATGAGCGGCCCAGCTTTTCTATAAGCAAGTCAAATGACAAGAGAATTCAACGGCGTAACAGGAGCTGCAAATTACCATTGTCGTTCTGCTCAAAGTGGGACGCATAGCATTGTTAGTTATCCCTGCAATTCATGAGGCGAGTGGTGCTGGATCATTGCCTCCCTTACTAACTAGGTCACTTGCTCACTCACTACCTCGTTTCCTCACTCACTTGCTAACACGCTCGCTGGCTTCCTTGCCCACTCACTGACGGAATCCTTTGACAGTCATCTTCCCAATTCTTTAAGAACGACCACGCGCCTGTTCACACTGTAGGCCGATCAGAGCTTGGGAGCAATGGGGATGAACTTTTCATTATGGGCGGGAATTTCCTATTGATCTATCGCCTCCTTAAACCTCATCACCGCATTGTTCATCAGTAATCCATCCACGCCGCGTGGTAAGTTTAGTACGTTCGCCGGTCGGGTCCGCGTCAGATCGTGGCTGTAGTCGGTAATGAGCACCAATCCGGCCTCCTTGACCGATGAAATCAATGCCGGGACTAGCTCAAGCAGGCGAGACGTGCAAATAAGGCCCATGAAGTTGTTGCTCTGGGCGATGCGAACTGACTCCTTGATAGACATGTCGGTTCGACCGCAGTTGGTAACCATATTGTGGCTCGGGTGATTGTCTTTACCGTTCGGTGGTGCAACGCCAAGCTCATTGCACAGCAAGACAGGATCTAGAAGAAAGTCAGCATAAATTTCGCAGAACGGAGAAGGGCGACTCACAGTTTGGTTGCTTCCAGTTCAACGCCGTGCAGACATCTGCGTTGTAGCTTGAAAAGACGAAGTTGCGCAACGGCTGATCTTTCATCTCTCGCAGATGTCTTGAATGATCGAAGACGACCTTGAGCACGCTGTCGATGACCATGTTGATGTTGAGAGTTGGCCCAAGCTGTTGATCCTGCTCCTCTGCCCGCGTAGGATAACAGACATGGATCTCAAGGTGCAGATCCGGTGGTAATAGGGCCAGTGCGTCTGCAAGTGAAGCGTACGATCTCGCAACCTGCCTCTGCGCAATGGCAAGATCGTCGCGGTCGATGCCTGAACCGACAAGGCCTTGAAGGATACCGCGTCCTCGCCCAGCGTGCAAACCTGCTGCTTCGAATTCGTTGTATGTCATTCTACTGACAAGATCGTTGCGGCTGCTCGGCAGCGCCCAGTCATTGTAAAGTACAGGTACGCCGTCTCTGGTGACCTGTACAAACAGTCTCATGAAGTCCCCAGACAAGCTACTGCCAGTGATCAGGTTGCTAGGATGGTCTTCGCTGAATTGGCTTGTCGCTTTCCAGTAGGTGGCAAAATGTGTGATCTCGAGGGGAATGCCATGAAAAGGTGTGACCACATGAAAACGGAAACTGATGCGACCAATCGAACGAAGTCGGGGGTCGAAAAGCTCAAGATGCCACTTCCCAGAGCTGCTGGCCTTGCTGGTGAAGACTCGACTAGAGGCCGCGGCCCTGGCAATGACTTTGCTGCCAAAAGTTGGGAAGATGTCGAAGTCGATGCTGAAGGTTTCCAGATTCTCAATGGTGAAGGAGATGTTCTTGAAGTCGTCCTGTATCGGCAGAGGCAGATTACGCGGGATCAAGTCAGAAGACTTGGAAGAGATTGTCAGACGTGCAGCTGGATACTTGCTGTCACCGTAGAACTCGATGGCATCGTCATCCAGTCCGTCGAAAGAGAGGAGGATGAACGTCTTGGTGGTGTCCAAGAAGTTATGGCCATACCGTCGGAGAGGAATGATTGGGGGTGGCAGGCTGAGCGATGGGATGTTTTCGGGGTCATTCGAAAGTGCGACGGAGCCTGAAGTTGGCGGTGGTGGGGGTTCCATTTGTACATCCACAGCATGCCGTGCCGCACCATCACCCATCGATCCAGCGCCTGCCTGAGCCAGCAGCTGCATACAATCGAGCTTGCCTTCCCAAGCCGCATAGTACATCGCTGACAAGCCCTTCTCATCAATCACAACGGGATCGACATCGAATTCCAGTAGCTGTCGTAGACACTCAAGATGCCCTTCTGACGCCGCGTGAAAGATTGGCGTCCATTGGTAGAGCTTGTCCGGCTGATCCATGTCCACGCCGTAAGCCTTCAGCATCGTCAAGATTTGGTTGTTTCTACCAAAGCGTGCTACCAGGTGCTGGGGATACAATCCTTCAGCGTCAGGCACGATCGCCGGCTGAAATCGCAATATCTGTTGCACGATCGGGACCGAACCATACTGGCACGCCAAATTGAGAGGAAGATGGTCCGTCGAGCCGGTAGGATTGACCACAGCGCCATACTGCAGCATCTCCTGCACACTGGTAGCCTGTGAGTGGACGATGCCGTGGACCAGGGGTGTGAAGTTGTCCAGGTCCTTGAAGTCCACGGTATCCTGGGCCGCCGCGACCAACATCTTGACCATCTCATTTCTTCCGTGCATGCATGCATAATGCAGTGGGATGCGGCCATAGACATCTGGGGCTCGTATGTTCGCGCCCTTGGCCAATGCCGCCTGGAGAACGTTGGCTTTTCCAAAGACAGGCGCCTCGTGTATGCAGTTTCGCTCGTTGATCGGGTCGGCATAGTTGAAGTCCACCAGATTCGTCTGGTACAGGACATCCTGTGCAACCGGAGCTGCCGTGTTGACTGTGTTCAGGAAGACTCGACTGATGCGCTCTCTGGCATCCTCGTTTCCAAATATCCTGCTGGACCACTCTTTCACGAGGGTAGCATTTCCTGCATTGATTGCCTGCAGGACTTGGTTCTCGATCTCATCGTCCTGGGCTGCAGGTTGTGTCCTGTTCTCGAGCTCTACAGCTGGAGTGTATGCGATCTTCTCTCCTTCTGCCCATGCCTGCAACTCCAGAAGCCCGGTTGTGGCTTGATCCGAGAGGTCGCTTATAACGTCGCGATTGAAGCAGGGCTGCACGTCGACCGCGCGCGAGAGGTACAACTCTTTGGTTCGAGACTATAGACGCGTCAGCATGCCAACAAGAATCGATTGCGCCAGAGGTGGATGCACCTTTGAGGATTTGTCCCACTGCCAAAAGTTAGCTCAAACCCTCATCTCAGCAGTAGAATACTAATGACCTTCTTCAGTATCTTCGAGAACGCCGTCTGGTTCACCTCCACAAACTGCTGTAACTTGTCGAGGTCGTTGCTGAAGAGGCGGAAGCCTTCGTCGAGAGTGACATAGCTGGAGGAAAGTTTCGAAGCTGGAGTTGCTCGGGACTGTAGACCTCTCTTCTTGTCTAATAGGGTGCGCAGGCGAAGTTTGAGCTGCGGTCCGTCAGTAGGTTCAAAGGTATGTTAGGAGAATTGGAACACAGACTTCGGCCTCCTTTTGAAGGTAGAATGTGTTGACCTTCTCCAATTCTCGCTCAAGCTTGAAGAAGAAGGTTGCCTTATTTGCCTGAAGTGAGGCTTGAGAGTCCTGCAGCGGTTCACCATCGCTGCCAGTAGCAGTTGCTGCAAGTATTGGAGTCGCGCTCAGCTTCTTGATGAGCTATTGGGCATCAGTGTCTGATCATGCCCAGTCCTCCTCTCACGACATCAACTCACCTTCTTCAAGGCTTTGTAGTCTACAAAGCTTGCCGCATACTCGGGGATCTCCAATTGACGCTTCTGGATATGCTTGCCGAACTTCCTTCAATCCTATCAGCACTGTCCGATGCCTTTCAGCCGGTTCGCCACCTCTCGCTGGACGTACATGTTGATGGCCGGTCTCTAGGACAGAGGGTCGTATGTAGTGGGCTTCTGCTCGAGTAGTGACACACGAGCCCAGGGCTATTGCTATCTGAGGCTCGTGGGTTGAAGATGGTCTTGCTGGAGACTCGAGATGGAAGCCGACATTCTGGTAGTGGCGTGGCTGGCGAGATTCAGTTCTTCGGCATGGCGAATGGAAGCGCTGGCACGGCGCGTAGCGACTGAAGGCGACGACAGTGAGTTGTCTTGTAAAGGTGAATCGCGGGCGTCTGTAGCTCGACAGAGCAAAGAGGTAGCGATGAGGACGGAAGGTACCACGGCTACAGTCACATGCAAGGTTGCTTGGAGTCTATCGATTAAAATCTGCGGCAGCGGTCGGTGGGGCCAGGTTGGCTTCACATTTGGAGCTTTGAAAGAGGGGTCCGTCGCTCGCACCGCAGCACGTCAAATTTCCGGCTGAGAGGGCGACTTTTTCACCAGCAACCAGAGTTGCAAAGGGCGAAAGGCACGCGGTTTGGCTGGCGGCGAATCGTGTCTGTGAGCGCGACAACGTGCTTCCCCAGCCCGTGGGCCATTTGCAGCCGCCGCTAAGCACAGATCCAGCAAGCCGATGACGAGCAGGAAATACTACGACTGCGACTGCATGAACCCGCTGATTTTTATTTTCATCTCTCGCAGGCCACCTGAGCAGCCTTAAGACATGAACAGAAGCGTAGTCGCTTCTGAAGGCTCGGATACATAATTGTTCCATGCATGCCTGCAACTTTGAGCGGAACGAGCGTACACGGTTTTTGGAGACAGCCAGCAGTCGCCAACAGCTATAGCCTCGACGGCATTATATGCAAGTTCATGCTGGTCATGCAGATGCAGGGCCTGCGCCGCAGTCATCCTTACCTCCTCGTTCCGGTCAAAGTAGAATGCATGGCATCGTCCATCATCCCTCCGGTTGCAACAACGATCAATCTCTGAGTAGTGCTCCGTACATGTATTGCTCAGACACCTTACGAATAATGGGGATCGTTCAACTTCGAGCGGAACAAGGAATGTAGCCTTTCCAGACAAAAATCGGACGAAAATCTACCTTTGAAAGGCAAAGCACCGATAATCATTGTTAGCTTCCATTCGTATGCATAAGACGCTCTGCTGCAGCAAGTGAGCTAGAAGAATGAACACATAGGAGTGATGGGGACAGTCAAAGCGCGTGTAGCTCTGCCCCAACTAACATCGTTATTGTAAGCCCGGTAGGTTGAGCATGTCTCAACTGTATCGACAAGACCGCCGAGACTGTAGAACAACTACTGGCCTGGGCATCATCGATGTTGTAGACGTCTTCCAGAAGGTTGCATGAACCTGAGAAGGGATATGGGCACAAAAGTGTTCATCTCGTCGACTACTTCTGTCCTTAGGCCCCTTTGAGCTCGTATCGGGCGCCTTTCAGTTCCTCCAGATCCACTGGCGCCAGCTGCCATCTCACAAACATGCTCAAACCATAGATCAACGCGGGTAAAGATTGTCTCCACGCAGCTTCTGCCTCTCCCCTTCTCCAGCTCAAGACAGCTGCGAGCTGCAACAGGCCCACCAGACCTGCGTTCAGTGGTATGAGATATCTCTCCAGGGGTCCTTTCTCCGCCTCAACCTTGTACACTGCCTTCTTTCCTTTCCGATCTGGTGGCTGCAAAGGTTGAAAGTGCAGAATGTATGTTGTGCAGAGCAGGCTCGTGAGACTCAGCAGGGCGAGAAGACGCTGCTGTGCAGTTGCTGAGGCCAGAAGCAGGCTGTAGAGGAAGTAGAGGGCGGCGATGAGTGGTATTGCGAGGAAGGCTTTTCGGTAGAGCTCGTTGGAGGCCGCATCTTGCGTTTGTAGGTCGCTGATGAGCTTTTCTTGGTGCTCTTCGTCCAGCTCGGAGGATATGGAGTCGGAGTCCTCAGAGGGATAGCGGAAGGCTTTGCGTAGGCGTGAGGACGTCGCCATGGTCGTTGTCGTTAGAGAGGGAGAAGGCGAGGCATTTGGGTGTTGTTCGGCGTGTTTATGTTTGTGCCGTTGCCTGCACGCAGAGCATGCATGTGATGGCGTCACATGCAGGGTCTTGAACTCGTGGTCGCTAGCGTGTGTTCTGCACGACGGCGCGGAACGAACCTTTTCTCCTTGCGCCTACATGATCTCCTCCGAACTTGGTGACACCATTCTTGCAACACATCAACGAGAGAAGGCGCCACATTCATTCGCATTGTGACAAAAGTCGTGCAAGACACCTTGGTACGATAGAGCCACTCCATGGAGGCTTCAAGTATCAATTGCGAAGTTCGCGCTTCACGAAGGGTGTCAGTCAACGGGCATTTCAAAGCCCGATCACGGCGATGAATCAGCTCAAAAGAGGAGGATGACCTTTGGCTCTGCCACACCACATTCAACATTCACTGGTGATACAGACTCGGCACAGGAGCAGGGACCTGATCAAAATGACCGACAAGCTTCCATCTCCGAACGACTTGGACGCCATGTCCACACTGGAGCCCGAGATTGCCGAACGACTCAAGGGCATGGCCGCTCTATTCCCAGCTGTACAAGCAACTGGATTCGTGGACATCATCAAAGAGCTGCGCCAACGCTTCGAGAATATACCAATTGCGCCAAAACGTGAGGACGTAGAGGAGGCTACATCAACGTTCCAGGCTCCTGATGGAACGAGCTTACGTCTGGTCGTGTACAAGCCTGCGAATGCGACCGGTCTTCTACCACTCGTGGTTTGGTACCATGGCGGCGGACATTGCGTTGGGATGCCAGAGCAAAACGCCGCTATGAACCGTGAGATTGCTCTACAGGAGCAATGCGTTGTCGTGGCCCCTCAATACCGCCTGGCGCCTGAACATAAGTATCCGGTTGGGTTCAACGATACTTGGGACGCTTTGAAGTACATTGCTGAAAACGCCCAATCCTTGGGTGCGGATCCCAAACTTGGCTTCGCCATAGGCGGCGAGAGTGCTGGAGGCGTGATCGCTTCCATTCTGGAATTGCGAGCCCGCAACGAGAGGCTCGAGCCTCCACTCACAGGGGCTTTACTCAGTGCCGGATCTTACTTCAATCCGAACGCCATCCCTTCGGAGTACAAGGACCGCTATCGTTCACGGCACGACGAGACTTGCAAAAAGTCGCCGATGCTCAGCGAGACAAGCGCCAAAGCGTTCTACGAATGCCATGCTGCTGACTGGACTTCAGCAGATTACCGAGCTGCTTTGGACCCCTTGGACCATGCAGGTCTTCCGAGAACTTATATCCAAGCGTGTGGCGCCGATATCAACCGCGATGATGGACTCTTGTACAATGATCTGCTTCAACGACATGGTATTGAGACCAAGCTGAGCGTATATGAGGGCGGTCCACATTGCTTTTGGTTCCTCTTCCCGGATACCTCGCTGGGGAAGAAATGGACACAAGATACTCACGAGGGGTTGAAGTGGCTACTGAGACAGAAGTAGATGTAATAGACAATAGACATTCTACATCACCATTCATTTGACCCTCAATATATCTGCAGCTGTGAAAGAAGCTATACTCAAACCTAAATGGTAGATCTAACTCAGCAATACTTTTACTATCGTCTGGACGACAAAAGTGCTAGTAGATTCGGCAAGCGGGCCGAACCTTCTCTGTTAGCGCAAGCGCACTTTGAACGCAAGTGAATGATTTCTGCGACTACTTCTATCTTTCCCCGCCAACGCAACAATGTGAGCCAGCAATGGCGAAGCATAAGAAGCGCAAGCTTCAGAATGCCCCAAAGAAGCCTTCGAAACCAGGAGCCAAGGCAACACCGCAAAAGCCGTCCAAACCACAAAAACTCGAACCGACGATTCCCTTCCACGCCGAAGATCGCATTCTTCTAGTCGGCGAGGGCGACTTCTCCTTCGCCAAGTCCATTGTTGAGAACCACGGCTGCTGCGACGTGACCGCGACGTGTTTCGACTCGCAGGTCCATCTGTTCGAGAAGTACAAGCCGCAAGCTGTAGAGCATGTCAAGTATTTGGAAGATGAAGGGCAAACTGTGCTATATGGGGTCGATGCAACGAAACTGGACAACAACAAGAGCTTGAAGAAGGGAGAGCTTTTTGAAGTTGTCCTCTTCAACTTCCCACACGTCGGGGGCAAGAGTACCGATGTCAATCGCCAAGTGCGGTTTAATCAAGAACTTCTCGTGAGCTTTTTCCGCGCCGCAACACCTCTCCTGTCGCCCAGCGGTACGATTGTAGTAAGTCTATTCGAAGGCGAGCCGTATACCCTATGGAACATACGTGACTTGGGGCGACATACTGGCTTGGAGGTTGTTAGGAGCTTCAAGTTCCAGGCGGACGCGTACCCGGGATACAGCCATGCGAGGACGCTGGGTAACATCGAAGGTGGTGGTGGGTGGAAAGGAGAGGATAGAGATGCGAGGAGCTATGTGTTCAGGAAGAAAGGCGGGGCGGACGTGCAGGCTAGAGCAGGTGCAGACGTTGGTGGGAAGAGAAAGAGGAAGGATGGAGATGACAATTCGGATGAGGAATGAAGCGGTGATGGCACTGTACAGAATCGACATTATGGCAGTAAACGGGAATGCGGGAGAGTATCTGGCCATCCCAGACAAGACACAAAACCCGTCAAAACTGAACACAAGAAGAGTCGTGGCAGTCACGTTGACAGGCCAATTTCAGAGTCCACCGCCGAACTAGTATGATTGTGCTCAGCATTCGAGATGGCTGAATGTCCGCAACAGCAGAAGCTTTATACATCTAAAAAGGGTATCTTACACTCAGCGCATTCACTTCCATCAGACACCGGCCTCTTTCGCGACGTCTGCGCCCTTCGCCTGCTCTCGTGCAATGACCTCACCAATCTTGGCCAATTGCTCCGGTGTCAACTCTTTCGGTTGTTCCTGTCTTTGCTTCGCCCTGAGATCTGCCAGCTCCTGCAAAGGTGTACGCATCGTCTTAATGAGATTTTTCCTATCGCTCTCCTTCGCCTCTTGCATTTCCTTCTTGACAACGTAGTCGTAGTCGTGCCGTGTCCTGAATCTGCTGTACTTGCCTCGCAACTCATCGATGACTGAGAGTGGCATTGGCGGCCGGATGAGGAACGGTCTGAATGTCTGCTCTTCCACTGAGATGCGCAGCGAGTCACTTTCGTGGTCTTCGTAGTCTGGATCTGCCTTCTCCGGCCAGGGTATCAGCATGTTCGTGCCAGGAATGACCCGATCGCCGTCGTCCCATTCTTTGAGGTTCTTGTCCCAATGTCGATTGACGGGTAGGAGACGGTCTATGATGACATCTCGGTGAGCTCCGGTCTTGGGGTCAGGCAGCGGATACACCAGCTTGACATCTTCGAGTGGCACACTTCTGGCTTGCGTTGCCATATCCCTGTCGTTCTGATTCTCTTGCTTCAGCCATTCTGGAATACTGATGTCCACCAAGTTGAGTCCTTCGACTGAGACAGCTACTGTTTTTGGATCCACACTGCGCACTCTTCCTATCCTGCCCCTGTCTCTACCCTTCAACATAACCACTCGATCGCCCTCCGATATGTGAATCCATTTCGGTTGGTCCTTGGGGTCTTTCTCAGGAAGCTGCCAGTTGTATACCCCCATTGTAGCGTACGTCTTCGCTAAGTCACCGACATCTCTTCGTGGAGCCAAAGCTCCTGTCTCCCAGTCATGTATGCGGTTCTTTCTCTCCTGTCGTATGAGGTCGTTTTGTTCTTTGAGGAGCCGCACGCGATTCTGGTTCCGGTTCCAAGATTCTTCTTTCTCTTGTTGAAGGACGCTCCTGGCTTTCTGTCGGTCCGCAGTCCGTTTCGCCCTTTCGGCGCGCCGTAGGACTTTCTGCATGGTTGGCGCGATGGAGACAAGATGTGCGAGGTGCGCGGTCAATGGATGGTCGGAGGTTTCGGGGGTCTTCTTTTGGCTCAAGCGCTTCTTGGCATCAAGTTGAACGACCTCACCTCACTCGGTCCCTCTGTTCGACGATACCCAGCACACTCTGCATCTTCACGTGCGCACACTTCAGCATCAGTTCGTCCACAATCTAGCATGGCGCACATGCTGCCGCTCTCGACGCGCCGGATGATTGGTCCTTGGGCATCTTTGTGACGGCAGCATGTTTCAGCGCATCCGGGCGGCTACACCGGCCGCTCACTGGATTGTTCAATGCCCTTCAGTCTGCACGACTGCGGCGTTCGATTTTATGCCTGTTGTGTTCAGTGAGCGGAAAAGAAGACGGCTTCTGTGTCCAAGGTTTGTGCCCAATGGGCAGCAGTTCCGCTCTGACTTGTATTTCCACCAGCTTAGAGTCACCGTCTTGATATGCTACTGCACAGCAAACTGGCGCTTCTGTTTACTGGAGCGTAGCATTGGTGGTAGAAATTGACCTCCTTTAAGTCTGGTTTGATCCACGAAGCAGTCTTCGGCCTACACTTTGCCCACTCTCTGCTTTGAAAGCTCCACGCCGTTCGCTACTTTCGTTGGTTATGTGGCTTGCTTGCCTTCTTGCTTTTGCAGACATTGCATCGGCGTTAACGTGTGCGTCAAAGTCAAAACTTCACCTTCCCGCCTGCTGATTCCTATGGGTAGACTATCCTAATGACACGAACGTGCCTTCAAGTACTTTGGGCGGCTATATGCTTCGAAGACGAGATTATGCATCTTCCGGAGCTGGGGTTTCAAATGGCAGATTGCCATCTGCTACAGGAGTTTCTGAGTCGGTACCGAGAACGTCCAATGCTTCCCTTTCGCTGGCTTCATCTGTCTCGGCTGTCAAATTCCACACAGATGTGTTCAGCGCCTCTATCGACTGGCCACGACCCACGGCTATACCTCACGCAACGGAATGTTGGTCGAAGATCGCTTCCTGGAGCAGTTCGAGCATCTCCTGGTATAACACACACGTCGCAGGCCTGTCATGGCCGGTTACGAGCTCGACTACAATTGCAAAATGGCAGACTTCCAAAGCATACACATACTATCCGACCGACCCCAGCACATATAAGTTGTGCGATGGAAGTGCACGGGTCAATGTTAGGCCTTCATCGACAACGACTTACTTTAATTCTACTTCGGGCACCTACACAAGAACTTACCTGGCAACGCCTACATTCAGTCCTCGACCGTGCAACCCAACCCCACAAGATTGTCACATATGGCACAACAAATCCAGTATTCCTGAGTTCAACGAGGATTCCCTGATTGATCTATGCGGCAATCCATCTCATGGAGTGGACCAGCCTTGTGTTTTTGGAATTGAGGGAGCCGTTGAACTAATCTACTTCCCAGTCAAGGATGCAAACGCAAACGCAAGTCTTTGTTCAGGAAACGCGTCAACAATCACAGCTTTACCGACCGGTGATGGACCGAATGCTATCACAACGCTAGGCCGTACGTTCACCAGTGGAGCCGTCTACATGTCCATCAAAGCATTATCTGCATACGTAGATGGCTTTGACTATCTTATAGGACCTTCATTCACGGATTTGATCCTCACGCTTTCGTCTTCAGAGGTCTCAAGTCAATGCAACGGAAACAAGATCGCGACCAGCCTGGATTTTGCTGACCTGAACTGGCCAGTGCCAGCTAGCGCATATAATTGTCAGAATCGCTGTGGACACTTCCACATCAAAGACTCGGAGACACCGGCGCAGTGCTCCACCATCTGGAGCGACGTGAATCCTCTACTAGCGATTCCCACAAAGATTACGGAGCTATCGCCACTATGGGCGACTTGTGCGTTCGAGGTACCGTCACTAGCCAACTACTGGTTCGAGTATGTATCATCAGGCATGAAGAGCCGCCACTGAGAGATCTTTGCTAACTTCGTGACCTAATAGTCCCCCAATCGCACTTCAAGAACAACAGGTGATGGCAGTTCCGACCCTTTCTGCTACACCAGAATCTTGGACAACACCTGCCGCCCCTTCTTCAAGGCTTCCAGACCCAACACCGACCAACACCGGCTCTGAGCATCCAGCAGCAGAAGCATCCCTTTCTTCCGGAATTGAGCACCCTACTGAAATGATCATCCCATTTGCCCCCATTGGAGCGACGTCCAGCTCCGCGAATTCAGGACCCGTGCCAACTGAAGTTAATGAGAGCGGCGCCACACCATCGTTGCTGAGTTCAGCGCCCTCCGAGACCGAAGCGATCGATCCCATGCTTTCTTCGTCATCCACACTGCCGCAGACCAGTCATCCACAAGACATTGAAAGTTCAGGACCTACCTCAAGTCATCCGCCGACCGTAATACCACCAGCTATTTCGATACTTACAGGAGCTCTGTCGTCGATCCAATCGTCTTCGCCTTCAGCCAGTGGAATCCAAGATGTCAACTACGATCCAATCAGCTCTGCTGCAGGCGAAGACCAAGCCAGTCCTCATTCAGGTGCCTGGCAAAGTGGACAAGCAACAATAATCTCAGACGGTTCGTTGAGAGCCAACCCTTCTGGGATGGAGTCTCAGACCATGCCAACGTTTGCACTGCAGCTGGGGAGTGATACACCAGCGACCACGATCGTAGGCGTGCACGGCTTTACTGTTGCATCCTCGGCAATCGCAAGCAACTCACAAGCAGTCGCTATAAGCAGTCAATCCATCTCAATTGGTGGCCCAGCCGTAACGATCTCAGATCATGTCATCACCCATGGGTCTGACGGCATCGCGCTCATCTCTCACTCGAAAACGATTCCTTTCACCCAAGTCTCGCTTCCCGCACAGAGCACGCTTGCAGCAGGAAGTCTGACACTGGTAGCATCGCCTGTGCCCGGAAACACAGATGCCGTCGCCGTTGACGGAACGCCTATATCTGTCGGTGGACCTGCAGCAACGATCAGCGGGAACGTAATCTCGAAGGCCTCGAGCGGGCTCTTGCTCCACGGATCGATGACGACGGCGTTTGCAGATACAGCAGCATCCTCTAATATACAGCAGGAAGGTTCTGCTGCAAGTGTGCTCGCTGCAGGCAGCTTCACACTCACGGCATTATCGCCTTCTGGCACCGACGCTGCTGTGGTCGACGGGAGTACGATATCTCGCGACGGACCAGGCATCACCGCGGCTGGACTCACAATCTCCTATGCTTCTAGTGGACTCGTCCTCGTGGGTGCCCAATCGACTGCAGCATTCAGTGCGGTCCAGGCTCAGACCAGTGCGGCCGACATCTCTGACGCTGATGAGACCACCTGGGCTCTGGGCTCCCTTACCTTTACAGCAGCCGCCGTCACGAATCAACCAGATCCCATCAGTGTCCATGGTACGACTCTATCCAAAGGTGGATCTGCGGCAGTGATCAATCATGCAACTCTCACCATGGGATCCAGTGGGCTCGAACTGGTGAAGCCATTGACGAGTGGAAGAGGCACTACTCTCCCGGTCATTGCCAGTCTGAACAGCACTCAGACCTTGCCTTCACTGGTGGTGACGACGACTTCGACATCTTTGGCTTCGGCGGCGCAGCCTGCTGATGCAACTGCGACATCATCACACTCTGGCGCTGGAAGTCCGCCACGACGATTTGATAGAGTAGTGAATAGCTTGCTTGGATGCTGGATCTTGTACATAGCTTTGGTAATATGAGCTGCACGTTTGTTGAGCTGTAGAGTTGGAAGGGTTTGGCCATGTGGCCAGCATCTGGTACCTGAAGCTAGTGACCCAACCTGGAGGATTGACTTCGAAATGCGTCGGTGGGATTGGAAGAGACTGAGAGCCTCGTGGCTTCGACAACTCATTCCACGGTTCAACGAGAAGTCAATGGCAGACAAGCTTGAAACATAAAAATGGACTTGCAGAGTCGTCTTCAAAATCGAACAAGTCCGAAAACCTGCGAGCTTCAATCAAGATGTCTATCAACAAGAATGTTAAGGAACGATGACAATGTGGTGGCAACGTGTGGTATCGACAAAAGACGCACAGGCCTTTGCACGTTGCCACTGTAGTGTTTGCCGTGCATGACTCTGTGTGCGCCCAGGCCCTGCCCTTCATGCGAAACGCTCGTTCGCTTTCCAATTTCCCTCTTCCCATCGTGAACTCGTAAAGTTTTGTCGCCATTCTCTGTTGCTGAATGCGATTGCGTTGTGTACGTTTTGTGTGTTGTGCGTGCGCCCCCCCCCCCCCCCCAATATGTAATGCGATGATGTTCCTGCGTCGCGTTGAGATCAACTCCAATAGCCAGCCGAACACTTTTTAGCCACGTAAACGAATGGTTTACATGAAGTCCCACTTGATGCCGTGGACACGGCCGTCGCCGTGGTTGGTGACGGTGTTGAAGAAGTCCTCGGAGAGATCAAGGTCGGCCTTCTCGCAGCCTGGGCAGCGATCGACGATCTTGGCCTGGTATTGAGAGCCATCTACGCCGGTGATGGAGACGTATTTGCCGCAAAGTGGATTCGCGTTGGGGTTGCCATTGTTGTATGAGTCGAAGATGGCCTCGGCAACGGCAACAATCTTCTCGTCCTGGGTGTTGGTCCAGCCGCATGCACCAAGACCGACCGCGTAGTAGGTCAAGTCACCGGTATAGGAGGTGCCAGCCTTGGCCATGCCATAGGTGACGCCAGAGCCGCTGCCAGACGAACCAGAATCAGAAGATGGAGCTGGTGCAGAGTAGGCTGCAGGGGTGGAAGTCGTTGGTGCAGCGTATGTGGTTGGTGGTGGGGGAACATAAGTAGACGTTGGTGTGGTTGGAGTTGGCGCAACGTAGACAGAGGTGCTGCTGGGGGTTGGTGCAACATAAACGGAAGTGCTGCTGCTGGAGGCTGGTGCTTCGTAGGCCGGGGCACTGCTGGGGCTGCTCTCTGCTGGGCTGCTTGGAGGAGTGTACGCTGGCGCAGATGGCGCAGAAGTGGCCGCTGGCTCAACGTCTGGAGAAGATGAAGCTGGTGGGCTGTATCCTTGAGGCTGCTCGGTTGGAGGAGTCTCGCCTGGCTCGATCCAGACCGTCTTGGTGACTGGAACAGTAACGACAGCCTCTTCAGTGTGGGTGACCCAGACGTAATCGCGTTTGTGATGGTGGTGGTGTGGCTCAGCCATTGGGACGGCAGCAACGACCGAGAGGAGGGCGCCGGTCACGGCGAGAACACTGTTGGTGAACATTGTTGATACTGGCGTATTGATAGTCTTGAATTCGTCCGGTTATGGAAGGACTGTGGGTGGATCGGCTTGCGATTCCTGGTATCTTTGTTGATCGGGCAGATTGGCAGCAATGTCCTGACACAAAGAATGTGTAGATCTGTCAAAGATCAAGGAGCGACTGAGGGAGTGAGTAAGGAATGTGAGGGACGAATGTCTTCAAGCCGGTGAAGCGTGCAGAGGGAAACAAAAACGAGGAATGCGGAGGAGGTCGTCCTTTGTAGGGGTAGGGAGGGAGGGAGGTAATCGGGTTGAGCCACCGCCCGCCAGCGCACCAAGGCCTTGGTGAGTCCGTCAGGTGGGCTGAGAGGAACAGTGCATCTGGTCTGTGGGCCGCGGGAGAAGTTCCTGTCGTGCTAGCGACATCTTGCAGGACCAACCACATGCCAGGATGCCGGTCTGTCGCAGAGCCGGCACTCCCCTGATGCTTCAGCCTTCCCGATCACACGCCAATCGCTGTCGCTCCAGCATTCTCCGCACCTGAGCCTTATGCCGCACTAGAAATCTTTGCTGCATATGCTCCAGCTACCTCTTCTGTACATGTAGGCCACGTCGATCGCGTGCAGCAAACCCACTGTTTGCAAGAATCCATTCAACGCAAACTGAGTCCGTGGTTCTGGGCCAGATTCTGCTCGTTTCTCTGCCAGACCGTGTTCCAAATACGGCAGCCGTATCGGCTTTGCTCAGCCACTCCACGCGTTTCTGTGATGTCTCCTTTCGAGCGCACGCTTTGGGCGTCTTCCAGTCATTTCACCGAGCTCACGGGTTTCACCAGCTCGAAGCAGAAAGGTGCGTCGACGCTGCGGGAGTGCCTGAGAGACAGGCCAATGGGAGGGAGGACGAATGCAAGGAACGTGAGATTAGCCGCATGGATGGGACCGCTCCTTGCCACGTTGACCTGCAGCCACGACTTCTGAGTTCTCCTTTGCCAGCGACATCAACAAAGCTGCGTCGCATCGCACCCCGATCGTTTTGCGCCTGCTGTGGTTTGCTGAGCAAGAAATGCCGCACCCCATCGCCCAGTGATCCATCTCGGCGACGACGACTTGCCGGGCGGTCTTCCGAGCTGTGGTCCTGGTTCGGAGGCGGGCTAGAGGGCGCGGCAAGTGGGCTCTTAACGCACGCTTCAAACTGAAACCAGAAGGTCGAGGAGTCGTCTGCTCAACTCCGGTCCAGTCTCGATTCCCTCGCCGCCGCAGTTTCTTCCTGGTCGCTCTCTGCAACCGGCCGTCGAATCAAATGTTGGATGTGACGAGAAGGAAACCTTCCCAGCTGCAGTGTTGCAGCGCCGAAATTGCAGGTGGAGTTGGTGCGCAAGCATTCTCATTGGTGCGCATGTTGCCATCCCGAAGCCGATCCGGTTCACAAGGTCCTGGCATTGCGTGCCTGAGGTGTTTTTCGGTTGAGATCGCAGCACCTTCCTTTCTGTTCATTCACTTCACATGAAAATTTACGGCGATCACCGAGGACGGCACTTCACCACAATCCAGACGTCTGGACACTCGCTCTCGGTGCGTAGCTTCCCGTGGGTCAGGACAAGACTCGACACAGACTCTGCTCGACGGTGCATCACGCAATGTCTCGTGGCGTACGCCGATGACGGGTAATGGAGCAACAGTGGACGTTTCTGTCGGACGTTGGATGGCACGCGGACGAACACGATGACAGGTGTGTGGCACTGCACAAGACGACCTATTGTTGCATTGTATACAGGGCATTGCAAATCTCGACGTTGACCGAAGATCCATCTCCACAAACAACGCTGTAGCTGCGGTTCTCGGCTACCACATACTCCAGGAATGCACGCTTCTCAACGCATCCCGCCTTTCGGCAGGCGGGCTACAGTCTTGATCGCCCGGTGTTCGCCGAGCAAGCTGCTTTCGCAGTTCATCAGGCAAAAGACTGTTGAACACCGAGACTAGAGAGCTGGGCGAAGCGGCCAAAGGCGTTTGCCCCCGAGGCCGTGCTAAACTGCTCCATCCCGGCGTGATTCCTGGATTCCTGGCGTCAACCACTCTCCAGCACAGTTTTCAACACATTTGGAATGGTTCAATTGATGGAGCTGGTGGCCTTGTGTGTCTCATCCTGCAGGACGTGTCGCTGGCAGACGTTCCCTCAACGTGCTTGTTGTTTCGACTCCGGTTCACTGGACCGCCAAGGTGCATGCTCGGTAAAGTCACGTCGTGACCCTTTCTCACGACAGCTACTGGATTCTTGCAACTGGCTAAGAGGCTACAAGCCCTTGTGCACCAGATGTGAAGACCGCTTATGTCTCAGCACCACTCCCAGGTCATACAGCACACGGGTCTTGTGGCTTGGTGGCAGTCAGCACGCGCATGCCTCAAAGATGCAAAGCGAGAACAGCATGGAGGTCAGTGTACTGGTTCTGTTTGTTTCATGTGCATACAAAGCGTCGTGTAAGCGCCATGCCTTTCGTCCTGCAAGCTGTGAAAAGTCCGAAAGAACCTCCGTTACCACTGATGAAGATGTAGGCCCTTGAATGACCTTGACGAACACTCGTGATTTTCCGAAACCAGATTCGAATCCAACATACGAATCGTAAATGGCTTCTGACCCAAGTAATACGACTCGAGGACGTGAAGCCCTCACTTTACGTAAGCTCCAGCAAAATAGGCTATCGTCGTGATTGGAGCTACTGCATATGAAGGAGCTCATCGTGTTGCTCAAAAACACCACAAGTTTCAGGCTTCGTTACACAGAGAGAAGAGTACAAGCGATCACCAGAGCGAACCGTAATGTCTTTCCTAGCCATTGAGGGTTACCATGCGTTTGTGACCGGGGCGCAAGGCGGAATCGGGAGGACCATTGTGCAAGAGCTACGAGGTATGCTATTATCGCGATCTCGCGAACGCAGGCTGACATGCAATTAGCCAATGGATGCAAAGTCACGGCTCACGATCTCAAGCCCGCACCGACTTCTGAGGACGCCGACACCTTCAATGTCTCAGGCGACATATCAAACGAGGAATCCATCTCGAAAGCCATGCAGTCGGCGGTGGAACGGTTTGGACCTATCAACATTCTCGTGGCCAACGCAGGTATCACCAACGAGGCCAGCCACCCAAACATCTGGGAGCTGCCGCTCGAGACTTGGGAGAAGGTGTACCGTGTCAACGTTCGAGGCTGCTTCCTCACAATCAAGCACTTCATTCGAGCCGCCATCCGCGCACAGGAGCAGAACGGTGGCAAGGAGCTGGAGAACCTGTCCATTATCGTAACGGGCAGTGAATGCGGCAAATTCGGCCAAGCAGGTCACTCAGAGTATGCAAGCGGGAAAGCAGGCCTACAGTACGGACTGGTGCCTACTGTTAAGAACGAGATCGTGCGCATCAACTCGAAGGCGCGGATCAATGCTGTTGCGCCTGGGTGGGTGAACACAGAGCTGATTGGGGAGCGACTGGACGATCCAAGGGAGCTGTACTTTGAGGGTCAGGGGACTGTCGCTCTCAGGAAGATCGCGAGGCCAGAGGATGTGGCGACAGCTGTATGCTTTCTTGCCAGTCATCGGGCGAGCGGACATACAAGTGGGCAGGTCATTAGTGTTGACGGCGGCATGGAGGGTAGGGTGGTCTGGAGAGAGGAAGAGGTGATGGGGAGCGCTTTCGAGGGAAGGAAGGTGTGAAAGCTCTAGTGGGTCTTGTCATTGGCCGCACCTGCCACTTTCGTTCTTGCGTTGTACAAACTGCACAGCTACCCGACTCTCGACCCTTTTACATATACCATCACCACATATCAATCATGTCTCAAACAAGCCCCCGGGCCAAGATCAACATCGCACTCGGCATCGACTTTGATGCCATCTCTGGTTGGGTACAGGATGAACTGTATCTTCACATCCCACGCCACCGCTAACGTTGTTCCCAGCTAGGGACCGGCGCCCATCCCAACAACACAACATCAGATTACTCTGCTGGCTACTTCAGTGCGCATGTCGGCGTGCCTCGCCTGCTGGCCCTCTTCGATCGCCTTCAAATCTCCGACAAGGTCACCTGGTGCATACCTGGACACTCGATCGAGACCTTCCCATCCCAGACCCGTGCTATTGTTGCCTCGGGTGCCGAGATAGCCCTGCATGGTTACGCCCACGAGAGTGCCCGCCAGATGACAGGACAGCAGGAACGTGACGTGCTGGAGAAGTGCATCTCTCTTGTCGAAGGCCTTACAGGAAAGAGGCCGCGAGGATATCGGGCACCGCTGTATCAACTATCGGAACGAACCATCTCACTTCTACAAGAATACGACTTCCTCTGGGACTCCTCACTCTCACACTACGACAGCGTACCGTATTTTCTCCCCAAAGATCCCATGCCAATCAAGCCAATCGACTTTCGACCAGACGCCAAAGCCGAGGAGTGGATGCACCCTTCGCCGAACTTCAACGACTTGCCCAAGAGCGGCTTGATCGAAATCCCCTGCAACTGGTATGCCGAGGACATGACGCCTCTGCAGTTCTTCCCCAACACTCCCAATTCGGCAGGGTATGTAGACGTTAGGGTAGTGGAGAGGATGTGGATGGATAGGTTTGAGTGGCTCAGAAAGGAGATGGTAATGGGGACCAGGAAGGATGAGGTGATAGTGTACAGCCTGGTGATCCACCCTGACACCAGTGGGATGGCGCATGTGATAGGGATGTTGGAGAGGTTCTTGGAGTGGTTACGAGCATTCGGCGAGGAGGTGGAGTTCAAACGATACGAAGACATCGCAGAGGAGTGGAGGGCAACGCGCGGAGGTGAGAAGTAAGTGTAAGCCGCTCGATCACGAATGGTTGCATGGAGTTTACGGACATTCACAGGATTGGCCCTCTCATACCGTAACAACCATACTCGACGCCACACAAGCTGCAACAACCTCCCCCAAGAATCCCCAAAATGGCGGCCGATCGCCGACCATGCAAAGCAAACCAACATTTCCGTCACCTAAGGCCCGCATAGGTTCTCATTGATCGAGCATTTCGGCACTTGACCGCACATGGTCTCCGCGAAGTGACGCCAGTCGCACTTCATGGTGTCGCGGCGCTGTGACTAACTCGCATGGTTAGTTAAGAGCTCGCCCGCCTGTCAAAATCGCACCATGTTTACGGCCCGCAGGCGTCTGGATTGTACGAGCATTTTGGCATTTGGCCGCATATTGTCTCCAGGAAGTGACGCCAGTCACACTTCATGGTGCTGCGGTGCTGGGAATGACTCTCTTCGACCCCAGCGGCATCGCGTGCCTGTTGGGCACCCAATCAGCCAGGACCCGCCTGCATTCGGATCGATCGAGTATCTTGGGACTGCGCCGCAGAAAGTTTCCAAGAAGTGAAGCCAGTCACAACTGGACCCGATCAAGACCGACAAGTCACAGCAGACTCTGCAGCGTGGGCGCGGCAAGTTTTTCATGGTCCCGTACTATTCAAGGCCGACAGCGGAAGGAAAATGGTTGCCACTCACCTTATCGCGCAAATGGGCCATCTTCTCCTTCACGACGGGAGACAAGTTGTCGTGCCACTCCTGGGCGAGGCCGTCGAGATAGGTCGTGTTGGCGAGGTTCTATCGAGAAAGGGGTGTCAGTATCAACAGAAGGGACGCGAGGAATCCGTGACGGCCTTACACCGACAGCATCCTCCGCAACGCGGGTGACGTCGGCCTTGTAGCTCGCGATCTCCTCGTTGGTGAGGACATCGGCCATGGCCGCTTGGAAGTTGTCGCCGAGTTCCTTGGCTCGGTCGAGGACGGCGAGGCGGGCGTCGTTGGCCTGGTATATTGTTAGCCGTGGGGAGAGACGGGACAAGTAGGGGATGTTGGATACGTACGGCAGTGTCCACTGGGGAAGTGGGAAGGCTGCTCACGCCGAGGATGAGGGAGGCGAGGATGGTGGTGAACTTCATCTTGATTGCTGTTGTGAAGTGGTGTTGTAGGTGGATTTGGAAGTATTGCGATAAGTTTTGGTGATTGAGAGTGATGGAGAAAGGGAAGTGAAAGGCGCACCCTCGAGTGACTTTTAAGGACTCCGTCAAAGGCACCATTTTGCAATTTCTACGTGGAGATGTGGTGCGTACCAGCTTCGAGATCGTGGTTGCAACTCAAGAGCTACTCATTTACTTGAATAGGTACATCGTTATTGGTCGAGGCAGCATACAGTCACTACCCCATCCCTAGCAACGAATAGGAATTAGCGTATATGTCAATGAAGCTTTGAACTTACGGCCATGTGACAGCCCCTTTTCCCAGAATTTTACGATTCAACGTCACGAGAGGATTAAGAACTGTACAGACATGAGCAGGCCAACCTATCGACGAGCGTACATATCAGCCATCATGACGAAATTCTTTCACCTCCCGCGTTCCCATCGACTACGACCAGAAGATTACAACTTAGAGGCCATGTGGCCTATCCGTGGCATGGACGTGCAAAGCCTGTGGGAGAAAGAATTCAAGAAAAGCGACCCACGAAATCTCTCGATAGATGGGAAATAAAAGGTACTGAGTGCCTCGCCTCGTCTTCCATGCAGCCCATCGACATCGTTCTTCCTTTCCTCCTCCGCCCCAGTCCCGAATCGACATCAAGATCAAGATCAACACCAACGTGAAGCTCACCACTATCCTCGCCTTCGGCACCGCCATCGCAGCAGCATCCGTACGTCCAACCTCTCAACCTCCACGCAGGCACAATATCTCCCCTCCCCCTTAGGCTACAAAGACAGTCCAACTGACCCAAACCGCCCACAGCCCTCTCCAGACCACTCACCTCACCAAATCATCTCCTTCACCTCCCGACCCTCGCCATCCACCACCACCTCCTCCACGGTCGGTATGCTCCCCCACATGCAAGACAAATTCCAAGACATCCTCTCCGACCTCAAGCGCCAGGAAGCCAAGTTCCGGGCCTTTATCCTCAGTGGAATGGAGACGACCCCCGACAACGCCTACGTCGAGCGACAGCACGCAGAAATTCTAGCAGCGGGCGAGCCTGAGATGAAGACAATCACCTCCCCTTCCACCACCTCCGCCTCCTCTACCGTCGGCCGCATGCCCGACATCCAGGAGGGATTCAAAGACATCCTCGAGCGCGGGACAGAAAAGATCCGTGTAGCCCACGAGAAGCTGCTCGACGCTCTCGAAAACGCATACGCCAAGGCGAGGCTCGACGCTCTCGAAAACGCCTCGCCCATCGAAAGCAACGACAACGACAACGCCTCCGCCTCCGTCAACGATCACCAGCAACAAGAACAACAACAACAACCCACATCCCTCATAGCCTCCTGCAGCATCAAGATGCTCCCCCCCTCCGACAAGGAAACCTTCCCCTTCTCCTCCTTCCTCTCAGACACAATCACCATCCACCCGACCCCGGAGGAATCCGACCAACTCGCCTCCATCCTCCTCAAGTCCTTCGCCCGCGAGAGATCATTCCTCCTCTTCCAGGACTCCGTCGCCACGACCTGGGAACAATGTCTTTCTGACGACGAGGGGGAGGCGGGGATTGAGATTGCTGTTGGTGGGGAGGAGGACGGACGTGCAAGTGCAGGTGCAGATGTTAAGGGGAGGGAAGGAGGATCGAGGAGAACTATGGATCATTGGGGCGGGAATGCTGTGGTTTGATCAAGGGTTTTGCAGGGCGGAGGGAGGGAGCGTCGTTTGGCGCGGCAAGAGGGATCGTGTTTGCTTGCGGCGGTGGTATTGTGTATGGTCGAGGCTGTTGTTCAGATATCGCTTTGATGTATGTTAGCAAGTTGTCTCTCGAGAGTCAACCCTATCCAAAAAAAGTGTACAGTAGTGTCATATATCGCAGTAGATAAAAGGTTGAAAAGTCATGAACCGTAATAAATATTCAAGGGGTATGTGATCGCGCATGGCAGCAGCCAGCAGTATTAAACCTACAATGAGGCGTAGTAGTAGTGATTGGGTAGTAGTAGTAGTAGTAGTAGTAGTAGTAGTAGTAGTAGTAAAAAAATCGTTGAGGATGAGCTGTAAGTGCTTCGTTTTCCCCTTTTCTCTCCCCCTTTCCAAAATAAACACACGCAAAAACAAAAGCCAGTAACAGTTGGAGGTATTGGTTGCTCTAAACAGAAATAATCAGCTTCTGCACACGCGCGCCGGCGATGCTGCCCACTGTGCACCCTCCTCTCATCTGTCCAAGAGTGAACGCCATCGCCATGATATCGAACCAGTCGCAGAGAGCCTCGGTCTTTCGCTCAAAAGGACGATTCATCCCCAACACTTGCAAGCCGACTAGCCGGTCGAGAGTGCAACCAGAAGCGTGGTTGCTTTTGGAGTAATGGGGGAATCGTATCCAAACGAGAGTGGTATCGTTGGCCGTTATATAATGCTTTTGTTTTGTACACATCAAGTTCTCGAGGCCGTTTAAAAGTTCTGGGCAATACCAGAGTTGCCTTGCTGGTAGTTGCCAGGCTGTTGTATCCGCGTGTTGCGTCGCGCAGAGACGTCTCGTACGACCGGCATGCCGTTGTCGGGGGCATTACCACCGCCGTAGGTGCCGTCGCCGTAGGGGCCGTGCTGGCTATAGCCGAAGCCGTTGTTGGCGTTGTAGGCCTCGTATGATGATGCCATGCCGCCTGGTGGTGCTGCGCCATCGGATACATCTGAGTGACCGGCAGCAGAGTATGTGGATGATGCGTTGGATGGTCCTCGCTTCATGCCAGGCTGGTTAGCACTGGCCAGGGGCGCCTGGCCGAGAGATCCAACATCATCACTGTTCATCGTCTCTCGTCGGTTGTGCATCAAAGCGTCGCCGCTATTGCCGTCAGAAGCACCACCGGTAGGCGAAACACCTCCGCGGTACGGGTTGCTGCCTGTGTCCGAGAGCTGACCTTGCGTGTGGCCTCCTGAAAGTGTGGTCGACATCTTGCGGTTCGACGCGCCTGCAGCACCCCAACCCCTGTAACCGCTGCTGTGGTCTTCTGACATTTCTTGACCGCTCTCAGAGGCCACTGTGGGCAGTGTAGGGTCGTTGTTGGGGTTGAAGCCATAGTCTTCGACCTCCTTACGGCGCGCTTCCTCTGCTGCTTTCCTTTGCTTGCGCTTCCGCCAGAAAAAGATGCCAGCAAGGACGAGAAGCGCAACTACTACGACTGGTACGACCACAGCGACGGCCGTCGTGCCTGCAGTGCTCAGACCGCCACCGCCTGACTTGGAATCCTTGGTGCCGGTATTAAGGGCTGGCGATCCAGAGGTGGTGGAAGACGCGTCCGATGTCGATGCGGCCGAGGTTATAGGGACAGTGGTGGCATCTTGGGTTTGGGTCACGACGACAGTGACCGGGCTTGCGGAGGATCCATCGGAGGTCTGGCCGGTGGTGACGACGGAAGTAAAGACGCGTGTGGTGGCCGGTTGCGAAGATATCGAGATTGTCGTGGTGGAAGATGGCTGGGTGGCGCTCGACTCGACGGTGGTGGTGGATGAGGGCGAGAGAATGGATGACGATACGGCCGAGGAGATGGAGGAAAGGATGGACGAAGATTCGATCGAGGATGATGTCGAAGAAGTGACCGGCGGTGGAGTCGAGGAGGACTCGGTGGTGGGCGGGACGCTGGAGACTGAAGAGGTGGACGGGTCAGCGCTGGTGGTGGGCGGGACGCTCGTGCTCGACGACATGGTGGTGGGCGGCGTCGAAGGCGACGAGGACAGCGACGAGGTGGAGACGGAGGAGGCAGAAGATGCTTTGCGGGCGCATTAGTATGCCAACGGGCGACTGATTGCTTCGGCTGGCACCAAATAATAATGCGACAGACAAGAGGTGCAATGGGCAGTCAGCAGCGCTGGGAGAGAGAGGACGTACTGGTGGAGTTGGACATGGTGACTTCTCAGCGCAGTACACTTGGCCGCGTGATGTGACTGGCCAGGGCCAAATTCGCGGGCACCAAAGTCTAGGGCCGGGCCCAGGCAGGCAAGGGACTGTTGCTGCCCGTTGTCCGCTGCCGTGTCGAAGAAAGAAAGTGTTGTATTAAATTGCTGGTGGCGGTGGTGATGAATGAGCGTCGGCGCGGAGAGGAGAGGAGGTGGTGTCGAGGACTGCGAAGTCGAAGGGCCGCTCGCTCGCTCCTGGTCCAAGTGTGTTTCCGATCCTCTCTAGCCGGGCGAGGGTGCCAACTGCGGTGGGTCTTCTTCGTACGCGTGCTCCCGGCGACTCGAATCGAATCGAATCGATGCGCTGCTGCTGCTGCGCTTCTCTCTGCTGCCGGCGCTTGTTGACACAAAGACGGTGCGGCGAGAAAGAAAGAGGGACAAGCAGGTCAGGTCAGATCAGGCTGGCCACCGCCGTCAAAGAAAGCTGTCGGCCACACCTGGTCGGATAGGATGGATGGATGGATGACTTGCTCGACGCTGCTGCTGCGCTGCTGCACCGCACGCCGCTCGTCTGCTGCAGGGCTGGGCTCGTCAAGCAAGTGGGAGGCTGCGCGTTATCGCGGTGCTCAAGATTGATCAATCAAATCCCAACGCCGCCGTCAGCCCGTCCCCAATTCACGACGAACTAGCCTCACAACCGCCTAACGCCCGCCAATTTAATCTCATCAGTTCCCGATCCGTCCTAACACACGTTGCATCAAATCCTCCTCCGCTCCAACTGCCACCTGCTGTTTATCGCCCGCCCAGCCCAGCCCTTCTTGCAACACATCCGACGTCAAAACACCCGCCGGCACATCCAAGACACCCCTCCAACCACCATCCCAAACACCCCACGACTCTCGCAGCACCTCCCCAGCCCAAACCGGCGACGAACAGAACCGCTCCGCACCACGTCCATCCTCGTCGAAACAAAACCCACACGGCGACGACGGCAGAACACGCAGCTGGCTGACGGCTAATTCGCCTGTCTCGTCCAATCGAAAATGCCACGACGCAAGTCCGGCTGGCTGGCTGGCTACGCCGATACGAGCAGGGAGCTGCCCAGCTTGGAAGCTGACGAAACTTTGCACAAGTCGATTGTCCGAGGTCTGCCGTCCTGTCTTCCAAAAAGTCCCAGAATGCGACGCTACCTCGACGATACGAATGTCGAATGCTGCTAAACATAACTTTACAGTGTGGCGAGTTGACGTGTAGGTCGAAGTTATTGTACCACTTCATCAGGTCCTCCACTTCGGAAACCTCTATACCGCATCGTCACCTCTCGACGACGACAAAATTGTTCTTGCGTTCGAAGCAGGAAGGGTCCACGGATGCCCACATGATGAACAGCATGTAACCCAGCGTTCAAACCAAACCCTACCAACCCAAGACGCAAGTTACCGGCAGACCCGGAGATCGGTTAGCGTAATCATCACCGCGTCTTGTGAGCCGCAGTCTGGTTACACAGCAGCGGCGATAGCGAGAAGCAGTCGCTTGGTGATAATGAAGGGATTCGGTTCTTCTGAAATAGTATGATGACTCGGCAAGCGCCGTCCTTCAAGGGTAAGTAAGCGGTTTGTGGTGAGATGTCATTCATCCTTTTGGGGTCCGATCCAGTGCGTTGGAGTTGGCTTACACAGAAGCCCCCACGAGGCCTTCGACTTGACCTCATGCGAGTGCGTACGACATTACATGAGATACTCCGACGAGAGCACTACCAGGTCCTGTTGGTCTTCACATCAAAACAGGAGGTACACAGGGGTGGTCCTTCAAAACCCTTGGTCTGTGCACACAGCTAGCTGATCACATGAAAAGAGTCTCAACCTCACCTCTCTCTTCCTCCCCTCGTCACTGCTTCAACCCCAACGCAATCCCCACCAAATACGCACACCGCCCCTGCTGTCCCCTCCCAATCCCCTCCATCTCCGTCTCATTCGTCTGAAACATCAGTCGTCGATTATAATTCCTCCCCGAAAACTCCTCCCACGTGGGCGCACCCCTCTGTCGATACGTATTGGGGTTGTACGAGCGGATGAAACTCGTCCAGTAGCTCTGGACGAGGGGCACGATGGGGTAGTTGACGCCGTCTGGGTCGTAGGAGGCGGGGGCGTTGCCGTTGACGTTCGAGGGGCCCCAGATGGCGTTGACTTCGACTGTGTGGGCTACGCCGGTGCCTGTTATCATCACTCAGTTAGTATGTCTTGATATATGGAAATGGGGAGGATGGGGACGTACCTTCAGCAGCAGCCTCCGGATCAACCACATTCCACCGATAATTCCAATTCGGAATATTACTCTTCGCATACTGCTGACTGACAAAAATCCCCGGACAGATGTACCGAATCTCACCATATACATCACTAACCTGTCGCCAGAACCTGCTGGAATCCGGGAAACTCGGCGTATCCTCCACAGGATACAGTTCATTGATCTTGCCCAGCTGCGCGAGCGTCAAATCCGGGAAGTTGTTCTGCAGGAACGTATCGCTCTCCGCGTAGCTGCTCGTGTTCTTGGGCGCGAAAACGGTGCCCTCGTTCGTGTCGTCGCCATAGATGGCGGGGACTTTGATGAATTTCCCCTGGGCGTAGGCGCGGTAGGTGTAGTCGGAGATGAAGTCGTAGTCGAGTGTCGGGCCGTACATGTAGAGTGGTGGTTGCTGGGCCCCCGGGAAGGGCTGGTTGATGTTGACGGCTTGGAGGTCGGTGGCAGAGAGGTTTCGGAGACAGGCTAGGGTGTCTGAGGAAGAAGCGCAGCCGGCTCGGATGGCGAGGCCGTTGTAGGAGAACTGGCTTTCGGATACGTTGCGCAGTGGTGGGAAGGACTGCGATTCTGATGCCACGGCGCTGAAGAGATGGTCGTTGCGGCCGCCGTATGCTGTGACGTGCAAGGTCACGCTCTGGGCGCCTGCGCTGGCTCCTCCCATGGTCACATGTCTGGGATCTCCGCCGAACTGCGAGATGTACTTCTGCACCCACTGCGAGGCTTTCCTCTGGTCCTTGAGGCCATTGTTGATGCTGCCGCCTTTGGAGACTTCCTCGCTCGCTAGGAAGCCATATGGACCCACGCGGTAGTTGAAGTTGACGACAATCATGTTGTAGTCGCTTGCCATTATCAACCCTGAGCCGTTGTAGTTGGGATTGGAGTTCGAGTTGAATCCGCCACCTGCAGATGCGTTAGTCTGAAGTCCTCTATCAGAAGTGCTGTTTCTCACCTTGAATGAAGAAGTAGACCGGCAGCTTGGAGTTCCTAGTCGCATTGCTAGGCGCATAGACGTCAAGAAACAAGCAGTCCTCATCCGAGCTATTCGACGGTGGTCCGCCCGCTGTGCTCAAACATATCTTTCCATGCTCATCCGCCTGTTGTACTCCATACTCTGGCGTTGGATCTTGAGGTGCAGCGAATCTCAGATTTCCCAAAGGCGGCGCCGCGAATCTGAGTCCAAGCCATTGCGTGACTCCATTTGCCAGTGCAGTGCCTTCGTACGAGGCGTATTGAAGTCGGACCGTAGGAGACACAGCCGTCGCAGCTTCAACCAGAAGCAGGACTGTCGCAAGTAGCAGCATCTTGTCGTTCTACACCTCTTTTGCAGAAGGAAAGAAGAATCGAAGAAACCGCTTCAGCAACTCCAAGCCGCAGCACGTCAATCCAAAAGAAACAGGAGAGATTGTCTCACCTATAATCCTTGCGCCTTGGTGAGGTCAAGCTCTCATTTTTCACCTCTTTTTGAACGGCCGGGCCACGGCACCTAATACCCCTCTCGTGCAGTGCACGTTACTGCGGATGCTGCTGCATGGACGATTGATCAGAGGGCGGCAGCATCTTTAGGCTTGCCGACAAGCATTGGGAAGGATGAAGGATGCGGAGTGTGGAGGAGGAGAACGGGATCATGTGCCTGGGAAATCGGCTGGCGTTCACCCGCGGAGGCGTGTGATGATGTTGTGGCAGCATGCCGCTTCATCAATCAATCTCTCGCGTGGACGGTTTCGGGGTTTCGCGCCGCAAATGCCTAGCAGATGTCTTTCTTACATGTGTTCCGATGAGACCGTGCTCTTGGCAGAGGATGCTAGCGAGGATGGCATCGTGGCAGGCACTTGGCCTGTTTTTGTGCCTGATGTCGTACCCTCCTCTTCCTGCTCACAGTAAAGCTTCCATCTGTTCCCATTGTTCGTAAGCTGTCGAAGTGGTTGGGGCTGTAACGGAAAGCTTAGTTGTTTCTGAGCACCGTGAGATGACGGTATTGTGCGTTGGGTTCGATAGCCTTGAAGGATGAAGGGACGCTTTGGCTGTTGAAGGACCTGAGAATGGTATGGCAAGAAACCTACGGCTCCGAATCAGTACGTAGGGAGCAGGTTGGTGGAAGAGTGAGTATCCTCAACAAGAAGATGCGTCTCCGGCTGCGGGAAAGGATGACTTCGCTGCTAGTGAATTCTTTCCCATCCGCCTGTCTCGAACTCCGTACATCAACCCTCCACCGTTCAAAAACAGCGAAACCTTCTCACCACCACCTCTTCTTCACAAGCCTCAAGCAAACGACAAATGGGCCACAGGGCCACCTGGCCTTATTGATCCCATGACCGCGCCAGAGCATGCGATCGAGTATGCTGCTTACTGACAAGTAGTTCAACAATGACCAGTGGCAGAAAGCGAACTCGAAATGGATGCTGGACGTGTCGTGAGCGGAAGAAGAAGTGCGACCAGGGCGGTCCCCCATGCAATAATTGCACCAAGTTGAACCTGGACTGCAAGACCGAAGTCCGTGTGGTATGGGAGGACGACAGCAAACGGGCGGCTATGAAGCGGCGAGGGCCACCGAGCAAAGCGCGTGTCTCTATCAAGACTTCACAATCCAGCGACGATAACACCAAGCCGTTCTCCCCCAAGACTTCGGACAGAGTGATTCACCAACGACCATCTCCATATCCAAGACCTCTGGACTCTCTGGATGCGTTGCTGCTGGAGAACTACGTGGAACGATTCAGCAGGACGTATCCGACGCAATCAGGGCCGCGGAATCCCTTCCTCTCAATCTTGCTTCCCATCGCCATGCGCAGTACCGTTGTATTCGACTCACTTTTGTGTCTTTCAAGTGCAGGGTTGTGGGACAGCGCACACGAATCTATGAAGGTAAAACGTCTGGCATTGCGGCAGCAGGCCCTCCGGGGTTGTGCACTACTCTTGAAGGCCCACCAAAGCGGTGGTGTTGGCGATGCGGATCCATCCGCTCTTCTGGCAAGCTCGACGATGTTCCTGTGCTATGAGAAGATCATGGGAGAATTGAACTGGAGACCTCATATCCAGTTCATAAACCGGTTCTTCGAGAGACAGGGCTCTGGCAAGCACAAGTCGCCCATCGCCCATCCAGATGCATTTGAGTTCTTTCGCAGTTTTCTGGTCTACAACAACCTGGTTCAGTCTACCTCCTCGCTGAGACCAACATCATGTTCCTTCTACGCCCATGCAGATCACATTGGCACGGTAGAGGGATACCCCAGCAGCGTAGACCGAAATGACACCTCACGGCGGAACTACTATCCCAACCTCGTAGCAAGATTGGCTGCTGGCGATGCATCTGTCACTGAGTTCGACATACAACAGTGGGATGGGAGCTTGAGTTTTCTCCCCAGCTTTGCCTTGGAGAGCGCCACGACAAGTGATCAGAATCAAAGCGGGAACGATCTTGCTGTCGTCAAAGACCTGTACCGCCTCGCAGCGACTATTTACAGACTCCAGGGTGCCGCTCATCATACATCTGAGCCTCTCGGCACAGATCAAACACTAAGCTTGGAGCAGCTAACAGCGCATGCTGTTCTGCGAATGTCACTCCTTCCTGCAGGCTCCTCTTACGAGAATGCCCTGTTGTGGCCATTGGCAATCGTAGCACGTGCTTTGGGCTCCAGTCAAGTTATCGAGAGAACTGTGGTCTTGCATCGGCTGCAGTACCTGGAGAAACGATTCGGTATGCGACAGTTCAAACGTGCTCAAGACGTCTTGGTCGAGCACTGGATTATGCAAGACGCCGGACAGTGCTCTTACGCAGCCCCAGACCATCCTGTAGGCACGATTCTGTTGGGATGATCAACATCTCTGTTGATGATGGTACCTGGTTCTGTACGGACTCATCAACCTCACGTACAGCCAAACGCACGAGCACCCACAATGTTTTGCGGAAACTGAAACCAAAGACGTCGCACAGCGTTGCTCCAAGGCTTCACCCAGATTGGCCTATCAATGGGACCCGCCAAAGCTCGAGGCGGTTTTCATGGCTCTCATACAGCCTAGCTTTCCTTTGAGTAGCAAGGACCATCCGATGATGACACCAGTAAGTCCCGAACACCATGGCCCCACATCCTGAAGGAGCTGTGGAATGGGTCCTTTTCATTCACTCGCCGGCGGTTAGAATATCCCTAATCGGGTTAGCCTGAGTCAACTCTTTCACATTCATAGGTACCCTTTTCCAGTCGACAGCCATATGTTTATCGGCTTCTAGATACGTAAGAGCCATCTCCTGTGTCTCTTTCTCCTCAACTTGCTGATCACTTTCCACCAATGTGCTAGCTGGCTGTTCTTCTTGGCCACATTACCAGCATTCACAACCCAAAAGCGATCAACATGGCTCCAGTACTGATCGATACGACTCCCAAATCTCTCACGGCGAACTCAACAACAGCCTCTCAAGCCCCCGTTGAGTTCGACGCTAACAAACATCTCGCCTACTCGCCACCATGTAGCGATGTCCAGATGCACGACTTAGGATACCCACCTACTGAATTGTCATCTGTTGCGCATACTCAACCGTTCCCTCTCCTCTCCGCCGAAGCAATACTCCAACATCGTCGAGAGCTCTTCAACAAGGAAACTCTCGACAACTGCATGCACCATACCCGACCAGGGTCAATTCAGATCCGCGGCGCTGCCCCCCGCTATGCTCCTTTCATTCACCAATTCTGGCATTCTAAGGAGGTTCTTGATATCATCAGTAAGCACGCTGGTGTCGATTTGGTCCCTGCTATGGACTATGAGATCTCGCACTGCAATGCACAGCTTGGTCCTGACGGCCTCGATGGCGTCCGTGCCACACCCGTTGAGCCTCCTGTTGCGACCGAAGAAACCATTGCATCGTTCGACGGAGTCCAAGCTAGATACGACCGCAACAAGGAGGACGCAAACCCCGTCATTGAATGGCACAAAGATTCGCATCCGTTTGTCTGCGTCATCATGCTCTCTGACGCTCGACACATGACCGGTGGTGAGACAGAGCTCCAATGTGCCGACGGACGGACTGTCAAGGTTAAAGCTCCTCAGATGGTGAGGCAATCTCCCGCTATTGATCTGATATTACGTCTGCTTACTGACAACCATCAAAGGGCTACGCAACTATCCTCCAAGGTCGTTATATCACCCACCTCGCTATTCCAGCCTGCAACATGCCGGAACGCATCACCATCGTCACATCATTCCGTCCACGAGATCCAACACTGCTCGATGAAACGACCAACATGAACATCAGGAATAAGTCCCATCTCACAGAACTCTACTACCAGTGGACAACATATCGTCTGAGGGTCCTGGAGCAGAGAGTTCAGCTCGCCAGAAAGGCGCTCGAAAGTAGATATGCGAAGAACGTCCAGGAATCGGATCCAGAGGGTAAGCTGGGATTGTGCAAGGTGGAGACGGTGGATATCGCGGCGTTTGAGCAATGGGCTCTGGAGCAGATCAAGTATCTTGAGCAGACGGGCTACGAGATGAGACCGCTGGAGAGCAAGAATGGCCGCGTGTGGTAGAGTTGTCAGGATTTAGCTAGACGCATGTGACTGAGTCCAAGAGGGACTGCACGTGCAATTCGAACTGAAGTACGAAGTGAAGCATGAAGTGAGAGACTCCCAGCGGCTTCCAATTCCTGCTCATTTGCACATATCGTCCTCCGTATCTCACCCCTCATGCAACGACGACCACATCCCAAAACAGCGAAACGTGCTCATGTCCACCGCCTCTTCATCAAAAGGCTCTCAAGCAAACGACAAATAATCAGCCACAGGGCCCGGTTTGTTTGCCGCGTCAGAGCACGCGATCGAGTCTGCTGTTTATAGGAGTCAATATAAGTGTTGTGGGCTCCTTCCTTTTCTCTTTGTCCTGCTTCGATTACCAATCCTCTTCTCCGACACAACAACCTCAACTGTGCCCATATCAACCACAACAGAACCCTCGAAACAAACACCACAATGGCCGAACACAAGTACAAATTCAACGTCACGATGACCTGCGGCGGCTGCTCTGGCGCCGTGGAGCGTGTTCTCAAGAAGCTCGATGGTGAGTTGACTATCCCCGTTTTGCGCTGCCATCCCCTAGACTCGCAAGCTGTCCACGCCAACGTGAACATGATCAAGAGCATGGTCATCCCGGAGAAAACGGAGGGATACTGACCAGTTTCTAGGCGTGAAGAACTACGACGTCTCCCTCGACACGCAGACCGCCGAAGTCACGACCGAAGACAGCGTGAGCTATGCGACCGTCCTCGAAAAGATCCAAAAGACGGGTAAAAAGGTCAACTCTGGCGAGGCAGACGGGGTTCCACAGAGCGTGTAAATATGGGAGACAAGGAGTTTGTGAGGCGTCGGAAGGACTACTTTGATGAGAATACCATGAGATATCCCCAGTTTCTCTCCAATATCCCACAGGTGACTACTCTCCGTGTTGCACTCTTGATTGCTTGGACGCTCTCGTGGGATCGGGGATGATTGTGACTTCTGCACCGAGGGTAGGCGACTTCACCTCCTGGTGGTCAGGCAAGGTAGCTCCCCAGGTGAAAGTGGAATACATAGAACTGCCATCTCCCCGACTCCCCAAGACGAACTGGGCTGCTGATAGCATTACAAGCTGCTTGGTCGGGTTGCGAGCAACGGGGATGATTTTCGCATGGCATCGTCAGTCATCCCTGCGATCCCAACAGCGACCAAGCTCTGAATCGTAGTCCGGATTGCTTAGACAGCTGACGAGGAATGGGGACGATTCTGCCTTCTCTCCGATTCCCCACGAGCGACTGCACTGTCAATTGCACTTCAAGCTGCTTAGATGGCCTGTGAGTAACGGGGATGAATGTTCGTTTTGAAGCAGAACAAGGTGGGTAGGCGAGATCATGACCCTAAGGCAGCGTTCCCGTTCCGGTCTAAGGAGAACATATGGGACTGCCATCTCTCCCCGATTCTTCCCAACTGACTGCGCTGCTAACTGTACCTCAAGCTGCTTAGACAGCTTAAGAGTCATGGGGATGAATGTTGCTTTCTGAGCGGACCGTCCAGAACTACCATCTTTCCCCGATTCTCCACAAGCGACTGCGCTGCTAATGGCACTCCAAGCTGCTTAGATGGCCGGGGAGTAACGGGGCTGCACATTCGTTTTTGAGCGGAACAAGCGTAGATATCGCAGAAATGCCCCATACATACATAAACCTGGTGTTCATACTGTCATATAGAACTGTCGTCTCTCCCCGTATTCCAAAGCCCCACCAAGCTCATGATCGTACTCTAGACTGCCCAGACAGCCCACGAACGACGGGGTTGTTCCACAAAAGCAAGGGTATACGTCCCCTAAAACCGACTCTCGACCTTCTTCTCGATATCCTGCAACGCCCAATCGCTCCTCGCCTTCTTACTCCTGACATTATCCGCCTGGCTCTTCGTGAAGCCTTTGGCTTCCACAGCTGGGTTGTACCCGAACCCACTGGTCTTGGCGACCTCCTCATTCGACACGCTCCTCGGTGCCTTGCCGTCCGCTCGCTTGTATACTGTCACTACGACAGCACCACCCAGACCGAGGTTGTGCTGCAGAGCAACGGTCGTGCCGGGCACGAGTCGGTTGTTTGCCCAGCCGCGCAGGTGCCATGTGAGCTCTGCGCATTGTGCGAGACCCGTGGCGCCGAGGGGGTGGCCCTTCGAGATCAGGCCGCCTGAAGGGTTGATGACCATCTTGCCGCCATATGTGATGTCGCCCTTGCGAACCATCTCGTGGGCCTTGCCGTGCTCGGACAGACCCAGAGCGTCGATGGTGACCATCTCGTTGGCGCTGAAGCAGTCGTGAAGCTCGCAAACCTTGACATCAGAAGGCTTGACACCGGCCTCCTCCATGGCGGTCTTGGCGGCGTATTGCGACATGTGGTAGCCCATGAGGTCGATGGCGGAGCGGGAGAAGAGCGAGGGTGCGTCGGTGGCGAGGGTCTGGCCGGCGATGAGGATGGCTTGGTCCTTGAGATGTGGGCGGGCATCGAGGAAGGCTTGCGAGACGACCACGGCTGCAGCTCCACCGTCTGATGTTGGGCAGCACTGGAGCTTTGTGAGCGGCTCGTGGATCATAGGTGCCTTCATGACCTGGTCGAGGGTGTACTCAGTCATGAACTGGGAGTATGGGTTGCGCTTGGAGTGCTCGTGGTTGACGCGGCCAATCTCAGCAAAGTCTTCGTTCTTCGCGCCGAACTTCTCCATGTACTCGCGGCCGGCGTTGCCAAAGAACTGAGCGGCTTCTGGTGCGTTGGTCTGGCCTCGAGTTTGGACCATCATCTCGGCGGTCGTGCCAGTTGGGTTGGCGCGGTCGAGGAAGTACGATTGCAGAGAGCCAGGGTTCATCTTCTCGAATCCAACAACGAGCACCGCATCCGCCATGCCTCCCGCACACATAGTTCGTGCGAGGTGGAGACCCGTCGAGCCAGTCGAGCAGTTGTTGTTGACGTTGTAGATGGGGACTTGGGTCATGCCAAATTGGTAGAAGACACGCTGGCCACAGGTGCTGTCGCCATAGCAGTAGCATGCAACACCGGCGTCGATATCGTCGTAGTTGACCTGGGCATCAATCAAGGCTTTGATACCAGCTTCGAATCCGAGCTCTGTGTAATCGACTTTGCCTCTGGGCTTGATGAACTTGGTCATGCCCACGCCGAGGACGTAGACCGGGGGCTTGTTCTTTGCTGCTTTGGCTGCCATTTTGATTATGTGTTACTGTACAAGTGATGTGAAGGAAGGAAAGGACGCTGAATGCCTGTTTATTAGAAGTGGTAGTTCTTGAGTCGAAGAGGCAATGTCACCAGCTGGGTTGATGTTTGTGGGGTGTGGAGCATTTTTATTGCCGTCAGGACCTCGGTAGAGAGGGGCGGCGACAACGATACGTATTGTGCATTCAACCTAGGGTCTGTTATCCAAATGGAACTGCAGCTATCGAGGAATCGTTCATGATTACTAGCATTGTGCCTGTCTTCGCCGCAGACTGCTCGATTGAATGCCCACGATTGGGCGATGCTGACGGCAAAAGCGGCAAAAGCTGTTTTGGGACGAGAAGGATGGGAAAAGAGAAGCATCAGACAGTGACGAAATTCGGCCGAACTTGGAATGTACCGATGGTGAGAAGAAGTATGGTGATGAAAGTGGGAGAGCTTGTTGCCGTGAACGTGGTACTTCGTGGTGCTTGACCGTAACGCAACTCTAGTCGTCGCTCTGGTGCAGGTCAGCACACTGGAGATGCCCATGGTACACAAAGCCATGCAAGCCTTCATTGTAGTAGTGAGGCTCTAAGCAAATCCATGGTCTCGATGATGCCGCTCTTCCAACGCCGATACCCCAGCCATGCAATCGTCGTCTACGAACGTGGCTTCTCCTTCTTCTCCTTCCAGAGGGCGGAAAGACCAACACCGGAGACCTTGACGACCTTGAAACGCACACCGGGAATATCACCCTTGGCCTTGCCCTTACGACCGAAACCAGCAAGGAGGACCTCGTCGTTCTCGTCCACGAAGTTCAAGCAACCGTCGTTTGGCACTGTAGGTGGTTAGCCATGTGACATCCGTGTGCGGTGCAAAGAATATGCCCTACCGAAAGCGGTGACCTTCTTGCCGTTCTTGATGAGCTGCACACGCACGCACTTGCGAATGGCAGAGTTTGGCTGCTTAGCCTCGACACCGACCTTCTCGAGGACGATACCCTTGGCGTGTGATGAACCCTTGACATCAAGTCAGTAATTGTCCCTTTCCCATCTCACAGTTCCATCCTCGTTCTCCATGCTCATTTCGCCTCTTGAGCTGATAGATTGGGGGTGTACGTACTCCGAATGGCGACGACTTGTATGCGGTACCGAGCAGTCTCTTCTTGTAGTGGAGATCGGCCCATTGCTGCTCACGGCGGTGGTTGCGCAGCTTGCGCGCGGCCAAAAGACCTCTCGGCTTTCCTTTACCCATCTTGACTGGGGTGATATGTCAGTTCATGCCCTGAATGTGCTGGTGTGTGCTGGTCGTGGCGGATTCGGAGGGGATGTGCGAGTGCTGGAAGAAGATGTGGGAGGCGCAGGTATTTTCGAATTGGTGATGTGGTGTTCTGCGGTCGATGGAAGATCTGAGGGCGACTCACCGGCTGTTGTGTCGAGGTGTGGGTGTTTGACGGACTGTCGCTGGCGGTCAGGACGTCTCAAAGTTTCCAGATCGAAATTGGTGGTGTAGGCTTGGCGCTACCAGGACCGTGCGTCAAAAGTCACGTGCAGACAGTCCGACTTCACGCGCGACTTTTCCAACCTCCGACATCACCTCTTCGGCATCTGGAAATGTCTGACTGATCGCTTCATCGTCAGTGGCCATGTTTTGTGCCTTGATTTTGGTTGCCTCCACCACTTCCTGCCCCATGCCATCCAAGTAAACGACCGATGTCCACTGACGAGCCATTTCTCCAAGTCCTGGGACAACAAAAACTTCGTGAGTTGTCGAATCTGCAACACAAGATGCAATCAGAAATGCTGTTGTCTTCGCCGAACGTGGAATGCAAGAAGAGAGCTTTCCTCACAGCAAGGAAGATGACGCTGCATCGAGGCCCACTCATCACGTCTACGGAGCATAAGTTCATGGTGCAAGCTGCCATAATGCGAATGGTTCTGAAGAGAAGCTATATCCACGCTTTACCACCCCATAGGATGCTTTGAGAACTCTTGTATCAACACGCAGAGATATTTGACTTGTTTGCAAAGGCTAAGTTCACTATCGCTGAACATTCTGTTCGGAGCCCAGAGCAGATTTCGCGATTTGGTCAACTCAAGCAACCTGATTGCAAAGCGTGGGGTCTTTAGATCGCCCCTCTGTTTATCAACCCACTTACTACAGCCCCCAAACGGCGTGTTCAATCACGACATGACCAGACTGCCACCCAAGATGGTTGCGATCTGGCAACTGACCTATCTCCTGCCTGGAATGGACAGTTTTCTCAAACACCGTTTGACTGTGCCGCTTTCTGCGCTATTCAAATACGGGTTCCCCTGAGCTGTCGTTCTGGTATGGTTTCAACATCCACAGGGGTATAGGCCACGAGGTGTTTCCGAGACTTGGCATCAAGATAGATTTCGATTGGGATCTTACACTTTGTGAGGCATTGGGCTGAACTGCGTGGACGGGTTTGATGCTCGCGAACGACACACTCCTGGACAAATGCGGCTATAGCAGCTGGCAGCATCCAGTCGCCAAGTACTCAGTCAGGAGCAATGAAAGTAACAGATTGGCCAGGACTACATGACATTAACATGCACACCGCGAAGGTCGATAGAGACTTACAAAAAGGAATCGATATTTACTCATCTACTGGCATCCTGTCCATACAGGTATTTTTCATGTGACGATTCGCCTACGTTACCAATCACTCGCTGACGCTGCAGACTGCAGTCCTTTGCGCCGGAATACGTACCCGGAAGCGCTTTCGAGGCTGCGTTTGTTTGCAAGCGTTCGTTTAATCCGTCAGGCTTCAATTTCGGCAACCCAAAACCACGTACGCACACCGCTTCGCCGACTTCTTCAAAGCCGTTGCATCGGCCTCGCTGTATAATAGCTTTCCTCCATACACATTTGAGAGATGCACCTGGCCCTCTTGCAAAAAAAGCTTACAGGCGATAACCTTGGTATTCCATGCATAAAGTTCTCTCCGCCGAGGCCGATGCTCGGCCCCAGAATCCTTCATCTGCAAGCGAGTGTGGGGATATACCGCTCATCAAATGCGAATCGTTTGTTTGGTGCTGTGCGCTCTCCCATCAAATGCCGGCCGGCGAAAGTTGCAGATCACGCGGTCGGAGTGGTTTGCCGGCCGAGGGCAGATTTGAAAGTGAAGCGACAGGTAGCACATGCGTTGGTGAGACATTTCGCTTCTTTCTTTTCCTTTCTTCTTCTCCTCCACCACACATTCCATCTGCACACCGCGCGTGCGTGCACTGTCACGGCGAAAATGAAGCTCCCCTTCCTCTCCTCTGAGAAACACGGCAGTGGCGACTCACCCCCCGCCTCCCTCGATACTAAGCAACAAGTCCACTACGAGCAAAACTACCCCGGCGCCAACACCGGAGTCTCAGCAGAAGAAGCAGGACTCGGCTACCCTACCACCGGCGCCTACGATGAAGACCTGCCCGTTCCCTGCCCGCCGCACACCACGGAAAGAAAGCTGGTCACCAAGATCGACCTCCACGTCGTTCCATTTCTCTGCGTGCTGTACCTCGCCGCCTTCCTCGGTACGCATCCCCAAAGACACCAGATGTCGCGATTCTCCCGCTGACGTCTCCTCCCAGACAGAATCAACATCTCAAACGCTAATGTCTTCGGCCTCTCGGAAGATCTCAAGCTCGAAGGGGACCAGTTCAACACAGCTCTGGTGATCTTCTTCGTGCCGTATGTGCTGTTTGAGATCCCGAGCAACGTTTTGTTGAAGCGGTTCAAGCCACATATCTGGCTGAGTGGCAACATGTTCATGTTTGGATTCGTTACGATCATGCAGGTGAGTAATCATGGTTGGAATTGTGCTGTGTGCGCAATGCGGGGGCCGCCCGTGAACGCTTCGTGAACGCTTTAATGCGGGATTCCGGTCGTGTTTGCGGGGGCGGGGGCTTCTGGCTCCAAAAAACGTTCGCTGATATGATAGATATAGGGACTGGTCCAGAACTACAGTGGGCTACTCGCCACGAGGTTCTGGCTCGGATTTTTCGAGACTGGGATGTTTCCAGGATGTTTCTATTTAATAGGGATGTGGTATCGTCGACATGAAGCGCAAAAACGATATTCGTTCTTTTTCAGCTCGACAACGTTAGCGGGAGCCTTCGGCGGTCTCCTGGCCGCGGCCATTGGCAAAATGGACGGAGTTGCAGGCTATCAAGGCTGGCGCTGGATCTTCATTCTCGAAGGCTGTGGCACCGTCCTACTCTCGTTTATCTTCTTCTTCACCCTCCCAGGCTTTCCGGAGCAGGTCAAGTGGCTATCGCAAGAAGAGAAGAACTATGTCAGCGCCAGACTCCGAGTCGATCAGGGCAAATCGGCGGTCGAGCGGTCCATCACGATCAAGGATGTCGGGAAAGTGTTCAAGGACTACAAAGTCGTCGTGGCGGGCTTCATGTACTTCGGGCTTATCGTTCCAGCTTACAGCTACGCGTACTTCAGCCCCGGCATTATTCAAGGCTACGGGTACGGCAAGATCCAGACACAACTACACAGCGTCCCTCCGTGGGCCGCCGCCTTCGGCTTCGCTATGTTAATGGCCACGATCTCGGATTACACGAAACACCGCTTCGCGTACGCCGTCTTCAGCATCTGTGTGGCGATCACTGGCTTCGGGATCCTAATCGCGGTACACGACTATCGGAGCTTGCAATACGGCGCCTTATTCATGGTGACCATGGGAACATACACCGCAATGCCCATCATCGTCTGCTGGTTCAACATGAACCTAGGAGGCCACCACCGCCGCGCGGTGGGTTCCGCATGGCAAGTTGGCTTTGGCAATATCGGTGGGATCATCGCCGTCTACGCCTTCCTCAAAAAGGACGGTCCGAAGTACATCCCGGGCTACAGCATCTGCATCGCCTTCACCATCCTCAGCATCATCGCGTGCGTCATCTACGGCCTGGGCTGTTGGGCGGAGAACAAGAAGCGGGATAGCCAGGCGACGGATGTGGGGCTGACGGAGTGGGAGAAGACGGAGATGGGGGATAAGAGTCCTGATTATAGGTACTTGCTGTAGGTAGTAGGAATGGAATGAGAGAAAGGCCGTGAGGTGTAGTTGTTGCTGTGTATCAGACAACTATTGAAAGCCCCATACAGAGCGTCCAGAACTGCTTCTCCATGACGAAAATGCGTTGCTTGCAGACGAGAACTACGCTTATTTTTTTTTCCTCGAAAAACGTCCTGGGGGAATTTGTTTTGGACAAGCGGGATGCCACAACCAGACTGCTAGAGTTCCCCCTTGAGGAAAGATCTGGATGACGTCTGGCCGCGTCTCTGGCCTGTTGGCGGTTGGGAGTCCAAGAATGAACCCGATTGTGACGAGTCTGCCAGCACGGTCTGACGTAGAAGGAATCGTAAGTCGCAGTGAAAGGAAAGGAGTCAAAGTGCGAAGAAGAGAAGGAGTCAAAAGTGCGAAGAAGAAGAAGAGAAAGAACACAAGACATTAACATTCCACTCCATCACCACCCCTAATTCCCTCCCTGCCCTCGACTATCAAGGCATTCTGTTCTGTACAAAAAATTTCACCACCCACAAACCCCCCTACACACCAAAACCCCCTTCCCTCCATCTTCCCAATCACAACGACTCCCGACTCCACCTCACCGTAGGCGAAGGCGAGACCAGCATGGGAGAGTCGGGGAAGTTCTTCCTGGCCGATAATATCGCGTCCCAGGTCGGTCTGTTTGTTGGCCCGGCGGCGCCGTCTTCGGGAGCGGGAGTTGCCCCATTCTATAAAGGCTGCTGTTCCGTCGAAGGCGTGCCGACTTCTTCTTTGGCGTCGACGAAGCCGGGTTCTGGGCTGTTGCGCTCGCTGGATGGGAGGGAGGGGACGTGGAGAGATTGCTCGCCGTTGTCCTGGGCCGCGTTGTCGGCTTGCTGGGCGTCGTCTCCTCCTGCTTCGTTGCCTGCTGCTTGGGCTGCTGCCGCCGCGGCTTCTTTTTCTGCGAGTTCTTTCGCTCGAGCCTGCTGCCTCTCCCAGACTTCTCTTCTTGTCTTCTCCTCTCGCTGCTTCCGCACCCTCTCGACCTCTTCAACACCGCCAGACTTCTTCAGCTTACCTTCTTCAACAAAGTTTCCAAGTTCGCGCTGGAATTCACCACCTCGTCTATTCTCCAACTCTCTTTGTCGTGCTTTCTCCGCCCGTTCGATGGCTTCGAGACGAGATTCGTGATTCGGCTGCAGAGCCCTAACTTCGCCAAGAACACTATTCTTGACTTCGGTGGTGTCTGCGCCCTGACTCACGGACAGAGGGTGGAAAGTTTTGGATGACGACCTCGAGCCAGATGCAGTGCCGTTCGTGTTCTGCACATTTTGCGCTTTGGTGGCTTGTTCGACAAGGGCGAAAGTCTGGGCAGCTTTGTCAAGATCGTCTTCAAGATCCGCGGCGAGCTCTTCCTGCATCGTTAGCAAGTCACGATCATCGCAGACAACCTGCAGCTCCTTCTCCCAAATCTTTGTCCAGACGGGCTTCTCTCGTTTGAGGAATTCTTGCAGCTTCTTGAGATCCGATGTTGCGATGCTGATGTTCTTGCTGACATCTTCGAGCTGTCGAGCCAGTGGACGCACGCCACGAGTGACAACATCCTTGCGGAGATCCTCCACCACATCCTGCAGATCATCGACACGATTGACAATAGCCTCGCTATCATCTGACAGCGACTTCTTGCCTTTGTTGACATATGATCTCCCTGTGCTTTCGTCCATGTCTGGGATCGTAGAATCTGCTGCAGCTTTTTTGACGTTGGAAGCCTTGGTTCGGATGGTTGACATCGATGCTTGCATGTCAGAGACGAACGAAGTGTAGGTTTGTCGCACCACAGCCAGGTCGCGTCGCAAAGATTGGACATCCTTGAGGTTGGTCGACAGATTCTTTGGTGAAACGCCAGACGATGGTACAGTGGATACCGGCGCAGATGGAGGTGCCACTGCCAAGCTTGCAAGTTCCTTTGCCGTCTCCTGCTGTCTGTCGGAAACCCTCTGAATTGCTGAATGCTGATCGTCAACACTTGATCGAATGCCTTCAACAATCCGTCTCAGACTACCAATACCGTCATCGAAATGACGTTTGACTTCGTCGAGAGCCTCAACATTGAGGACAAGAACAGATCGCTCTTTAATGTCGCTCAGATCTTCAAGCTCGTGCCTGACGCCCGAGACTGGATCCTGAATGTAGATTTCGGGCAAGTCGACACCGTTGTTCTGCGTGTTCCAGGCGAACTTTTCGATAAAAGCCAGCTGCAATCTCGCAAGGCTTAGATCTCCCCCATCTGAGAGAACAAACTTTTTGATCTTGCTCTTGTATTGCAGGAAAAGCGTGAGTTCCTTTCCAGCTTGCGGTGGACTTTCAGGAACATATTGTGAAGCAGGGGGTGTGTACTCTCTTGCTTCACGCACGGTCCTGGTTCGCGAGGGCTTGACTGAGGGGGTCTCCTCAGGTGCTGCAAATGAGCCACCGGGGGTAAAAGGCTCCTCGATCGGCCCGTTTAGTGTGGCTCCAATGCTTTCCTCTGCCTGCAGTGAAAAGGGATTCGCAAGTTTGTCTTCAGGCGTCTTGACGATCGGGCTGTCCGCTCCAGAATCAGCAGCAAAAGGCTTCGCTGGCGGCTGCACATCTTCCGGTTGAGAGGCTGTTTCTTCAGATATACGTCGGACGTCGTGATCTCGATTCGGGGAAGCGTCATATGCAGTCCTGTTTGTCCGTGATCGTGCTCGGCTATGCAGCAAACTCCCTCGCGACCTCACCGCGTTCATAGACTCACGCACATCCCGACCTCTATTCGGTATGGGCGAGTTTTGAGCAGGTGGTATCGCAGGTATCCCGTTTATCGATGTGCCCAAGTGCTTTTGGATTTGATATGCCGAGAAACGTCTTGATGCCCTTCGTTCTAGCTCACCTCCTCTTTGTAATGCTGTCAACGCATCATTGGCCTTTGGAGGCGGTTTCGGTGGTTCTGGCGACGATTCGTCCTTTTCAAAGCCCTGATTCATTGGCATGGTGTCGCCTTCTGGATATGGAGCGATTACCGGAATGTTTTGCATCGTTGCGCTTGACATCGAAGAGCTCGAATCACCGCTCAAGACGTCTTGACGGCTGGTATGCACGCTGACACTGTTTTGAGGACTCAGGCCGTGCCTTTTCGGTGAGTTCCTTCCCCCTACCACGCTCGTTGTTCTGGGTGGAAGCTCGGGTCCAGAAAGGTCTCCACTCCCTTGTCTCTGCATGAATGACCTGCTACTGCTGTGTCTTGATGGGATGTCCTCCAGCTGCTCGGTCAAGTTCGTGGCAACACTCATATTGCTTGCCGTTGACGCTTGTCGAGGAGGCCGACTGGACTCACCCCCTCCCTCTTTACCACTCCTCTGCCGTAGTCTTTGCTGTTTCTTTTTCAGGCCATGGAGCAAGTTTATGATGATATCTCTTATCCTCGGCAAGTACTTCTCCAAGCTCTGCTGACTTGCATCCTGGCTCAAGGTCTCCTCCAAGATCGTCCGAAGCATGTCAGGTACGGGACCCAGATCAGAGGTGTCTACGCCGATGGCACCGAAGGCTCGACACGCTATGTTGAACTCATAACCCAACCGCACGTAGACATCAGAGACCTCGCCTTCAGTAGCGCGACCCGTTGACCACATGGTGAGGGTCTCCAACAGTTGTTTCGTAGCGACCAAAAGATGGGTGACGGACTTTTCGATGGTGGAGAGCTGCTGCTGCGGCTAGAGGTTGTCAGTCATGGATACTGCTGTACTGGCCTTTCCATCAGATACAAACATTCTGGCGCGACCTGCTAGAGCCAGAGCGAGAGCCTCCACTGCCTCGCTGCGACTGCGAACCAGCATCATCTGGGGGAAGCGGCATGGCGGCCGTGGGTTGCTGCGAGCCGTTCATGATGGGTGGTATATTTTCTGAGGAGAGCGGCACAGCGAGTGGGATGCCGCAGGTATCATGTGGGCACGAGTCGTGCTGGGGCGCGTGGCGATCAGTCGCGTGGACCGGCCGTCAGTGCACCTGACGGACGGCGGCCGTACAGTGGATGAAGCTGGGTGTGTAGGGGTCGGCGAGGCGACTAAGCTTGGCGACAGCGGAGGGTGGAGAGCAACGACATGTCAAAGAAAGCCAACCGACTCGCGCGTCAAAGGGAGAGGGAGCAGTATGGTATTGTGGTGAGGGCGAGTATCCACGGGTTAACTAGGGAGGTGCAGCGCAGCGCAGTCATCACACACCAGCGAGCGAGCAACAGTCTGGTGCCAAGCAGCAGTCGGGCATCGCCTTTGACTTTCGCTGGCGCGACACAGCGTGCGTCTCCTCTGCGGGCTGCAGCAGCACAGGACTAGCACCTGCCTTTCTCTCACGTGCGGACAATACCACCTACCTACCACTGACTTGCCCTCCTCGCTGTGCAACACCCACACACAACCCTCGTGCATTGAACAGTTCATCACTCGCACGCATCCATCCATCGTTCTGCTGGCCGCATCTCGCATCCGGACCCGCAGCCAGAGAGCTTATTCTTCCCGCGGCCGCTCCCGCCCAAGCCCCAGCAAGCCCCCGAGTTCAGTTGAGCCTGACCTGACCTGGCCCAAGCAGCAGTGAACTGCTCGCACCTCGACTTCACCTCGACACTCGCCCGACCCTCCTCCTCACCACCCCCCACAGGCCGTCCGCGCCGCTCACCACCGCTCCGTCCGCACACGCCCCCTCGCCCGTTTCCTCTTCCGCACACGCATTGGGACCAGGCGTTCTTTTTACCGGCGTTGCTCCTCCCGCTGCGCGAGTCTGAGTGCCTACGTGTGCCAGCAGCAGCAGCGTGCGAAGCCCAGCCAGAGCTCCCACAGCTGCCATATCCGCCCTCCACCACCCCCTCGCTTGCAGCACTACTGTCTGAGCCCGAAACACGCGACGCTTCCGATCTCCTCATCGCCGCCCGCCGTTCGCTCGCTGACACGCCGCCATGTCGGCTGCCACCATGAACGGCGGCGATGTCGCCAGCAAGACCAACTCCTCCACCCCGACCACTGCCTCCAAGCAGCAGTTGAAGAGCACCTCCTCCACCAACAAATCTCTCGACGCTTCGCGCAAGCAATCCGGCAGCCCCGTTGATGGCCAGAACAAGTAAGACTTCCCTCAATGGCATATGCCACACAACCCGAACTCCCTCCTATTTCGTCTCACACAGCTTGCACATCCTCGCATGTGGTTTCCCCGTACAATGCATGTGCCTCAGGCATTTTGACTGGCTCAACTTCAGACCTCTACAACGTCTACTGTCGTGCTCGTGCTAATGCGTTACACCACCAGGAAGCAGCAGCCACCCAAGGCCTGGCAGGGCCCCAACCCCATCACCCAACGGGCCTCCAATAACCTCCCCAACGGCAACGAGAAGCCTCTCCCAAAGCTCCCTCCACAATCGCAGTCTCAGCAAGCAAAGGCCTCCACCGACCTCCACGCCGATAAGCACGCACACGACCGAACACTATACCTCTTCTCACATTTCATCGTACGTATTGTCCTCCATTCTGCCAGCGTCATCGCAGGTCATATGTCTGACTGATGTGCTACAGGGCAAAGATGTTACCCTTGCACTCAAGAATGGCGAGCAATTCGCCGGTGTCTTCAGTGGAGCCTCGCTCGAGACGAGCAAGCCGCAATACGTGATCAAGATGGCACGAAGAACAAGCACGCCGCAACAGCAAACAAATGGCACGAACGATAGCAACGAATATATCGGAGAAGGAGAAGACCATGTGATGAGCTTCGATATCCAAGATACAATCGATTTGGCTGTGCAGGATGTTAGCACGACTGCCGCGACACCCCACCAAAATGGTATGCGCACCAACCTGGATGTTGTCTTGAGAATGCTAATTTCTTGTAAAGGCTCGATCGAGGCTTCGTTCCTCACAGACACGCAAATTTCCAGCCGAGACCCAACGATGCCACGCGAGCGTGACCTCCAACGCTGGGAGCCAGGTCCGGATACGGAGATTGACATGTCGCTGGAGGCCTCCGGCGACACAACTTGGGACCAGTTCGCTGTCAATGAGCACATGTACGGTGTGCAATCCACCTACGACGAAGACATCTACACCACGACCATCGATCGCAGCAGAGCCGACTACAAGAAGCTGGAAGCCAAGGCAGATCGCATTGCCCGTGAGATCGAAGGTTCGGCACCTTCAAATGAACATGTCGCAGAGGAAAGGCGGAAAGACGCGCATCGTGACGATGCTGGCGATGAGGAAGAGAAGTACTCTGGGGTGAGGCGTGAGTCCAGTCTCCCGAAGCGGGCGGCTGGTGCATATGTCCCGCCATCACAGCGACCGATTACCGGCACACCAACCGTACCCGGCGCTCCATTCGATCCCGCCATCATCTCCAGCTCGATCGCTAAGCCAGCGATTGCATCCGCTGAGACATCGGGACCGTCTGCTCCACCAGCAACTGCGGATGTCACTACCGAAGGCAACGCTGCAGCTGCCGTGACGCAACCTCCGAAGAAGAGAGAGAACACCACGGAGGATCGAGTCAGAGATACCGCAGATGCTTTCAAGCACTTTGCCAACACCGAGAAGCTGCGGCTTAGGCAAGCCGCAGAGGCTAAGCGCGCAAATCAGCGCCAGGAGAAGAACGTCAAGCTCAACGATTTGAAGAAGTTCGCTGCCAACTTCAAGCTGAAGAGTCGCGTGCCCGACGATCTTGTTCCTATCCTGGCTAAGGACCGCGAGAAGCAACTCGAGATCCAAGCCAAGGCTGATCAAGCCGCAAAGGAGGAAGAGGTCACCAAGACCAAGGACAAGGTGACCGATAAAGCAGCAAGCGCTGTTTCACCTGCTACCTCCGTCGCTACAGCCCAACCTGGAGCTGCATCGGCCGTCGAGCAACGTACACCATTCAATCAGCACCGCGCACGCGTATCGCAACAGGTTCGTCAACAGCTTCCTGGCCAAGGGGCATCTCCTCGCGCACCTTTGAGCCAGCGCATCCAGGGCAACCAATTCTTCAATAACAGGCAGGGCGCACCACAGCCTCTGCCTGCCGATCTGCGCATCCCACCTCCTGCACCACTTGCCTCGGCGGACATGCCGATGAGCCCAAGTTCTGCGACACGATTGAACGTCAACGCAAAGGCGTTCGAATTCCGTCCCGGCGCTTCAGCGTTCACGCCAACTGGCACTTCTCCAAGCCCGCAACGAACTGGTAGTGCCGCCGCGTCGCCATCCGATAGCTCGTCCCCGTTCTTCGCGAAGAAGTCGAAAGCAACCAAGGGCCCTAAGCCATGCTTCAGCGCGGTCAGGAGAATGAAACAAGCCGAGTACACCGAACAGGAGAAGAAGAAGTTCGCCTCGAACGGTGGCTTGCCGCAGGCCTACAACACTCTTCCAACGTGGCCCACTTCCAAAGCCAACGAGAACAAGATGTTCCGAGAGACCTTTCCTCAAGGACAAGCTCCCAGTCATGGCCCTTCGCCGATGCAGACGCCAAACCCTAACGGTCAGATGCCACACGCCCATCAATTGCCGCCTCATATGCAGGGAGGACCCAACATGTCCGCACCGGCTCCACGACCGCAGTACTACCCTCAGCCAGGCCACGGCCACGGACCTTCGTTCGACCCACGAATGCAGCCCTCCTTTGGTCCAAACGCTTCTGTACAGAACTCGCCGCGCGCTCAGCAGATTCCTGTGGCTCCATTCAATGGACAGATGCCGCCGATGCCAGTCCAGCAGTACCCCGGCCAGCCTGTGCCTGGATATGGAATGAGCCCTTCGATGCAATACAGACAGCCATCGATGCAAGGTGGTCCACCAATGATGATGCCCGGTCAGATGGGCGGACAGAGTCAGTCGATGTCAAATGCAGAGCCAACCTATATGCTAACAAGTTCTGCAGTGGGTCCAATGCAACCGGGATACCCTCCAAATCCCCAATTTCGTGGACCCCAGATGGGCGGACACATGATGGTACAGCAACCATCGCAAGGCTACGTGAACGGACCAATGCCACAGCAAGGGTACTCGCCGATGCCACCTCACGCCCAACCGCACATGCCTCACATGCAGCAACATGGCGGCCCAGCTGGCTACTCTGGAAGCCCTCGCCCAACTATGATGCAGCACACCGGCTCTCACCAGGGCTTCCAGCCGGGCATGCCGATGCAACCGCATTTTGTCCCTTCGCCGGGTCAACCTCACCCATATCACCTGCAGCAACACCGTGCGATGTCGGGAGGCTATCCACAGATGACTCCCCGCCAGCAGAACGCTGTCCCGAACCACTCAAGCCCAGGAATGGGCGGAGTTGCAACGCAAGGTGACGAAGGCAAATGATCATGGAACATATTATACTTTCTTGGAAACGTTGCTGAACTCGCTTCTTAGTCGGATCAGTAGACACCCCCGACGATGCCCCAATTGGACTGGGGCAAAAAGATAGCGACGAGCGACTCAGTGTTTCAGCGAACGACGAGGATGACACCCCGAAGTCGCGCGAACCTACGGATGCAGCTTCTCTCGCCTCCCCGATGAAGCAGGGCTTGGACTTCGACAAGAAAAGCCCCCGTGGCCGAAGGAGAGGGCGTTACGGCTTCGGATCGAGCCGAAAATCGCGGCCGACTTCACAAACTTCGCCAATGGAGTGGGATTGGAGCCGTGGAAAAGCTACCTGACTGTGGTGCTGAATGAGAAGGGCGATATTTCGAACGATGTGTTGGAGGCGAGAGAAAACCCGGTCGTACGACAGGCCGTCAGACTGCAAGGCGGGAATTCTTGGAACGCTGGTGGATGGTAAGAGAGGTGAGTGAGTGGTTAGACAGGAGAGGTAGTTGGAGAAATGGCAAGACGTTGGTGATCTTGGAATCTTTGATCTCGGAATCTTTGATCTCAGCTTGATTGCCCCATTGGTTCAGCTCCCCAAGTGACCGGGTCTTCCTTCTGGCCTCGAAAAGTGTTCGGTCGAATATTGCCTTCGCTCTGCCGTTCGCCTGGTCGTGTCTCTTCGCATTTCGGGCATCGAGGGGCTGCTACCACTTTCTTCCAGCTTGCACTGCGTCTGGTGGTAGGTCTTGAGTATATCAAGCTCTTACAAAATGGGAGCTGATAGTACTTACATCGCACTCTAATGTACGTTAGGACCCGCAAAGACACGGCGCAGACAATGCCATGCGTGTTTCCGTGCTCTTCCCGCCCTTTTAAAACTTCCTTCTTGTACGTACATCGCTCTTCTTCCTAGGTACCGACAAGACACCATCCGGTGGTGGCGGCCATCGCCATTTCCAACAAGTCGAAGAAGGCCGCCCGTTGTACCTTTAGTTTCTGCGCTGGCACTGTAGTTTGCTTCCCGGCTTGTTCGAGCGGTTGGTCCTGCGTAAATCGGGTAGGGGGTAGACTTTCATGTGATGCCAAGACAAAGCTCTTGAGACTTTTTTTTTCTTGACCTTCTTCCTCTGAACGTCTTGATCTTTCGAACATGCCGTCTGATGGTGGCAGTGCGGTGCGTTAACCACCAGCGCCCCAGGCCACCGCCCCTCCAACACCCCGGGGCCCCGCGCGAGATGGCCTGAGTGATGCCCAACTACGGCCTCACCAACTTCAATGACACCAAGCGAAAGTGAACTTATCCTACGGCCTCTAAACGCTCCCGGCGCTGGGCGCGAACATCGCTCTCGTACATTCTCGCGAGGGCCAGCTACGGCCTCTACCGGATATGTTGTTGTTATAAGGTAGAAGAGCCGAGTCTAAGAAGCCCACGTCTTAGGCCGCTACCGTGTGGGTCCGTGCTCCTCCCGCCCTTTAAATACTTGCTTCTTCTTAGACATCGTTCTTCTTTCTGACAACAACAACACACGCAGAGCCGCAGCCGACCCCTCGGTGGCCGCCTGGCCTGAGGCCTCTAAGCGCTCCGGGCGCGAACATTGCTCTCATACATATTGGCGAGCGCTACGGCCCTAATTGGATAGTGTGTCGTTCTTAGGAATAAGAAGAGCGATGTCTAAAAAGAAGGCTACGGCTATAGACGCTACCGTGTGGGTCCGCGCTCCTCTCGCCCTTTAAATACTTGCTTCTTCTTAGACATCGTTCTTCTTTTTACAACAACACACTCCACGCCCGTACGTCCCGCCCACCCTCGGGCGCGGCCGACTGGCCTGAGTGATGCCCAACGTCCGGCCCCCGTCTGGCCTGAGCTATGCCCAACTACCGTCTCGCCTAGCGAAAGTGAACTTCTCTTACGGCCTCTGAGCGCTCCGGGGGCGGGGCCAGGGGGTTGTGAAATATAACTTCCTCAAGTGATTGTTAGTTGATATCCCCATTGCTGTACGTTTGACCATTCTCGTGGTAAGGAAGCTATGTGTATTGCTGACTGCAAGACGTGAGGTATTCTTTCTGGGATAAGAAGGAAGTGAGGTTGAACCAGTGGGGAGTTCAGGGGCAAACAGTTCCCAAGCCCGCGAAGTGGTATTTATGCGAAGTGGTATATTATGCGCTTAAATGAGTTCGCAGGCAATGTCAACATTCTTCACGTTATGGAACTGCTGGCTTAGGGTGAAAAAGAGACCTATTTACAATTGTGGTAGGTTACTGTTTGCTGAAGCTGATCATTCACCAAAGGGAAGAAAACTTGTGACTGCTGCCTAGCGGCTAGCGCTAGCGGCAACCTTCCCGCTCCAACATCTCAAGTCCTCGACTTCTCGACTCCTCTCAATTCTTGCCACCCATCATTCCTAACACACGAAAATGGTCTCGACACGCAGCATGGTTTTGTCGGCTGCCCAGGAAAAGGCAGCTGCGACGATCGAGGCAGAGCACTTTTCGCAGAAGACTGGCCTCGAGGAAGCAACGAGCGAGCAAGATGCAGATGCCCAGCAAATGTATGTTCATGCATCCACACAGATATCGAGTCCCTCGAACATGCTGCTAACGACCTCCCAGCAACGAACCCTCTCCCGCCGAGAAGGTCTTCGCGACCGTCGAACTCGCCGAGATGATCCTCTCCCTCCTCCCCCTCGAAGACACCCTCTCGATGCACAGAGTCTGTCGGGCCAGCCACGACGTCATCGAAACCTCCAAGGCCGTGCAGAAGTACCTCTGCATCATGCGCAAGGACGAACAGGCCCTGATCCGAAGCCCCATCTTCAAACCCGCTTTCACCATCGCCTTCCACTTTCCCAGCACCAACGCCCGCAAGGACAGATACTTCCACCTCACCTCCTTCCACGCCCCCTCCACGAAGGCGACTTTCGACCTCAACTTCTCGCTACTCAACCCACCCCGGAACGTGAGGCAGATCCAGGCGACCGTCATCACCATCGGCGAGGATTCGAAGGCCCAGGAGCTCTGGCGGAAGATTCGATGGGTCGAAGCGGGGGTTAAGAGGGGTGGGGCGGTTTGGTTGGAGAAGAAGACGGCGAGCGCGGAGTTTGTTTGGATTAGTCGCGCGTTGTCGAGGGCGGCGACGCTGGGGCGGACGTGGGAGTTGCTGTTGGAGATGGCGGATGATGAGTTGTTTCGGTGAGGAGAAGAATGAGGATTGTGGATGCGGGAGATTTCAATGCTGGAAGCATGGAGTTGAGGCTCTTAACGGGGGAGTCGCCTTGACTCGGAGGACGCAGCGTTTCAAAGCCCGCTTTTTCTTTGTACTGAAGAGCGTGCAGTTGAATATCGCACGTGCTTGGTCGTTCCCCTTAGCAATACCTCTCACTGTTATGGATACAACTCCAATTCCCACTCTGTATTCCCGCGACCGATCTTCCACAACAACTTCCGTACACACCAACGTTCTAGAGAGCTTCTCTGTGTTCCACCAAGACATCGCTCCCGAGGACGCACGTTGGGTAGTTGTAAATAAACCCCTGTGATGCCGAGTCTGTACTTATCCCGTATCCGACTCCGCCTGGATCGCTACGCTAAGCTGACAGACTTCTATGTAATGCTAAAATGTTACTCTCGAACTCTTCTGTCCTATCTTGCGGTGCTCCTCTCCCGTTTCTTGAGACACCTGCGTCGTCTGTTGATATTGATTTCCTACCGCAAATTTCTACCTGGTAGTTGCGGTCACCCGTGGCAGGCGATACCACCAGGAAGAACTGGAGCCACACCCTTCCCTGTCCGGGGGCTTTCCGTGTATCTAACACCAAAAGGTTGATATTGTGGCTACAAGTACACATTTGAATCCGCCGCCGATGTGCGTTCCACTCCGGCACTCGATAGCTCCTGATGCTAGTTTGGTGTTGTGTTTAGTAGATGGTGTGTTGTAAGTAGGAAGAACGGTGATTATATATCAAGGCACAGGAGCACGACTGCAGAATGTCTTGGCATCACATGCGCACGCTAAAGTGCACGGACGCAAAAATGGAGAAGGACAGAACACTGCCCCCTCAAGTCGGCGATGGACAATGTGCTATGGCAATATACAGTGTGCCTGCTGCAACCTTGCCGCCTTTGTGTGGCTTCTCGTCCCCTTGTCACATGGTGAAGGTGAAGTGAGGTGAAGTTCACCTACCTACCCATCCTCAAAAGCGCTTCGAAAGCGCATATAAACTTCACACATCAACTAGCTTCCGTCGACGGATCTTTCAATTTGGCCAATGGCCATCAGCTCCTCTTTCCATCTAACAAGAGCGTGTTGAAGTCGAAAAGCGCGTCGAAATCAAAGCACGCGTCGAAATGATCGCGCACAGAAAGCGCATTTGAGTTCGGACATTAACTAGTCTCCCTCCTCGGACCGCTTTACCGAACCAATGAGTGCACAGGATCCTTTTCCTGCAAAAAGCGCTGTTGAGAGCAGACAGAACCGCACGAGAGCGCTGGGAAAGCGCATTAGAGTTCGAACATTAACTAGCTTCCGTTCTCGGGGCGTTCCGTTTGGCCAATGAGCTGCGTGCCTTGTTCGTATTTGAGAACAGCGCGTTGAAGTCGAAGAGCGCGTCCGAAACAGAGCGCATTGAATGCAGGTAGAAGCGCAGAGCGCTCTGAGAGCGCATTAGAGTTCGAACATGAACTAGCGTCCGTTTACGGACCGCTCCGTCTGACCAATGATATAATTGGTTTTCTTCTCTCGGGACAACCTGCATGTGGTAACAGAGCATTCGACACACAGGAGAGTACTTTGTACGAGACACTTGAAAAGCTTTTGGGAGAAAAATGCATACCTCGTCCTTTCACCTCCCGGAGAAAACCCTCCTCCTCATCCATCATCGATGCCCAAAAATATCCAACTCCTCCCTCCCCTCTTCCGCCTCCCCCTCATCCCCAACAACCTCATCACCATCCTCCCCACTCTCCTCCCCCTCATCCTCATCCTCACTACTATCCTCCTCCCCGGCCTCCAACGCATGAATACTATCACTATCACTTCCCCCCTGCCCCTCATCCTCCCCCTCCTCACTCGTAGCCCAAAGATCCGCGCTCTCGACCCCCTCGCTCCCACTACTCGTCGTCCTCAACTTGGACGAACTCCCCAACCCCATCGTCGTCGTCGTCGGACTCCGCGCCGGATCACTCCGCACACTCGTCGGCCGATGTCGCATGCGCTGGATGATTTCGTGTTCTTCCCGCGTGTCCAGGCCTTGGAGGTAGTAGCGCATGGGCGAGAGGCTGCGGCTGACGGCGTCGAACATTTGGTAGGGCGAGAAGCGGGGGAGCTCGACGTTGGGCATGTTGGGGAGGTTTTGGCGCATGTTTTGGAGGTTCGGGAGATTGGGTAGGTTGGGCATTCGGGGCATGCGAGGCATGTCGGGGAGGTTTGAGAGGGTGGGGAGGTTCGGCATGGAGGGGGTGGAGAAGCGGGCTGTGGTGAAGCTGGGGCGGCGGGGTTCTTCGTCGTGGACGAAGTAGCGACCGGGGGATTGAGCGCCGCTGGAGAGGCGTGGAGAGCTGGAGAGGTAGGCTTGTTGGGAGGGTGATTCGGGAACTTCCAAGGCGTTGCTGGCTTCGAGAGCACTGTTTGCGAATTGCTCAGGCGGGTCCTCAACGCCAATACCAGCATCGCGGAGGACGGCGTTTCCGGTGAAGTCATGTCGATGCACCTGCTGTTGACGCATCAACCTTTCAGCCTCGGTCTCATGCACAGCAGTCGGAGCCATCTGGTTGGTGTTGTAGCTATCGCAGCGTTGACACTTCAGTCCAAGCCAGTGGAATGCCGTCCAGCTCCTCGAACTACAGTCATTGCAACCGATCCATACTTGTCGCGGCCGGCGTTGGCGTGGCTCTTCCGTCTCTTCCTGAGCTTGCTGTTCGTCCTGACCGGTTTGTCCTTCAACATGAGGCATAACCTCATCCAAATCCTCGTCCTCATCCGGCATCGGCTGAATAGCAATCTCTTCATCAAGTTTCCGCCATTGCAATTCCATATTGACAGCACTCTTGCTGCACACCGGACATTTGTACGTCACAGCCATGAGATCCTTGTAACAGTCGCCGTGCATATAATGCCCACAAGGCAAGCTGACAACCGGTGTGCGAGACTCGAAGAGCGCTATCAGACACAGGGGACAATTGCCCTCCGTCGCCCGTTCGATGCAAGGATGCGCCGCCGAAGTCGATATCGATATGCACACATTGCAGCGCTTGCAATGCACATAATCCTTCCCAAGACCCTCGCCAACCCGACAGATCCCGCAGTCATCGCAATGATAGATCCTCTTGTTACTGTCATTGTCCCAAAGCTTGCACTTCGGACAGTAATACCACGCCGCATACTCCCCACAATTCGTGCAAATCTCCGCAGCAGGTTGCGGCGTCTGACACAGCATGCACAGCATATTCTGCGTCTTCTTGCGATTGAGACTGTGTTGAAAAGGGAGGTCATTGGCCTGATCGTGGCAGTGCCGGCAGGGGAACCATCTCTGGCAATCAAAACATTGCACCTTCACATTCCGCTTGTAGTGCATGCAGCCCAACTCGGGGATATCATCATCCATAGCCTCGTCCAGATCCCCTTCCACGTCCCTCGGGTTCTTAGGCAAAGGGCTAAACACAGGATCCAGATCCCCAGAAGCCAGGTTGTAAGGATTCTTGGGATCAATAGGCATCGCCGCGGCGCCCAGCATGGGCGAGAGGGAGCCATCGTTATCCAAACCACCATCTTCTTGAGGGGAGTCATGGGGTATCGGTTCCAGCAAGCTCTTATGTTTGAGATAGTCCTGCGTCATGAGGAAATGCATTCTCTGGGCCTTCTCTTCCGTCGACACCGCAAGCTGCTTAATCTCCTGCAGTTGCTGGCGCAGCGAGCGCATGCCGTCATCTTCAGGCAGGGACCCATCCATATTCGCCATGTTGTACCGCTCGTGTACAGCAATTATCTGACTCTGCTCTTCTGTCGGTGACCGCCCAGTATCCGCTCTCGATCTCGTCGCAGGCGTATTCTCGAAACTCCTCGTAAGACTCGCAGGCGTAGTCGACTCAGACGACCGTCTCCGCAGGGAATCGGCAGCTTGTTGCGCAGGGTTCACAGACATGCGCTCATCTGAGACGGTACGCAAAGAGGAGAAGAAAGCTCTGGGTCTCGCTGTCGTGTTGTATCTCTCCCAAGCATCCTCGCCGCCAATCACATACTCCTGCTGCTCTCCAAGTAGACCTCCTTCACCTCCAATCGTCGTCGTCAGGTCATGAATATGCAACTGCCGTAGCTCGGCCTCAGGTGGTGTCGTGTGCGTGTGCGAGTGCGGTGAAGAGCTGGGCGGCGGGTTTGCATGTGACAGTCCACGGGGCGGCGGCGATGACGGAAGCAGGCGCTGATCGCCGGGATTCGAGCCAGGATGATCCCGGTCGTGTTGCACGACACCATCATCATTCGACATCGTGAAGCTGCAAGTGTGAAGAATCTGGAGATCGGTACATCGTACGTGGTATATGGAAGGGAAGGCAAATGGAAATGCCGTAATCAAACATGAACATTGTGCATCGCCACCACCAACGCCTCCACGCCTGCATGCAATGATGGGCGTGTGCGACATGGAGACACGAAAACAAGGAATGCTCTGGAGAACGGCCAGGTGGCCTGGTGGTGGATGTCTGCCCTCCTGCATATCATACCACTCTTCACACTCCATCACCAGGCTAGTATATTCTCCTCCTTCGCATATGATGATCTGAAGCCGAAGGTAGATATGAATCACTTGTGGAGGCGTTTCTCATCACAGCAACTCACAACGAATATAATAAGAAAGATTGAGGGATCAGCCATTCAAAAGTACGCTTCTCATCGTCTGTGAAGGGCACACTACATGTACATGTACATTTCAAAAAGGTACTCGACCGCACTCTCACACGTCTGTCTGTGACGGACTTGCCGTGTCTCAGCCGTAACAAGCGAATCATCATCCCGAAGACACACTTCATGTTCTTCCCTCCCCCTGTCAAAATACAGCAAGCGTGATGGGTATCTCTCGTTAATAAAGCATACATCCCCCCAAGATATAGTTCGCATGGCGTAAAAAACATATCAGAACAATCTCCAGGCTCGTAGTCGGACAAGCAAATGATGAAAAAAAGAAAAGAGCAGTTATTGCGCACTCGCGCGTTTCTGCTCGCTCGCCGCGTCGGCAATGTTGAGCGTTGTTTGGCTCCGCATGTTCAGCAAAGAGCTGCTCTTGTGGAAGAAATCGAAGCGGTCCATGGGCGAGGCCTCGGGGCGAGAGGCTGCCGTCTTGGGCCGTTCGTCGGTGTCGAGTCGGAAGATCGAATGCTTCCTGTCCTCGGGTTTGGGCTCGAGGCTGAGGCTTCGACGGTGGAAGGTGCTCACCATCTCGTCGTGGCCGTCTCGCATGCGCTTCAGGTGTTGATCCATCCAGGTCTGCATTTCTGGAACCTGCTTTAACTTGTAGGGTACCTGGAACTTCTGAAGGTGGCTGATGATTTTGGCAATGCGGCTGTACATGTCGAAGTTGATGACCGAGACGGTGTCGCCAGTCTCGGTCGTTACCCCGGGCAGCTCTCTACGCTTTGGATTTCCAGCAATCACAAACGTGAGATCGGTGAGGTAGACACCCAGGAAAGGAAGGCAAGGCGCTGTAGGCGATTCCAACAGGCGTCTAAGGGTGTTGTAGTTCTTCGACATGTCCGCCACTTTGTCAATCTCTTGAAGCTCTGCGATCGTCTTCTTGTTGACGAGATCCCAGGTCTTCTTCAGTCTCTGGACTGGCGAAGAGTTCAGCTGACACATGATGGCCATGACCGAGTCGTAGTTGCACAGTTCCAAGCAAGCAGTACCAATCTTGACCCATTGCTTGATGACTTTCGCCCGCTTCTTTGCATCATCCGGCTGCAGAATCGTGTCACTAACAAGATGGGCCAGATCCGTGTTGAGCAGGCACATTTTACGGACACTCTTCGCCTTCTTTGTGTTTGGCTTACCCCAGTCCATGCTGAGCAGCTCCTCAGGCCGGATTTCGCAGTATGCCTTGACCACAAGCAGCGTGATCTGGCGTGCGATCTCTATCGGGTCGAAATCCAAAATGCTGACCTGCGCACCTCCTCCGGTGGCAACACGTAGTGCATTGAGTTGCTTCACGGTGATGATTGGCTCTGGCATGCTGGCATCGTCATGGCTGAAGGAGAGGCTTGTCTTGCCAACACCGGATACAAGTGGTCCAGTGATCGTGCCGTTGGCGTATCCTTCGGTGACCTTCTTCGTCAACTCAGCCAAGCGTTCTCCAGCGGCTGGGAGTACCTGCTTCAGCTTGTGCAAGGCGAAGAAGCGGATCTCGCCGAGTGCGTCCTTATCGGCATCGGCGCTCCAGTACGTCTCCAGCCATCCCTTGAAGACATTGTAGATGCGCAGACGAGCCGGAGTACCAACAGTCCTGCTGTCGCCAATATAGTCGAATCGGTGGATCAAGGTCTGAGCGAATTCTCTCGGCTCGCAGAACTTTCTGAAAGTCAGGAAAAAAGCGGTCACAAACTGTGGATCTGGCGCAGAGTCGTGCGTGGTCAATTGTTCCACGAGAGCTGGGAGACTGCCACCAGCGACTTGGCCCTCTTTGTTGAAGGTCAACTCGTGAGCGTACGTCTTTTGCAAGAGCTGCTCGGCGTCAATGCTGTCATCGGTGATGACGGATTTGAGGCTAGAAATGCTCGCGAAGCTGTTCATCAAGGCCGGATCTGAGCTCGACGAATCCTTTGGCTGGTCAGGCGTGGTCGCTCGGGTTGACGCTTGCGACACAGCGGTGATACTAGAGTCCCGTGTGCTGCTGTAGCAAGTGTCTGTAGACCCGGCAATCGACATTCCAACGCTGTCCTTGCGAGCAGGGCTGGTCGAACTCGAACGGAAAGACCTTGGACTTTTGAGGGACTCGACATGGTTGCTGGAGTTGTGCGATGCCCGCTTCACGGATCTTTGCCTTGGTGGTGGAGGTAGGGGCTTGTCTGTTGTCCCGACCGTCGGTGTATCCTGGCCAGATTCTGTGGTCTCTGGTTGTGGCGTCGCGGAGGCTCCCGTGGACTCAGTGGTACCGACATCATCAGGAATTGGTGGAGGCGGAGGAATCACGGTCTTCGACAACCGATGCGTCGTTGATACACGCTTCCTTGTTTTGGAATCATCGTCTTGTTGATCGTTTTGCGCCAGACTGTCGCCGCGCTCTGGGATCTCTTGCGCTGCTCTCGACGAAGCCAATGCTGAAGTCTTCAGCTCGAAATCGCCAATCTGTTCGATGAGCTGGCGTGTCCTGACAACGCATTCGCCAGTGTTTCGAATCAGACTTGTCCCCACGTTGATCAAATGGTTCGTCTGATCGGGCATCATGATGACCTCGTCGTCGGGAGAGTCGGAGAATCGAAAAACGTCCTTCGTCGACTTGGCAAGCTCCTCCAGCTTCACCTCAAAATCACTCTTAGCCTGCTGAACAGCTTGTGAGCCTTGATGGTCGTGTGCATAAACTTCGTCCACAATGGTGAGCATGTTTCTGCATGCCTTGACGAGACGTTCGGTGGTGGCGACCAGTTCTGAAGAAGGGCGAGAATGTAAATGATGGCCGATGAAAGCACCAATGTGGCTAATGCAAATGTCGTGCACCTTTGCCAGCTGCTCTGAAGCCAACGGGCCGGACATTGCACGGTGGTTGTCCTTTGCAACCAATGACACTCTGTGAGCTGCCAGTCCATCTGGAGGGGTGAAGATCATCGACAGCCGGGGCTTTCGCTCCTCGCCGCTCTCAGCCTCGTTGTCGGCCCCAGGCGCAACATCGTCATTGCTCTGTGTCCGGTTATGATCTGGGAAATGTATGGCCGAGTCAATTGGCGTGACACCCGGTTTGGGGAAGAGTGAGGTATCGATCGCCAAGCCGGAACTCTCGATTGGTGGCGTTTCCAGACCTTGGGGAACGAGCAGGCGGTTCAGCTCATGTTTAGCAGGCCTGACCTCTTGGCTCCAGACATCGGTAAAGCTGATGGCCCTTGTCACCACCTTGAATGCTTTGCAGATCAAGTCGTCCAGTAGTACGTGAATCACCTCCCCCGCAAAAGGCTCGCTGATCGTATCTTGCAGCCTCTTTGCAATTTGTACCAAGGATGACAGATCCGCCAACAGCCCTTTGCGCATCCTTCGTACTCCGACATGGTTCTTGACCGACGGTGCATCTCTGTGCAAGCAGTCTGCCCGTTCCAGCAGGTATCTCACACCGGCGATCAACCCTCTTATGTAGTCTTGTCTGACAAAGGTAGATAGGTTCGCATCTTCGTTGGCGCCGAGCAGATCCCAGAACTGGGTCATGGCATTCAAGAGGTTGCGGAGGTACGGGTGGTCATAGGCTTCGCAGTAGTTGGTGGGTAGCCAGCCGCGATTGCCAGTGTTGAGAACGGTGCCATCTGCCCATCCATTGGCATGGATGCAGTGCACAAGGATCAAGTCGCCAGGTCTTATCGCAACGGCCGATTGTGATGCATCGTCGCCGGGCATGGAATCGGCGGAGGGATCGAATGGATGCATTGCTCGCAAGTAGTTGTGGAATAACGATTGCGGCGACGCGAGGGTGGTCTCGAAGTCAGGTGATGGACTCATTGGCGTTTCGGGTGGTGTCATATGCGCTACAAAACCAGCTGTCACTGCAGTGTGGATGTGAGGCCGTGAGGGTTTGCGTTCTCGTGCATTTGGTCCTACAGTCGCAGCGAAGGGCGTCCTTATGAGAGGGGCCGACGGTCGTCTTGCGCCGGCCGCCTCATTGGGTGACTTGAAGTCTTCACTTTGCGGTCGTTGCCGCATTGCGAGCTTCGTCTCCAGTTCCGTCTCCATTGGATCGTACTGAATCGATGTGAATCGTTAAAGCTACTTCGGAGACGGCGAATCCATGGAGTCTGTAAACCTTGTGCGCTGGTACTCTGCAAAACGTCCTTTCAGAGACTGTTGGAAATGTGAATGTCAGCGCTTGCCGTGTGCATGTTGTGGGTGCGGGTGAGGAATGCATGGCTGGCAAGTTCGCGCGCAGCAGACGTTCTTGTCAGACTCAATGAGGGATTTCATTGATGAAGGACTACTGACCTTGGGCGACGACAAGGATGGCATGCGATCTGAAGATCTCTACAATTCGTATTCTCGTTTCAAGTGGTGAAAGTAATTGGCTGTAAGTGTTTCGGTGGTACGATGTGCAGGCAATCGGGTCGAGGCTGTCGCTGTCTCGAGCGGTCACGGCTCTGGGTCCGACGGTGTTCGACCAGGGCAGTCCGTGGTGGCAATGAATGTCGTCGTCGTGGGTCGTGTTTCGAATCGGGGGGTTCGCAGAGGGAGCCCGGCGAGATCTAATCGAGGTCGAAAGCAAGCAAGGATGTGCTTTCCCTGGGCCAGCGAAGCGAGGGTCTTTCGAAGGAGCCGAGTAAGGTCGACGATGATTCTGGCTTTCCTCTGCGCTCCTTGCGTTGCGAACGACAGGAACGAGGACCGAGGGTGCGGAGGGAGTTGCGGCCGACGACAACGAGGTGGTGTGTGGTGGACAGCAGTTGGGCTGGGGAAAAGGCGAAGGCTCGCAGACTCGACGGCGCGCTGTGACGGTTCAACTGGCATTCTGCACAAGCTCCAGCGCCGGGGGTGGACATGCATGCAAGGACAGCAGTTGGGATTAGGTTCACGCGTCCGGCACCACTGATCGCCGGCCTGCAGTGCGGCGCTGGGGAGGTAGCCCGTTCCAGCAGCGACAACGGCACCACGGCGACGGTGCACTGGAGCAGCTAACTGCTAGCGGATGCACCTACTGGTCTCCTGGGAAGCACCGTTCTGTGATCTCTGGCCCGTTGTGCAGGCTCATGCACAGAGATGCAGCGAAAAGCACCGCCATGCAGCAGACGCAGATGCAGCCTGTCAACACACCACCACACCGCGTTGTTGGCCTCGTCGATATCACGGTATGAGCGGAGATGGGGGGAGGCGTTGGCGTGCAGCCGCAGTTGGACAGGAACCAGACAATCAGCAACGCCTCGCCGGACTGCAGGCCGCATGTGGTCGGAAATAAAGGCTCCGACTCAGAGGCAGGTCGACGCAGCAGCAGGAGAGTTCATCAGAGCTGGTCGTCGATGAGGTCGCAGCCGACGCTCTGCACGCTGCGAGGCCAAAGCAGCCTCCGTCTGGGCTCCACTTGCCGCCGAGTCTATTCCTGAGGCCGGCACTTTGACTTCGTCTTTTCCTCTTCAGGCCGGCCACCCATCTGAAACATCGCCCGTCTTCCCTGCATCCCGCCCTCCAAATGCACGTGAAATCCTCCGATGAGTTGCGCTGAGCGCCGGTCACCTGAACGCAGCACTCGATATCAATATCAAAATTACCTTCTGACGCCTCAGCGCGAAAAATATTCCCCCAGACCTCCCTTCGATCAATACACCAACACTACGCGCCCGTGGGGCAGCTCCGAGGCCAGGCGTTTATCGCGCAACCCACCAAAGCTACCGTCGAAATGTCCACGAGCGTTGACGGTGCAGACAACGATCGGCACGTGCCTCTCCTGTTTTCGGCATTATTACAGCCCTGGGCATAAACGTTAGAAACCCCTGCTAGCGTCTCACGAGCAAATCTCGTCCGTGCAATCGAGCATTGATAGTGTGTGTGTGAGGACGTCGACCGTTAGGCTAGCAGGGGTTGCTAACGTTTATGCCCAAGCCTGTAGGAGACGAGGAGTTGTGCGTTGAACGGCCGTTGCACAACTCTGTCTGCTTGCCACGGCTGCGGTGCTACAAATTTTTCTCCATCACCCACCAACAGAAGGCAATTCACCCTGGCCGATCGCATCGCTTCTTTCATCAACTGCGAAGCTTGACGCGACCCGCCTTTGTTGTTGGGGACGCGATGCTGCTTCTCTGCATCTTTTCCCTCGGCACACGACTCGATCGTGTGCGGAGATGTGATGAATGGCGTCGAATTTCCATCCAGACTGTCGGCAGTGTGAATTCGCAAGCGCTCCACCAGTCCAGTCGAGACTCCAGCCGCCTCGCCCTAGTCACGGGTCCGCTCGTGGACTTGTACCACACTTTCATCACACATGTCATTCGTACCGCGGAGGTGTGCAGCACGCGATCAATCTATTACACATGCCACGCCTCCTTGATGAAATGTTTGTTGTCGCGACGACAAGAAGTTCAAAACTAGCGGCGGCCCCTGGAGGCTGCACCTTTCTGTCGCATCCCCAAATCGGGCGAAAGCGACGACACCTGCTCCTCGTGCGGCTCAAAAGTCGTTTTACGTGATTCAGAAAAACGGCCGTCCCAGACTCACCACAAACCGTCTCCTGGCAAGTCGTGGCAAAAGTACGCGACGAACCACCATGCCACGCGCCATCAACAACATCTGCATGCAAGATGAAGTTCGACCTCGCAGCACGCCAGACGCAGGTACAATCAACCCAGGAATATCTTCTCCGGTTGCTTAACATAGACCAGGCATGACCTTGTCCACCACCACCACTCACCAACCACAACAAAATCCTTCTATACCACGTTTTGGACAGGGATGTTGTGTCGTGCAGCACAGCTGACGCGAACACGTCTCACACGCGACTTTGACGGTTTCTGCAATTAATTTATTCCAGGCGGTACTGTATCTATCGATAGCGGACTCTCAACTGCCAACCCCTCTTCGACTCGAGTCCGCAGGAAGATGCACCTCGTCAGTCGACATGACACCGCATCGCACTGCCACGAAGATGCAATGCGACTCTGTCAACATGAGAGTCAGTCCGTCAGGTCGGCGTGCATACCTAATAATTAAGATGAGCCTCACCATCCCTCCTGGCCTGACCGAAAGAAGTCCTGCATCGTCATCAATCTCTCTGAACCGAACCGGTATTTCTCCTGGCGGCCTGCCTGGTCACAAGATACGCCATCATCCTGGCTACTATTCTTATCCATGCAGAAGTGCATGAGGTCCTCTTCGTCATGTGGTTCGCGAAACGCTCCATCTTCGATAGCTGGCTGCTGATGTCGCTTTCCAAGCTAGATGGTCTTTGGCCAATTCCCGGTTATCAGGCGTGGTATAACGTGTGTCGGTAGTGTAGTTCGAGAGAAGAAGGGAACCTGGTCAAGTGTCAGAGACATTGGTCGACTTCTAATAAGCGAGTCACGCTCTATTCCACGCCACCAAGTACCCCTCTCAAACCTGTCCCACCCTGCCCATATCCTCACCACAACTCCCCATCACACCCCTCACCCTCCAACTGCTACTCCACCCCATCACACCACCCCAGCAAACAACCCCAACTCAATCTAGATCCCATCCCTGCCCTCCAATCCCCAACAACAATTCCTAGCCCCGCGTCCACAAGGCTGAATATCGGTTCGAAGACTTCACCCCTACTCCCGCAAAGGACTAGAGATGGCGTCACTTGGTATCCCTGATGATGTGAGATTTACATACATACACAAGCGGCGTGATGTTGTCAATTGGGTAGGTTGAGCCGACATTTCGTTAATCGGTTGTTGGAGCAAATATGCTGAATCTTTGGGTAGGTGGGTAGAAGGTCGTGTGGACAGTGGTTTTGGGGAGAAAACTACTGCGGATGATATGTCCTGGGTAACGTACGCCATGTATGGTCGAAGAACGACATGTCTCCCTCGTTATAGCATTACCCACCCCAGAAGTCACGATAGGAGAGAGAGAATTCAACTTCACAAATCCCATTCATCAATTGATACCCCATACCCATCTCTACGTCTACAAAATCCCCAAAGTCCGAAGCCCAAGCTCAAGCCCAAACCACACATTCCTCAGCATGGTACGGTTCCCACAGCGCCTACGCTCCATAAGACATCCCCATCAACTTTTTCTTACGTCGTTCCGCTAACAGCAAGCTTCATCAAATGATCCATGAAAGTCTGCAAACTGACGTCGTCCGTGAAGATCGTTTGAGCAGTCTGGCTGACGCCGCCGTAGCTCGACGAAGTGTGTGTGGTGGATGGGTTGAGCTTGGCGAGGAGGAAACGGGCTTGGGAACCGCCTGCGTCGCAGACGATGAATCGTGGGAGGGGAAAGCGGTCTTGGATGAGTTCCTGGGAGAGCGTTAGTAGTCTGACTTGACGAGAAGTCTGCGGTTATGGATTCATGACTTACCTTGGCATCCTGTTTGGGCGCATCAAGCAGCTCCCTGAAATTCTCGTAACCCTCCATATCCTGGTATCCAGCCTTCCGCCATTCGGCCATAGTCTCGCCGTGGAAGATGAGGATGTGGAAGAAAGTATCGAGCAGGAGTATAGTTTGAGGTTGAATCGAGGTCGAGTCAAGAAGCACTGGAACCGCGCCTTCCTGGTCGAAAGTGTATGAATCCAGCGTGGGCTGAATCATGATGAGAGAGTTCGACACATCTTCGTGGTTGAGTACGTGTCGGTAGAAAGCAGTCTCGTCAGGCGAGTTGTTGAAGACCTGCAGGAACTGGGATCTTCGCAGATGGAACATGAACTGTGGGTATAAGGTGAAGTTCTTCTCTAGGCGGAAACTTGATGGGTCGTCCTTCCTGTATTCGGCGAATCGCGAGCAGAGGCGGATGAGCATACGATCAACCCATCTCAGGACGTCTGGACCATCATCGACCTCGGCCTTGAACACCGCAATGCGACTCATCAGTACAGCAGCAGCTTCTTGATCGAAGGATTGTGCAATGGCTGGGTCGCCACTTGGTCCACTCATGTTTCGACCAACGGTAGTCACCCGGAGATGGTACTGGCCTCCGCTGTGCTGGTAGTATGTGAGGAATTGGATAAGACCCTTTTGTGGGCCTTGTTGCATGGGCGCTGCAGGACCTCCCTGGCCTGCGATTTCGAAGTAGACACCGTATGAGGCAGAGGGATCAATGCCGCACATCTTCCAACTGCAAGTGTTGCCGATACCACATTCGGTCTCACCGACTGAGCTCGACTTCTTGTTGAGAGAAACAGCATGTCCGATCAGCCCAGTGACCTTTAGCTCCTTGGTGGTAAGAACTTCCAGAGAAGCATTGAATCCCATCAAGAGATTACCGTCTGCGTCCGCATCGAAGATCTTGGAGAAAGACTGCTTGTACATCGAAGCAGTGAACGAGTCCGTAAGAATCATGTGTCCACCAGTGCTGTTCGGGAGGCCCTTCATTTCGAGAAGACCAACTTGATCCAGACAACCAGCGAAGATATCAATGACATGGCCATTGTGTGCTGTACGCTTGGCGAGGGCATCGTAGTACTTCAGCGCCTTCTTGTAGTACTTGATGTTGTCCCGATCGATGTCATGATGCGAGCGCATCTGCTCCTTGAGGTCAGGGCCCACGACCATACCAGGTCCTTCAGTGGCCGGTCCACCCGTGAACAACATGACACGAGCTCCCGAGTTCTGAAAGCTGGCCTCGAGAAGACCCACAGCCACAGAGAGCGCAACTCCAGTGCAGCGAATAGCACGCTTGTCATTCGCAACCGGCCATGGATCTTTCTGGAGGCTCTCCAGCACGTTCGTGAGCTGGTACTCGCACTGCTGCACTGGAAGCAAAAATCGTGCCTGGGCACCTCCGACTGGCGGCGGTGCAGGTCGACCTGGTTGAGGCTGTGGCTGCATGCCTGGTCGTCCAGCAGCTCCAGCCAAACCCAGCATCTCCTGAACCTGCTTCGCGCCGTAATCCTTATTGCCCCGGAAGACATATGACTTTGCGCATTCGGTGTAGCCCAGCTCGTGCACCTGTGCCATTGTGCCAAATGTGATCAAGCCAACAAGGGCATGGGGCGGCAGGAAGGAGAGAGCATTGATAATGCTGTCCCTGAGTGCCTTCAACGAGTCCTCCTCCTGACAAGTATCCACAACGAAGAGGAAGATTGGCGGAGTCGGCGCAGGTCTGGCTAGCCGGTACTCGATAGTTGTGCTGCCCGGGTGAAGTTCAGGTGGGATCTGGTTCTCGCTGATGTCCTTGTAATGTGGTGGAAGGTTGTTTCGCTGCAGGCAGAACGGGCAGATCCATATCCGCGCTCGCATGTCGACCTGGCAGAATGGGTTGAGGACTGCTCGACATGGCGCTTTACATGTGACAGGCTCGTATTGCACCAGGGGAGTCGCGTCTGTCTTCTCTTTCAGAGGGGTGTAGAGAGCGCCGATGGGGACGACCAGCCGGCTGGCCTCCATGCGCGAGGATGGGAAGGTGTTCCATGATAGGCGGATGCCGTCGCGGTCTTCGATGTCGGACCATTGGTCCTTGAGCCCCTCGTAGTCCATATTGGCAGCTCGGATGTGAGATCTGAAGGTGCTCGACTTGGCGCTATTCGGTCATGCGACGGTGAGGATGAGAAGTCAGCGGTGAGGGCGAGGAGGAGAGTGTTGAAGAGGACTCGTGTCCAGGCAGACTGCTGTCGAGGAGACGAGGGGAGTGGTTGATCGATGAAGCCAGCTGGTGCGGTGCCTTCCCTTGTTCCACGTAGCTCCAGATTCCATCTCACAGAATCCACGCCCACCAAGCAGACCCCTTGCCGCCACACCATTGGCTTTCCAAGCGAAAAGGCCTGAATGCGAGACACCACCGAACCTCAAATTCTCCATCCACCTCGCCCTCCTCTTCTCTCTGCATCTACATAAAGATGCCAGCTTCATACACATTACTGATCGGCAGACTCGCTCACCATTTCGTATGGCTTGACTGTTTTCGCGCTGCGCATAGATGGAATCTGTCCCATGGCTGGGCGCCTGGCCTTGATATACTCCCGTTTTGGGAGGTAGGAGAGGTTGGGAATCAGCAGAGGTCACAATTCATCCGTCACTCCTCTTCTCCGTGACGCATGAAACTTGAAGATTGTATCGTCGTAGTCAGATGAGTGAAGTCATGCTCATCGAGGTCCAGTCAGCGTGCTAAGGCAGTGCCGATTTTGCTGAACGTCACTGCCGGTGGGAAGCGGGCTCAGCATCTGCCCCAAGGAGAGGTCATGAGAGCCCATGGAACTGAGTGGTGCTTTGAATATCTCGTGGCTTTGTTCCAAGTCTAATACAATTCTATCTATCATCTAAGAACAACTCTGTGTTCCGCCTTCGCCTCTTATCATCTTCGCAGCAGCCTGCAACAGACTGATACCCATAACGATGCACCCAAAGCAAATGCAAACATACGCCGCGTACGTCTCCCATGTCTTCCGCTTCGTCAGCTTCACGAAGCATAGCGGCGGAAGTATGTAGGCCAGCGCGCAGGCGCTCGTAGCGCCAACCAGCTCGAACACGACACCCAAATCGCAGGTGATCAGTGCCATGCCCATGGCCGATAGCACCAAGGAAGTTGTGAAGATGAGGTGGCGGTTCGGGTTGAACTGCTCGTGGGGGAAGTAGTACAAGGTCATGACCTCGCGGCAGACGAAGCATTCGAGAGGTAGGGTGGTGAGCATATTCAGACCGAAGCAGAGTCGGGCAATGTTGACCATGATGTTGTCTGTCGGAAAGTTGTTGAGCACGTTGCCTTGGGTCAGAGAGCCGAAGGATAGGTAGCCAGCCAGAGCCATTGCTAGACAAGCAACCATCGAGATTCCAGTTGAGTAATGCGTGACTTTGGCGAACCTGTCCATCGTTGGCGTCCTGAGTGAGCCGTAGATCAGGAGGCTGTTGTGGTGACAGACGAAGGCAAAGGAGATGACGCCGATGGCCTGGAAAATGCCGCTGTTGACTATAAGACTGCCTTTGAGAGGGCCTTTCAGCTCCGCAGGCATGAGTGGTCCTTGGGTGACGACCGTGATTAAGATTACGAGCATGCTGATCAAGGCCAGTGTGCTGGCTTTGGCAAGCTGAGCGCTGTCAGTACAGCACTTGAGAAATGAAGGGTTGAACTGACCATGGCAATATCTCTATACAAAGAAAGAGGGTATGAGATCCCCAGTGTGAAGAGAACAATAATGGCTTTCCGATCGGTCAAAAGTCCAATAACAGGAATCGAATGAAGCGAAGGGAACAGCGCTATCAGCACTCGCGGTATCGTGTCGCCAATGATGATGCAGAAGGCCACCATGCCGCCGAAGGCGAAGGCCCACTGCGCGACAGAGATTGCCACGAGGCCAGACTTGCCAAAGCAATGCTCCATAGTGGCCTGGAAAGAATTGGTCCCGCTGAGCTTCGAGTTCTTGACGATGAGTTGAATCGTCCAGTCCACGGTGATCGTCAAAATGATGAGGAGTATTATCCCGCTCAATAGCCCAGCCTGTTTGAAGGCGTACGGTTGTCCAATGATCCCAGCACCAATAATGCTGTTCGCCATGTTCATGAACGCCATTTTCAAGCCACTCTTTGGCCTTGCTGATTCCAGCGCATCTTCTGCTTCTAACTCAATGTCATTGGCGAGTGCCACGCTCGGTGCCTCAATTCCCGTCAAGAGCGGTGCTCTGAGGGTCCGACCGCCTTCAGCACTTGCATCTCCATTCATGTAGTCCTCTTCTTCGACCCAATCTTGTGGGTGCGGAGTCCCATTGGCCTCCCCAATGACATCCGGCTCTGCGACATCGAACCGCACGCGATGCGGAGTTCTAGGCGCGCCATGTGGTCTCGTCTGCGCGAAACTCGACTGTCGTCTCGGTGCTGGTTTGGGATGTTGCTGTGGTGAAGGTGGTTTGGCGTATACGACAAGGTCATCCTCATCGGCTCCTATCTGCTCGTCTTGCAGGAGACCGGCTGCCTCCTCCTCGTTGCCGTCTTTCCGCGCCGCATTGACGTTTTCTCTGGCCATGGCATAACATCGTTGCTGTCCACTGGTCCTAGAATTGCATGATGAGACGTGAGGTTGTGGAGATAATGGCGCAGAAGGAGTGACCACGTAAGCTCAAGGTTGCTCGCTTATTGAAGGATCCAACTCCGGAAGCGGAAGTCACCAGGAACGAGTTGCGCTATCTTTAAACACGTGCGTCGGAGGCGACGAGGACACGAACAAGGGTACATGTAGACTTTAATCTTCGGTACATTCACGATTTCTGAATTGTTGACAGCCTGGAACTTCCGTAGGTTGAGTAAATATCAACATGTTGGAGATTCACTTCAAATCCATAACCGAGCCACCTAGCGGCCCAAGCGCTGTCTGCCTCCTTCTCCAACACCCATCAAAGCCTCTCGTCGAGCACCGGCAATCCATCGTCAACTTCAAGATGATCGAATGACACCTTTCACCAGTCTCTTGATACATTTTGAAGACACCTCTGCCGCAGGAGGTCATCTGAACCTTCCAAAGAACAAGCCAGAGCCGTACGCTCAGACTTACCCAGCGCACGAGCAAATGTTCTTAATCACTCAATTGGAGACCCATCTCAGTGTTAGGTCTCGAAAGGCCATCCACGAAAAATGAGTGCTCTGCGTGCGGCCACCATACCTGTGAAGGCATGGCAACTCAAATACTGGGCTTTCCTTACGGGCATGCACACAACAGGGACAAAGGCCGAACTCCTGGGACGATTGACGACGCGCCCCGATGATCATGTTCCGGCGGAAAGACCGAAAAAGATTGTCAGTGTAGATATGGGAATCCGGAATTTGGCCTACTGCGCAATCGAAACACCGGCACAGGACTTCTCCTTGCAGGACACTAGAAAGTCAAATAGAACATCGAGCTTGAACAGTGGAGAGAAAGAGACTCTCCGTCGTCACGATGCACGAGAAGGCGAATCGCCTAGGATCACTGGTCTCAAGAAGAAACGCCAGACTCAACCCATTGAAGTCACGACGTGGAAGCGTATGGATCTTACACGTAAGGATCCATCTGAAGACTCACCTACGGAAAAGGATGAAGGCTCAGATCGAAGTGAGGATCTCTCATCAGAAGCAGATCTGGCACCTACCGATGCATTCACTCCATCCCGACTTTCACGCACTGCGCTCAAAGTAACAGAAGAGATCCTCAGTCTCAACCCAACAACAATCCTCATCGAACGCCAACGCTTCCGATCAGGCGGCGGCGCAGCCATCCAGGAGTGGACCGTCCGCGTCAACATGCTGGAGAGCATGATATGGGCATGTCTCGAAACGCTGCGAGCGCAATCCTTGCACTCAGGTGGGACATCCTCATTCCCAACCGTCCACGCCGTCAGTCCCGCCCAAGTCCTCAACTTCTGGTCCTCCCCAGCATCCATGTCCCTCCTCCCGCCAACCCTCTTCCACGAAGAAAACTCTGGCATCCAGCACATGGTCACAAATTACATGGCCACAAGAACCAAGCTTTCCAAGAAGGACAAAATCGACATCGTGAGGAATTGGTGTCGAGGTGACACTGATGTGCAGCTGAAGTTCAACGAGGAGTCTTGGAGAATTGCGGGTGTTCTTGTGACTTCGGATCGGCAGACGAAGGCGATTAAGGAGCAGGTCGGTGGTAAGCTGGATGATTTGGCCGATTGTTTGCTGCAGGCTGTGACTTGGGTCAAATGGGAGAGGAATCGGCAGATTCTGGCCGAGATGTGGAGGAATGCGGTTGAGGAGGCGAACAGGGAGAAGCGTGAATGATGTGCTGTCCGGCGTCAATGGGGCAGCAGACCATCACACTAGGTGTGCGCGCGCTCGACTGAACGATAAAATCTGGGCAGCCTCTCGTAATGTGTGAATGCGCGCCTCGGTCAGACTGAGTGTTGTAGTATCGGATTTATGGTGAGGAATGAAGACTCCTTAAGACACCTGTCGACATCGAGCAATCCAAGACAATGCATCTGATAAGTACACGCTAGGGTATACACTATACATACACAACGCTCGCCCCAGCAAACTCAAGATCACCCGCAAGCACAACTCGCGTCCCTCGATCATCAACGCCGCAGAACGCCTTGCTTGGCAAGCAGGATTCGAAGCAGTAGTGTAGCTGTATTCCGGACTCGTCTCGTCCCCTTTTTCTTCTTCTTCGTCATCGCGGCGTCTCTGGAAAGCACCCGTCTCGTCATCATACATGTCGACTTCCAGTCCAGCCCGCATGGCCATTCATACGGCAACCCACATCACGCTCACCACGATGTCCATGCCCTTGCCCTCACCACCCTCGTACTTATAACTCCACATGCCATCCTTCTCGTTGTTCCAGAACGCCCCGCTCGCAGAGTGCATGCCTCTCCTTCCCACCTTCTTGTCCCCGCTCAAGCCATCGCTGCCTACCCCTCGAGGGTCGCTGAGGTGCTGGATGATGGTCGTGTTGACGACGAATTTGTACTTGGAAGACGCGGCCTCGGACTCGGAAATGAGCGACTTGAGAATGTTGTTGATGATGGTGTTGTTCCAGGACTGCGTGGAGGCGTGGTCGTATACGGTCGTGGTGCTTATGGCGGCGTCGCAGGCGTCGTTGCAGATTTGGCGGAGACGGGTCGTGGGAATGGGCTGTGAGGGTGATGTGTGAGTAGGTAGTCGATACACGGGATGAAGAGATGGCTCACGGAGTTGGAGGCCATTTGATGATCGTTGTGGATGGGTAGATTTTGTGTGATTGTCGAGATTTCCAAGCAGTGTTTACGGTTGTCGAGGCAAGGCTGCCTGCAGCGGCAGGCGGGCGTCGAGAAGCACAAGCAATTGCCAGGATGTCGGAGCTAGCGTGAAGCCGTCCGGGGTTTGCGTGGTTGCACCAATCACATGCCGCATCCAAACCTTGTGTCGAGTGGGGTGGCTTGAGCTTCGTCGACTTCTTCCTCTCGTTTTGCCAACCACCTCTCATATACCACCTAGACTCGCCCATTGGAGCTTTACGGAAGCTCGAAAATACCCGCCAAAGCCTCGCGAGTCTTGACGAACTACTCTAATCCATCCACATACTATTGGGAAGCTCCTCCAACACCGTCACCATGTCCAGCCAACCACTTCTCCAGACAGCTCCGGGTACGTCCCAAACACACCACCATGAAACCAAACCCTTCCCCATCTGACTCAATCCCACAATCACAGGCAAACGAATCGCCCTCCCCACCCGCGTCGAACCCAAAGTCTTCTTCGCCAACGAGCGAACCTTCCTCTCATGGCTGAACTTCACCGTCATCCTCGGCGGCCTCGCAATGGGCCTGCTCAACTTCGGTGACCAGATCGGACAGATCTCTGCTATTCTGTTCACCCTGGTTGCCGTCGCTGCTATGCTGTATGCGCTCATTACATTCCACTGGAGAGCGAAGAGCATAAGGATGAGGGGTCAGGGTGGTTTCGATGATCGGTTTGGACCGACTGTTTTGGCTTTTGCGTTGTTGGCGGCTGTGGTGGTCAATTTCGTTTTGAGGTTCACGGGAACAGCTTAGAATGGTGGGCAAAGGACGTTGAGTGTATGCCGTTCTCGGAAGGGCGGAGAAGGAAATCGAGGCGACGGAAGAAGGTGCTACGAATCTAGGGGGCAGTCGAGGGGAGGCAATGGAGGTAGGGAGAGGACAACAACGGCCGGGGTGCAATAGGGATACTGTGCAGGTGTAACATATCGAGAGTTTCTTTTTCGAGCCAAAATATGTACAGGAACACGAGCACTGCAGAATTGGACGACAGGAGTAACGAAGCCGCGAGTGAGTTCTTGTATCGTGTAATCGAATTGTATATGGTACTACATATCCCATTACTCGCACGCTCGCCACCCACCGCACTTCAATCATGAGCCTGGTCGCCTTCAATTGTTGTGAGATGCATATTCCATGGATGTCACTTGTTTCGAAACACTTTCGCCCTTTCTTTCCATAATATTTACTCTGTCTCCTGCTCCTTCATAAGTGAGAGTGACATCTATCTCCATCACTCGCCAGCTGTCCAAGCGACTGGAACTGCAAATATGAGCGTGGCCCCGCTGCGGTCCCGGGGGAAAATATGAACATGCATTCCAATCCACCCACTTTTAGTTCAAGGCACTCACATGCTTTCATGCTCTCCGCCCTGATCATTGCTTCTCCGAAATCAGATCGTCGGACATCTATCTCCATAACTTGCAGGTTGTCCAAGCATCTCGAGACACCATCATTGGCACAGTGGTTTTCAAGTCTCGAGAGAGGCACGTCTTCATACTCCACTTGGCGAAAGGCACTTTCACAAAACATAGCCGGCAGGAAGGATCTGGCTCCAGGTTAGTTCAAAGTCCCATCACCTTGTGCCGTCGCCTCTGAGCTCGGCTGTCGAATTTTGCCTCGAGATGAGGTCGCGAAATAATCATGCTATCCCAAGTCCACGGCAGATCCCCAAATAACTCGAGCTGGACTCAAGAGCTTAGTCCGGTAAAGATATTGAGAGAAAGATCTGCGTTTCCGCCAGATCAATACACTTTTTGGTAACGCATCGTTCCATGACCCAGACCCTCAGCTCGGCAATGTGTAAGTGCCGTCAAATAAGTCAAAGCAACATCGATCCCCGTTGTTTGCAGACTGTCCAAGCAAGTCGGGACGTGGACGTGAGCGTGGTCGCCCTCGAATATTCGGAGAGATGCCCATGTTCCGGCCGGTTCAGAGGCCCCTCGTCAACGTACTTCCGGCAACGGACTCAAGGACTCAGGCGTACATAGAACGCAAAATGCCATCTAGCCCCGTTCCTTGCAAGCCTTCTAAGCCGCCCCAAGGGCGATAGTGAGAGTGGTCGTTACCATTGACTTTGGAGAGAGGATCGCATTCTGGTCAGTCCAAGGCAGTCCCTCGATCATCGTATTCTGGGCTAGGTCTGAGCTTGAGCATTGGTGGAATCTTGAATCACAAAGTAACATCTTTCCCCGTTTCTCGCAAGCCGTCTGAGCCATCAAAGATGCCACCGTAAACGTAGTCTCTCCCCAGCTCCGGGGGATAATCTGACCAGGCATTGTACCGGGTTGAAGGACTTGCATGAGCTTTTCCATAGTCTCTCTCTGAGTCTGAGCTCTGCCATCTGTCGAATTTGCCAAACGAAGAATTGACATTCATCCCCGAGACATGCCAGCCGTCCAAGCCGTCCGAGAAGTGATTGTGAGAGCGATCGAGAGGAAAGCTCAGGGGAGAACATGACTGCCATCGAAGTGAGTCTATTCAACAGAGCTCCTGACGCTTCCCGGTGATCCTAGATAGAAGGCGCGGTGATGGTAAGAGTGATGGTAGGAGTGATGGTAGGAGTGAAGGAGCTCACTTCACTTCTTGAACATGTGAAAGCTTCTACAATCACATGCTACAATCACATGCAATAATGGCCGTCATCGAGTTATACTGCGAAGTTTTGATACGCACTGTATACTGCAATCTGATTGGCTCCATGAAGAGATGCCATAAGCAGCGCCAGCAGCAGCAACAGCGCCGTTAGGTAAGCCGACGCTAGAGGCAGACGTCATGTGATGGTTGGCTAAACACCTACCTTCACTTCACAGGCACCCATTAACTGAAGTATACGATCCCCACCAAAATCTCGCCGGCATCGTCAACATGTCGTTTCAAGACAACCCAAACCTGGAAAGCCAGCCGACAACCTGGCGGCGTGAGGACGATCCACAGTACACGGACGACCCGGAGTTCCAGCGCTACACCACTCAACTGTCCGACAAGCTATTCTCCCTGACCTCGAATATCTCGCGCCTCTCGAACCAAATCGCACTCTTAGGCACACGCCGCGAAACCGACCGTGTCCGCGAACGAGTCCAAGATCTGCTGTCAGAAACAGGCGATGGCTTCAAAGAGGTCGGCGAAGGCCTCAAGAAGGTCCAAGGATGGCATGACATGGGACCCAGCCAGAAGTACACCGCAGGAAAGCTGGGAACAGAGTTTCGCGCAAGCTTGACGGAATTTCAGAGCCTACAGAGACAAGCACTGGAGAAACAGAGGGCCAGTGCATCAAGCGCAAGAGCCGCGATGGAGCAGGAGGGCGTAGAAGGCGGTGCACATGGACAAGGTGGACAGCAACAGCAACAACTGCAAGAGCAGCAGCAACTACGACTCGCAGACCAGAGTGAGGTGGACTTCCAAGAGTCGTTGATCATCGAGCGGGAAAGCGAGATCAGAAACATTGAGTCGTCGGTCTCAGAACTGAACGAGCTGTTCCGAGATGTCGCCACGATGGTGCACGACCAGGGTCAATCACTCGACATTATCTCGGAGAATGTCACAAGCACGAGGGACGCCACGAGGGATGCGGATCAACAGCTCAGGACAGCCAGCCGGCATCAGAAGAGCGCAAGAGGGAAGGCCTGTTGCCTGTTGATTATTTTGGCTATTGTCTTGGCCGTGGTGATTTTGGCCGTAGTACTTTGAGATGGACTTTTACAGCAGGAAACAGCATTCAGGGGCGTTGCATGTTAGTAGTGGATTGTATTCGGGAGGCGGAGTTGACATAGCAGATGCCTCGAGGCGTATGTGAATAGTACGACAGTCACGGGGTTCCGCGTCACTTCTCATCAGGTCTCTTGTCGCATGTGACAGCTTCTTCAAGTGAAGCAACACGTCTACCACCTATTGTTCATTTGACACCACATGCCTATTCTTCTTCTACTTCCCAGCAAGCACTCCACCAAATCTACGGCGTCTATGAGAACAGCACAGTGGGAGACATCAGTATCGAGGTAAGTCTGCACATGTACTGCACGTACCAAGGGCGCTAACTGAAGGCAAGCAGCAGTCGAACCAAGCAGATGACAAGCCAATATCTCCAAGACTCTCCCTCCAACATCGCCGATGATCACGAGAAACCTCAAGAGGACGTAAAGGACAGGAAGGACAGCATGGTGGAGGTCGACGAAGTAGAGCCTTTGATAGACTCGCTGGACGATATCGAAGTAGCTCCAGAAGATGAAATGGAGGTCTCAGCGACGACTTTCGAGTCCTTCGACCCGGACACGTCCATGGCGGATGAGGTCGAAGCAACATCAGAAGATACGACAGAGGTCGCGGCGGATACTGCTGACTCCTTCGATGTGGACACGTCCATGGAAGAGTCGATCGTGAGCTATTACACCGTCTCCGACGACAACACTGCATCTTCACCTACTCGGCCAACAAATGATGAAGCCGAAGACTCGCAAGAGACTCCTGAAGAATCGAGATTCGATACTGCTGCTCAGAAGGTGTTGGCAACATACTCGTTGGTTGAGCGGATCTTTCTGAAGCTCCCCGAAATCGAGTCTGACCAGTCGGTTAAGATGCTCGTATTGGCTCAGGGCACGAACAAAACGTTCCGGCAAGTGATTCGACGCTCGTTCAAGTTCCGGCGGGTAATGAGAGGACGCAAGGAGTCGTTGCTGCGTTCTAGAAGATCTGGGGAGGCTTGTGGTAGGTGATAGGAGACAGGGGCACAGTGTATCTCCACGGATTCGAGACGACTCGAAGGCCTGGTGTCAGGCACCGGTCCATAGACGCCGAGACAGATCTCTCGAGATCAGAGAGAAAGTAGCGAGATCAAGAGATACGCAACATCAGCAACATCGTCTCTTGAATGAATTCTATCTTCCTTTCCAAACGGCAGCCTTGAACGGCAAGATCTGGACCTTGTTCGCATCCCACACGCCCGTGGTGTAGTATATGTCACTCTCAATCAACTTCTTGACCTCGGCCTCACTGTCGGCTTCCACGATCATCGCACTGCCATTGATCTTCATGGGCTCGCCCTCTTTCACCGGTTCATCGAGTGTCGCTCCTCCCATTGTGACGAGGCCGCTCGCGAACTTCGGCTTCACGCCTTCGAGATGCTGACTGCGGAAACCCGTCAGCACCAACCCCAGCCCCTCATCTCCATATCAACATACGGACGAACTTCCATCCTCTTCTCCAACTTGCCCGCGCCATCCGGCAGAATACAAAGCCACTGCTGCTTGCTATCGGCCATGATTCTCCGAGTCGTTGCGAATGTTCGTGTGCTGACGAGGGAGGGGATGGATGTCTTCAGGGTGGTTCGAAGGAGGGACATCGGATGGGGTGGGAAGGTGTCAGCTTTATCAGCGACATCTTGAAAGAGGTAGTCTTGTGCCGTTCGCGCTGCAATGCCGATTGTAGACGCGAGGGAGATGTGGTCGGAAGGGCGGGGCAACGAGCCCCGAGACGGGGAAGTGGATGGCGACTTCACCTTGTCACTTGCGTCGATGTGGAAGTCATGGACGAGCGATGAGATGGCTTTGTTTCCATTGCAGACCACTCTCTATTATTGGAGGCTGTCGTTGACAAGCAAGGGACATCGCTGAAGAGTTCAGTGGACTGTCCAAATTTGTTCTGAACATGTCATTAACAATACGATCACTGCGCTGCCCCGTCCTTCAATTAGCTGCTGCAGGATAACCTTTTCGGCTGCGTGTGGCTGTAGATTCGAGGACTGTAGATTGTGGCGAGGAATATTGACAAGGTCGGTACGTGAAGACATACTCTACAAGCTGCCGAGGGTTCTTGTCTCCTCATGAGTTGGAAGACTGGAGGTGGTATGGCAGCCTTCACGGCAAGAAGGAACTGAAGATCAGCCAAGAAACATCGTTGTCATTGCCCCTCTCTTTCATCAAAGCATACAGAACCCCATCCTGTCCAGTGCCATGCAATCCTACTCATCGTATCGACTTCCCCTATTCCCAGCTCCAGCATCATCTCCCGTCCCGGCCCCATGCCCAGGAAGCTCAGCAATAGCATCCGAATTCGAAGACAACTCAACCGGCGCGAGCTTGTAGACCGCTCCGTCGACTTCGTACGTCGGCGCCGCAGGCTCGGGGAAATCTATGTACGGTGGTTTGCCATCTTCTGGATATGTCTCTTCTGTTGGCACGGCCTGTCTTCGTCGTCGGCGTAGCCAGAGCCATCCTGTTATGCATAAGATGGCTATGAATGCCACGCCGCCGATGACGCCTCCGACTATGGCTCCTGTTGGCGTTTTGCTCGACTTGCCGTTTGCGGGCTGTGAAGAGGTGGGGTTTGTTGAGGTGTTCTGTACCTGGTAGTCTGTACGGTCCAGATTAGCGAGACTTAATATGAAGCACATCTCGACGACATGTGGAACACTTGTGCCAAAGCGGGATCCGCCCAGGTCGGCTCCTCATACTCAGAAGTATAGTACTGCTTGACCGGATCCGGCGAGTCATACGCAGCCGCATGAGGATCATATGCGTCCGTCCACGCAAACGCAGTCATATCGAAGACTCCAATACTGCTCGTCCAAGGATCTTGCTGCATACCGAGGGTCGTCGCGGTGTTGACCAGCCTGCCTCCAATAGAAATCATCTGCCGGTTCCCTACAATGCTGCACGCGTGACAAGCTCTTCTCTGCGTGGTCGAGGAATTGGACATGAACCATCGAAAAGCTGGGATCGATAGTGCGTAGACGTTGAGGTAACCGTCGTCGGCCGGCTTGTTGGCTTCGTCTGAGGAGTTGACGGAGCCGCCGTATACGAATCTAGAAGAGAGTCGATCAGCAGTGGTGTGTGGATGCGTCGTTCGTGGACGTACAGTTCAAATGTTTCCCGTTGAGACGCAGCACCAACTGCACAGAACTCTGATCTTGGAGGAGGGATATCGCCTGCCGCTGTCTGCTGATACCATTTCCCGGTAGCAACATCATAGAGCGTGATGTCCGCCATATCCGTCATCTCATAACCCGTCTCGTACACCGACGCTTCTGTCACCGGATTCTCCCCTCCCACCGCAACGAGGTATCCCTTGCTTCCAAAATTAGGCACATACGCTGCGCGAGCCTGGGTGCGAAACTGAGTCTGGGCGTAAAGCTCGAAGCTTACATTGCTCCAGGGGTGAGTGCCGAAGTCCTGCATAACAAGCCCAGGAAGAACTGTCATATCGGCTTCTGCATTTGTCGCTTTGATGTTGCCTCCTAGATTAAAGTAGGTGGTGTTGGAGTAGGCTATCGCGGCAGCGAAAGGACCGTTTGAGACCGACGAAGATGCGTTGGAGGAGACGTTGGCGCCTTGCTGCCAGTCGACAGTGCCGGATCCGACTTCGAAAGACCACAATGTGGTCGGGTAGTCGTCTCCATCGTAAGGCCAGCCGGCCCATCTGTTGACTGTACTGTGTATTGCATCGTAGTATAGGAGTGGCTGTCTGGAGGGTCGCATGTCCGAAGGACTATTCACCGGCTGTCCGCCGACAGGTACAATCGTCTCGTTGGTCCATGAAGTTGTGAGATCGACGACATAGGTACCGGGTTCTGTCTGCATCAGTCGCATCATCAGCATGTCAGGATTGCAAGCGACTCACCATGTGTAATGTTACCTGACGAAGGCCAATACTGCTCACCACCCGTTACGTAGAGATAGTTCCCGACCGTGATCGCTGTGGCAGCCTCACATTAGCATCGGACAAGGCAAATGATCTGGCGGACCTTACAAGACGGCCAGAGCCATTGTGAAATGGCACGATTGATGAGCTCAGCACTTGCTCCGTGGAAGGAGAGGCCCCAGGTAAGGGCGAGGAGCTTGTCACGCATGCTGTGATATCCGAAGAGTGTGGAAGGTCTCACAAAAAGCGAGCGCGAAGCAATGTTCAGCCGAAAGGCTGGTATTATCAACCATACTTGAAGGATCAACCCGCCATCAAACCGTGGTAGGCTCCTGGACGAAGCGCGGGTTCTTCGCTGCCGAATCGATCAGCTAATATGCACCTCGACTAGGGAGGAGATATTTTAACGTCGCGAGGCTGAAGTAGCTCACCGGTATAGGCCCCCAAATGCAATTTGGATTTAGAAACCTGGTCTAGCGTCCTCGAGCAGCATTCCTTCCTGGGCCTAGTGACGAATTTCTAATCCACGATAGTTCGGCGAGTCGTGCCTAGTTTGTTGTCAACAGCCTGGAACTGCATGCTAAATACCATTTACGCCATGGTACTTCTTCTCTTAAGACGGCAATGGTATCGATGGTAATTCGCAATGGTCTATCGCGGAAAGCCCAGCAAAGCGTGCCATGAGTGCAGACAGAAACGGCGCAGGGTGGGTCGAAACTGAATCCCTGTTGAAAGGTGAAGCCTGAAGGCCTACTAACCTGTCGCCAAGTGCGACTTACAGAGACCAGCTTGTGGGCAATGTCGAAGGAGCGGGACGGCGTGCCATGGCTATCGAAACGACATCGACACGCTGTTTGTGGAGCATTTGGAAAAGCCATCGTCTGCAGCAAAGTCGACCAAGCCAACAACCCGAGGATCCTCGTCAGGCCATGTGCCCAGGGATCTTGCATTATTCACCTGCCTTCCACGTACACTATCGGCTCCTTCCGTGGAAGATTTCGCCTTGGTCTATTTCTGTCGGAACAACGCTTGCTCGGCAGCTGTCTGCGCCTTGACAAGCGAACCGTCCCTCTCCCGCCAACAGACAGTGTTGATCACCTGCATGAGGGCGCTTGGGTCAGCCACGTGCGCGGTCGCCCACAACTCCGCTCGGATGAGGGTAGAGGCTGGCCGATACTACTCTGCCTCTTTGGCAGCCGTCAATGAAGTTCTCGCCATGCCCAGTACGGCCCAATCTGACGATGTACTACGCGCCGTGATGATCCTGTGCGGGTACGACACGGCAAGCGATACGCCACTGGCCTTTGCTCATCAATCTGCTCACATCCATGGATGCGCAGCCCTACTCGGTGCTCGAGGTGCTGACCAAATGCGTACTAGCCACGGTCGTGTACTGTTCATACAGGCATGCGTGAACGTAGTATCTTATTGCTTGCGGACGTGCTCACGCATTCCAAGCGTCATTCATCGACTGACTGACTTGAGCACCCCATATTTTGATGAGTATAGTCGATCGATCTGGGTAGCCCACAAGGTGCGACTGAAAGTCACCGACTGCTATTGCGAATACAGCAACAACAACATCAATGTCGACGAGGCCGTCCAAGGTATGCTGGACCTCGATTCGGAGCTGGCTGTCTTGATCGAACGAAAGTGCTGGAATGTCGCATACAATCTTCCTGCTTCGGAGCGACTGCCGCCAAAGTCGCCGACTCAAGCGTGGCACACGTTCCAAGACCAAAACATATACCATGCTCTTTGTGCATATCGAATCATGGTGCATCTTCTGATCCGGAATATTGCACGTTCTCTTCCTCCTGCTTCTGCAAATTGGGCGGCGCAGCTCAAGACTTCCCTGGCCACAATCAACGAGTATCAAAACTTGATATTGATTAACACGCCTCGTCGAGTTTCATGCGCACTGGAACTCTACAAGGCCAGCCAGGCACAGACACAGATTGAGTCGCAAGCATTCGACGTTCTGTCTCCACCTCTCGGAATTTCGCATGCAGAGGCTGCAATGGCGAATGTCGCCATGGCGGAGACGCTGTCCAGTAACAAAGTTGTTCTATCGGGGAAGCGCGAACCGGCCATACTTCGTTTGTCTCGTGGGTACGGTTTGATCTGGCAACTCATGCTCGTCGGCGTCACTGCTGAGCCCAAGTCCGATGTCAGAGTCCGTGCGGTCGATTTATTGCGGTCCACAGGCAACGATCTAGCGATTCCTCAAGCAACTATCCTGGCCGAAAGGTTGGAAGAAATTTGAAATGTTCAACCAGTCTGTTGTATCTTCGGGGTCGCGGATCCGTGCCGTTTCTCGTTTCGTGGACACTGGCCATCATCGCTGCTCACATGCAATGCTTTCATCTCGTCGAAGCGGTCATTCTCCCACTGCAGTCGCTGCCCCATCAACGCCTCGCGCGCCTCTGAATCGGAAACATAGCCATTCACCCGCGTCCCTCTTCCGGCGTTTCTCACATCTGAACTCCAGAATCGCCACGCTCGTCCGGATGATTCCTTTCGGTCTGCCGGTAGTCTCCATGTTGCAGAACACCTCCGCATAGCCTGCTTCCCGGTCCACATACGTCGTCAAGTCGGTTATCCTACAGAACATCTCTGGGTTTGCGGTCATTATGTGTCGCCACAATCCCAGATACCCTTGCAAGTCCAGGTCATTTGGAGAAAGATATCCTCCTTCGTGCCGAAACTCGGGGGACTTGTACTGCCATGGAGGCGAAGAAGGATCGAAGTCGTGCGTATTGAGAGCCGCAAGGAAGCCACGCGTTCTACTTTCGATGCAACGAACGATATTTTGAATCTCTTCGTCAGGAACTCGGGTAGATATGTCGTTGCTTGATTCATGTCCCATAAGAAGATGGGAGGTCGAAGACGGGTCCCGAGCTGGTTGCATAGCGTTCGATCTTGAATGGAAAAGTTTGATGAGGCAGGCTTGAGGAACGATTTGCTTGAATGCGGTTTTCAGCTGGTGTTGATGACCGGCGTTGTTGGTCGACCCGAGTTCGGGAATATCGCGAGCCTTGTTGCACCCAGCTCCGCATGCTTGGCATGGTGATGATTGTTGTTGTTGACGATCCTGCATCACGACAACAGTTGGGACACTAATCTCCACACATCATCAGTGGACGCGTACACCAAGTCACTCACCAGGGACGCACAAATTCTGCTCGGCAGCATATTGGCATGGTATCTCTTCAGCTGTTTCACAACACTATTCGCGGCAGCTGATTTATTGCCTCAGCATGATGATATGTTGGGCTCTGGTTTGACGGTACATCTGCTTTCATCCGAGGGCAAGGTCTCATTGAGTGTACGGACATGTTGATGTCGTGTGTCGAACAGGCCTGCTGCGCGAGATTGGTCCTGGATGCGTTGCAAGTCATTCAACGCTTGCACATGTTCAACTTTTGGTGCAGTCAGGCAAAGTCTCCAAGGATTGGAATCATTCATCGCGTCTTGCGATTTTTGACCCTGGCGGATATCCGTGTTCCTTCGTTTGGTGTTTTGCCCTTTGTCACCGAGACTTTCGCTTTTTTTGCTCCTTGTTTCTTTTGTTCCGATCTCACCTCGGCCTCGTGCTCTGGTTTTCGCTTCAAGTTCGAATGAGTTGACTTCGAAGCAGTCTCGTTGTCAATTTTTGTATCCTTGCCCACGCTCTTTCCGGTAGCACGCCTCCCTAGCACATAGGCGACCTTCTCCAAGTCCACGGCCTTTGCTGCTCCCAGTCGTTTCTGTACTTGTTGTATCTTTTCGAACAGCTCAAGATACTCTTTGGGAGTGTACTTGATCTTGCGATCCCATCCATTGGCCTTCTTGTCCTCGTACATCGACCATCGGAACAGCTCATCGGAGAAGAAAGGGGCACGCTCGGGATCGAAGACTGAGAGGAGGAGTGAGGCGGTGGCAGGGCCAATGCCCTTCAATTGCGTCAAGGTAGTGAGACTCGACTTGATGTTGTCGTGTGGATCTTGTGCGAAGGACTCGAATGCGGCGGTGGTGATTGAGCGAATATCGTCGTCGCTATTTTGATCGACGAGTTTCTTGAGGGTCGGTCGAAAAGTGCCATGACTGAGCTTCCAGTCGACAAGTGTTGCGACTTCTTGCTTCGTCAAGGAGTTCTCGTCGCGTGCGGCGAGAGCGGTCGGTATAGTGTTGTATCGAGCCTCGTCGAGAACGTGTAGCTTGGCCGCGACGATCGTCGGGTATTCAGTGAGCAGTTGTTGGACCGGCTCGGAGGTGATGTCGTCAATACGATGGCTTCGGTCCATGGTGAGACGGTAGGACCTGCATCATCGCCCCAGAGTCGGGAAAGCTGGGGACTGTGAGCTCAGTGTTGCGACGCCGGCGTCGATTGACTCTCGACTATCTACCGTCACAAGCTCGATATGAGGCTCGGAATAGCTTGTTGTATAGCTTGTGAAGTGTCGAGATCAACGTGTCCGGTCAATCATCTGACGGTGGTTCAATGTCCTGGGACGCGGTAGAGATGTATGATCGACAGGGCACAGCGCGTCGTGCTCCACTTCCCCAAGCTCAAGTCTCCAGGCTGATGGCATCCCACTTCACCTGCTGCTCGCTGTGCTGCTCCTCTACACGATACTATTCTCTCCGTCACTTCGGGTGACTGCATTATTCTCGACATGGACTCGAGCAATGGCCTGATGCAGCCTGATCACTTCGAGGCGACAGATGCAACCTCGAACAGCACCACGGCCCAGAAAGCTCCCGCCAGCACTTGTCCTCCGCTCTCTTCGATCAACACCGGTCTCCCCTCGCCGACCCTTCACTCTTCGCGCGAGAGCTTCATGCACAAACGCAAGCGAGCACAACCACCGCCGAGCGACGACGATCGCTGCCATCCCAACCACACGCGCTCTCGCAAGAAGATCCGACAGCACAACGACGACGCCATCACCATGTCCAAACGGAAGAAGAGCAAGGCGACCACGCCTGTCGACGCACCAGCATCCTCCTCATCCTCCATGCCCGTCGAAGACCTCACCACCAAACCCTCCAAGCGTCTAAAGACGAAACTCACCATAGCCAACAATGCTGCATCCATGCCTTCGTCCAGCACCTGGCCCAACGGCTCCGAGAGTATCTTGACAGGCAAGACGAGCAAGCCCACCGAACAGCAAGACGCATCGCCAGGGCCGTCATCCAGCACCACCTACACCCGCTCACCTACACCATCGACTGGTCTGAACGCTCCTGATCCACCGTTCTCCAACCACGCACAAGATGAGGACTTAGAGCAAGACATCACATTCTGTATTGCACCGCCAAGTCTAGAGGAGGAGCTGATTGATGCAAATACGAAGATCGACAATCTGGCCGACGACGTCGATCATTTGAACAGATCGCTGCGTGCCGCCTGCGATATGCTGTCCGTAACCAAGGAGCGACTACGGCAGGCACAGAACGAGAAAGCTGCCATGGAAGGCAACGTCCAACAGATTAGAGCATCGCGAGCTAAGATTGGTATGGACGCGATGCTGGAGAGGGTTGCTACGAAAGAGGCCTGCAGAAAAGAAGTGGAAGCTGAGCGAACCCGGCGCATGAAGGCCAACGCCACCCACAAATCTCAAACCGACGCACTCACGGAAACGCACAATCGCGATATGGACGGTCTCAAGGCCAAACACAAGGTGGAGCTGTTCGAAGCCCACGCCGCCGCAGCTGCAGCCAAAGCACATGCACACATGCTCCAGCACAAGCTCAACAATTCCGTAATGACTGTGAGTGGTCTAGAGGCAGAAGTCAACAATGGTCGTTATCTCCTCAATGCCGCCGAGGAGGATCTCCAGGAAATGGCAGCTGTTAAGATGAAAGAGATGACCGCCGAGGAAGTCCGAGGCCTCCCGCCAGCGTACGGCAATCTTGATGATACCGACACTCTCCCACCGTGGGCCCGCCACCAAGACGAGGGACCGTTGCAGGTTGCCTTGGTCAAGCACGCAGCCCGGGAGTCATTCAAAGACATGGTACAGAAGATCATGTATGAAGTGAACGCAATGAACCAAAGCGGCAACGACGTGTTGAAGAATGCGGCCGGCTTTGAGCTCCTCAAGCTGCTTTCAACAGCATTGGCAGCGGTCTGCAACCAGATGAAGCCCGTTTTCACCTGCCCAGAAGGTGATTCCAAGACAGACCGCGCCTTCTACGCCGACCGGGTGGTCAAGCTTATCATGGAGTTCTGCTGGCAAGTCGTCGCCGCGTTCGAGATCCGCCCCATCTCCGTCACCATCAATAACCAGGAGATTCGCACGCGCATCGACATCTCCTGGCGCGATGTCGACAACACCCTCACCGAGGCCATTGAGCTAGCCTTCCGAGACAACTACCCGCGCACCGGCGCCCGTGAGGGTGGGTCGCCTCGCTGCCCGCAGTGCGAGAACGCTGCGTGTGGCGGCTTCTGCGTGCGGCTCAACGAGCTGCAGACGCTCCTCGAGCAGCTCAAGGCGCTGCGATCCCGGCTGGAGCGCCTCTGCTCCCGCTTCAAGTTCTTGTCGCGCGCTTGTGTGTGGGTGGGTGCCGCCCTGGAGACGGACCTGGTGTTTGCGGCGAGCACCGACCGCGCTCGCCCCCTTTCTCCGGTGGAGGAGGGCCTGTTCATGGGATCGATTTAGATGTCATGGGCATGGTCCTGGGGATGGGGGCGGGAGCGCGAGGGCGGGCGAGAAGAGGCGAGGTTGCTTTTGTTCTGCTTGGCCGCGGGCCATTGAAAACGAACGTTTACATAGGTTAGTTCGCCCCTCGGGTGCTGCAACGGAGCCTCTTTTGCTGCGATCTCTTGTCTCTCTCCCCTTAATCGCTTCCTATATGCACTCTAGGTCACCTCAGACGGCGGCAGACCGCTTTGAACGAGCAGACGTCGTTCACACGCAGCAACAGACTGGCATGATTCGCTCGAGCCGTGGAGGAGGCGACGCTCCTCTCTCGCGTATCTTGTTGCGGCGTCCGCGGCAATCGTGGCCACGAAGGCCAGCGGCTGTTGTCAAGAATTGGAGGGAGACTGGAAGAACAACGGGGTTTTATGTTTCTGGGCTACGACATATGACATGTGTGCCAAAAATCGCCATTATATGGTGCATCTGCCTCGTGCAGTGCAGTTCCCTACATCCTCTCTGCAATGGATATCAACTGAGATAGCAGCAGAGCGCTTTGGTGGCGCGAGCATCATCCACACCAAGCATTGAAGCGATTACGTCGTCCTGCGGAGGCGGTACGTCTCCTCGTCCATGTGATCTTGTTCCAGCGGCCGTGGCCGTCGGGTGGACCACTGTTCTTGGAGCGGTATCCACGCTGAAGGTCATGCTGGCGGTATGATCAGAGAGTTGGGCGAGAGAGGACGAACAAGTGGTTTGTGTTTTTCAGAGCCAAGACTTCTGAAACCTGTGATAGAAGTCTCGTTGAAGAAATCTCAGACATCTTCGAAAGTTGGTCTTCTTTAGAATGACGCCGTGCACTCACTGTGGCCTCTGCTCGTTTACCCTGCTACACTCATATCCTCTCATGTAGTGTACGTGTACCTCACATAGGCGGCGAAGCGCTGATAGCACCTCGGAGGCCAGTTTGAGATGAGTTTACTGTGCTCTCCTCATTCCAGTCCAAGGGGAAGGTATGGAACTGCATCTCTCCAACTTTCCACACGCGACTGTACTGCTACTTACAATCCAAGCTGCATAGACGGGTTAGGAGTAACGGGGATGAATGTTCCACTTCGAGCGGAACTCCCAGTGATTCTTTTGTGCGGCGCTTGCGCTTGCGCTCGCGGTCGACTTCCGTCCTCGTGTGTTTTCTGGTCGCCCGCAGGCGCCATCTCAACGCCGGTCATGGCGGTTATTCGAGATCAAGTTGAAGAGCAGGAAGAAGGGGGGGTTTTATGTCTCCAAACTGAGATCTATGACAGGTGCCAGAAGTCGCGGCGATGCAATGCCTATAATATCGGGGCCAAGACTTCTGATTCGTTTGACAGAAGTCGAATTCAGGGGCCAGGGTATTTTCTCGAGTGCTTGCTAACCTTTCTCTTCGAGACTATGTAGCATTGTCACTACGAGGCGTGGGGGAGCTTCGATGCCAATATTGCGGCCGCAACTGTTTTTCACTTCGTTGATAGACTGAGCGCCTTGCGCTTCTGATCGCATTCGAGGCAGTTGGAGAAGGGATCTGTAAGAACGTTTCAATGAGCTCGAGAGAATGTCTACAAGCAGGTGCAGCTGAATGACAATTCTGGTAAGCCTTCCACTCTTTCAGGTCCTTCACCAATGATGATGACTCCCATTCGAACCCGCCTTGAACTCCACCTCTGGCCAGTCACTTGAAGGGCCATTGAAAAGCTTCCCAGCTTCACGACAATGCAACAGCGTATAATCAAAGAAAGCTCTCGTCCAAGTCCTCGTTATATTGACCATCCTCCTTCCGTCAATCGGGCCCAGATTTGCCGAATGAACACCTGCAGTATCTTTCCAAAAGGTAATATCCGACATATCGATATGCAGAGACCCCTTCACAACCACTTCCCTCCAGTACCCAGTCTGATTGACAGGAAACGTTTCATTCCAAGTCGGATCAACAGCTGTAGTTTCGTGAACTCCCGTTCCGAATAGAAACACAGGCCGTTTGAAATCAGGCACAGTGGTCCCATCTTCTCCAAAGGGACCTCCCTGGAACGGACCATCAAGATTTACACTCGAGAGAATTCGTCGGTCATATAGCATACTCGCAAGACCAGCGTCGCCACCGGCAGAATGTCCGAAAGTCCCGAGGAGATGACGATTGACTTTGGTTCCGAGAGCTTTTTCAACGAGATCGAGTCTGTCAATCATGGTTGTTGTTTCTGCCAATCGAACGTACACTGTCTCGTCGGTCGTCTCGTCCTCGGCCCCCGAACCGTAGTATCCCGTGCCGTTTGGCCATCGGATGTATTGCTGCTCGTGAGGATCGTCGATACCAATGACATTATACCCGTGTGAGGCTAGGTCCGATAATAAGGTTGTGTAGACTTCGGTTGGCGGGCCTCCACCGCCGGGACCGAAGAACACTGTCGGGTATTGCGAGGCATTACTCAGTCCTGGAGCGTCGATGGCGAGCTTGGCTGTTAAGGAGGTGAGGAGATCGACAGAGATGTTATAAACCTGTGCCCATTCTTGAGCGGTGACGGACTCGAGGTATGGCGCGGTGCGGCCTTCGGTTTTGGTTGGATAGAAGATTGTGGCGAGGAAGTCTGATATTAGGTTTGTGGGCAACGTGAAGTTGTTAGGATTTGTCCGGGCGACGGCTAGTTTTCTCTCGCCGACGTAATAGCTTCCAGTCGGTGGAGGAATAGGAGTGGGTTGTGGAGATGCGGCAGCCGCGATTGTGATGGCACTGGCTACGGTTTGAAGAGTGAAAAGCAGCTGCATCGCGTTTCTGACTGAGTCTGTCAAACAGACCATGGAGAACTCAGATGGAGCGCAGAAGCTTAATGAGAGAGTTAAGAAACAACAAGCATCTCTCCACACGTGCTGATGCACGAGGCTGAAGCGATCACTACGCGAAAGAGCGAAGATTGACAAGCGGGCTGCGCTAGTTGAAGATAGTCTGCCGTTAACCGTACATGTATCCCTGTAGACCGAGACTGACCATAAAAGCAGAAGTCGTTGGATAGCGATCGAAGACGAAAGGTGTCTCGGTGACGAACGAGCGAAATGGGTTGAAATAACGGATGGCCGTCATTGAGATGATGGTCCAGCGCAACGCATATTCGTCAGCAATGTTCAGCTTTACTGGTTGTATCGACATCGCCGTGAAGCCCTACCGACAATCGTGTCGATGTTTGTTGCAGTCTCGGGGTTCGCAGGGGAAGACGCTGAGGCGGTAAGATGTTGGGCATTCCAAGTACATGCCAGACAAAAATTGGAAAATCAAGATTTTGGGAACACTCTCAATCGGGAAGGAGGAAAGGCCATGTGGCTGCCTGAGGCAGGAGCAAGGAGTCGGTGCTCGGCGCTTGTCTCCGTCCGCTGCCGACGTCCTTTCTTTAAAAGGCCGCTACAGTTGGGAGCAGAATCTCAAGTTCCATGAGTCCCCGCCGCTGATACTCAGAAAGATCTCCTACCATGACGAGTGCGCATAGCTCATCTCAATACTTAAAGTCCACAGTCCAATCTTCAAAATGCCTTCGCCATCTTCAACACTCGTCTCGCAATCATGCACTTTTGCAAGCTCCTATTCCCTCTCTTCATCGCCGCAACCAATGCTGCCACTCTCCGAAGACTTTATCAATGGCCCAACAACACCGCAACTAGTGGACTAGAGAATATCTCGGTGCGCCCGTGCGGCGAACTGGTCATCACCACCACTTCAGAGCCCTGCATTTACACACTTGACCCTCAAGAACAGTCTCCAACACCGGAAAAGATTCACTGCTTCCAGGACGCTACAGCAACAACAGGGATCGCTGAAATCTTCCCGGACGTCTTTGCGGTCCACGTTGGGTCTCTTGGAGGCTCGACGAACCAGTCCGGCGTAAAGGGGAGCTGGAGCATCTGGATCGTGGACTTCAACCGGGGGGATGGGACGATACCTGCCATCACGAAATTCGTCAGTATCTCTCAAGCCGGTACTTTGAACGGCATGACTGTAATTCCTGGCCAATGGTCCCTCCTCTCGGTCGACAGCGAGCTCGGCCTCGTTTGGAAAGCTTCAACGATCACAGCCCAACACAGCATTGCAGGCAACAATAGTGCGTTTCTACCCAGCTCTGACATTCCTCTGGGCCTCAATGGAATGCACATAGACCCCAATGCTCAAAGTCTTTACGTTACCAACACCGCGAACAAGTCCTTTGGGACGACACATTTCAACTCGAAGACGGACATATTCTCTGGCTTCAGAACCCTTGCCCATCCAGTTAATGGAACGTTTTTCGACGATTTTGCCGTCGATTGGAAGTCTCAATTAGCTTATGTTACAGAACACGCAAACCGGATCGTCACCATCGATTTGCATACGGGCAAGAAGGAGGTTGTCGTTGATGGACCTCAGAATGATGTTGGACCTTTCCAGCCGACATCTGCTGCTTTTGGAAGAAACCACTGCTTGTTGTATATCGTGTCGAACGAGTATACTGACCAAACGACGGGCGCGAACTCAAATGGACAGGTGTTTGAGGTCCAGCTATGTTAAGCAGGGCGGTCACCTGGGCAAGGTTGGGCATTCTTTGAACGTAGAGCAGAAGATATAATACGACGATGAGATAGATTTGAGGACCTACATGTATTCAAAGCAGAAACACAGGTGCAAAAGCACAATCTTATTGACCGTTCTCAACGCATGCATATGTCAAGTACGGACTGGGCTTACATCGACCAATCTTGCTATGAGTCCGGTTCGAAGTCTTAGCGCCTTTGGTGACTACCTCACAAGATAAAGCCCAGAGAAGAGCTACTGCCTCGACGAATGACGAGTGTGATTTCAATGAATAGTTCTTTTGGAACAGTAGCTCTAGCCGGGAGTTTGTTTTTCCGCATCCGACAGCTAATCTCAACTAGGAAGCTGAGATGCCGATGACCATCTTGTACCGACTCGTTCCTCATCACAAGAAACTGCTTATTGTCCGAGGGAAAATCCCCTCCTTCGCCCCGCCCTTCACACCAGTTATCGCCCAAGAGTCGAGTAGATGCACAGCATATTTCGCTTTTGTGGTCGACGTCAGGGGCTGGCATTTTCTGTACGCGGAACACAATCGAGCCTCGGACAATAGCCCAAGACCGTGGGGTCGCTGACCATCAGCCCGCGTGTCAGACTTAAAGAAGGGGATTTAATATACAAACTACATTTTGGAGATCGTTAGGTGTCCTCTACACATATCGTTTCTCGACAATCTCAGAATGGCATCACCGCTGACCACACCGCTCACCACCTTCTTGGGTGTTAAGCATCCGATCATGTTAGCCGGCATGGACCAGGTCGCTGGCCCAAAGCTCGCCGCAGCTGTCACAAATGCAGGCGGTTTCGGCACAGTCGGTGGCGCTCGATATACGCCAGCAATGCTAAAGGAGATGCTCACCGAGCTCAAAGAAGAATTGAACGACAAGAACGCACCCTTCGGCGTGGACCTGCTGCTTCCACAAGTCGGCGGCTCTGCTCGCAAGACGAACTACGACTACACCAAAGGCCACCTCGATGAACTGCTGCAGATCGTCATTGACAGCGGCGCGAAGCTCTTCGTGTCTGCGGTCGGTGTGCTGCCGAAGTCTGCAGTTGACATGCTGCACAAGGCCAATATCCTTGTCATGAACATGATAGGCCACCCGAAGCATGTGCACAAAGCTTGTCAGGCTGGCGTCGACATCATCTGTGCCCAAGGCGGTGAAGCTGGTGGCCACACCGGTGACATTGCGAGCATGGTTCTGATTCCAGCATGTGCAGATATCTGCAAACAGTATACTTCTCCGTTGACTGGCAAGCCAGTCACTCTTGTAGCTGGTGGTGGTATCAACGACGGCAGGAGCGTCGCAGCTGCACTGGCGCTTGGAGCGAGTGGTGTTTGGGTCGGAACCAGATTCATCCCTTCTGTAGAATCGAAAGCGCCGGACAACTGGAAGAAACAGTATGTCTTTCGTATGCCCGCCATATTTGTTTCTGGCTGATATACAGCAGAGTCATCGAAGCTGGATATGACTCCGTGCTCAAGCTGACGATTTGGACCGGACGCCCTCTTCGAGCGCTTCGCAACCCCTATCTTGACCATTGGAACAAGTACCGGCAGGCTGAGATCGAAGAGCTCACCTCGAAAGGCATACTGCCGCTTGAACATGAGCTTGACAAACTGTACAAAGATGGCAGCCTCACGGACGAAATTCAGGAACAGGTCGCTTTGAGGTGAGTTAGCTCCCACACCCCGTGAAGCATCGTTGACGCGATTATGTAGACCTGCCGGCGTTGTGGTTGGTTCTGTCAACAAGCCCAACCAAACTGCGGCCGAGATAGTGAAAGAGCTTGTCACAGAGGCCGTTGAATCCCTCTCGAAGTCTAGCCGTTTTGTCAGTAGTACCAGCGCAAAGCTCTAAAAATTTGGGGATGTGAAGGGGTTTTGGCCGCATGATCAGAAGGTCGGCATGAATGATTTGAGTACCAGCGCTCAGATGAGCTCTACTATCAGCATTGTACTTCAGCACTCACAACTTGTTCTGGTCAGCGCAACAGAACGTCGAGGGCATGGATTCTTACGTTTTCGGGGGGATGGAGTCGTTCTCAAGTGAAAATTCTTGCCCTGCTGCGCTTCTACTAGGCCTTCACCCCCCGACAACTCACACAGGTGAGGGTTCTCTTCTTGAGCCCGAATCTTGCTTATAGCGTACGATGTGTCAGGGAAATTTCGCGCCGTCCGTGGTTCGTCCTCGCCGCCTCGGCCGGCCGGCCGGCCTGCGAGCGTTCAACCTTGTTGTTGTTGCTGAGACAAACGGTGGGCGAGAGAGGCGAAGTTTTTGTAGTTCTCTACCATGACATATGGCTAGAAGCAGAAGTTTTAGTGTCGTCCACAAGAATCTTTCAAAGTGCCACGTTGGCCGTTCTCTGCGCTTTCCTTGACAAGATGAATGCAGGTGAGGAGATGGTGGTTGCACGCTGTCAGAATTACATGGCAATACTCATTTCACATTGCGTAGCGCGGTCATAGCGCTCTTACAATTTTCGTGTCTTGGCAAGCAGGCCCAGTCCATGCAGAACGATTGGGCAGGGCCGCACTTCACACTGGCAGCCCTGCTTGCGGCGTTCAGTGCGTACTCAAGGGAGAGCATGTGATAGAGCGGATCGGTATATCGGTGGCCGGGACTTATGATAAGATAAGGAGACTTGGTCCTGGGCTCGAGATTTTTCGTGTGAGCATGGCGCAAGAATCGGGCTTTCCCGGAGAAGGATATGGGTATACGATCGGATCCAAATTTGTGCTGTCGATTGTTAGTGACCGTGCTCGATCACTCCTGGATTGGGCAATGGTAATGACCAAGTAGTCGAAGGCGGCGAGGCCTGCTCATGAAACACAGACCAGAGGGACTAAGCGGTCCCTCGTAAGATGTTTGAGCGCGAGAGCTTCAGCAGAGTTTCAAATGAAAAGCTTAAGTCGCTCCTTGGTAATGGAGTCTTGTCATTCCCAAGGAAAAGCTGCTTGCGACCAGTAAGGCCCTAAACATCTCTCTGCTGACATTCCCGGCTTATGCCCCAGAATCCCAGGGAACCTCGTGTTCAATGTCCTTCACGCGCGGAATGCGGTTCAAAGTGAGACCACAAAAGGCAGCAACTTTCTCGATCTGCTGCTGAATGATCTCGACATCTTCGTGAGAGACTCTATTGATAGAAAGTCAGCTTCTGATGATCTGCTGTGGGCGGAAGACCACTTAAAGGACTCACCCAATCCGCCTCGTCCCTCTCAGATGCCAGCCGGTCTCCGTCTTCAGATTCTGAATGGCAATCCCACTGAACACAACCAGCTCAGTCTCTACCGGTCCTATGATAGTGTGGTCACTCAAGTAAAGCCCATACGTGATCTCCCGACTCAGCCAATCAAAGTCCTTGTGACACGCCAAAGTGTTCTCCGTCGCAGCATGGTTGTGTCGATAGATCTGCGAAAGCCAGCCCATTCCTCTCTCGAGGTTGGCGGGGCCGGATGACCATTGCTCGCGAGAGAAGGAGTAATCACGATCCTCGGGACGTTCGACACGAGCGATGGAGAAGATTGCTTCCAGGGGCTTGGGAACGCCAACGACAGAGACGAGCTTGACCAGAGCTTCGCGGAGCCGGCGGACGAGGGCTTGTCTGGATTTTGAGGTTTGGAATTCGGGCTTGGAGATGAGGTACTGATACAGGTTGGCAGAGAGGTCCGGGTGGCCGCCGGCAGATATGGAAGAGATGGCGAGAATGTACCTACGCAAAGTCAGTAGCTGGATTAACGAAATATGCGAGAGGGGTTCATACCATTTGTCATCGCCGAGATCTTTGGGAAAGTCCTTCTCGACAGACTGGAACAGAGCGAGCGCTTCTTCAGCGGAGGGTTCCGTGAGAGACATTGTGCTGTAGATGTGCTTCTTGGCTGCAGAGATTACAGTCAACAGTCAAAGAACAAGGTGCAGTGGAATGTGCAGAAGATCGACGGCCTTTTCAAGTTCTGATATTGGGTGACGAAATTCGAGAAGGCAGTCCGCCGAGTGTTGTGGAGTGTTCTTTTTGAGGTCTGCAATGAAAGTGTGAAACGGATTGCAATGAGAAGTAACAGATCGTAGATGAAGCAGAGGAAAGAGCTGAAAGTGAGATGTGGATCACCACTTCCGGTGACGGCAAACAGGGAGGAGCACGCAATTCCTGTGAACTGGACTCACAACTCGAAATGGCATTGCAATTAGGAACAGACAACAGCTATACTATCATCACATGTGCGTTCCATATCGAGAGCCATGGACGAAAAGGGGAGGAAGTGAATGCAAGAATGGAATGTTTCTCAAGAGGTGAGGTTGCAGCACAGACGCTCCGACATCGGACCCACTAGAATATTAATAGAAGGAACGCCCAACATCAGGCTTCACCAGCAATCTCAATCACAACCTTCTTCGCCGAAATACCATTTCTCAAAATGATCATGCCTTCTTGCACCTTTGAAAGGCCGCCCTTGGTGATGAGCGGTTCAGGCTTCGCTTGGAACTTTCCCGTCTCCAGAGCCTTTGGCATGAAGTCATGCCAAACGGCCGTGCCAACGTGAGGCGCACCACCCGTTCCCCATGAATTAGGCAGCTCGTTCAGCTCACTGGTCGTGAAGGCTGGGGCTAAGCCCATGGCTGTCGATGGCATGTTAGCAATGAAACACATCCATGCTCTGGGCTCACTAACTGGGTTGCACCTCCAAGTTGCCGGGCAGGCCCTTTTCTGGTTTCAGGACTAATGGTAGATAGCTGCCGCCGATTGACGAGAGGATCTCGGCGCATGCCATCTGCGCGTCTGGAGTGCTGATGCAGTCGAAGACAAGGTCGCCCTCCTTCAATGCGGTCTTCAGCTGGTCAACGACATTCGATGCGCGATAGTCGAACGCCTCGGATGCACCAAGGCTTTTGACATAGTCAAAGTTAGCCTTGCTGGCAGTAGTGATCACACGCAATCCACTAGCCACAGCTAATTGAATGGCGGAGCTACCACAAGAAGATGCTCCTCCCCAGATGAGGATGGTCTTTCCTGTCGCCGTCGGGTTCAGCGAAGGCAGCGGAAGTTTGAGGTCATGGTAAAGTCCTGTTGCTGCAGTATCCACCCCCAAAGGCAACACAGCGGCATTGGCGAGGGGCAGAGAGTCTGGAACCGCAGATACGACACGTTCCCGGCACGTGCTGTACAATTGGAATCCAGCATTCGTGGTATTCAGGGAAAGTAGGCTATCGCAGTGACCGATCACTCGCTGGCCGACTCTGAATTTCGTGACTGCGCTGCCGACCTGAGCGACGGTCCCTGAGACGTCGTTGCCAAAGATGAATGGATACGGAAGGTTCAGGAACGGATAGTCTTGCATCTGGGATGGGTCAGATTTGCTACCTGGCGCAGCAGATGTACTCACCTTCCAGTCCGAAGGGTTGACGGCAGCATACGCGACTTTGATCACCACCTCTTCAGCTGCTGGATTTGGCACTGGGCCTTCCCTCACTTCCAACTCCTTCGCCCTCTCCGTCATAATCCAGGCGGCCTCGTTCTTGAAGGCAGACATCTCGATGATTGAGTTGTGGTGTTTAGAGCGGAAGTTATCTGAGCTGCTGGGAGTTGGATTGATCTTTCTTGCGCTGCGACGGCCTCCATTTTATACCTGTTGCGTAATGAAGCATCGTTCTGCTCAATACTGCGAGCCTTCGGACGATAGAGAACGACTGATTATTCAGGTCTAAAGATCTCTCACGGAATACCGTGAGATCGTTCCCATATGAATGGCGGCAGACTATTTATTGAAAACACATTTGAAAAACGACTTGTCATCAAGTAGTGATCGGAAGTTCCGTGGAGCGAGCTGGAACTGAGACGGCACGATAAGAAGTTTTCTTTCCACACGCCGCACCATCAGCCATGTTTTAAGGGTCGGCAAGAAGCGGAATTAGCACACAATCTCACGGAGTTCCGCGAGGTTGCTTATAAAAAATATTCTTATGTTATGTGTCCATCACGGGCACTCTTGTCGCAAACCAGGCTGCCATGGACCCTAAAGGACGAACGCCCCTTGATCTTGGCAGTCGTTCAGCTCAGGCTCGAATACAAAGAAACACACGCTTTGGTCTATTGTGAATTTTCAATTCGTCAATGGCGATGAGCGATGACCTGACCTGTCCACTGTGCCGCAAACGTTCCGACAACAGTAGGTTGTGGCTCTCCACATCATGGAACCTGGGCTAATTGGCAACAGAGAAGGCACATATTCGCCATACCAGCTATTGCCGGAGAAAAGCCAAGAGGTCGTTAAGGTCGCGGAAACGATCATGTTCGGCATGCATCAAAGCGAAAACCCATTGCGATGTTGCAACATCTCCGTGCTGCTCAAGATGCAGACAAAAAGGAAGCGAGTGCAAGCTCGAACGCGGTCAGCAAGAGGACACACGCTTTCCCACGAGAGCCGATCCGAGTTTTACGATCGAAGTAGACGAAATTTGTAGCTCGGATGAATTGAGCAGCTCACAAAGTGAACATTTGCTTGCAGACTGGATTGACGCATCAATCAGCCATGTCCCTCTCGACGAGCCGCAGGATACAGCCACGTCTCAAGTGGATCAGGAACAGGCCTCACACGTGCCGATGTCTACTGTCGGGAAATTATCTGGGACTTTTCTCGTACCCTCCGCGAAAGACGGCGTGGACCGCTGGCTGCCTCATAGTCCCATCTCTGACCTAAACCTCTACACATTAGGTCCGCAGCTGAGTCTTCACCCTATTAAAGCATTCACCCCGAGAGGCGCGATCTGGGGACCATTCTCTTTGCTTGGAAAATACATGGCACAGACAATCCGACGATACCCGTACATGATGCTCTCGGACCAGAACTCATCACCGTTTATACATCGTGTATGCCTGACAAACAACAAAATGAACACGCACAAAAACGAGCCCGGGCCACTCCTTCGATGTACAGCTATAGTTGAGCTATGGCGTAGCAAAACTGCAAACAACGCCTCTTATCTCTGGAAAATACTCAGGATCGAGCAGGAGCGCTTAATGCAAGAGATCTCGGAGTACGAGGATTTGATTGCCATCAACGCACTACAAGCTGTGACGATCTACTTTCTGCTTTGAGTGTCTTCTGCAGACGACGAGGATACTGACTTCGATGTTCCGCTCATCCAAACCATGACTCAATTGTCGTGGAGAGTGAGAGGAGTCATAACAGCATATTGCGATCCTGCATCTCCCGTCAGACCAAGCATTTGTGGTTGGGTCATGGCCGAGTCTCTGCGGAGAACCATTGCTGCGGTGTTAATTTTCGAGCTCCTGTTTGACATCAGCCCCGGCATGATCAATAGGGGATGCAACAGCCTTGCTCTGTGGTCCGAAATGTTGCTGCCATGTAGCCAGCAGTTGTGGGAAGCAAAAACCGAAGCTGAATGGACGCAACGCTATGATATTTTGGGCGACAAGCGGCCATACTATGGCGAATTACTTCAGCACGAACATCTCGACGATGCTCGATCAAGTTTGCTCGACCGATGGATGGCAAATGTCGACGATTTTGGCAAATTGGTGATCAACATTGCCAGCGTGGCAGAGGTGGCCTAGGTGTGTTCCCTGAAAGATACAGAGGCAGTGTCTTTCAAAATGTGTGTGGGGTTGTACAGGCTAGAGGCAACGAGCGTCGAGCCCGCATGACTTTTCTCGCCTCCGTGATCAATGCTCGGCGCTGTTAGGGCGTGGCGGCCTCGTAGAAACACACAGGTGGTTAGTCCGACCAGCGAGCCATAGCACTTCCAATGATCGTGCTCTAGGGTCTGGTGAAAGCACTGTCTTTCGGGGTCGATCATCCGGTTCGCCAGGTGTACAGGGGACACCGTCAGGGATCGTCGCATAACACGGAAAGGGCGACGGATGAGCGTCGTTGGTGGTCATGTCTGCCAGTCCGGCTGTGAAAGGAAGGTCTCGCCAGAGGTCAAGTTCCACCCCCTTTAGATTCATGTTCTGTCCGACCCATTCCCCCAGCTGGAATACATCCCCATCTTGGCTTTCTACGCAGTTAACGAGTCGGACCTCCCCGAGAGCGCGGTAGTGCCGGGAAAGAAACTCCTTCAGAAAATCGTCCCCAGGGAGCCACCAGTCCTGTAGCACGAGATGTTGCAACGAGCTGAAAGACAATCCATCTAGAAGACACGTCAAGAACCGCACGGCAACCTCCCTGAAACCTGGGCGCCAGGCATTGCACAAATCGGACCGGTCGTAAACGGCACAAAGTCGAAGAGATACGAGGCTCGACTCGCAAGAACGCAGCAAGGACATCATGTTCGACTTGGGCACGAGCACTTCCGGTCGAAGGGAACCGAAGTCACGCGCTAGCCAGACTTTCGCGGGCATCCGAAGGTGCTTCAGATTTTTGTGGCTGGTCAGGGTGTTCAGCTCTTTCGCAAGGCTTTTCGCTGTAGGTGCGATATCATCGTCAATTGGATCGCCGTCATCATCGGCAAGGTTCCTCAATGCCTCGTCCTCCTCGGTATAGGGTAGAAACACGCATGGTACGCCAAAGTGCATGGGATACGACCAGAAATTCTGGTTTGATGGAGAGGCGCCCGGCTCAGGGACAATGGCCAGAGACTTTGATCGAATTGATCCGATGCCAAGGTTCTGAATCTGAGCTCCAGGCGTATCTCTAATGATCCTCATCATCTGCAAGAACTCGACCATATCCTTCTCGCACGACAAGTCAATACCCCTTGGCGGTGCCACACTCCCAAAAAGGCGCGTACGCAGAGCTTCGTAGGCCTCGTTACCTAGTGCAAGATATAGATAATCCGTGTAGGTCACCGTTCGAAGCTTGGGCAACTGAGAGAGGCACATTTGGAGCACAGCGAGGGGCAGCGTTCGGTGACGTATATGCTCCTGATCCAGCCACCGCTTGGAGTACTCGATGAAGCTGCTGTGATAGCCAAGAGGGAGGCTCAAATTTGAAGGATATCTGGCATAATGGCTGCCGAGTGCACTCATTCCCTTGCTGACTCGTCCAGATAGTTGCGTCCACGTTTCCTCGAACTCTGGGGCTCCTTTGCGCAGCTTGCGCGGGACATCGCGAGAGCGCCAGTATTTGTGAATATTGTTGGCGCGCCGAAAAAGATAGTAAGTTCCATCGTACACCAGCTCGGTCACATGTTGTCGGAAAAAGGGGTGCTCCAAGACGTCCACGGTTTGTTGTAGCGATTCTGACCGCTTGGCAACTACGACTCGCGTGATAAGGAATTGTGAGCTTGCTGTGTTGAAGGCTCGGCAGGTGAGGCGACAATTGGCAATGCCAACTCGACGGTCCGAGAGGCAGTAGAAAGTGGAAGTCCAAACCTCGAAAGGAATGCGATGCCAGAGCTCAGGAGAGACACCAGTAGAGGACATCGCTGCAATTTGTCAGGCGGAAAAGATCGATATTGGACTCGAAATTCGGCGCACAGGCATTCTGTCATATGACCAGCTTGATTTGAGGTGGCAGGTTGCAACATCCCTTGCTTGATATTGACACGTCAAAACGGCCCTGGTGCCTGGTGTGCGACCTTGTTTCTGCGTGGCCCTGATTCTTCCTGGCTTGATAGTGACGTGCTGGCCATTTGACTCGCTGTCTGTGTGATTGCCGCCTACGTCCCACGATCCACATGAATGACAGACTGCCACTCATTCACTCCAGTCGGCCAATGTGTCAAACGGGCTCTTCCGAGGGGCTTTGAATGGATAAGGCTTCACGGCGGCAACTTTCAGACAGTTGGGTCGACCAGAGAGCCAGAGAGCCTCCAACTCCGTCTTTGTCCAGGAGTATGGCTCACCGGGCGCAGCTGAAGCAGTGCGATAACCAGTCTGCTCCTGTAGATTTCCATCATGTCGTCTCCAGTCCGTGTCTTCACCGTCAGAGTCGTCCCAGGGTTCCAGATCATTGTCGTTTCGTTTGACAAGATCTTCCATTTTAGCCTCAGGGTGAATGTCGATGCTCACGCCGACCAGTGACAGATTCTGTCCAGCCCATCTGCCAAAATCGGTTGGGTCCTGGTCCTTCGACACGAGACATTGCAAGAGGTTGACTTCCTTGAGTGTGGAACGATGACGAGAGAAGAAGTTTTCCAGTCGATCGTGACCCGGCAGCACCCAGTTCTGCAAGGAGAGGTGTTTGAGGTTGGGAAAGACCAATCCGTCCAGAAGCGCTGTCATATAGTCTCGATTGATTTCCAAGCCTTGCTTGGTCTCATCGAATTCAAGTAACTCTGACTGCACCGCGCAAAGCTCGAGTGAGACCAAGTCTTTCCCAGAGCGATCAAGGAAGGACTTCACGTTCGATTTGGGTACATCAGTCAGCGGGACGATGGGGACGATGTCTTCATCCAAGACTTCTAGCAGCGGTATCCGAACTGGCAGTCGCAAATATCTGAGGCCGTCCAACTCAAGCATTGGACTCAGATCGGTTTCCATATCTGTAACAAGCCCCGGTACAACATGTGCATCAGAGTCAGTATCGTCCTCGTAGGTGTCAATTAGTGTGAGCTTGTTGGGGAGAAATTCGTATGGCAGGGCTTCCGGTTCGTTCCAGGCAATATGGTAGCCTGAAGTGACATTCTCAGCATCGATATTTGCATTCATATGTTCATACAGAGGCTCTCCGATCTGGGACCACGAAAACAGGCCTCAGGTGCATTCTTGATCAGGCTCAGAACGTGTAGAAACTCGAGCTTTCCTTCGTGCGTGAAGTCCACTCCGGATGGCTCCACAACATTGCCAAACAGCCGCCATGAACATTCGAGATATGGTTCTTGTTCCTTCGCAAAGTGTCGGAAATCAGTATACAAGAGCCATCGCAGTTTCGGAAGTCGAGTAAGAGCCATTTGGAGGATGGCAAGGTGTAGGCGGTTGTGAAAAATGCCTTCTCGCTCTGCCCATCGTCTGCCGTACTCGAGAAAGCTGCTGTACGCGCTTAGGGCTTGATCTCTTGGTGATAGATATTGAATCTGACCGCCACCGATGCCTCGGATCATCCGGATGCGTTGCGATAGTTCAGCTAGTGGTTTTTGGCTCTCTTGGGTCCCCTCCAGCATATCACGACTTGAACCCTTTATGTGATCTTCTTTCCTGGCAGTATGGTTACAGAGTCGACTGTATGCAACAGGATCGTGAGCGAGGTGTCCGCTGTAGCAACTAGCATCTTACACCAGTTCTGCTACGTGGAGTCGAAAGAACGGGTGCCCCAGTATATCCAGTACATGCAGCAGAGCGTCCGGCCGTTTGGCGATTACAATTCGCGTAATGAGGAATTCTGACGCGATTGAAAGGAAATCTTTACACACGAGTCGGCAGTTCGCTATATCGATGCGGCTTGGCGAGAGGTAATGGAATATTCGAGCCCACAGTTCGGGAGACAGACAGACAGACGCCATTCTGTCCCAGGAAGCCCGCTGGCTATGGCGAGCGAGTAAGCTGGGGCGATGAGGGTATCGATCAACAGAAATGATTATGGAAGCCTCTACAAAGAAGCATCCGAAGCTGCTGGTGATGATGTTGCTTGCAAGTCGAAGCAGGAGGAAGGCGGTCTTTGATGCTGTTCCAGATAGCCCAACCCCTCGAAGTCACGCTTGGACCAAGTAATATCATTTGGCATAGCCCGCGAGTCATGTTCGTTGAGGATTGTCCTTGGAGGTCCTCGTCGACATATCGCAGACCCGTTATCAAGGAATCTGCCCAACATCACTGACGAGCTCCGTCTTCGTGGCATTCATCGCCTCCCTCTTCTTCGCACTCCCCTTGTACAACTCCTTCCTTAACCGATTCACACTCCCCAACGGTTGGTGACTTTCCAACCCATACCACGTATTCAACTTCATATGATCGTCCCAAAACGCCCTCCTCTCACTGTCGAAGACGTCCTGGCCCTTGGGCAACACGACCTTTCCGACAGTCTCGTAGGGAAATTTGCACTCTTCCCACTCCATGGAGCAATCTTCGACACTCTGTTTGCTCAGGTCCTGGCAGAGCTGGACACGGAAGTCGAATTCGGCATCGTGCTCCTTGAAGTATGCGCGGAGCCATTCCGAGTGTTGTTCTCGGCTGCTGGAGTCTGTGACTTGGGTTTGCTCTGCGAGCCCCTTTTGAAAGTCACCGGTAGGGAAGAGGGCGTACTTGACGATGTAGTCACCATATCGATACGCTGACTGCGAGTACATGGTATACGACATGAAGTGCTGGTTCGGCAGGCCGGCCGGTGCGAATTGTAAGTCTTTGTCTTTCCGCTTCTCGAGCTGCTGCTTCAATGCCTCCGGGTCGTCGAAGTATTTCTCGCGGAGCTCGAAGATCTCGAGACAAGTCGGTAGATCGGTCAGTTCCAGGATCGGTGCATTGTTAAATGTGAAGTCTTGAGTGTGCGATTCGTGGCCGATCTGGTCAAGCCACGGGCCTGAATCTTCGATGTTGAAGACCTTCATTCCACAGCCTCGCGGACCCGGTGCTCGGTCATCGGCGAGATGGATGGGCTCGTTCGCATAACGGATTGCCACTGGATATGTCTTGCCTGAATGTGCAAACGGGCCTTGCGAAAGATGTGGCGGGAGGTTCTTGGAAACGGTGAGATTTCCCTTGACGATTGCTTGAGTCTTGACATGCGTGCCTCGGAACCCATGACGATGGCGGCCAAAATTCTTCTCTTGAATGCTGTTGATGAGAGAGATCATGGAATTGGTCTTTTGCGATTCGTTGGGAATTGCTGGCTCGACATTTTTGTCGTTCCATTTCACGTATGAAGTCGCCATTATGAGTATATTGGCTTCGGTAGTTGAAAGATATGACGGAGGGGTAGACTGTTACAATGTTGTCAATGCTGTGAGGATGTTAATAATGTGTTGCACCTGATACGTAGCATCGATCGAGAGATGAGACCCTTACATGACCTCATGTAGCTCCCATCAACGAAGCATCCATTCCAAATCGGTTTAGAACAGGGCACACGTCATACGCATTGTGCCACTGTCGACGTTACTGGTGAGCCGTGAACCCATCTCAAAAGCAATATAGCTCATATGAGTGATGAGGACCACGGAATACTGGCTCTGGACCATTATCATAGCTGTCACAGAGTTTGAATAGCTGGTTTTGAAAAGGGTTAAATCTACGTTAGCAGCCAGAACCAGGTTAGATCTTCGATTCTCGGCCTTTTCTCTTCGCTGTTGAAGCCGTTAGCATCTTCTTCTTGAAACTTGTGAGGCTCAAAGGGATAAGACTCACCTGCCAACTCATCCATCTTAGCCTTCATTCTCACCATTGGCTCTCCTTCGACGAAGCGCTCGGCCAGAGCTTCAGATGAATTGTACAAGGCAAGAATCCTTGCATCTCTGGTGCTGGCATTCTGCAGCCTCTTCATCTCCATCATGCTCTTACCACTTCGCTCCTGCAACATTCCCTTCAAGTAGCCGTGCACATGATCGTGGAAGCCGTCCTTGGGGAAGATCTTGTTCACCAAGCCGATCTCCTTCAGCTCCTCAGCTGTGGCCTTGCCACCGAGCATAAGCCATTCATTTGCACGATGGGTCCCCATAGATTGTGCCCAGTTGATGGCACTGCCGTTCTCGGGTACGAGACCCATCTGTGAGAATGTGACTTGTAGCCAGGCACCCTCGGCGGCGTAGAAGAGATCAGAAGCACCCTGGAACCATGCCGCTCCAGCACCTACTCCAGGGCCGTTGAGCGCGAGGACGAGGACTTTCTTGTGGTCAATCATAGAGCGGACAAGCTCCATGCCGACGGCGAAGTTCTGTAACCAGAAGATTTTCTTTTCGCCGTCGTTCTTGAAGTCGTTCTTCATTTTCGAGATGCCTTGATATGTTAGCTCCAGCATATGGCACGAGGAAGCCGTGGCTTGTGGAAGTTCGCAAAATTGCACGGTTCGCTTTCACTCACCATTGACATCTGCGCCAGAGGCAAAGAACCGCCCCTCGCCCGTGATGACGGTGAAAGTAGTATCCGGGTGGTCGTTGAGCTCTCGAAGGGCGGCAATTGTATCCGCGATAAGACTGCCTCCGAAAGAGTTCAGCTGCTTCGGTCGGTTGAACTGGAACCCTATCAGCACCAATATCTGCCACTCAATCACAGCCTGCTTACCTTGATCGTACCAATGCCATCCTTGATATCGACGATGATATCTGTGTACTTCTCCTGGCCAGGCATGCTGGTTTCTCTGCTGCTGTCGATGTCTCGTGGACTCTTGAGAAGCTTTGATGGACCTTTGCTTTCGATATTATGTGCTCGAGGCAGTAGTGTGTGTTTATAGGTGTCTTGTAGTATAAGTAAGCCGTGCATACTAATCGACGACTCGAATGTGATCTCCAGTTCCACCGACCCGAGGTTAAACTCGGCCCTTCCTTTTCCAGAAGTTCAGCCTCACACGAGCGGACAATGTGGCGGTGCAAACCCGTTGCCAAGCGCCGTTGTTGTCTCCTGCTCTCCGCTTGAGAGCTTCGGCTTAATCTGCATCAACAATAACAAAAGTTCGCAGCAAGCACAATACGTGTTATTGTATGTGATTCGTGGACCAAGCAAAATCCACCTGGTTTCGATTTCATGGCACAGTCGGCGCGATCGATGTACAATGAGCTTTCCCACAGATCGTGGAATTTCCACGTCCATGCGAAAAATGGTCTTGTCGATGTGGAAGAGGGAACGATCGATCTTCTGTGCAAAGCTAGTTCTCCGGAACCCATCTGAAAATGACATCAAATGCGACGCACAAGCGTCAAACTCCGCGTCAGAGTGATCACGATGCCGAAAGATGCGTGCAAGGACGGCCATGCAAGACGGCTTGGAGGCGGCTCTCCTCGCAACTGGTGTGTTTTGTGAGAGCCGTTGCACTGCATTCGAGAGATCGAATAATGATGCTTTGGAACGGATCATGCCGAACGATGGAGTGCGTCCATCTCATCCAGGTTGCTGACGGAGATGAAATGCAGACTCTGTGGAAGCGTGAATCGACCAAGTGGACGGCCATAACTCTGACAGAGGCGCCCGCAGAATGGTTTTAGTCCTTGGTGAGATCGGAAGACCTTATTGCAACAGCGAGACGGACAGAATCGAAATCGTCGACCGCCATGGAACGAACGCGGACCAACTGCAAGTCAACAACATCAAGATCCTTCACGACGTCGACCTTGTTCTGAGGTCTCGTCTGCCAGCTATTGGTTCGTGCAAGGATATCAAGCTTCTCGCTTTCCAAGGACCTTGATCCGAGGCGGCGGCACATAGACTTTCACTTTGTAGGTCCATTATTCTCCTATCCGAATGTTGAAACCAATGGCTGCAGCGGCCCAGCAGCGCATGCCATATCTCGGGGCAGAGCGTGAGGGGATGTAGCCACGATGGGATCAGTCTCGTCGCAAGCAAAGCTGCTTCAGCATTATTGGCGACAGATCTCAACCATACGCAATGGCAGCCTATTGTCCTGGAGCCTTCGGACACGGATACAGAACAGCCGCTCCCTTGCAATGGCAAACTCTCAGACGGAGGCGGAGGGATTTTGCAGACTCGTTCCCTAAGCCAGCCAATGCGGTGTGAAGCGACGCAGGTCTTGGTATGTCGTCTAGACAAGGTAGATCGTCCTATCTACGGTCGACTAGCATCCAGGGTTCGTATGCATACACGTGGTGTGGTCGATGCTGACCCGAAAGTTTATGCAGCGATTGGCTCCATGTTTCACCAGATGCTCGCCAACCCGGTTCGTTCTGCAGAGTCACCAGTGCAACGCTAGTTTTCGTACCTGTACGAGTTGAATGCGGCGTGGGGCTGATGAGAAGACGACGGAGCAAGTCACCCGTTCCAGACGACGGGCCAATGACTGTTCGGACAAGAAGCTGATTCGTGATCAAAACATCTCTCATTGCAACGCAATCGGCCAGGACTGGGGAAGATGGAGTCTGCAAGAAACTCATGACTGCCGGGGACTTTGTCTGGGCACTGTAGCCACCAACGCAGCAGAGAGTTCAAGTCGCAAGCTGTGAAATCAACGCTGCACGGTATCATGCGATAATCAAGAACACAACAAAGACCACTTCCAGTCATTCCGACAGACGTTCTCGAAGGTCGATGCTCCACAATTGAACAAATTGCTCGACGAGTTTAGCGACGCTCCAGGAGTTCGGGAGTTGAGGACGAGATAGCCGTTTGGCGATCGTCGCATAAAGTTGTGCATGGGGACGAAACTCTGACAGGTTAGCCGGGGTTGCTAGCCCGATCTAGTGTGGTAGCCGTGCCGAGTTTTTCGGAGAGCCGTTGCGGCGCCATGAGACGATTCCATCGGGACAATAATGTTCGAATTGTTCACGCTCTGCAATTCAGCCTCAACCGGTGAGATCAGTGAGTACAAGCTGTGGCCTGCAGGATTGTTGGCTGAACTGCAATGGAACTTGAGCGTCATCCGCCCAGGCTGCGCGAACGATACGAAAGTCACAATGAATCACAGTGCCTATTTCTTATGCGAGCGTATACGAGGTACGCGAGCACGTTTTGCGGCGTCTTGCCCGACACCTTCCCGCGCCATTCATTCGCCTCTAGGCAAAAGAGCTTGGCGGCAACGGGTAGACGACGAGCCGTATCGAATTGCCCACTCAGCACGCGGCATGCACGTCTGCATGTCTGCATGAGTGTGCGTTTGCCTCATGCTTGCACAGCGGCTGGCGTCATTATTGTCCCCTGGTCGGAATCGGGAACGGCGAGTACAATCTTTCTTTGTCTCTACTTATGCATTAACTACTCCCCTTAAAAGCCTTCGACGCCTCTTTTCGTGGTGGGTGTTGCTACGCTCGCTCCGACTTTTACCACATTCCTCTGCTGTGCGACTGGCGATTCACGCCCTTGGGACTGGTATCCGGCATTCGACGATCCAAGCCACAGCACCATACCTCCATTCGGAGGCGTTCGATCCTACATCACGGCAGCTCCGCTGAGCTCGCCCTATCGAATCAGCCATGTCGTTGGTTGGCAACTTCTCGTTTGGCAACTATGACCGGACAGCAGAGACTTCTGGCGCCGGCAACGCAGGTGCTGCTTTTCAACGAAGGTCTAGCATGACAGATCAGGATCCAGAAGGACAAGCACATGCAAACGAACGACGACCCAGCTTGGCACGCCTAGCAAGCAGGAGACGATCATCAGCAGCGACTTCAGAGCGACCCCGAACCGCACACCAGCAGGGTACCTTTAGCCCCGAGAGTGCATTGGCCGACATCGAGAAAGGCGACGCGGAGAAACGAGGCATGGAGCCTTACGAGACTACGGGTCATACGCCCGAGAAAAGGGACTATTCAGACGAAGAGTCTTCAGACTACAAGGCGGACCAGGCCATTGCGACTCTTGCCCGGAGCCTTACCAAGCAGTCAACATGGAGTCAGATCCCATCGAATCCATTCCACGCGGAGAAGGATTCTGAGTTGGATCCCATGGGACCCAACTTCAAAGCACGATCATTTGTGAAGAGCATGATGAAGCTCAATCGTGAAGACGGCCGGACACCTGTTCGAACAGGTGGTGTTGCTTTCCGAAACCTCAACGTGTACGGGTTCGGTGCTGCTACTGACTACCAGAAGAACGTTGGAAACATCCTATTGGAGGTGGTCGGCTATGCGAAGAAGATGCTTGGCATGAGCAAGCCCCGACGGATCGACATCCTTCGCGACTTTGAAGGAATCGTCGAGAGCGGAGAGATGCTCGTCGTGCTCGGTCCACCTGGTTCTGGTTGTTCGACGTTTCTCAAATCACTTACTGGCGAAACGCATGGATTCGAAATCGAGCCCGACTCGTATCTCAACTACCAAGGCATTCCCGCCAAACACATGCACAAATACTTCCGTGGTGAAGCCATTTACACTGCCGAGGTGGATGTGCATTTTCCAATGCTCTCGGTTGGCGACACCTTGACCTTCGCCGCTCGTGCGCGAGCACCCAGGCAAATACCGGGTGGTGTCAGCAAGAATGAATTCTCTGAACATCTTCGAAACGCTGTGATGGCAACCTTCGGCATCAGCCATACGGTCAACACTCGCGTTGGTAACGATTTCATTCGTGGCGTGTCTGGTGGGGAGCGAAAACGTGTCACTATCGCGGAAGCAGCTTTGAGTGGTGCACCTTTGCAAGCATGGGACAATTCTACTCGTGGTCTCGACTCAGCAAACGCTATCGAGTTCTGTAAGACTCTTCGACTCAGCGCCGAGCTCGCTGGAAGCGCCGCCATGGTTGCCATCTACCAAGCCCCACAGTCCGCCTACGACCAGTTCGATAAGGCGATCGTTCTCTACGAAGGTCGTCAGATCTTCTTCGGTCGATGTGACGAGGCGAGAGCATACTTCGAGAACATGGGTTTCCAGTGTCCGGACCGACAAACCACTGCCGACTTCTTGACCTCCATGACATCTCCCCAGGAACGTGTTGTCAAGCCTGGTTACGAGGATCGTGTACCGCGAACACCCGACGACTTCGCTACCGTCTGGAAGAATAGCCCTGAGCGAAAGCAGCTCCTTCAGGACATTGAAGCATATGAGCAACGATTCCCATTCGAAGGCGAGGCCTACCAAAAGTTCGTCGAAAGCCGCAAGGCACAACAGTCAAAGCAGCAACGACTCAAGTCGCCTTACACATTGTCGTACACTCAGCAGGTGAACCTGTGTCTTTGGCGTGGATTCCGCCGGTTGGTCGGTGCGCCTGAGCTCACTCTCACTCAGTTGTTTGGTAACTTTGCGATGGCTCTTATCCTGGGGTCAGTCTTCTTCAACATGAGAATGGACACCGACTCGTTCTTTCAGCGTGGAGCTGTTCTGTTCTTCGCTGTCCTCATCAACGCCTTCGGATCTGCTTTGGAAATCTTGACACTCTACGCCCAACGACCGATTGTCGAAAAGCACGACCGTTACGCCCTGTACCATCCATCTGCCGAAGCCTTCGCATCTATGCTTACGGACATGCCGTACAAGATTTTAAATGCCATCATCTTCAACATTACGCTGTACTTCATGGTCAATCTGCGACGCGATGCCGGGGCCTTCTTCTTTTTCCTGTTCATCAGCTTTCTCACGACGCTAACGATGAGTATGCTGTTCCGAACGATCGCCTCCGTCTCACGTACGCTGTCACAGGCCATGGCCCCAGCCGCTATCATCATCCTGGCTATTGTCATCTTCACCGGATTCGCCATCCCCACCAACTACATGCTTGGCTGGTGCAGATGGATAAACTACATTGATCCTGTTGCGTACGGATTCGAGTCACTACTGATCAACGAGTTCTCTGGCCGGGATTACACTTGCAGCTTGGCGTCACTTGTGCCTCCATACGGTAGCCTTTCGGATCAGTCCCAAGTCTGCACAGCAGTTGGCTCTCGAGCAGGCCAGAACTTCGTTGCTGGAACATCATATATCGAGTCTGATTACCTGTACTATCCGTCGCACAAATGGAGGAACGTTGGCATCATCATCGCGTTCATGATCTTCTTCATGTGCTGCTACTTGGCAGCCACCGAGTTAATCAGCGCCAAGAAGTCCAAGGGCGAGGTTCTTGTCTTCCAGAGAGGCCACGTTCCCGCTGTACTGAAGGAGAAGAAGAAGGACGAGGAATCACTTGAAACCTCGCGCAATGATTCGAATGCTCTTGCCCGGAAAGAGAGCTACGTCGAAGCGTCCGATATCATTTTGAAGCAAACTGCCATCTTCAGCTGGAAGGACGTCTGTTACGACATCAAAATCAAGAGCGAGGAGCGAAGAATCTTGGACCACGTTGATGGATGGGTCAAGCCTGGCACCCTCACTGCCCTCATGGGTGTATCTGGTGCCGGTAAGACGACTCTTCTTGACGTGCTCGCTACTCGTGTCACTATGGGTGTCATCTCAGGTGACATGCTTGTCGACGGACTCCAGCGCGATTCCTCCTTCCAGCGCAAGACTGGATATGTTCAGCAACAAGATCTTCACCTCCAAACGTCGACGGTCAGAGAAGCATTAAACTTCAGTGCTCTCCTGCGTCAGCCAAAGAGCACACCTACCAAGGAAAAGGTGGCATACGTCGACGAAGTCATCAAGCTCCTGGACATGGAGGAGTACGCTGATGCCGTAGTTGGTGTTCCTGGAGAAGGCTTGAACGTCGAGCAGCGCAAGCGCTTGACTATTGGTGTCGAACTCGCAGCCAAGCCTGAGCTCTTACTTTTCCTCGACGAGCCTACATCTGGACTGGACTCTCAAACATCCTGGGCTATTTGCGATCTCATGGAGAAGCTTAAGAACTCGGGTCAGGCTATTCTTTGCACCATTCACCAGCCTTCCGCCATGCTCTTCCAGCGTTTCGATCGTCTTCTCTTCCTTGCGAAGGGGGGCAGGACTGTCTACTTTGGTCAGATTGGCGAGAACTCTCGCATCTTGGCTGACTACTTCGAGCGCAACGGAGGGCCCAAATGTCCTCACGATGCCAATCCGGCAGAATGGATGCTTGAGGTCATCGGAGCCGCACCAGGATCGCATACAGACAAGGACTGGCACGAAATTTGGCGTAACAGCCCCGAATACCGGGAGACCCAAGAGCACCTCGAGTACCTCAAGAGCGAGCGACCCAAGGAGGCTCCCCCATCAGCGGCATCAAACGACAAGGAGAGCTACCGCGAATTCGCAGCACCATTTGGTCAACAGTTGATGGAAGTCACAACTCGTGTGTTCCAACAATACTGGCGCACACCCTCCTACATCTACTCCAAGACGGCTTTGTGTCTCTTCTCGGCGCTTTTCATCGGATTCATCTTCTACAACGCCCCGCTCACGCACCAAGGTTTGCAGAACCAAATGTTCAGCATCTTCATGGTCTTCACCATCTTTGGACAGCTCGTGCAACAGATCATGCCGCATTTCGTTACCCAGCGCTCTCTGTACGAGGTCCGTGAACGCCCGTCCAAGACCTACAGCTGGCAAGCATTCATGATCTCCAATATCGTGGTCGAACTTCCGTGGAACGCGCTGATGGCCGTCATCATGTTCTTCTGCTACTACTACCCCGTTGGCCTGTACAACAACGCCGGCTCGTCCCTCCACGAGCGAGGAGCACTCTTCTTCCTCTTCATGCTCGAGTTCCTCCTCTTCACCTCCTCCTTCACCAACATGATCATCGCCGGCATGGACTCCGCCGAGACAGGTGGCAACATCGCCAACTTGATGTTCTCCCTCTGTCTCATCTTCTGTGGTGTCCTCGCCACGCCAAACACCCTCCCCGGTTTCTGGATCTTCATGTACCGCGTTAGCCCCTTCACGTACCTCGTGGGCGGATTCCTCGCCACCGGCCTCGCCAACACCGATGTCAACTGCGCCGACAACGAGTTCGTCACCATGGAGCCTGGTCGACCCGATCAGACCTGCATCCAGTACATGGGCGAGTACATCGACAGCGTCGGTGGCTATCTCGCCAACAACGAGTCGACGTCCAACTGCCAATACTGCACCTACGGCAACAGCAACACGTTCTTGACCAGTGTCAGCATTTCGTACGACGACCGGTGGAGGAACTTTGGAATCCTGTGGGCGTTTATCATCTTTAATATCTGTGCCGCGGTGTTCTTTTACTGGCTCGTGCGGGTGCCGAAGAACAAGGGGAAGAAGAAGGATAAGAAGGAATAGATGTGGTACTTTGAGTTGGTTTTGCATAGCGATGGGTTTGACTGATAGAGTCTTAATGATACGAGTCTGTACAATGTGTTACAGCTCGACGCCCCGGCGCGGGTGTCGATAGAGAGAGAGCGAGAGCTATAGATGCGTTGAAAGTCGCTACTTACACTTCAAACTTCTCTCCGTGCCTCTTCAATGTTCACACTCCGTAACAGACACTGACGAATACCACCCGACGCGAAAGCAATTGGCCGTCCGGAGAGAGCGAACTATCCATCGTTCAACTCCCTCAAAGCTTCGACGTAGCACGGCGCTGCCTCCCCACCACCTCTTCAACATCATAATACTCCACAAACTTCCCCATCATCCTCGCCTCATCCTCCGTCATCTTCAGCTTCGCCAGCACCTCCGGCCCACCATTCACGACCTTCTTCACCAACGTCTCCAACTTCTTCCCGTTGACATTATAAGGAATCTCATCGACCTCGAAGAAGTACTGCGGGACATGTCTTCTACTCAAATCCCTAGCGATGCTATCTCGAATCCTGCTAATCAGAGAGGGAGTTAGGGACGTCGATGGGGTCGGCTTCATGAATAGCAGGACTTGTTCGGTGGGGTCGGAGTACTTGGCGGTGGAACGTTGCTGGCCGACGACGAGGGCATCGCTGATGGAGGGTTTCAGGGAGGGCGAGTCCAGGATGGTGTAGATCTCTGCGCTGCCGAAACGGATTCCCGAGGGGTTGAGGACGCCGTCGCTGCGGCCGAGGACGTAAATCCCTTTGGTGGAGGGGTTGATGCGGAAGAAGTCGCCGTGCGTCAAGACGTCTGGGAGATGTTAGTTAAGATAAGGATAGTTTCGCTTGTGGCAAGTGTCTGGACGTACGTGGATATCCTTCGAAGTAGCTCGCGTGATACCTCTTCTTCGCAGGGTCGTTCAAGAACATGACGGGCATATTCGGGAAGGGCTTGCGACAGACCAATTCGCCTCTCTCGCCTTCGGGCACGGGCTTGCCATCGGAGTCGAAGGCCTCGATATCCATGCCCAGCTCCTTGACTGTACACTCTCCCGCGTACGAGGGCAGAGAACGTGTCCCTGAGGTGAAGTTGCCGCAGAGCTCTGTTCCTCCTGAGAATTGAAACTGGCAGACGGGACCGAACGCTTCAGCGATCCAGGATGCGAGACTGGATGTGAGCACTGCGCCGGTGGAGCAGATGGTATGGACCTTATTCGGTATGTCCTTAGGTCTGACATTATGTTTCTGCAATTCTTGGTAATATCTTGGGCCCGCGCCGAATGCCGTCACACCACACGAGAACAGGATCCGTAGAAGCTTTTCTGGCGTTGGAAAGAACGGCGAGCCATCGTACAGGATCATAGGGGTTTTACAAAAGAGCGCACCGAGGGAGATATTCCAGAGTGTCCAACCGATGTTGCTGAAGTGGATGTGCAGGTCGTCTTTGGTGAAGCCGTTGTGGAGCATGAATTGTTTTGTGCCGTTCAGAGTCAAGCCGCCGTGGCCGTGGACGATGCCTTTGGGTGTGCCTGTTGTTCCGGAAGAGAACATGACCAGCACGGGATGGTTGAAGGGCACTTGTTCGAATGATAGCGTCGCGGATCTGCAGGAAGCAGTGAATGTTTCGAAGGTTGTGTGTTCGCAAGAGACGTTCTTGTCCGGGCCAATGATTACGAGCTTGGACGCAGTCTCTTTCGACACCTGTTGAAAACAGCGAGTGATTTTATCTTCGATGTTGTTGATCTTGCCATTGTAAGAATACGACGTCTCTGCGATGATCAATCTCGGTCGCAGTTGATCCAGTCGGTCATTGAGAGCTTTCTCGCCGATGTCAGTCGCAAAGTTGGCGATGACAGCCCCGATCGATGCAGCGGCGAGTAGGATAGCGAATGAACGAGCGCAGTTGCTGCCAATGGCTATAGAAGCATAAGTGAACGTCTTCTCGATAGAAGGAGGGCTGCCATACAAACCAAGAAGTCTCCCCTACTCACTCCATGACGTTTGAGGGCGTCTGCATATGTAGCCACCAATCTCCTCATATACCACCAGGTGTACTTCGACGGCGAATATAGGGTCGTCTCGTTCATGCTGATGATCATGAAGTCCTCGTCCTCGCCGCAGAGGATGTTCTCTGCGAAGTTGAGCCTCGCATCTTCGAAGAACTTCGGAAACTGATCGATCGTTGCCCTTTCATCCACAGCGTAAACTGAACTGTTAGCTGGCGGTCACTGGTCAGATGATGTACATATCTTAGTTGGATGCTTGGATGCCTTGATATTTGCGAATTTCCAAAACGTCATCCAGAAGTCGTTCATTCGATTCACCGAGAAGTCATGCAAGTCCCAATAGGAATCTGAAGTCACAGTTCAGTATGGCAGTATCCATCCGTAGTCTGTAGACACATGAATACCTATTCGGACGCCATGCACCTTGGCCACATGGTCCATGAAGTCCTCCAATCGAGTCCTCAGGCCCGGAGGAGGTACATAGACCGGCGGAGACGACATTTGAGTAGACTCCAGACACCAGAGAAGCTCAAGTCTTTAATCAAATCGATATTCGCCTTCGAACCTCTTGTCGTGAGGTCAACTTTAAGTACAAATGTACCTGGCGGATCCGGCGGGGTTGCCCTAGATGGCACATCGCAATCCTTTCCTTGTGCCCGAGCGGGGGCGGATCCGAGCGGTTTTTGCTGTTTTCGAAGGACTTCTCGACCTAATCTGGCCCTACTCGCCGTCTATACCACGGAATCGACATGTGGAGGATGTCTCCCGATGAGTTCTCCAGCCACCGGGCTTGGCAAAGACGACAGCCTTGCCGTTGTATCCTAACAACACCATTCCGATTATTGCATTCGTGAGGTCGCCCTCGTAGGCTCGTCCAGTCTGATGTGCCAGGAACAAATGCATCCATGTCATTAGCTAGATCCATCAAGATGCTTCCAGAGTTCTGATCCTCGAGCGAGAATTGGTAGGACGCTACTCTGGTCGCCTCGATGATAGTCTCGCATGCATCGTCTGCAGCATAGATGAGATCCAGGCCGTGAGTTTGGTGGCGATGGCTCGACGTGTTTGCCTCAAGGATTTGGTGGGCAATTGTAAGATCTAATAAGATCTGATCTTGACAAGTCACTCCGGGAGATCGATCTTTGTATGCCATAGCAGAGATCAGAGGTGTGATCGGGCCATAAATTACACCGCGGGGAGTCTTGTCCAACGTCTGTATCGAGCAAGCATAGCAATCCAATGAAGTCCAGCGTGACCCAACAAAGGAACCGCTTTCTGGCAACACAGGCCATATCGAGCCACCAGGTCTTTCAGGGCGCGATCCTCTGGCTACCAGAGTGTCCCTGGTATCATCCCTCAATCAAAGTGGACCAGATGTTCCCTTCGAGATGGCGTCCCTCGCACAAAACCTACAAACATCCGATTCTGGTGCTAAGCCGCCCTTCCCACGATGACACCAAGATCCACTTCGTCCTCTTGACCACTCTCGGTGCATCGAAAGGCAGACCAAGAAATCCTGATCCCCAAAAGATCAGCTCCTCGCACAACCATCTGTACCTGCCTATCGAACCGACCAAGCATCGCGGCTGCTGCAAGGCCCTTGCCCGCTACAAAAATGGTCTCACGTCGTCAAAGGAGGGCTACGTCTCCTTTGAAGCTGTGTACAGTATGAAATGGGTTGACGCAAAGCCTTATTCAGATTTCGCCAATGATAGGCCACCAGAACAGGGGCCTTGGGTCTTGGAGGATGATGCGATGGGAGTTGTGCTGGATTGGGCGTTTCAGCATGATCATCTGGGCTACAATCCTGGCGAGCAGTACTGGCTTGGTCCGGCCTCGACTCCTATCGCGAACGTGAGCGGAGGACAAGGTCAACAGGAGCGGAGTCGGCCACAGTCGTTGATAGCTCGTGTTGGCAGGATATTGTCGCAGGGCCGAGACAGCTTGCGAATGTCGTAGACCTTGTACTCTGGACGATAACCACGGAACTGTCGATTATCCCCGTATCTGAAATCCCTACCAAGCTCTTCTTCGTACCTTGGATTGCTGAGACCGCTTGCGTGCAACGGGGATGATCGAACAGTCAAGACCGGAAGTCACAGTTTTCTGTCTCGTGGCTCATAAACTCGGAACCAACTAGGCTTCTCATGTTTCTGACTGGAGAGAATCTTTTCATTGAGCATACCGTCCAAATTCAGGAAGCCACTGGATCTAGTATCGATGTCCCTTTGGACGTCTTCGAACCGATTCTCACCCCGATCCATCAACGAACTCCGATTTGTTGTAGATGGCGATGTCCAGCCCGTGAAGTGTTAGCGCTTAAGCCATTGCACATTGTTCGGACAGTGAGATGAGGTCAACTCACCGCTTGCGGTCGCGCTCCAGCTTGTTCGAGATGGCGATGGCTGTGAGTGTGATAATCACACCCGAGGCGATCTCCACCCCAATCATGCTCATTAAGCTATGTGAAGAGAAAGAAGTGAGCTCGATCGGAGGGTTAGTTTGAGATTTATCTCTGTTTGATGATAGGTGTCAAATCTCTTGAAGACTGTCTGACTGGCGCGGTCGATGATCAGCCCTCGAATAACCAAGCAAAAATCTCACCCACCGCGCTCCAAATGCACCTCATATACCACATAATCTTCCAGGTGTGATTGTTCTGCAGGACGTAAGCGGTGCAGCGGACGCGCCGCCAACACGGTCTCTGGACGTGGGCCGACTTGGGTGCGTTCTTGCGCGAGCTGGTGGCTGAGCTCGACATCCAGAGGTGGCGTGCCAGGGTGAATTTGATATTCATCTCCAGATGATGATAGGTCTCAAATCTCTGGAAGATTGTTCACGAGATCGCGGTGGGCGTCTGCGGGCGCTTCGATCTCTGGCGTCGTGTGGGGAGGGTGTGGGCTCCCTTCGCCGGTCTGCGGACCGCATAAGGTACGTGAAAAGACTTCTCCCCAACATTTCCCGCCGTCATCCCCGTGGATCCCAAGCTGGCCATGCCACTCGAACGGCCTCGGGAGCCTGGTCGCCTGTTACTACGGAGAGATGACCGGGAGATCTGGGAGATCCACCTCACTTCACCCCGCAAGGCTGGCGGGATCTGCATGCAGCGCGCCGAACCGCCGGCTACACGCGACAACGATGTTCACCTGAAACACGGACCTCTCTCCCCAATCTTGGCAACGACACTAGCACGCGCGAAAGCCTCCGAGCAGCGTGGTCGGCCGTATCTTCTCGGGGATATCCTCGAGAAATCGAGGCCACCATGACCACCCAGGTCGTGCCCGCACGGCTGGCCTTCCTGGCCATCTACAACCCCTCCCTCGGACCGACCGACGACACCTTCCACGACCAAGTCGTCTTCTGGTACAGCCGAGCAGCCCACGAGGCACGAGCAACAGCGCGCAAGAATGCACGGAGCGAGGCCGCAGGCGGCGATGCGATCCGGGAGCAAGAGAACGAGAAATTGAGGCAGATAGGACTGGCACAGGGCATGGTTGACTTTGCTCGCAGCTTCTCCGACGACCGACCTGTCGATTCGATCGAGACCGAGAAGAGCAGAATCGTCGTACACGAGATGGAGAAGGGCTGGTGGATTCTGGCGTCGATCGATCTCACACGGCTTCCGACTCTCACACAATCCTCTACGTCAAGAAGCGCCTCAGAAAAGGCCGAAACGAAGCCAGCCGTCGAATACTCGTTCAGAGAAGTGAGCCCACCGGCTTTACTTGCACAGCAACTCATACAGGCCCATCACGTCTTTGCCCTGCACCATGGTCCCTCTCTGACCGAACTCTACGTCAAGCTATCGCGAGAGAAGTTCTGCAGCACTCTGGAACGATACTGGACTCGCTTTTCTCGTACTTGGGACGTCTTGCTACACGGAAATCCAGCGACAGACATCTTCAGTGGCATCAAACTGTCCAGTGGCGGAGAGCTTGGAATGGGAGTAGGCGAAGAAGAATGGGGCAGTGGAGAAAGAGATGTTCTTGAAGATCTGGCTCGCAGGACAGAAGGTCTAGTAGATCTGGTTATCTCGAGATTTGGCGACCCTGCACCTACAGACCCAGCTGATTCGAGCGAGGTGGGGGCATTGCCTTGGATCGGAAGTGGCTCTCATCCACTGGCATCTGATGGTGTCATATTTGGTGGTGTCAATGCGATCACACGGCCCTCGTTGCGCAACGTCTCCCTCTGGATGCGACAGGTCTACACTTATGGCGACTACGCATACGGCATTCGAGACAACCCACACCGCGAGAGACGGAAGCGAAGACGACGCAATCCTCCAGTACCAGAGCCGGAACCTGAACCGGAGCTTGAGTCTGAGCAAGCCAACGAGCCTGCAGCAAACGGCACACCAAAGGCCTCGTCGTCCATCAGTGCGCGGGATCACGCTCATCATTCAGCGCCTCAAATCAGCACAATACCGAAGGGTTCGCGGGCAATCGACGACCCATCCAATACGAACAAAAATGAAAACCCCGCCCATGAAGGCTACCACCCCAACATACCCCCACCAATCGTCAGCGCAGCTCAGACTTCTCTTGACAACGCCACAAAGAAAGCCGGATCGAGCTCCAATCAAGCCCGACCTACATCAGAGGATGACTCAGGCACCACCCTGGGCATACCAGATCAATACATGAAGTACCTCACTTTCGGACTAAGCACGTTGGCGAAACCTACGTCGCAGCAACGGCCCGATCCCGTGACCAGAACATCCACATCGAGCTCCAAGACCATCAAAGCGCAACAGACCACAGTGTCGAGGCTCAAAGCAGCCGAAGAATCGCAGGACACTGATGATGACCAACCTGCCCTCGCTCAGATGGATCCGACACCTGACGGTCAAGATTTGCATGACAGAATTGCACTACAGAAGAGACAAGAAGAGGATGGCATATTCATGGTCGGCTTGAAAGGCGACCTTGCAAACATCCCAGATGATCCAGATGCTGGCATCGAAGACATAGTAGATGATGACGGAGATGGTCCAAGGAACATCCTCCGCATCTTACAGATTGAAGTTCTGAAAGACACTTCGGAACAGGAAGAGGAGCGTACGGATTTGGACCGAAAGCTCAGCGAAGCTGGCTTGTCGTCAGCAAAGAACGACCCGCTCAACTACAAGCGGCTACGGGTACTTGTCTACGTCCGACGTCCATTCATGTACTGCTTCCTCTTCAAGAGTCAGACACCGGCGTTGAGTCTTGCTCGATTCTACAGAGACCTCCACCGAAACCTCCTACCCATCCACAAGCCGCTTCTGTCATCAACAAGCGTTGCCAGAATTGCTCAACGCATTGAAGAGTCTCAACAGCAGGCTACTTCATCTTCATCAGATACCGCGAGCGTCACAAGCGGCAGCAAGTCGCAGAAAGCTTTCGAACCGAAGCCCATTTACGACCTCATCTACGACCCGGCACTTCTCACCGTGCATACAAGCATTCCCAACATCGCTGAGCCAGGAACGCCAGCTGCAGAGGGTATCATTTCCTCCAGAAGGGACAATCGCCTCCCCATCTCTCCAGACTGGACTCGCATCGAGGCACTTAACGTGCACAGCCAGGTCCTAAACACTCTCAGCAGCACCCATCGCAATCGAAACGAGTATGAAAGAGTCAGCAAGACTAGCCGAGGTTGGTGGGTGGTATGGATGAGACTGCCGCCTTCCAAGACTCGCGAGACAGCCGTCGATGAAGAAGCCAAATCACAGCAAGAAGTCGCCAAAGGCCCTGACCAGGAAGAAGCCGCAGAGGTCACACAGGGGCAAAGTGGCTTCACAAGCTCCACCCATTCTGCTGAGTCTGATGAACCAGTCGAGCACACGACCTCGGACAAATGGCTGCAATCTGCAGCCACGACACGCAAGGAGATCCCGTCAATGGACCGCATCGCCTTTCTCGTCCGCAAAGCCACCGATCCACCTCCTCTACCAAAATCCAATACAAGCAGTCGGGCTGCTAGTAGCATGTGGCAAACATTGACGCTCAGGGGCCGTTCGACCGCCGACGAAGCAACTGGTGGTGCGAGTGCCGGATGGGGCCCTGCCGCTCTTACTGGTGGTATCGGCATTGATGCCAGGAAATACGTAGAGAGCCTACTCCAGCTCAATCGATGAACTACCGCCACCGTCCTTTGACTGTCATCGCATCATCCAATATGCCGCCACTGGAGCGGCGCATGTCAACGCTGCGCCTATGAGCTTATACACACCATGGCTAGCGATATGGCTTCGAAGCTTTTCGGTCGACATCTTCGTACGAATGCTGCGCAGAATTCCGTCCGGTGACGGTTCGTCTTCTTGCGAGGCCACGGAGATGTCGTCTCTCGCTTCGAAGAGTTTATCGCACTCGTTCTTGTAGAGGACCTGCAGCTCCCCGGATTTCGTGATCTGGATCGCGAATGGCTCCTCATCATCGACACTCATCAACTCATGACCTTTTGCCTCTAGCGCACCATCGAGCTGCACAATGTCAGCAACCAAAGCATGTCTTTGCAGGCAGAAAATAGCAGCGACTTACATATGCAAGAGCAACTTTGAGACACGGTCTCGATTGCATCGCTTTCCACGCTGATCTCAACGTCTGCGACTCGTGATCGTAAGGCGACCGCACTCGTTCCATGACATCGATTGCCTTCTCCATGTACAGCTGGACATTCTTCGCCCACTGCAAGACGACTACGTCCTGCATCTGCATCAACTGATCGAGCATCGCCTCGGCCGCATGCCAGTAGTCCACTGCCACATCCGTGGCGGGCATCCCTTCGGCCTCCCTCAAATTCCCAAGGAGCACGTTATACGCCGCTCGCTTCCCAGCTGGCAACGCCTCCTTCACCTGCACTTCCTTGACCCACAAATCCAACTCCGCAAGCTCATTCTCCTCGCCACCCCCGTCGTCCAAGATTCCAAAATCCGACGTCCGCAACCCATGCAATCTCGCCCTCAAAGCCTTGATCAACACCCTCCTCGCATCCCTCGCCCTCCCTTCCTCCCCACCCCCACAAGCCCTGCAATCGCACTCAAACCCATACTGCTTCTGCAACAACGCCCTCCTCTGCCGCGCCGTCGTAATCTCATACATCTCATTATTATACGAAAAACAAATCTCCTCACCCTCCGCAATCTCCCTCTCCGCGACAATCTGCGCTTCATCCCCCAAACAGCAAGGGTCATTATGCGTCGTCGCATTCGGCACGCAGGAATGATTGAACCGCGAAATCGTCGGGTGCAGCCAACACGCACTCCCATTCCCGAACGTGTTGGCTTTGAAAATCCGCATCACTTTCGAGTGCAGGTCTGTACGGTGGGTTCCTTCGTGCAGGGAGAGGACGGATTTTTTCTGGGCGTCGGGCAGGGCGGCGAAGGCGGTGGTGATGTGGGTTTCGGTCAGTCTTTGAGCGGGGATGGCGATGTGCATTATGGTGGCTTCTTGGTAGATTACTTCGCCGGGGGAGATGGGCCGGTTTGCGATGCAGCCGTAGCCTTTGTTGGGGATGGGGAGGATGGCGAAGGGGTGGGAGTCTTCTGGTGAGGTGGCCATGATGGAGGTGGTCTTCGTTGGTGGTAGATATTTTCCTCTTAAGTGCTTGCTTGCCGATCCAGAGCTGTAGAAAAGTGTCGCGTGCCCAGTTTGCAAAGAAGAATTCTCTCGATGCTAAGTTCTTCTGCGACCTTGCAGTCCTGTCGCGCTTGTTCTCAATTCTACAAAGCGAGAGATTTGTCGGACATGCAATTGCGTGAATTTTGTCTCCCAAAGATGACCGCGCGTCAGATTCCGGATCGTTCCTGCTTTTCTTCCCACGGATGCTCGGAGCGTGAGTGAGCGTGATGAGTAGTATGGCTTCAGGACATATCCTACTGGCGAGAAAAAAACGTGTCGAACCGAGGACCCGGGTAAGCTTTGCGAGGGATTTCAAGCTTAAAAGGAACGTTAATCGAAAGACTCGACTTGCAAGACAGGAAGATGTGCTGATGAAGATAGGTGTGAGTTTGTTGTTGCTAAAAGGAGGTGAAGTCGGATGTGGAAGGTACGATCGTCACAAGTCCAAGAAATCCCAAGCCTTGTGTGCTTTGCTGGAGATTTGAGTTGCACTTCGTGGATGTGAGACAAGCAAGAGTTTTGGCAACGGCCGGGGGTGAGGGCGAAGGCGGGCTGCCAAGATTCAGGGGTCTTGAACTGGACGTACTTCTTCTGCTCTTCGATGTCCACTTCCTTTTATCTCCAATTTTCTTGAGGTTCCAATTTGGGCGTTCTTCGTTCGTGGTGAAAACCAAAAGATGGCCGGGGAGCCGGCTCGAAGGCCCGTTGTGGCGGCGAGGCTGGAGTCTGTGGAGTCTGTGGCGGAGGCGAGACTTCACGCCAAGCTAGAGGAACGGTAGCTGGATGGCAACGAGATGTACCAACATCCCGATGGCGAGAGATGAGAAGAGACTGCGAGGTGGAAGCCGAACAAGAATCAGGGAAGCACGCGATCGTAGGAAGGAACACCTCTCCCCCTCCTCCGCCATTTCTTCGAGCCGTTCGGCCCGGCCATGGCGTCGCAGTACGAGACGAAAAAGCGGAGAACTTTCGACGACCACGCACCAAAGGGCACAACTACTATATGCTTTGTGGGACAAATATTGGCTCGATACTGCGGAGAACAGAATCACACCTCATATCCCTTAGCGGTGAGGTGAGCGACTTCCCTATTGGCTAGCAGAAACGGCTTTTCGATTCGAGATATCGGCAGTCTCATCAGAGTGCGATGTCTGTCCATCATCAGCGATATGTATCGCCATTCTTCCGCCTTGAACTTCGTAGGGCTCTTCTGAGCACAATAATTCACTCCGAATATCTTCAGCTTGTGAGCACCTTCGGATTGGTTTCAAAGGACAGGGCAGAACACGGAAAAAATCTTAACACCTCGACTAGGAGAGGCCAGGCCCGAAACCGCTACACGTCCGATACATAGTCAAAAGAACCGAATGTCGGTCGCGCTGACGATCGCTACTGTACCCAGCCGGGGCCAGCGCAACGAGAATGGCGCCAAGACTTTCACATGTCGAGCGCTAAGTAAACTCTATGCTGGCGCTCCCAACAGGGCTGTATATAAGCCACATCTTCAGGCCCCTTTCTGCTTCTTCTTTCTCAACAACAACAACACCGTGGCCGCCACCGGCGCCTTGATCCATCGTGGGGTCGCCGCCGCTGCCGCCGCCACCGCCGCGAGCACGCCCTCGGGCGGAGAGGGCATGTCCAAAGCTCACTTCTAAGCTCACTCCCGACCTTACTTGTTACCTCACTTGTCCCCTCACTTCCAACCTCACTTCTAACCTCACTTCTAACCTCACTTCAACCCTCACTTCAACCCTTACTTCCAACCTCACTTCCAACCTCACTTGGCCCCTCCCCCTTATCCCCCTACCTCCCAAGTCAGGCGCTGGCAGCCAGGAGCTGGACTACTGCTGGCGCAAGGCGTTTCTCTTTAGTAAGGGTGTGACTTGGGAGGTAGTTATCCCTAACATCCCTATCGACCTCCCGCACAGCATCTCCTACTCCCTTCAGCACTACTACCAGTAACAATAAAAGCGATACCCCCTCCCAGACTTCCGACGCGGATATCCCCACTATCCGCCTATGTTCAGTCAGTGTCGGAAGAATTCTGAAGGGAGGCAGGAATCTACTTCTAAGCAACAGTTTAGCCGAGTTGCTAAGAATGTATGTAATTCTGTCCCTCAGGCGTGGACAAATACATTCCGGAGTCCATCCCAGTTCCATACAAAAGCCAGGGAATGGAGTGTACCAACGCTACCTTACCGTGTCTCCTTCCCTGTTCTCGTCGCTGAACCCGACCTAAGCATCCGAGAGACTCTCGTACATTTTTCCACTTGTTCACTTTCCCAACGACCTCGATTCCCTCTCTCTTAGTCAACCCAAAATGCCTCCAACCCAAAAGCTCCTGGAGTCGGGTCCAAGCGATCGACGACAACTTCGAGGTAAGGGAGGATGAATTTCGGCGTTGAAGATGCGAAGATTGGATTTCGTGCCGCTGGCAGCGTTCAGACCGTCCTCCGGAGGAATCCTGAGCCTATGGTTATGCGATGACACTAGGGCATCAAAGGTTCATGTCTAGCAATAGGTCACGAGCAGCATCCAGGGGCCAGCAGCGTCCTACGGTCCATGAAATAGGGCTTGACAGGCCCGAAACGTAGCGACACAACAATGAAAGTGATGCCAAAACGAGGTCAGGGGTGTCTCAGTCAATTCTCATCAAAAGCTAGCTACCTGGTCTGTGTAGCAAATGCAAGCTCCTTCCAACGCCACGCTCGAAAACAGATGTCTGGGTACATTGATAGATCAGGTGGGTGCACTGCTTCAGATCGCCAGACCGTTTGAATCATTGCTCTGGACACTGTCGCCTTGCGCTGGTGTAGCAGTGTCTGTCTTCAGCTTCTTAGGATCCGAGGCGCCGTCCATTTGATGTATGTTGGTGACGTCCGTCATGGCAGATCGCTTGGTTGCAGCTGCAGGTGCTGGAGGGCGATATCCTCCTCTGTTTTGGTATCCTCCTGCCGGGGGCATTCCTACTCTTCGGTTCATGTCGGCGGAGGGGTTGACGTAGTTGGTTGTGGTCGGTCGAGGCGCACCGTTCATTCCGTTCCCACCAGCAGTCTGAAAACCACCTCCTGCAGGTTGCTGCTGCTGTGCCGGCTGCGCACTACCACTCGCAGCCCCATTGACTTGTAATCGACTGACGGGGGCTGATTTGCCAGGATTGATGCCTTGCGTTCTTCTGATTGAGGGACTCTCTGCATGCGGATTGAAAGCCAAATCGATAGGCGGTGGTCGTGCTCCAGCGGGTTTGTTCAGCACGTCAGCGCTCCTTCCTGTCACAAACCCTTCCGGTATACCCTGAGGCGGTTGACGAGGACCTGCGAACCCAGATTCGTCGGGCTGATCAGGTCTCTGTGCTTGCCCGTTGGGTCCCGTCGAAGGCCGAGACTGTGCTTGATTCGACGTGTCAGTCGTTGAACCCGAGGACGGGTTCGACCTTACACCATCACCGTTCTGCAGTGCTTGGGCGGCAGGGATCTGTTGGGGTCTCTGTGCATTGCCCGGCGTGTGCGGAGGAAGCATTTTGTTGGCAGGCTGACCTGCGTTGGCTGGTGGGCGTTGAGGCGGCTGCGGTCGCTGTGGAGCCTGGATACCTTGCACAGGAGCTGGCGGTTGCACATTTGGCGGCCGCATCTGTGGCATAGAATGCATACGTGGAACGCCTTGCCGCTGCCCGTTTGCTTCTGGTCCATTCTGAGGCGGGTTGGCATTCTTCGCTGGTGAGGTAACATCGCTGACTGTGGTATCGTCCAGTCGAACCTCATCGGGATGGTTGAAGTCGGTTTCGTCGAAGATGTTACCTCCAAAATCGTCTTCAAATTCGGCAGATCCAAAAGACCCAGCAGACTGCACTGACTGAACGCTGGTGTTCCTCTGCACTGCCGCCGCTTTGTTCTGTGGAGGCTGCTCCGTAGAGGCAGGCTCTTTCTTGATGGGCGCATATTCTGGATGCCTGTGCAAGTTGTCGGCGTCCCACTTCGAAGGGGCAACCTTCACCTTTGACACTTTCGCAAGGTAGTCCTTGTCGTAGAGACAGTTGCCGAGGACATTGCCAAAGTTTCGCAGCGCTCTCTTCATCGCGTCAGTGGCGGCCTCCTTCTTTGCCTTCTCGAAAGCGGCGGCCTTGCCCTTGGCGTTCTCACAGTGTCCATAGCCAATGTCTTCATGGAATGTCCCGTCTTTCAGCGTTACTCGAACTATGGTGGACAAGCCCAGATTAATCCTGCCATTTGTTGCATTCTCGTCCACAAAGTCGATCTGCACGTTCTGAATGGACGAGCTCCAGCCGTTGAATCCGAAGACCTCGTTCGCGAGGTTTATGACCTTCTCGGCGGCCAGATAGTGAACCTTGCCACCTCCATTTCCTGGGCGTGTTGATATGTATTCTGGGCCAAGCTGCTTCTCGAGCCTGCTCTGGAGGGTGGCGATCTGCTGTGCGGTGTACTCGGAAGTATGTCGTTCGTCGCCGCGGAACGGATTGACGCTGGCGGGCGTGTCGCGGTATTGATCGCCTGGTCTGGGGACGGTGAGTCGAAGCAAGAGTGATCTGTTACAAGTGACTTACGCAGGCATTGTGAATTACATGTATGGTGTCCAGGCGGAGTTGCGCATCGTCTGCCGAGTCAATGTTGGGGGTGTGTTGATGTCGGCTCGACCTGAAGTTGGGATGACGCGAAGCGCGACGGGTGGAGTCTTGGCTGGTTGCGCGCTTCACGTGACAAGTGATGCCTGAGGCATCAACATCTTTTTGTCCGCGAATGATGGTCAATAGAAATCAGCGCATCAAACTCTGAGTCCACAAGTCCAGCCAGATATGAGCATTGGCTGTAAATTGAATAATTATTTCTGCCCTCGCGTGTCCCAGAATACCGGACCCTGGATCTGAAGCCGCGGAGGTATCACGAGCTTACGACTAGCCTGCGCATTTCCAACACCTTTCGACTTCTCGACTCCCCCACAACCGACTCTGCCAACCCTCTCTGCAAGAACGATTCAGACACCGAACGCCGACGACTACCGCGCCCCCAACTCTAGAATCGATCCGCCCTCCGACTGCACTGCTACCTGGGATGATCTGGCAATAGGACCTGCCACGTATCGCTAGTCCTCGGCCTGCCACTATGGCATATACACGCCCTCCGCCGCCCAGACGGCGCATAGGCTGGCAGGCAATAGCAGCGATAACCACACTCATATCATCAGCATGGCTGCCAGTCGCCCAAGCAGCGAAAAGCGCTTCCGACTATTACATCCACGACCTCCCTGGAGCGCCTGCAGAACCCAGGTTGGACATGTACGCCGGTCACTTAGAAATCACTCCTGAACACCATGGAAACCTCTTCTTTTGGCTGGTGAAGAACAGACACATCGCGAATAGAAAGCGAACAGTGATATGGCTAAATGGAGGGCCTGGGTGCAGTAGCATGGACGGCGCATTGATGGAGATTGGGCCATACAGAGTGAACAAGGACGGGACGTTGAGATTGTCAGACGGCAGCTGGGACGAGTTCGCGAATGTGATATTCGTGGATCAGCCAGTGGGAACAGGGTTCAGTTACGCGGATACGAACTCGTTCGTTCACGAGATGGACGAGATGTCGAGTCAAATGATCACCTTCCTGTCCAAGTTCTTCGAGGTCTTCCCAGACCATGAGCACGACGATGTGAGTAGTTCAGGTCTTTCCCAACATTAGCACATCTGACAATCCGCAGCTTTACATCGCCGGCGAATCGTATGCAGGCCAGTGGATTCCCTACGTCGCAAAAGCAATCCTCGACCACAACGCTGCCAGCAAAGCCCACGAATGGAACTTGCAAGGACTGCTTATTGGCAACGGCTGGATTTCTGGGCCCGATCAGTACATCTCCTACATTCCCTACATGTACGAGCAAGGCCTTCTCACTTCCGGATCGCAAGCGGATACGGTCGCACGAAACCAGGAGAAGAAGTGTCTTGAAGATCTTCAAAACGGCGGCGCGGACAAAGTCGATGTCGGTTCATGTGAAGCTATCATGCAAGAGATCCTGCGAACCACACAAGGCGATCAGGGCTGCATCAACATGTACGACGTTCGAAAGCACGACACATATCCCTCGTGCGGAATGGCCTGGCCGGCAGATCTGGAATTCGTCACCCCCTACCTGCGCAGAGACGACGTCCTCAAAGCGCTGCATATCAATAGCGACAAGAAGACGGGCTGGGTTGAATGCAACAACCAGGTATCGGGACAATTTTCAGCCAGGAACTCAAAGCCAAGCATGCAGCTGCTACCAGAGCTGCTCGAGAAGATGCCAATCATCCTCTTTTCGGGAGACAAAGATCTAATCTGCAATCACATTGGCACGGAGAACCTCATCAACAATCTATCGTTCAACGGCGCTTTGGGCATGGAGATGTCAAGCGGCATGACAGCCCCACGCCGGGATTGGACTTTCGAAGGCGAACCCGCCGGACAGTACCAAACTGCGCGAAACTTGACCTACCTCCGCTTCTACAACTCCTCCCACATGGTCCCATTCGACTACCCCCGCCGAACCCGAGACATGCTCGACCGCTTCATGGGCGTAGATATCGCATCCATCGGCGGCAAACCAGCCGACAGCCGCATCGACGGCGAGAAGGGTGTCGAGGTCAGCGTAGGCGGCCACCCGAACAGCACCGCCGCCGAAGAAGTCGAAAAGGAAAAACTCGAAGCCGCAACCTGGGCGGCCTACCGCCGCGCCGGCGAAGTCGCCCTGTTCTTCGTGATTGTCGGTGCAGGAGTCTTCGCCTTCTTCGCCATCCGCAGCCGCCGCCGAAAGCGAGGCTACCTCGGCGTCGCAGGCTCTGATCCCTATGATGGCCGTGGCGGACACGCGAGGTCGATGAGCGATGGACTGGGCTTGAATGAAAGGTACCATGAAGATAGGGATGTCGAGGCGGCGAGGGCGTACGACGAGGCGGAGTTGGACGATCTATCGCCGAACGGAAGGTCAAAGGAGCCGTTTAGTCTGGAGGACGATGATGAGGATGAGGAAAGGCAGCATGGGCGGTCGAACGGGCATGCGGCGTAGGAGTTGTTGTGTCTCGTTTGGGAGGCTGTCTCGTTATTGGAATAGGGGATGTATTGAACATGTATCGAAAGCGTTTTTCGCAACATAATAGCCACTGTCTACTTTCAATCACCACACGAGGCGAGTTCCTACGCACACGTTCTGGGCTCGAAGCTAACCAAGGAAGAGGAGGATCATCACTGGCACTCTGCGTTATGCATTGCACAATTCCCTACATCGCCACAGCAGCCTCGCGGTCACAACGATCTACACCATCCAGCCGCGCCACGAGTAGATCCTTCACGACTCGTGGCTGCAGTGCACTCGAGACCTCGCTCATCATCACCGAAGACTCACGGCGGTGCCTGCCTACCTACCAACCCCTCCCTCCCACCGGAAACCCCAACACCCCAAAGCAGCAAGTCAAGTCCTTTGGCGAAAAACGCCCTCTTTGCCGTCGACCGCGAGTGGGAAATGCGGTTCCTCGGCCGGAGGGCTTGCTGATGCCGCGTGCGTGGATCTGCCGGTGCCAGTGCCACGTGGGTGGTATGTGATGGATGGAAATCAGTGAAGGAAGGAAGGGGACTGGTTGTGGTGGCGTTTGCGTGTTTCGTCGGGAGGAAGTGGAAGATAGTGAGCGCAGTAGGTGGAAGTGTGGAAGCACAGACGTGGCTTAGTTGGGCGCATGTGGCCGATCGGTATGCCTATTACGGTGGATGCGCTCCTTCCCAACGCGGTCCTAGCGTGTGGCGTGGTTGCGTGGAGGTGAATGAAATCCCAACTCTCAAGCTCCAAATCTCGAAGCTGGCGAGGCATTGGCCAGTGAGCGAGGGAGTGAGTGAGTTTGGAGGATATGGCTTTCTTCGAAGACCTCGGGTTTAATGCCTAGAGGGGGTAAGAGGTCCGGGATATTGTGATTGAGGGGGGGTTTGGTGGTTTTGGTTGTGGTTGTGTGGGTAGAGTTGTGTGGCGTTTGGAGTTGGGCCGATAGGGAAGTTTGATTTTTGATTGTTGATGGTCACGGCATGGCAGGTGGGCGGAATGGGTCCAAACCGACATGTCCTATGCGTCATCGACGAAACGTGGGTAGACTGCTCTCGAAGCAATGGCACTTATCCCGCTATACTTCCGCATCCTGAAGAGGAAGGAACTTCAAAGCCAGCACGGCAGAGATTGGGTTGGGGTTGGGGTTAAGCTGTAGTACCAACAGACACACCACGCAAACGTGGCAGAGGGACAAGGTTCTGCGCAAAGTACCTCGGGAGATGAGTTGAAGCAAACCCTCAAAGCGCCACAGAAAAACGCCGTGCCCAACAAACGCATATGATCAAGAGAAGTCTCAATCTTTCCCGAATCCTGCCTACCGCACCACGTGTACATAAACTCCTTGCACCACAAAACCTCTCCTCGTGAATCCACAACGATCGATCCGGAAATCCCACTCAAGCCAGAAAGAGACACGTTTTTCTCTTTTTTAGCACTTGCAGTAAGGAAAGTGGCTTGCAGCAAAGTGCTAGTGCAGTCGAAGTGGTGTTTTTAGAGTTCTTCGCTGCAGCTTTCGCGTGCATGGGCTTCCTGCAAGCCACCGTCACATGGCATGGCGTTTGCGGGTAGAGGCGAGTGTCAGGCGAGGGAGTGGTGCGGATGACGACAGTGCGATTGCTGGGCTTGGGAGATGTAACAAGTGAGTAAGCGAGAGTTCTGAGTGTTGTTGTGTATTGCATGATGACTTTGTCGTTGCGATACCATCGGTGTGTTGCAGCGCTGCTGGAGATGAGGATATAGTTACGCGACGCCGTTATGGAGCCGTTGGAAGCGTTGAAAAGTCAAGCCGAGTGAATGATTCGGTGGGCCAAGAATTCGCAAGAGTCGACTTACCTCCATTGACAAACCTTCGCAAACTACAATATCTCCATGTTGCAAGCTCTTCAAACCCTGTTCACCCTCCGCTGGACCCAACAGCCTCAATTCCGCCCTCTGCCCTCTCACATCACTCGGACATTCGTACAGACACCAACAGGACCTTTGGAACTCCTCGTCTGCGAACCAAGAAAGCCAAGTACACGCAGCACCCGCCCAGCGATCTCCTTCGTCCATGGCGGATACGGCTGTGCAAGCGTCTGGCTGGATTGGATGACCTACCTCTATGAACACGACTACACAGGCCGGTTGTATGCGTACAGCGTACGCAATCATGGTGCTAGTCATGCCGTCTCTTACTTCCAGATGGTGTTCAACACTTCGCTGGACGGCATTACTAGCGATCTCGTCGCTTGCATGAATCATGCCCAGGAGCTGAATGTGAACCAAAGTATGACGATCGTCGCTCATTCCGCTGGAGGTGGTCTCGCTCAATACGCCCTCGCCAAGGGCCTAATCCGCGCCCGAGCACTGTGCCTTGTCGATGCTGTGCCGCACTACGGTATGGCCGACCTGTACTGGAACTGGTTCAAGCACGATCCCTGGTTTCCTCTCAGAAGCCTGCTCCATCTCGGCCATCCCAGCTCTCCTCTGTACACGCCAGCGCTCGTCCAAGGGGCATTCTTCGGATCAAAGTTCGATTCGCGAGACGTGGCGAGTTTTATGCAGTGGATGCCCTGTTACGAGAGTATGGGATGGCCTATTGGCCAATTCGGCGGCTTTTGGCGGTGGCTCAGAGGTCGCAATGCCTGGCTAGATATCAAGGACATACTCCGCCATATCGAAGTTTCGCGAGCTGAAGACGAGGACAAAGATAGCATCTGCCTGATAGTTGGTCTGGAGGACATGATGTACGACGAAGGAATGCGCAAGCGGGTGGCAAACGAGTATAGGCAGTGCATATACGATCTCGAGAGTTGTAAGAAGATCGACAGACGTAGTTGTGGCGGTGCCGAAGAGAAGGTGGAGGAGTCGGATATCAACGGGATTATCTCAGAGCGAGAGAGAGGTGTTCGCGTGGTGCTTGTCCAGGACGCAGGGCATCATGTCCAGAACGATGTGCAAAAGACCGACGCCGCGAGGGCTTTATGGTCGTTTGTAAGCCAGGTGTCATGAGATTTCGGAGATTGTGTAGACGAAGGTCGGACGGAAGAGCATCCGTGATATGGAGACGACTTGGCGTTGACGGTGTTCGCAATAGGTCGGGAAATGAGTCAAGAAGCTCACGTACTTTTAGATCCCGCTGCACAAGGGCAGCGGCGTGTGATTACGTCCATGATTCGACGCTGATCATTGCTCTTCTGTCCACGCCAGCAGCCAGTGAGATGTCGACGGTTCTAGACTCTGGACCCTTCAGCCTTTGAGCCAATGCGGGATGCCGATCATCAATGTCACCAAACCTCGTCATGGGGGCTGAATAATGCATGCGTGATCGAGTCGACCGACCCGGTTCGGATTGCAATATTCACATCGTGTGGCGAACTGTTACTCTCTGAGGTCGTTGTTGTTGATTCACTTCACCCATCGTGAAGATGCAGACAGACAGCAGACGTCAAAATTCGACCCGCTTGGCTGAGGTAATTGTGATGTCAAGCCTGCAGGCAAAATTGGACAGCTGAACCTTAGGTCGACCTCAAGCCAAGACGCAGAACGGCAAACGGATAACAAGTACACATATACAAGTGCCGGTGCCAGGAGACTAGAGCACCCGAACCACCACGGGCGAGGCGACACCTTTACGCCGAATTCTGCAATGCTGTTCCCGCAGTCGGACTGACCTGCACGCGTCTTGTAAGCCACCCATGTACGGTGGTCAGCACTCAACTTGTAGCGGCACTGCGGGAGACGCAATGCCTACCGAGAACGGCGGTAGAATACTTCCACTGCCCTTCTGGAAGGAAAAGCTTGACGTCCTAGTCTGCGCACCTTGCGAGCTTTGGGGATGGCTGGGGTGGGTGTAACTTCGTAAGGCTGCGAGGCACAAGCCACATCCACTGCGGCTTCGGCAGTAGCGTGGCTCCTGGACGTTGAACCTTCTGAGCCGCCCGAAGTATCGCGATCCTATGACACCATTGAATAGCAGGTCGATATGCGCCAGAGAAATGCGGTCTGGCAGGTTTGCTGGACTGAACTCCGAACTCGCCGAGCTTATTTTGCTTATCGCCAAAAGTCCGTGATTGAAAAGTGATGTATCGACGAGGTGCCTCGTCCTCACCGAGCAACCTGATGACAGGACTGTGGTGGTTTCGGCTGGCCAACTTCCGAATCTTCCAACTCGCGGAGCCATTTCCGGATGGGATCGTGGTTGTGGAGAATCGACCGGTGAAAGGGAATCCGATGCTGAGAATGAGGCACAGGAGCTTGACAAATGATGTTTAAGCTGGCCTATGTGGAGATTGGGGTCTTTTAGGGGTTTTCTGCGCTGATGTGATGACTGTTCACAATTGTTTGACTTCCGCAATGGAAGCAGCAGTCTCTTCCGAGCGATGCGCCAAGTGGCTTGGCAGAAGAACTGCATTTCCGCTGGCGATGTACCGCAAGAGAACATGCCGTTTCTCTGATAGACTTGGTGAGTGCATCGTTGTGGACGGGTCTCGTGCTGCAAGATAAGGTCGCTGTCTGCAATGCCGTGGTGAAATGCCTGCGTCATGCTGATGCAGGACGCTGCACGTCCAACTAAGCTTTGGAACGCCTCGTTTGCGACATTGCTCGCGGCCCCGTGGCAGCCCTGTCTGTGGCTTGAGCGCGGGCGGCGACGAAGGATTAGCCCAGGCTGCTGGGAAGGGCGAGAGGAGCGCGAGGCAGGGTCACCATGGCCGTGCAAGCCGGCCGGTGCCCAGGATGCAAGCAAGCAAGATTCACGAACGGGCATTGCGGCTCGCACTCGGCTGGCGACATGCACAACAGACAGATATGCGTGGAAGCCAGTGAAGCGCCAAGCATCGCCTGGCCCTGGTATGGCTCCAAGATCGCCACAACACCCACCCCAGACCCAATCGTCGCCCGACCCGCGTGCCGTCAAAGCCGAGTGTCAAGCTCACGCTCTGCAAGCGGGACGCTGAGCCCGCCCCGAACAAGACCCTGGCGTCAGTCTTCTCACGCGCTGCTCCCCATCTATCACCAGCCCGTCGTCTTGGGCCCATTCTCGTCCGGCGACTGTCCGCCAAGCCCCGGTTCGATACCCACAAGACAGCCACGGAAGCGCCTCGAGGTTCCTGGAGGCTCGTCGATCCTTCAGGCCTTGTCAGCCTTGGCGATGCGTCCCCTCGCTCGGTATGCAGCCCTCTGTGGCTCCAGTAGCGACTGTACATAGAGCTGTGTATGGCGCAGCATCTCCAGATATGCACAGCATGCTTCAACTTTCCTCCCATGGACCCTCGCCAGCCGTATGCCTACTTGCTCTGCTGTCCCGAACTTTCCAGCATTGTAAGCCACGGTTCTCTAGGCACTTGACTCTCTCTTCCTGAACCTTTTCTCAACCTCACCCAGTTCTGAAGTTGTTCAACCGTTGGATTTTCCTTTCTCGTGGTTATGCCTCCACGTCCCATACGACCCAAAAACGATCCAAGTGTGCCTGAAGGAAGCGATGCTGGCAGCGACTCGAAAGGAGGGAAGCGCAGGGCTGTTTCGTCTGCTTGCATTCCCTGTCGAAAACGCAAAAGCAAGGTAGGCCTGATTCTTCGGCGGGGAAGTGTGGTAAGTTTCGAAGCCTACTGACAAAACCCTTACAGTGTGACGGACAGTTGCCAGCATGTTCAACTTGCGTGGCAGTCTATCGAACGGAATGCAGCTACGATGCCGACAGCGACCATCGTCGAAAGGGTGCCCTCAAGAGGGACATCCAATCTCTCCAACAACAAAACGATGCTCTGGACGTTATAGTGGCTTCTTTGAAAAGCCTACCAGAGACAGAGGCCATCACACTACTACACAACCTTCGAGGCGATACTAATCCCAACGAACTCGCGGACTCGCTCAGGAGCAATGTTCGACTCCCTCACAGCTTTGCGCCTCAGACGCTTGAAGCGGACTTTGCGCAGCAGATCACCACACCTAATACCGCACCTTACGATAGTTCCACGACGTTCCCCCCTCCCCTCCCAAGGACCGACTCCCAGGATAGCACCGACCTCAATTCATACAACCCAAGTACCACCTCAAGTGCGATAATGGAAGCACCGACGACCTGGTTCCGAGTACCGCAGGACGCAGAGCTCGTCGAGCATCTCCTAAGCCTCTATCATTGTTGGGTGCACCCCTTTTATTGTTTCGTTTCGTGGGACCATTTCTTACACGACATGGGACGAGGAAGAACCGAGTTCTGCAGCGCACTGCTGGTCAATGCCATCCTCTCCTTTGCCTGTCACTACTCAGACCGAGCAATGGCTCGCACTGATCCTTCCAACCCAGGGACCGCTGGAGAGCGATTCTATGCCGAAGCGAAGCGTCTCTTGGACCTCGTCGACAAGCCTACGATTACTAGTGTCCAAGCTCTTGGAATTATGAGTCTGCGAGAGACGTCGGCGGGGAGGGACAGCAATGGCTATCAGTTGGCAGGGAGGTGCGTGCGAATGGCGTTGGAGATGGGGCTGCATTTATCGGTTATCAAGAACGGTATGCGGCCGCCGGAGGCAGAGGTTCGGAAGGTGGTGTTCTGGGCCGTTTTCAACCTAGAAACGTAAGTGATCCTGCTTCCACTTCACGTATTGGATTTTGATACTAACAGAATGCAGAATCATAGCCGTGGGGTTTGGTCGACTCTCGCAACTTCCACGATCAGCGGCCGACATCGAGACTCCATCGACGAATTCGAGGTCAGAAACGGTAACATGGCGGCCGTACGAAGATGTCAACGTGTCGAACAGCCCGAGCGCTGAGCAGCCAGCTCGCGCAATGCTGTTCAAAGATCAGCTCAGCAAGTTGTCTGAACTGGCCAGCGATATGGTCAACACTTTCTACGCCCCTCGCGAACGATTCACGAGCAGACGACTCGCGGCGACCTACGCTCAGTATCAGTCCTGGTACCAAAACCTGCCAGATGCGTTTCGATTGGAGAATACTTCTCTGCCGCACGTGCTGGTGCTGCACATGTACTACTATGGCTGTGTTTTACAGTAAGTCAATTCCCACGGATCAAACGAACTCACAGCTAACCATTCCAGCCTATTCCGACCTTATATCAAGTTGGATCTCAGGGCAGCGAACTTGTACCCACGCGATACGTGCACGTTCTGTGCCAACGAGATATCGGCTTTGATGAACGCGTTGCGGGCGATGTATGGCTTGCGTCGCGTGACACTTGCGGTGACAAGTCATCTGCTTTCAGCCAGCACTATCCATCTGCTCAACCTTCCCTCAGACGAAGCTGCTGCGCACTTGAGCCAAGGGCTACACGATCTGGAAGCCATGTCAGTTAATCACCGATTCGCAGCACGCGCCGTGGACATCGTCCGCTCCTTGTCGAGCAAATGGAAGATCGCGCTGCCAGAAGGTGCAGCATCTGTCGCAGTCTACCGCATGACGGGCCAGCGAGAGATCTCCTCACCTCCACCATCCACCTTCTTCGCAGCCTCAATCGACCGCAAGCAGTCCTCCGAAGGCAAGACACGATCTGGCGAAAGCAGCCACCAACAATCCCCCTTCGAGCCCCCAAGCGGCGGTACTCAACTGCCCCACCATCCATCCCAACCGCAACACAGCACCTCCATACCAACATTTTACAGCGACCCAACGATCCCCTTGGACGCCCAGCAGGCGCAATCGGCGTTTTGGACACCCTTTCCCTCTCAGGTCATGCCCATCCCACAGTACGACATGGCCTCCACCATGATGGAACTTTCGCAGCTCGACGGCCAGCACCAGGAGTGGCATTTGTACGGCGGGTCGAGCGGGCCTCCTCCACCGCCGCCGCAGGACTACCACGGTAGACATGGCTCGGCGCCCGGACGGCTGGATGAGGACATGGGCGGGATGGAGAATTGGCATTGGCAGTCATGATGAACGCATAATGGGATTACAGCACCGATGGCGAGGGAAAGAATTGTGGTAATGTGTTTGATGACGATGATGTTTTGATGAGCATTTCTACGGAGTGAAAGAGAGGAGTTTTGGGCTGGGCACGACAACAACTTCCGGGTCTGGGTGGTAGGTTTCGTTCGTAAAGCGCACGGGTTTTCGCGTCGAACCAATGACCAGGGTGTTTGGGAGGTGTTGCTCCGCGGGGAGAGGGAGGGAGGGGAGCCAGCTTCTTCTTTGCATCGTTCAAGGCGCAAACAGCAGCATCGCTTACAGGAGTTTTTTTCTCTAGATACAATTGACCATGAAATCAAAAGAAGACATGGAATTCACTCAGACGATCCTCCTATTCCACGATGAGACGACGTCGGATGGATGCTTCTGCACGTCTGCGCCACGCCACCCAAGACGGATGTCCGGCATAAGGATCGCAAGACCCTGCGTGCGTGTGGTGCATAAAAATAATGCTGCAACCGAGGCGCAGGAGAGAAAGTTATCAGGGAACATTTGGCCAATGTGTTTTTTGATGAAGTTGAATGCAACGTTGGGATTGATGAAGATGACTTTTGTCGATCCGGCGAACAATACGGAGTTGGGAGAGTTGGACGCCGGCATCTTTCCGATGTAACGTCAGTTGCTGTGAATTCCTTGTTGTCTTTTTTCTCTTTGGTATCATTTCTGGAGTCTTCGATGGCTGATGAAATAGACATGGACAGGCGTCTGTAGTATTGGGTGGCGAAATTGATTTGAAGATGTCGAGGTCTAGATTCTTGTGAGGGGCCCGACGGGGGTTGTCGATGACGCAACTCCGAATGCCGTAGATGAAGCAAAAGTTTCTCGAGACGAGACGAGCACGCCGCTGTGGCTCGGTTTGGCTGGGATTGATGCGTCGATGAATACGAGCCACACACCCAGGAAGTACGAGTAAGAACAACTTCACCTTTGACAAACACTGCAGAGTCACAACCCCACCAGCAAGTTCGATTCTGTTTGGAATCTGCAGCTCTTGGGGAGGATTACAAACAGCTCCAAAGCTACCTCACCTCTCACCACAGCACGCGACTATCGGCGATCCAAACGTCATCTCTGCCCGCAGCCGTCAAATACAAACCACAGCTCACGCATAGCTTGACCTGCGAAGGACGACCGCCAAACTGTCTCAACGAATCCCCCTCCGTCTCTTCACCACCACCTCCTCCGCCTTCAGGACGGCGACCACCACACAGCAACGACTCGGCTCTCTCTCCCGCCACTTCTCCTCCTCGTCCTCCATCATGGCGCCGATTCAGAAAGAGTGCGACTACCTAGTCCTAGGCGGTGGTTCGGGAGGTCTGGCGAGTGCGCGGAGAGCGAGTGCTATGTATGGCGCGAAGGCGATTGCTGTGGAGGTTGATCGCTTAGGAGGGACTTGCGTGAATGTTGGGTGTGTGCCGAAGAAGATCACCTGGAATGCGGCTGCTATTGCGGAGATGCTGCATAAGGAGGTGAAGCCTTATGGGTTTAGCATACAAGAGACGGGACCGTTCGATTGGGAGGGGTTCACGACTAAGAGGGAGAACTATGTCAAGAGGCTAAATGGAATCTACGAGAGGAACTTGAATAACGACAAGGTGGAGTTCTTGCATGGGCTTGCGACGTTCCAAGATCCTCATACTGTCAGAGTGACGCTGGACGACAAGAGCGAGGTGGATATCAAGGCCAAGAAGATTCTGGTGGCGGTTGGCGGTCATCCCAACGTCCCGCAGAACATCCAGGGCTCTGAGTTGGGCATCACTTCAGATGGCTTCTTTGAGCTTCGAAAACAGCCGAAGAAGGTTGCCGTGGTCGGTGCTGGGTACATTGCGATTGAGATGGCGGGCATGTTCAACGCTCTCGGCACGGAGACGCATCTCTTCTACAGACATGACAAATTCCTGCGGACGTTCGATCCGATGATCCAAGAGAAAATTGCAACCGAGTATCAGCGCCAAGGCATGCATCTCCACGCCAACTCTTCCCTGTCAAAAGTGGAAGATATAGGCAACGGCCAGAAGAGGCTTCACTACAAAGACTCAAACGGGGAGGGCACGCTCGATGTGGACACCGTTCTGTGGGCGATTGGCCGAAGTCCAGAACTGGAGAAGCTCAATCTGGAAATCACAGGCGTCAAGCTCAACGACAACGGCCACATAATCGTCGATGACTACCAAAACACCAACATCGACCACATCTACTCCCTCGGCGACGTGTGCGACAAGGGCTTCGAACTCACCCCCGTCGCCATCGCCGCCGGCCGCAGACTCTCGGACCGCCTCTTCGGCGGCAAATCCGACGCGAAGCTCGCCTACGAAAACATCCCCTCGGTCGTCTTCGCGCATCCCGAAGTCGGCAGCACTGGTCTAACGGAACCCGAGGCGCGGGAGAAGTACGGCAGCGACAACATCAAGGTCTACCAGACGTCGTTTATCGATATGTACTACTCGATGATGGAGCAGGAAGACAAGAGCCCGACGGCGTACAAGGTCGTCTGCGCGGGCAAGGAGGAGAAGGTGGTCGGCTTGCATATTCTGGGTAGAAGCTCGGCAGAGATCTTGCAAGGGTTTGGGGTTGCTATCAAGATGGGCGCGACCAAGGCTGACTTTGACCGCTGCGTGGCTATCCATCCGACTGCGGCTGAGGAGTTGGTTACGCTGAAGTAGAACAATGCATCCATGCAGGGCGCCGGCCGGGCCGATTGTTGGAATTGTTCGCGAAGAGAAACAAAACATGCACAGAGCATCATGCACGCATGCATGCATGCAGGTAAATAGATCGACGCAGTATTGTATCCATGGGACTGCGTCATTCCAGACTGATCCACGACCCAACAAGCATCTTGTTGTGTTTCTTTCCTCCCTCCCTCCCGGCTTCTCGTCTCCGGGATCTGTACCTCAAACGCGGTAGCACTGAGCATGCAGCCAATTAAACAAATCTACCCGGTGACGGTGACGGGTGCCCGGTTCGTTCGCTACCCTTCCCAGCTTCCCCAAAGTCCAGATCCTCGAAAGACTCTCTCAAAGACCTCTTGGAGTCGTGACGTGACCATGGATACAGTAGTCATATCTCTCAGTAAGGTACTAGTTCAAAGCACACATTCCCAAAACCGTTGGATTGCCAAAGTCCCAAGTACAAAACCGTTGTTGCTGTCTGTTATCCGCCAGGGCTAGAAAGGCACGCCAAGCGAGACGCGGGTATATCCGACCAATTAGAGGAAACTTACCCCTGACGCCTCGAACTTCACCCTGATGGCGCGAGCGCGAGGAAAACGCCTCGTGGTGTTGGGAGGCGAGCTGAGAGGGCGCGTATGTCCGGGTGGTGGTTTTGTGAGAACTGCCACGTGGCTAGGCTAGGGTGGGCGGGAGTTGAGGACATGCATGCGTGTATGCGTGGTGAAGGAGAGAGATGGAAAAATAATGATCATGCCTTGTTTGTTGACGGCGTTGCCAGCAGAGACTTGTTGCTGCCCGAAACCGCAAGCATGACGCGAGCCACACCACGCTACCGCACCTATCCAAGATCTCGGAAACGGCTGCGAGGATCCCGCCTGTCCTGTCCTGTGCCTCGTGGCAGGTCGCGAAAGTTCCAATTTTGGGGAGCGAGATAATCCTAGTTGATTTTGTTATTGCGGCTGTGGGGTTTTCCTGTTGTTGCACGAAGATCTCCGAGCGGGAAAAGCTGGAGGGAAACAAACGACTGGTAACATATGACGTTGAGATCATGGATCACTGACAAGGATGTATCGATTCTTAAATTCTACCGTCGGGTTGGGACTTGGGTTCGTTGGGTTGCGCGATGAGAGAATGTCGCAAGGTTTGCTGATCGATGTGAGACGATGGATATTGATTGAGGACGTCAGACGGAATTCGTGGGGGAGAAAAGAAAAGGATAGATGAGTGCAACATCCCAAACGGGGAACCAAGCATTTCGAACTTCCAGACGCAGCTCTTCTGCTTCTGGACTTGCTGTTTCCTGCAGCAGACGTTTTGGCGAACCCCGTTGGCACGCAGAAAAACAAAACTTCAACCGCCATCGCGGCATCCCCGTGTGTGCCAAGAGGGGGCAAGCACTGCACGCCTCACCCGTGCGCTGCCGAGACCCATTGGGCAGCGCCCACGAGGATCGCGTTCTGGATCCGGTCTCACACTGCCCAAAAGCCCACGACAGCCGCTTGGGTGTTGGCAGCCACATTCGCCGTGTTTGGTGTGTTTATCAGCTCACCACGTACATACATGCTTTGGAATTCGAGCTCGCGTGGCCGCCTGATCGCTTGGGTTTGGGGAAGCTAACGCTTGTAGGGGTGTGTGGGTGTATGGCAACGGTCACATGCGTGTGTGTCGACCCTGGTCGTCACGCAAGCCTTTGTGCTGGGTCCTTGATTGCCGGGGTTTCTGGGCCCTGGTGATGGGTTGTTCTGGTTGTTGGGTCGCTCTGCCCATGCTTGTGTCTCGGCGGCGAGGCAGGGGAGAGGTTGTCAAGTACATGTATATCTGTTGCGCTTCCGTCTCGTCATTGATTGTTGCATGTCTTGTGGTGTTTGATCTACTTCCTGCAACAGCCCTTTTCGATCAACGCTCCTTCTAGACCGCGCATCTTTTCGCTTACTGCGCTCTTTGCGTCGAGACCTCACTCACTCATTCATATACATCCTCAACACCACCACACACGATCATTGATGGATCATCTCTGCCCACGCCAATCCTTTCCCCTCGCTCCCTGCCTCTCATGCCTTTCCCAACCCACCACCACCAACACAACCACTCCACGGCCAGCAGCATCAACAACCACCCGCACCCGCTTCGATCACACAGTTCCACAGAGGACATCCTGGCCACGAGCCCCGAGGCTCCTCCTCCGTCGACCACACAGCCGGCAACGCTCAGCCTCCCTCGACCGAATGACAGCAGCAACAACTCCAGAGGACACCTTTACGCCAATGCCTGATACTCGCCCGATGGCTTCGCTTCGCTCCCATCGGTTCCTGCGAAAGCTGCAACAGTCTCAACCCAGGAGGGATTCGGCGACGGTGCCCGGGTTGGAGGAGGCGGTGGCGAGGTTCCAGTGAGGCCGCCGCTCAGGCCGATGGTTTCGTTTGGTGAGATTTCGATGGTGTCGTACTATTCGATGGATGAACCAATCTTGGAGAAGGAGTCGAACGGGAGCCGTGGAGGGAGTGATTGGAGGTTCTATGGGTGTTTTGCTTGTCTGGCTCTGCTCAATTTCGTGTGCGACGTTAGCTTTACTGCGTTGGCGACCGCTTTGCCGGTAAGTGTTGTTGAGCAGACTGTACCTCGTCTGATGCTAACATACCTCGCAGACGATCTCGCAAGATCTAAGCCTCACGGCTGTACAGACCCTCTGGATAACCGGCTCTCTACTCCTCTCCGCTGCCATTGCACAACCACTCTTTATGCGACTCCCTGCCGCCTTGGGCTGCAAAGCAATACTTCTCTTCGGCATTGCAGTGTATATCACCGGCTCGATCCTGGCAGCTTGTGCAGAGGACGCAACAAGCATCATCGCCGCACGATCCATCGAAGGCTTTGGTGTCGGCGCCATCATGGTCCTGACCCAGCTTACATTGAATCAGATCGGGCGTGGTCAAGGACATCCGGCACATCATGGAAAGATATTTTCGAGGTCCGCTTCACATGTGTTCTGGCTAGTTATTGCCGCTGGTCCCATCATTGGTGGCGCTTGTACCGAGACGATTTGATGGCGATACATCGTCTGGATCCAAGCTGCATGCTCTGCACCCGCACTGATCGCTTTGCCATTCCTGCTTCGACTGCCGTATGTGGAGGCTGGATCAATCTGGCGAAGACTGTTGAAAGTCGATATTCTTGGCTGGCTTCTACTCTCTGGATCGCTTGTATCGATTGCCTTCGCGGTGTCCTTGGGCGGCACGGCACACGCTTGGAACTCCTTCAACATTTTGGTACCCTTAATCGCAGGCATGATCTGTCTCCCGTTATGGTGCATATACAACCGCTACCGAATCGAAGCGATCCTTCCGGTCAGCATCTTCAACAACGCCAGTGCAGCTGCAGCCTGCTTCGGTGCCTTCGCCCACGGTGCCATTCTGGCGGCCATCATCTACCTCGTACCAATCTTCCTTCAGCTGCAAGGACTCAACGAATTGGTATCAGGTGTTTCGCTGGCTCCTTGGACATTCAGCATTGTGGCTTTCGGTCTCTTGGGCGGTGCTGTGCAATCTTTGAGTGGGTATCGATGGGCCATCTGGACCGGTTGGGGCTTTGCGACGCTTGGAGTTGGTTTGATGATCTTGTTTAAGGAGTCCACATCGGCGACCTTCTGTGCACCTATTGGTCTCATCGGGGGCATTGCTCTGGGCTTGCTGCTTCCAAGTCAAACAACAGCCATCGAGTCGGCTGCATCAACGGACGACGAAACGATCCACGCTGCTCCCCTGCACATCTATCTCACCACCCTTGGTCAATGCTTCGGCGTCCTTGGAGGAAGCAGCATCTTCCTCAACAAGCTCAAGAACGACATGCTGGGCAACTCATACCCCAGCAGCAACGCCCTGAACTATACCAAACACGCATTCTTCATGGTCGAAGTCGTCCTCGACCTGCCCTTCGAACAGACCGGCCTACGATCGAACCTGATCGCCAGCTACACGTCTTCTCTCCGTCCCGTCTGGATCACCGCCTGCGCCATCGCCGGCCTGGCTTTCTTCCTGAGTTTCTGGTTCTTGGAGGACCACACGCCTTCGCGGAGGCCCTCACTGCCCGAGTTGGAGTGAGATCTGCATCTACTGCACATACCGTCATTCCTGTTTTTGAGCGGTTTCTTTGACTTGTGTTGCTTTGAGAGCGAATGAGCGAGCGAGGCGTTTCTTGGGTCCAGAGGATGCTTTGGCCTCACATCCCTCCACGGGGAGCTGAAAAGCTGATTGCGCTTTTTAAAGCGCTTTATTCTTTTTGTTGACGAGTATCGATACCCCCGACTGTTGTCGTTTGTTGTATAAAGATGTGTACAGTAGAGAGGTACGCATAGTGTAGAGAGAGCAGCAGGAGCAGTCCTGGCAGTAGTCAGAAGTACAAGACTCACTGAAACTCAATCTCCACCGTCTTTCCATTCAGTTGTCCTCTAATGCCTGAATCTTGTGAATCTTCCCGCAAGTGTGGCCATTGCGGATCCAATCGCGAGCTCCCTTCCAGGACTTTTGCAAGGCCATACCAAGTGGCACACCCTCTGTTATCAAAAATGAGTGCATCACCGGCTCGGAGCTGAATGGCGGCGAGGGCGAGGGGCAATTCTGGCTTGAAACTCGTAGCGGCAGGACTTGACAGTCTGTCCGAGCTCTGGCTTGGTGGTCTTACTGGACTCTCGTCGGCATTTCGATCCAAATCAACGAGATCATGCCAGCTATCGGCTTGAACAGCCTCGTCTTGCTCTGCTGGCTCATCGGCACTGCCGCCTTCGTATTCTGGCTTCTCCGTGCCAAGCACGATGACAGCATCGCAGCCGAGCGAGACATGAGCGATGATCCCCCTCTGCCCATTGGGTCGTCTCATCCCGACCATGTGCTCGGGCGTCGAAACAGACAGAGTCGCACTTTTAGCGCGATTAATTTTGAACATACTTGGGAAAGCATCGCAAATGACCCCACTGAGCTTCCCTGGAGGAACGACCTGCCTACACCTCGCACCCTCGTGTCCGGTATGCAAGACATACTCCAGATCTTTGGCTTCCGGCGTCTGCTCTAGGTCCATAACTTCATCCAGCAGCTCCGGCAACACAGGCACAAGCATCTCCGGGTACACATAAACTCCCGGAAATCCTTCCACCTGCAACACTCCTCCTCTGGCTTGTATGCTGTGGACGTGCATTTGGTCCATCGGACAACCCATTTGGCAGTGCCCAGTATAATCGAAGAAGCCGCTCTGGATCGAGGGGTAGGAATCCTGGAGCTGTTGGCCTAGCTGATGGTTTACTTTCAGGAGAGGGGCTGTGACGGTTCTTTCGTTTTCTGATAGATCGATGAAGTGGAGGTTCAAGTCTTGTAGGTTCATGGTGCGAATGCGGTCGCGAAATGCACGAATCCTGTCCGGTAGTTGGGCCATGGCGCTTGTACGGTTTCTCTTCCTTTGCCTGTAAATGCGTGGGCAGGGCGGCCTGCCCTCAGTTCCGGCTCACACCAGAGTAGCAAGAACTGCTGACTGTTTTTACATCCAGCTTGTGTTTGAGCTAGCGTTCCCGTGGACTTCACCTAGCAACTAGCATGTGATAAAACTCAAATCAATGCTAGACCCGAACTACGGACGTGTTGTTGTGCACGCACAGCGAACGGATCCCGAACAAAATCGCGCAGCTTCCTACAGTCCAGTGCTCTTCATGTTACCCGAGAGAGGAGTTCGCCTGCCACCATCATGGAGTAGGCGTACCTGTATGTTGTAGAGACCACAGAGCATCTGATCAATCCGGAATGCAACCCCAAAATCGAAGATTCAACAAGCCAGACATGGAGAAAACAGCAGCTGAAGTCAACCTTCACCTGACTCGCGCAGTTCTTCCACAGGACCCTGACTCCCGTCACCCGAGGCATCGCGATCGCCATGAGGTCAAGGCGCATGCACTCGGGTGCGGAGTTCCGACTCCTCCCTTGCCCGGCCGGGCAGCCGCGAAAATGGAACCGCATCTAGAAATTCTGCCGTTTGATTCCCTCACTTCATCGCTCCGTTTTCTCATTTCAACCCTCCGGACCTTGCTTTCACGACCGTGACGACTTTTTGACGACTCTTGGCATTCTTTCTTTCTTTGGCACTGGAAGGAATAGAAACAAAACAAAAGCACGTGGAAGGATATTGAGAGGCGAGACAAAGGCGCGTGGAGAGTGATTTTACCGCGCAGGCGATGGGGAGAACTGCAGACGTGACGAGCATCGACGTGCGAAGGGCAACATATCAGTCATGAAGATCTTCGCCTCATCACACGAATTCGACTACTCCTGGGAAGAAGTATCGACGTGCAACTGGCGAAAATACTGTCCTTGTGAGTAATAAGTCCCTCAACATCCACTCACCACCCCACCACCCACTCACATCTCTACTACACAGGGAACGACAAATCCACGCACGTCATAGCAGTCGACACCCTCTCGCGCACCCTCTCCCCCCAAACCGGCATCCTCCGCACCGAACGCCTCATAACCTGCAAACAATCCGCGCCGCAATGGCTGCGCAGCTTCCTCGGCGGTCAGGATACCTCGCTGGTCTACGAAGTCTCGTACGTCGACGCGGCGGCAAAAAAAGTCACCATGTGCTCGCAGAACATGACCTGGTCAGATCTCCTCTCCGTGCAGGAGACGGTCGTGTATCGCCCGGTAGCGGGAAAGGTGGGCAAGACGGTGTTTGAGCAGAACGCGAAGATTATCGCGTTGTGTGGCGGGTGGCAGAAGATTAAGAATGGGATCGAGGAGTTTACGGTTGAGAGGTTTCGGCAGAATGCTGCGAAGGGGCGGGAGGGGTTTGAGAGGGTGCTGGCGATTAGTCGGGAGGTGTTTGCGGAGGAGAGGAAGAAGAAGGGCTTGCAGGCGATGTAGGACGTCGTTCCAAAAGGGGGGAAGATGGTGGGGAGGGTGATATCAACTCGACTCTGTTGTTGTTGCTCTGTTTTGCTTTGCTTTTTCTGATTTGATCGTTCGAAGCGAGCGGGAAACGGCGTTTTCATGGGAATCTGCATTTTCGAATCGATGGGCATGGGAAGGAATGACAAAAAGCGAATGGGGCTCGACTTTCGTTTTTGTATACAGATGAGCTCTACTGATACCCGGCGTGAGAGACTTCACTCATGAAGATTGCAGTTGTTTTCTTAGATACTTTATACAGCAGATTGATACAGTTGTACAGCCAAGCAATCTACTGCAGCCTCTCCGTGCATCGGAAGGATAATCGAGTTATACATGTAAGCTTGACAGCGTTTCGAGACCGGTCGAATTTGTTCAAACCCTTGCGAGCGAACAAGAATGGATCTCAAGATTATCATGCCGATGCACGGAGAAGCTGTGCAGTAAGTTGACCAATTCTCTGACGCCGACCCTTCACGATGACTTGGGAGTGGAAGAGCGAGCCATGGATTATTTGTGAAACAATCATTCGGTAAGACATATTCTTGTACAGTACTTTGCATGCCCACGATTAGTGGCAGCCATAACGATCCGGTCCAATCCAATTTCCCTAACAATCCATTTCCCTCGTCTCATCGTAACGCCGACAATATGCAAAACAGAAAAGAAAATCACTCGTAACATCTGCCATCCGTCGATCAACCACTGCACATGATGCATGACTCAGGGTTGTCTATGCTGCAGGCCAAGACAGCTTCAGCATAAATGTCGCCCTCACGGTCCTTGCTGGACTCTTCCTTGTCTTCCTCCTGACCGGCCTTCTTCTCAACTTTGAGAGCTGGCTCTGGCAAGGACTCCTCCTTAGGGATAGACTTGGTACCGTCCACGGCGATGACCTCTGGGCTTTCACCCTCGTCCTGGTCTGCTGGGAAGGGCGGGTTGATGACAGCAGAAGATGTCCTGCCAAGTTTGCGCTTCTGCTGCTCCGGCTCAGGCTCTGGAGGTGGTGTGGTAGCAGGGGTGACAACATCCTTCGGTACTGAAGGAACTTCTGGGCTGAGCTGCTTGTTCTCGTACATTGGCTGAGGCGAGGCTGGCTTGGGAGAGCTCACAGCGTTGTAAGCACCAGAGATGTTTCTCTTCTTGGCAGCACCGTTCTTGGAGATGTTGGTGTCGGCGACCTTGAGCATCTCCTGGTCGACGGTGAACTGGATAGGTGCAGAGGCAGCCTGGGTACGGAGGTAGTACATGCCAGTCTTAAGACCCAACTTCCAGCCAGTGAAGTGCATGCTGGTGATCTTGCCCATGGTAGGCTCCTTCATGTGAATGTTCAAGCTCTGCGACTGGTCGATGAAGGCACCACGGTCAGCAGCCATCTGCACAATCTGGCGCTGGCTGATCTCCCACACGGTCTTGTAGAGAGCCTTGATGTCGTCTGGGATGTTCGGAATGCGTTGAACGGAACCGCCGTCGGCAATGATGCGGTTCTTCATGTTCTCAGACCAAAGACCGCGGTCGACGAGATCCTTCAACAACCAAGGGTTTACAACCTGGAACTCGCCAGCCAGCACACGACGCGAGTAGATGTTGCTGGTGTATGGCTCGAAGCACTCGTTGAAGCCCATGATCTGGGACGTCGAGGCAGTTGGCATGGGAGCGACGAGCAGAGAGTTGCGCACTCCGTGTTGGGCGATCTTGGCCTTGAGTGCATCCCAGTCCCAGAGATCAGTTGGAGTGACACCCCACATGTCGTACTGGAGCTCGCCCTTGGAGACAGGAGAGCCTTGGTAGGTCTCATAAGGACCCAGCTTCTCGGCAAGCTCGCAAGATGCCTCCAAAGCAGCATGGTAGATGGTCTCGAAGATTTGGATGTTGAGCTGACGTGCCTCGGGAGAGTCGAATGGCATACGCAGGGCCAAGAAAGCATCTGCCAGACCATTGACACCGAGACCGATAGGGCGGTGACGGAAGTTGCTCTTCCTGGCTTCCGGAACTGGGTAGTGGTTGACTTCGATGGTCTTGTTCAAGTTGCGGGTGACAACCTTGGTGACCTCGTGGAGCCTCTTGAAGTCGTATGTCTCGTTCTCGAGGTCGACGTATGTTGGAAGGGCCAAAGACGCAAGGTTGCACACAGCTACCTCATCGGGGGCAGTGTACTCGATGATCTCAGTACACAAGTTGGAGCTCTTGATCGTGCCAAGGTTCTTCTGGTTGCTCTTGCGGTTGCAAGCGTCCTTGTAGAGGATGTATGGTACTCCAGTCTCGGTCTGAGCCTCGAGGATGGCATACCAGATTTTCTGGGCACGGACGGTCTCACGGCCGCGGCCTTCTCGTTCGTAGCGCTCGTAGAGTTCCTCAAACTCCTCGCCGTAAACATCAGAGAGGCCAGGGCACTCATTTGGGCACATGAGAGTCCAGTCGCCGTTCTGTTCAACGCGCTTCATGAAGAGGTCTGGAATCCAAAGGGCGTAGAACAGATCCCGGGCACGAACTTCTTCCTTGCCGTGGTTCTTGCGGAGATCCATGAAGGACAGGACGTCAGCGTGCCATGGTTCGAGGTAGATGGCAAAGGCACCTGGACGCTTGTTGCCACCCTGGTCAACGTAGCGAGCAGTGTTGTTGTAGACACGCAACATGGGAACAAGTCCATTGGATGTGCCGTTGGTGCCGCCGATGTATGAGCCGGTTGCACGGATGCGGTGGACGTTCAAGCCGATACCACCAGCATTCTTGGAGATCATGGCGCAGGTCTTGAGCGTGTCGTAGATACCCTCGATACTGTCATCCTTCATGTCGATCAAGAAGCATGAAGCAAGCTGGGCCTGGGGAGTTCCGGCGCTGAAGAGAGTGGGCGATGCGTGTGTGAAGTACTTGAGCGACATGTAGTTGTACGTCTCAATCGCACCCTCGATATCCTCGCCGTGAATGCCAACAGCCACACGCATGATCATCTGTTGTGGTCGCTCGGCGACTTTGCCATCAATGCGCAGCAAGTATGAACGCTCCAACGTCTTGAAGCCGAAGTATTGGTAGTTGAAGTCACGATCATAGACAATTGCAGAGTTCAACTCGTCTGCATGGTCCATGACTGTCTTGTATGTGTGGTCTGAGATCATTGGTGCCGGCTTCTTTGTCTTTGGGTTGATGTAGTGGTAGAGGTCGGAGACGACGGCAGAGAACTGCTTCTTGGTCTGCTTGTGGAGGTTGGAGACAGCGATACGCGCGGCGAGGATCGCATAATCGGGATGGGTGACGGTCATGTATGCGGCGGTCTCAGCGGCCTGTAGACAGAGTCAGATATCTCCCACCTGGGTCGCGTCCGTGTCGCGTGACTTACGAGATCGTCGAGTTGGACGGTGGTGACGCCCTGATATACGCCGTTGATGACCTTCATGGTGATGGCGGCGGGGTCGACATGCTCTGGATCGAGGCCATAGCAGAGCCTCGACACACGGGCAGTGATCTTGTCGAATTGGACGCGTTCCTTGCGACCATCTGAGAAACATGTCAGTAGTGCTCTGGGAGTGAGAGTGGCGGTGTCTTTGTTGCGGTATGGTGGCGATTTGGGTAGGAGTCGTCGTCGTCGAGGCATTGGCAAATGCAGATGGTGCAAGGATATCTGGACGTACCGCGCTTGTGGACGAACATCTTCGTCTATGGCAGCGAGGTCAACCTCGAGCTGCGGGTTCTTCTGCCGGGGTGTTCTGATCAAGCTCTTGCTGATGAAGACGCTTGACGGCGGGAGGAGGATTTCAAGCTTGAATCAACAAGCTCGGGAAAGGCGTAGAGAGGACGGGGAGTGGTGGTGGTGTGGTGGGAGCAGAAGGCGATGTCGGGTGAAGTTATAGGACGAGATGTTTAGAAGCACGGCCTTGAAAGTCGCGTCGTTCCTGCCTTGCACGCGTCTCGCGTTTCTCTTGATTGGCAATCAGCCCATGACGCTAGCGCGCTCACGTGGGGTTGCTTGGCACCTGAAATTCCTTCACTTCAGCAAAGCCGACCTCCATTACCACACGACATCCCACAACATCCTCCCATCAAACTCAACGGATATCATGATCGTCTTGACAGATCGGATTCGCATGGTCTGCCTGATGCATCGGCCAGCAACACGCTGCTGCTGACGCAAGAACGCTGTCCCCGAAGGCCACCTCTGGTCCTGATTGGAAAACCGGCGCGTGTGCCTTGAGCGTATGTCTTAACACGCCAGATGCGAATGCGGTCCAAGACATCAACAATCCCACGGCCCATTGTGGTGGACACCAATGCCGGCAGTGCGTGCAAGACGTGATGGACATGTCCACAGTTCCGGTGCGAACCTCCGTCGTGTATGGCTCTTTCGAAGACTTGGCGGCCTCGACTCTCCCACAGCCACGAGTTCAATGTGTAGCCTAGATTGACCAAAGCGGTCTGCCAAGACCTTTCTCACTCGTGTTGCAATGTCCGAGCCTGGCCATGAGGACGTTGCGTCAATTTGATGAGATACAAACACTTACCGCAGAAGCTGGTATCAGAGCATGTGAAAGTCCAAGCATGTGATAGCAAACGCTGTCGTCGCAGCGGGAGGCTTGGCGTCGAATAGGGACTCCTGCCCCCTCGACGGCGAAGGTAGGTCAAATTTTGTCAACTTCAATACAACGACTCTCTCATCGCACTTCCACATTTCAACTCGCTGCCAACAAACTGAGAACACAGGGTGCACCATGGCCGCATCTTTGTCCCAGATGACAGAGTTGGTCATCCTTCGCACCATTGCGAGTGCCATCAAAGGCGACGCTCGAGGCGCTACCTACGCAGTCAGCGGTCGCATTCCCGTCAAGCCAAGCAGTGACCGGGACGATGGCATCGATCGGCACAACATCGAAGGCGGCCTCCGTCCTTCGAACCCCATTCAGATCCGCTTCGATGAGGGCGGCCAGGGGGTGAAACTGACCCTACCGATCACCAAGACCAGTCTCGACACTCCTTCCCTCAAGCCTCATCAGGGACAGTCCCCGACCAAGGACCCTGACACCATCCCTCTCGAGCTCCAGCGACTACTCTCCGCCGCAACAACGGCATCACTCGTTCACGGCAGCCAGCACAAGCAGAACCAGAGCACTGGTCAGCTCAGCAGCGACGACTTCCTCACGTCTTTCTGTCCCTACAACACCGGCATCGTAGATGTGGTCCAGCAGATCATGCTGCCGTATGGCTTGCTCAAGGAAGGCGACCGCGGCATTCGCGCAGAGTTGTGCGAGCTCGCAATCTGCAGCGCACCATGCGGACCTTCCAAGACCCACCTCAGCCCTGATCGGAGCGACAAGCTGATCGGTAGACTCATCGTTGCCCTGCCCGTGGAGCATCAAGGTGAGGACCGGTTACCAATCGACAACAACTTTCGCTGACAAGACACACAGGCGGTGGACTCGTTGTCCGGCGTGGCGGCGAGGAAATCGAGCGAGAGCAGGTGTTCGACTGGTCGCAGTCCTCGACAGACCCGCCTATCATCCAATGGGCCGCCTTCCACTCCGACTGCGAGCACGAAGTCCTCGAAGTCGCTTCAGGCCACCTCATCACCCTAACCTACGACCTCTTCTCCCAGATCACGACAGGCCATCTTGCCGGACAGAAGAGCGTCCTCGATCCCACCCGGCTACCACTATACAAGACGCTCAGCACTGCACTTGACTCCCCGAGCTTCCTGCCCAGAGGGGCACTCTTAGTCGTAGATCTTTGGCATCATTACGCCCACACTTCACCAACCCACAACTGCCTCCCTCATTCCCTCAAGAGCGCCGAAATGGCCCTCTACGAGGTCGCTGGGGCGCTGAGGTTGCAGCGCTACGTGCGTCCTCTGTGCGAGGCCCGCGAGGAGACGGCCGCGGGTCCCTACGACGATGGCCAGCGAACCATGTTGCTTGGCAGGAGGTTCGTTCCGATTGAAGAAGTCGAATTCGTGGAAAGCTTCTGGGATCATCCACAGATAATGCACGAGTACCTTGAGGTGCAAGACAAGTGGGAGGATGGCAAGGTGATCTGGCTCAACGATCCTAACCCCAGCACGATGTTGGCACAGGCGGTGTTCTATGACCACGATTCGGTGAGTCTGTGCCCGTTCGTGCAATTGTGGATGTCGGGCTGACTGATTCAAGGGAAATGACCATGTGCATGGAGAGTCGATCGAGTACACTAGAGCGATCATGCTCATCAAGGTCCCGCCGTTTGATGCTCGTGGCCAGATGCCGGTTGAGGGCCAGGGGGTCTTTGAGGGGATTGGTTTGTTAGAGGAGGGCGCCGATGATCAGGATGTTGAGGAAGGTGGAGAGGAAGATGGATGAGGATAAAGAGGAGGATGAAAACGAAGAGGCCGTCTGAACAACGATTTCGTCCTACGTCGATGACAGATGAGACTTGCGCGAAAGGCAGGATAGCGACCCGCGTGAAGCACGTCTGGCATTGGGTGTCTGCATACCATAAGCACGTGTGGATATTCATCTCTACTCTACTCTCAATGAAAGTGTAAGACCGACGAACGCGACCAACACATGCATGAATCTATCTGTCCATGGGAGGGGAGTCTTCGGCTCTGAGCGCTGGGTTGTTCGATCCTCCGATATGTTTTTGAGCCACAGGGCAGAGAGGCACGTGGTGGATGTCAATGGTGCTGGGTACAGGTCTCAGGAGCAGTATGTGTCTACAAGGGACGATTGGTAGATGTGGTACTGGTGGATGTCGTTCAGGGGCGAGGGATAAGTGCTGGAACTGGTGGATGTGGTGCTGGTGGCACGGCTGGGAGGTTGGAGAAATCGGTCTTGCAGTCGTGGTGAGTGTTTTGGCTGTGTGCATGGGATTGGTGGTCCTGCTACTCTCCATGAAGACGCGTTGACGGGTCTTGAGAAAGGCCTTGTTTGGGCGCTTGGGACCGTGACAGCTCTGAGACTGTCCGCGGATTGGGCTTGGGAGTTCGTGGGACTGGGGATAGGTCTTTGGTTTCTGGATCATGTTCACTTTTGGGATTAGATTCGAAGAGGTTGAATCTTCCATCTCTATCGCTGTCTGTCTGGTATCATGGTGAAGCATCATCTATACACACATTAGCATGATCATCGTCACGCCTACGCTGTCGTCGTCGCTTCTTGCATCCTCTTTTGCCTCCGCTGCTCAGCTTCACGCTCCATCACCTCCCGCCTGTGTTGCGCCTCCTCTCCCACCGCTTTTATTCCCTTCTTCATCTGCCGCGCCTCATACTCGTCTCTCCGATCCATAATTCGTTGCACGATCTGCGCAGCATTGACGTCTTGAAAGTCGTGCTTGGGTGTCTCTTTGAAGATGCCCATGGCTTTCGCGTCTGCGTATGGATCTGAGGCCGTTGGCATGAAAGCTGTCTGGCCGTGATAGACTGCGTCCGTTCGACCAAAGGGGAGCGACTCCAAATAGGCTTTTGACGGCGTGTATGGGGCGCCGAAGACTACACCGTGGATGTAGGCGCACTGAACGACGCACAGGCCGCGCTCGAAGATGTTCATAATGGGGTAGTTGACACCTCGGTGCTCGTTGACCACTTTGTCGTCGTGGACGCCGGCAACCACGTATGCATTCGGTTCGAGTTCGGCGACGGTTTGCAAGAAGGCAATGTGGCCGGACGAGAAGAGATCGAAGCCGCCGTCTACATAGACCAGGCGCTGGTCAGGTCTGGGAGGCACACCTTTCACCATTGACGTAAATGGGCCTCCCTCGCCTCTGTAGCTGTAGACTTCCACAAACGGGTCCAAGCCATTCGGAGCTGCGGCGTACTCCTTTATCCGTGTCTCCATGTCCCTCCCACCTTCAGCCCCTCCTGCCTTCCCACTGGTATCCTCTCTTCCCTCTATGCAGTCTAGCAGACTGTCAATGAAGTGGTCTTTTGTGATGTTCAACATTCGGCTGACCAGATCGGTGGTGCTAATGCCAGGCGTCCGCGGTACGATCTTCATCCTGCCTGCCCGCTTGACAAACCGATAGCAGTCCTCACCGCTCGCATCGCTGGTGATGTCGTCGCCGTGGGTGACATACTGACAGCCGTAGTGACTAATCCAAGGTATCGAAGTCACATACGGCGCATGTGGTACACACAAAGTCGAGAAACGACACGCATTGACCGCAGCCACGCGCTCAGCGAGGTTCATAACCGTCGGGCCTTTGTTCTTGGCAATATCCTCATCGTTGTGCAGACCAACGAGCAGCTCATTTCCAAAACGACGGGATTGCAGCATAACGCCTGCATGGCCTGTGTTTGGTCGTTCTGCTCAGCCATTGCGTGCGCCAGGATAAGGATAATGAGGAGGAGCAGTACCGTGGTGGAAGAAGTCGAAGCAGCCGTCAATCCACAGGCGGTCTTCGCGGATGGGCACGTCTTGCTGGGGGTCGATGGGCCACTGGCCTGGCTCGGGGATGAGGCAGCCGGCCTCGGGATCAATCTTGGGCGCCATGGAGCGAGACGGATGTCGGACGGTGATATTGGCGATGTCGTCTGTGGTTGCAATGCCGACGCTACGGTTGCGCCATGCGGAGGCGGGTCGGCGGCGAGTCTGGAGGTGGCGGAGGCTGTGTAAGGGGGTCCGATCAAGGTGAGGTCTGCGCGCGAGTTTCAGTGTGCAGATAGAGTTTGGACGTCTGTCACGAGGCGCATGTTTCAGGAGCTTGCGCTCGCTCGGAGGAGGGGCCGGCGTGGGGATCGACATCATCCAGCGTCTTTTGGGTTCGCCCCTGGCAATTACCTGGAAAAGCCAACTTCGCGGTTATATCCTGCTCCATCGCGCCCATCAGGAGGCTTCTGCCCAGTTCCTCCCTCTGCTTCTGCCTCTCCTTTGCGCGCATACTGCATTTTCAACCACACCGACACCATGATGGAACTCCAAGTCATCCTCGTCGTCTTCGTCGTGCAGCTTCTGCTGTCCCTCATCAGCTCCATCGGCGCACAGGCAGTCAATGACCTGGTAATACTCGGCGCATCCAGACTATCGCAATGCGACTGAACTAACAGCATCACAGGCATGGTGGATGTTCACCAAACTCCCCAACAAGCAGGCCGCGCAATCCAAAGAAACCGTCGAGCTCCGAAATGAGGTCATCCGACTCCAGCGCGAGATGATAGGCGTCTCGGCGCAAGACAACTTCGCAAAGTGGGCAAGATTGAGGAGAGAGCACGACAAGGCGAAGGAGAAGTACGAGAAGCAAGGTATGCGCAGATACACAAATCAAAAATCGCAAGCCACATGCTAACGGTCCGTACAGCCCGCGACCAACAATCCTTCCGCGCGACCTTCGACAGCATCGTCTCGAAACTCCGCTGGGTCGGCACTCAAGGCGTCAACTTCGTTCTGAATACCTGGTACGCGAAGCAGCCCATGTTCTGGCTGCCTCAAGGCTGGGTACCCTACCAAGCCGAATGGATCCTTTCCCTGCCCCGCGCCCCGCTTGGCAGCATTTCGGTCAACGTCTGGGCGATCGCGTGCGGCAGTGTCATAGGAATGATCTCTGAGGGCATCATCGCGCTGTGGACGTTGAGCCATGGATCCGTCAAGACGGGGCCGAACAAGGGCGAGAAGCTGAAGATGGAGAAGCCGATTGCGGTGAAGAAGGAGCTGTAAAGGAATGTAAATACTGGGTTTGCGACAACAAAAGCGTGGAGTATGGTGTGCTTTGCTGCGGATACCCTTCAGAGCGACACAGCGGTAGATCGCGCGCCTTCAACTGCATGCCACGGCGGGTCCTGCGCATCAGGTACGGCCACTTGTCAGCACGACGTTTGGAATGATGGGTGGACGTGGATTCAGATGATCTTTCAGCATGGTGTTGGTGGCATGTGCTTTTGGGTTGATACTTGAGATGTGTGTAAAACAGTACAGCATGTTGACTCATTCCACTTCGACTTGACTTCCTCCTTTCCCAGGAAACTCCTCGATTCCGCTCTGCATGCTCCCGCTCGTGGCCCAGACGACCATTTCACTGCGTCCGTAGGAGCCACTGCAGCTGTTCAATGACAGTCAGAAGCCTCTGAGCCTTGGCCAACACAGACATCGCATCTCTGGTGCTGTCGGACATGCTCTCGGACATCCTTCCCGGAATGGACACTCCCTTCTATATCGCTACGTATCTGTCCCAGAATCCTTCCCGCGCAAATCGCCAGATACCTCGACTGTCCTCCAGGTGAAGTCTCTCAGTGGCATGCGCATACTTGAGAGTGAGTGTGAGATGCTCGATGTGGTTCACATCGACGGGCCTATGAATTTCGACGTGATCCTCCAGGATGCGCCTTGTTAGGACCAGACGAGGGTGGCGATGCTGCTGGACGGAGAAGGTGGTCTTGCGCCAGTAGTCGCGATACATGATCTTGTGGAGCTTCGCGGCTTCGGTGTGGGCTTGCTTGCAGGTGAGGAGGATAGCCTTCTCAGGTGGTGCGGCGTCGCGGAGGCGGATGTCCTTGCCCTCATCCTCGACTGTGAAGGTGAGCCTGTAGATTTCATTGCGCAGTTCGGGCGGGAGCTTCTCGAAGAGGGGGCAGGGTGCCGCCATCTTGGTGCTGGAACGGTTAGCTGTCGCGGTCCGTACGCAAGCGAAGAAGAGGACGATAGTACCTTGTGTTTGAGGAGACTTGTTGCTTCTTATGCAGATGACTTGGCGGCGTTGAAGAAGTAGTGTCGGCAGAAGTGTCAAGACAGAGAGAAAGTGGCGGAATTGGTCGGCAAGCAAACGCTGCGCGCGGGCCGGACGTGGCTTGGCGATCACATGTCACGCGCTGCGCATTCACTTGTCGCAAAATTGACATCACTGCAGATGAAGACGTAGCGATGAAGTTTCATGTGATTGGCTTTTGCAGAAGCAGATGCATTGTAGAGACCCTTCTTATACGTCCAACAACTCCCAGAAGACCTCGTGATGCACTCGTGCTGCAGCTCGCACTTCCCACTCAACCAAGACCACACTGTGCTTCACCTTCGCCACCTGCATATCGCTTCAATCCCTTATCTCAATACCTCTGAAGCAAAGCCTGCACCTGCTCGAATAGAGACGGAAAGACCGCCGTACGGTCCAATGCCTCCTTGATGTATCGCTGATTCTCAAAATAAGGCGATGCCGTGACTTCGCCAGTGGTAGCATCCTTCTTCACCCAGATAGACAGTGTGCGGAGAATACAAGCACGAACTTTCGTTTCCCAGCCCCCACGTTGATCAACGAGCTGGGACCTGATGGACCCGTAGGCGTTGTGCATTTCCACGGTCATGTGCGAGATGTTGTTGAGTCGGTGGGGTGGAATGCGGATAGTATGTCGCTTGGTTCTTCGTCTCGACGGTATCGAGTGACGACGAAGTCGCCCTTCCGCCAATAGTCACGGTAGGTGGTCTTGTAGAGTGCGTTGGCCTCGGCGTTTGCCTGCTTGCAAGTCATGAGGATCGCCTTGCTCGGTGGCGTCGCCTCGTTGAGCTGCACCGGGCCTTTGTCGATGGGTGGTGTGAAGAAGAGCTCGTAGATGGTGTTGCGCATCTCCGCCGGTAGGGCGAAGAGACGGCATGACTCGGCCATATTGGGCTGAGCCTGATTGACGTTAGCGGGAGTGAGGTGATTCAAGGCCACTCTTCATACCTCGTTCTCGACTTGCCGCTTGCTGTGATTGTGACCTGATCTGTTTTTTGTTGTCTTGGATACAGGTTGAAGTCAGCGCATGGAACACATTTGGCGAAATTGCCAAGTGCTGAATAAGCTTTTGCGCTAAATGTCTTGGCATCACATGAAAAGTCACTCAGCACAGCGTTCATAGCGCCTCACAAGCCCTTTAGCTTGCGACTAACTTTACATTGCCAATTGCGGCCCAGAAAAATGACAACGAGAAATGGCAGGACCAAAATTGAGAACTTTAGAGTTGTGAAGTATCCAATCTGCCAATCTGCCAAACTGCCAAAGGGCGACATGTTGCATGACTACCAAAGAGCTTGAATTTAATATCCTGCAATGAGTGACGAGATATATCTCGAGTGCGCAGAAAACCTCAACAATCCAGACTCGCCCGCGATCTGGTTCTGTCCTCCTGGTAACCGGTGCATGAAGCAGCCTGTCGTTGCTAGTCTCATGAACAACATCGAGTGATCACCCGAAGCTGCTCCGTGAGTGAGATGTCTGCGGAGGAAGCCGGCAAGCCTTCCAATTCTTCACGAGTCTGCCTGAAGATTTCGACTTGTCCGTTGGAATCAAGTCTTGGCAGGAGTTCGCAGCGATATCTCTGGTCTTTGCCGTTCTTTGGGATGACCACCAACGCCCATCGACCGCCCTTGTCGAGTAGCTGGAAGACGATTTCGTGGACCGGGCTTACCCCGTCGGCTCTGACCGTCAGCTTAGAGATGTGGTCGATGTCGTTGCTGTTCCAAGGGATGAAGTCCGTGAAGCTCGGCTTGAGTCCATGCTTCTCGCGCACTGCCTTGCTGCTGATGTAGAAGTTGCTATTGGTCCAGTAGTTGCGATAGGCACGTCTATAGACTCCCTTCGCTTCGCTGTGCATTTGGCGGCACGTCGTGAGGAGAGACTTGCTCGGAGGTGTCGAGTCAGGAAGGTGCACAGCCTCGTTGCTCAAGACGGCGGGTGTGAAGGCGAGCTCGTAGATGGTGTTGCGCATCTCGGCAGGCAACTTCTCGAAGAAGAGGCAGGACTGAGCCATCGTGATCTTGCAGGTGTTAGCAGATGGCGTGTTGTTCATGGGAGACACGTCTTACTTACCTTGTCCTGAGTGATGAGGTTTTGACGTAGACGAGCTGCGCAGTGGAGAATGGAAGACGTGCGGAGAGGATGAGAGTGTGTCGAGCAGTCGAAAGTGTAGAAGGTTGCGGCGCGGAAGTCGTCGTTCAGGGCAACAAACGCTACACGCTCAATAAGCTTTGATGCTGGAGGTCTTAGCGTCACATGTAAAGTTGGCAATGCAGAGAGTATCTCGCTTTCCCCAAGGTTGCAGAGTGTTATGATTGCTCCAAAGTATATCCAAGGTTGGGTAATACCGAGCCGTAATTTGTCAGATGAAACATGCTCGCGGCACAAAGACTTAACCGAGTTCATTGTTATCAGAGGCCTCTGATTCTCATTTTGTGACTGCATACTAGGTCTTATAAACTTGAAAAGAGTCTCCAGACCCTTTGCTTTAGCACTTAGAATCCTTACTTCAATCCTTCGATGACAGGCTTCAAAAGCTGCGGAACAATGCATCAAACTCTTTGATTCTTTTCCTAAGAGCCGAATTCACGCAGCCACGTGCAATAGACACCACTCTGGATGCGCCTGCATGCCCCAGTTGATGGAAGCGTTTGTCTGGAGCTCAGCAGGTATATGTCAGCACCTTCTGATGCAGAATGCCAAGTGCCGTTGAACAACCTCCCATCCATCGATTTCTAACCTGTCGCTACTCACATCTCACACGAAGTTCGAGGATGCCGCAGTTGTAGCATGTAACACAGCTGCTCCGTCAGAGGGATCTCGCTCGTGTGCGCACCCATTGCCTCCTTCATCTCTTCCTCGCTTCCGAACCGTCCCTCGCAGATCTTGCCCTTGGTATCCTTCTTCAGCCACACGAATGCCGGGGTGGGATCAAAACCAGTGATGTGCAGCGAGCCCTTCCAGCAAACACGCTGCTCCATGACGTCCATCTGCTTGATCGAGTCTGGATAGACGTTGAAGATGCACAGCTTCAAGATGTGGTTGACGTCTTCTGGCGTCCAAAGGAGCAGTTCTCTGAAAAGAATGGCGGTATCGCCTTGTCGGGCGCTGCCCTCGTTGATCTTGAACTTGGTCTCGCTCCAGTACTTGCGGTACGCGTCCTTGTAGATTCCTTTGGCCTCGTTGTAGACTTTGTGGCAGGTCAAGACGATGGATTTGCTAGGCGGTTCGGCGTACAAGAGATCTTCTTCGTCGTCTCCATCACCATTACCATTGTCGCAGTCGGGGGTGAAGGCGAGGAGGTAGATCTCATCGCGAAGCTCGGCCGGCAGCTTTTCGAGGAATGGGCATGGCTTCGACATGCTGTCTTTGTTAGCCCAGATCCGTTCGGACAAAGACTCGTGCGGCTTACATGTCACGTGTTGTTCAGGCGACGGAGACCGCGTTGCAATGATGAGTCTGAGTACACGTCTCGAACTGATGACGTCGCGAAGAAGAGAGGCGGCGAAGGAGAGAGTCGCGAAGTCCGGTGCAGCGCAGAGTGCGGGTGCGTGTGAAGGCCGGTGCTGTGCTGGGTTGGGGCTCAGGCGAGATTTATAGCGTAGCCTCTGTTAATATTCACATGACGTCCGCGCTTGACGTATCACACGAGGTTGGAGGGCTCCGTACCCTCATCGTTCGGCGCGAACGAAACACATCCAAGTACTATCTCTCCATCTTCTGAGACATGACCACCCTTCTGTCTGCATCATAGACAAGTTAGAAGGCTTGCGAATGATGGAGATGCTCCTTCCATTTTGAGACGAACACCCGACGTGAAGACTTGACGGCAGGTCGGCGCTGATCATCGACTGCCTATGGAGAATTACATGACTCAAGACGTATGCGGTCTCAGAACAATTCTTTTCTTATTTGGCTAGACCTGTGTGCTTCACCGACTTGCGCCCGCTACTTCACCACGATCCTAAATCTTCAGGGCTTTCCTCACCTTCTCGCCAATACCTTTCAATCGATCGCACGGCTCGTTGGAGAACACGAACCTGATGAAGCTTTCTCCATCACTCCCCCACCCATCCATCGAAGTCACATAGATGCCCTCCTCCATCAAGGCAGTCGACGCCGCCTTTCCATTGTCAACGCGCAGGACAAACGACCAGCCTCCAGCCGGAATCCCCACTGGAAGACGCTCCAGCTCCTTCATCAAGAGATCTCGCCTAGCCTCGAGCTCCTTCGTGAAATCGACACAGTCTTTGTCCGAGCCAGAGTGTTCGAGGGCTGCTTGTGCTGCTTTCTGACCGATACCAACGGGAACGACAACATTCGCCATTCCTACCAGCTGGATGTCAGAAATAATCCACTTCGGTCCAACGATCCAGCCAACGCGCCATCCGATCAAACGAAGCTCCTTAGATGCACTTACGACGATAATGGTTCTTTGTTCCATGCCGGGGAAAGAGGCGGGATGGATAACTGGCCGACCGTCAAAGAGCAGTCGTTCGAATGCAACATCGTAGATGAGGAGGAGGTCACGGGAGATACACACATCAGCTACAGCTTGCCAGTCTTCCTTATCAAGGTACAGACCAGATGGAAGAGCTGGTGAGCTCAAGAGCAGGGTTTTAATCTTGATGCCTTCTTTTTCCTTCGACTCGATAAACGACAACAGCTTCTCGCGAGGAAACCTCCAAGGCTCACCGGGGCGGAATTCCACAGGAAAGAGCACGGGAACAGCTCCAACGAGTTTTACACGATTGATGAGTCCAATGTATGTCGGGTCAGTCAGGAGGACACCTTCTCCAGGCTCGACGGTTGCGAACAGAGTATTTAGAACTCCAGAGAGCCCTCCAGCTGTGATGCAGCAGTTCTCTTCGCCGGAGTACTTCACGCCTCCTGCCAGTCGAGATACATGGGCAGCCGCAGCATTTCGAAGGCCTAGCTGGCCGATGAACGGCAGGTAGCTGTTGTCTTCTTTGTTCGATATGGCCTTGGTCGTGGCTTTGAGGGCGACGGGATGAGGAGGAACATCAGTGTCGAGATTCTCCAGCCTGAGAGGCTTTTCATGCTTCTCTCCCGCTTTTGGTGCTGCAGTGGACGATTCCTCTTTTTGGGAAGCCAGTGCTCCCATGCGGTCGACGCCAATTCCAGCCAGAGACTGTACCCGGGCGGTGCGTCGTCCAGCCATTGTTGATCTTGGATGGGCAGGGAGAAAGAAGTAATCCTTGAACGTAAGGCTGCAAGGAAGAGGAGTTAATTGTCAGCTTTGAGAACTGAGTTGCATTTGAAGGACTGGACTCCTACAAAATCAAAGATCACAATGACTCACGGTATGGATTCCTGCTACATAAGCAGCCTCCAGTTCGTTGGTCGTTCCTATCTCCAAATTGAGACTTCTATGCGGAGAGTGGAGCGTGGATACGCTAGAAAGCTCCCTTATCAATGCTACATCTGACGTCGAAAGCCAACGTGAGCGATGTAAAAGTTGTGAGAAGGAGTTGCGACAATGAATGGAGCTGTTCTTGGTCTCAGCTCCGACAACGGATGTATGGGAAGGAAGGAGCTTACCCAGCTCTCTCTTCTTCGAGCGATGGTCGCAGCTTGACTAGGTCATAGGGCGAACGCTTTACGATTATGCGGCTAAAACGTTAAGTGTGAAAAGTGAACGAGAAACTGAGAGAGCATTGTTTTCCAACCTATAGTTCCATTCCTAACCTGTCTGTCAATCTGTCTGCCAGTCTGTCCTTGTTGTGATCCAATCTTGAGTACCGAAAGCATTCCCAAACTCCTAACTCCTAGAATCGATATGGATCGTTTCCCAACGCCCTGTGCAAAAGAAATCTATGTGTATGTTCCCCAAGAACCATCTCCAGGGTTGGCATCGCCTCAAGCCTTCTCTTTCCGTTGCCGTAGGCTGTACAAAATTGCACCCACCGTGTTGAGCCTCGCCACTTACTGCTGCGTAGCCACCGTCGAAGACTCATCAGCCGAGGGCGTTGGTGTAGGATTTGAGCAGATGCAGCTGACGAGTTAGGGGTATCGGTATCGACGTGTGAGATGGGGCAGACAGCTCGCGTTCCATTCCGTGTTGGGTGGCTTTCATGTCGACAAACACCGTGTAACCTGAGTCTTCTAACGTGAGGAACCGCACCGTGGTACAGACCCCTTTCCACGATATGCTGGTGTGTTTCCAACCACCGCGCTTGTCCACAAGCTCGAGTGTATCGTCGGCTTGATGAAAGGGCCGCGCTACTGCGAATGTCAGTCGCGTGATTTGGTCGGTGAGAATGTGGTTCCAGCGCAGGTTCAACATCGTGGGCTGATGTATGTCCATGGGATTCACCTCGCGGCTGATGCAGAAGTTGGTGTTGCGGAAGTAATCGAGATGTGCAAGCGCGTAGAGGCCGATCGATTCGTTGTGGATCTGGCGGTTGGCGAGCACGAGATCAATCGTGGGTGGAGTACCATCAGCCAATTCGACTTCCTTGTCATCGTCAGGGGCGAAGGCGTACTCGTAGATGCGATTGCGGATCTCTGCGGGCATCTTGTCGAGCAAGAGGCACTGAGTCGACATGTTGGCGTGGTTGGTTGGGTTGAAGCTGGGACAAGTCAGTGTTCTTCTGTAATCTCAGGGGTGTGATCGGAGTTCAGTGGTGCAATGTGGCTTGCTGAGTTCGAGAGAAGTTGGTGTAGAGATCAGGGGGCTTGAGGGTTGTTGAAGTTCGGACTCAGGTTTGGACGCGACTTAAGTATGATGTCTCGTGAGGGTGTCGAATGGTATGCAGGGCGTTGTCAGTAATGCCATTGTGAGCGTTATCGTCACAGTTTCGTGCTATTCACCCAGCATTGACATACTTCCCTAAAAGAGCGGCGTCATCAGAGTGCCTGGGTGAGGCAGAAGGCCTTGGAATTCGCGGCGCTCAATGGGGTGATGTTGCGGTCGACTTCCGCCAGCCAAAGTCGGTCGTCGCTTCTCACACAACACACAAAGAAGACTTCCTCACAAAGCCATTGAAATCAGCGCACTTCTTCATTGATCATCGACACAAAGACCCCACAAAGCATTCGAAGGTAAGCCCATCCACGGCACGCCCAGCAATGGGCGCTCACCTTACACCACAGCTAACGAAGGCAGAAGCGCCACCATGGCATCTACCACATCCGCCTCGAACCCGCCACCATGCCCCTTTCTTGAGAAGCTGCCTGCCGAGATACGCAATGAGATCTACGAGCTCGCCTTCACCCAAGACTCCTCCACCTCCGAAATCGAGCTATTCGAGGCCAAGTCACCATCGAAGGCGCTTCTGTCCACCTGCCGCCAAGTCTACGATGAGGCAAACGGCATCTAAAAGGACACCTATGGGAAGTACTGGCACGCCAACCGCTTCGTGTGCACGCTGTCGACTTGGGCAACCCAAACCGCGAGGAGGATCTGCAAGGACTCCTTGGATCCCTTGCACGACTTCGATCTCGAGAACATCTCCAGCCTCTGCATCAAGTGTACGGATGGTGATAAGATCGTTCTGCAGCACACCCTGAGGAATCCTCGCGGTGGATGGTCGATCTCGATGATGGAGACCGAGGCTTACGTCGTGCTTCGTAAAGGTCGCCAGGACGGCTGCTATGTCACCTACGTGTGGTCACTCGACCTCATGAGACGCTGTTTGGACGTGGTTGGTCGGAAGGTCACTCGAAAGATGCAGATCAGACGATTCATATCGCAGGGTGGTATTGAGGATTCAGGGGAGGTCTCAGAGTGAAGAGCAGGTACGGGGGAAAGCTGCCTGTCGCAGTAGACGAGGACTGGCCGATGGTCATTGAGCTCAGAAAGGAGCGGAATTGTGGCTCAAGGGCGAGAGAACGACGGTTGAACAAAGGATGGGCAGCTTATTTGGGTAGACATTCGACGACGATCGCCCAGCGGCTCCTTACTACTTAAGTGTCGTCCAGCACAACCTAAAGAGAGACATTTAGACCTTCTGGTCAAACTTGACGCTCTCCTCCACATTGATTTCTGTTCCTTCTATCACACGTATGTGAGCATCTGCATTCGTATCTTGAATGGCTGTGATTTTGGCGCCGACACCAGCAGCCCGATACTTGCCGAACTTTCTTGCGGGGACCTTGGCTTGGAATAGTCTGAGACGAGATTAGCGATAAGTTATCTGCGGGTCGAAGAGAGTGCACATACTCATCAAGCTCTTCCAGGGAGCGACCAGAGAGCTCAGGCATGAAGAAGTATACCCAGAAAACGGATATCAGACTGAAAGAACCGTACACAAAGCCGACTCGACTCTGAAGGTTACCCGGCTCGTTCTGAACGAATGGATTGATGTAGGATACCAGAAGAACGGCCACAAAGCTCAAGGAAGTGGCAATGCTGATCGTTCGCTCTCGAAGCTGAGAGGTGGCGACCTCGGACGTTCTGCCTACAATGTCAGCGGGTTGCTGTTCTTAACGAAGTGCGTATCAACTTACGTGATCCAAACACAACTACGCCATCCCATAGTCGAGAAGAAATACCAGATTAGCATACTCGCCAACGAGCCCTTCGCAGCATCTCCAGAGACGCCCCCTGGCCAGAATGAAGACAGTCCTGAGGCAAGCCACATGAATGCCCAACAAGCGACGGCGGCAACGAGCAGCAGCGTTCTTCGTCCTATTCGATCAGACAGGTAGAAAGCGAACAGTGCTCCGGCCACTGCCATCGCCACCATAGACAGATGTCCTTCAAGGGCATCTTTGACGCCTAGCTGCTTAAGGAAGATCACGCCGTATGACGAAACAAATGAGTTGCCTTGCAGCTGTTGGAGAACCTGGACGCTGGCAGCAATCATTGTACGCCGACCATTGGAGCCCTTGACGCAGTCGAGGTAAGTGGTGGCTTTGTGGAACTCGGCCTGTTCTGCGTTGGCCTCTTCGAGTAGCTGCAGCTCTTTCTCAACGTCTTCTGCTGAAGCCGCGCCTTTTCGGATGAATGCCAGGGCAGCCCGGGCGTCTTCGCGGCGGTTCTTGAGGAGCAGCCATCTGTGAAGTCGTAAGTACACTGAAGTTCGGACGCTTCAACGAACTCACCTTGGTGATTCCGGTAGAAACCAGACTATGAAAAGCAGAATCAGGGTTATGAAGCATTGCACGACCATAACTTGGGCTTGGTCAGCAAGTTCGGCGACCCCAACGATTGAGCAACGTACCTGTCCGAAAGGCCCATTGATTCTCGTACTTGCGAGAAGCTATGACGACTCCACTGGCTAGAAGAACACCGCAGAGTTGCCAGAATTGGCTAGAGACTGTCAGAGGCCAGTCCACACTGGAGACGAAAAGGGGCAAGGGCCTTACTAGAAGTTCACAATCGTTCCTCTGATAGCCGGGGGCGACAGCTCCGCCATGAAGACGGGGATCGTCTGGCCAAACGTCAGAGTATGTCCTTCAACTACACGAACGGTGAGGAGACATACGTTGGCCTCGATACCCATAGAGATCGCATTGACCATGCGTCCAGCCATGACAGCCCAGAACGAGTGTATCACATTCTGAATGACCATCCCCATCAGCGCAATGACGACGAGGAGAACAATACTCCATCTCCGTCCGATTTTTCTACCAACTGCGCCAGCGATCAGACAACCGATGACCATGCCTGCATTCGCCGTGCCAGATCCAGCAGACTGCCACGAGGATGGAATTGCTCTCGATTCACCGGTTGTTGAAGGAGGGCCGTAGTAGTCGGCGAATTCTTGGACGGTGAGGACGCTTGACCACCAGCCGTTGTCTGTCCGCACGTCAGTAGATTAACTTCATGACGAGATCTGACACCATTACCGAAGCCGAAGTTGAGAGCGCCAATACTCATGAACATGAACACGGCGAACGTACGCGGCGTTAGTTCCTTGACGACGGGGGCGTTACGGACGCGTTCCATGACAGACATTTTGCTCAAGCTCGCCCCTTTGTCAGAGCAAGAGGTAATGGAAGGTAAGACATTGGAACAAGGCCGCCCGCCGTCGCTTTAAGTGCGGCCATCGTTATCAGCGTTGAGCCATATCAATGGCTATCCTGTGTCTCAACCCCAGATGAGCGGAGTCGCCATCCTTGTCAATCCAAGAGCTGGGGTCTGAAGGTGGATGTCGTGATAGCGGGAGCGTTGGCCGCGGCCAAGTTCGATATGCAAGATATGGAGTTGGCCGTGGGCGTGCGGCAAAAGCACATTCGACTTGCATGCATCTTGACGCCGTGGTAGCGACTGAGCAGCATAAGTCCACCAATGATCAGACGATCAGACTCGTACAGCGCGGATCGACGGAGCTGAAAGTCTTGAGCAGGCAACATATAAGATGCCAACTCAGGGACTCCAAGAGCGAGTTCATTCTTGTCCGTTATCAGCTCCACATTATGGCTACAACAATGGTTGAGATGCAGGCTGCGCTACCAAGTGTAGCCGTCCAACATATCGAAGAGAAACCATTTCCACCGAGGCTCGATGAGCGTTTTGCAGCGTTGAAGCAAGATATTATTAAAGATGTTGATCCAATGGCACTGAAGCAATCATACGAACGCCTTAAAACGGACTTGGCAAATGAAGTCGATCGTCTCGAAAGACTCCAGCAAGCAGCGATTCCTGAAGTGCAGTGGGCTGACGTCCAAGCGAACGGTACTATCCCCTTATCAGAAAGCTATAACATTGCTGATGGCAGTTTCAGGTGGCAGGATCCCAGACAAAATCGCGGAGGAAGCCAGGCATGCCGGTTGCGTCCTCTTCAGAGGCGTGATTCCAGAAGAGCAAGCACTGAAGTGGAAAGAAGAGCTCAAGGACTATACTTCCAGACATCGAACTGTCGGTGGCAGACCATTGAGCAATCCAACGTTTTGGCTATTGTACTGGACCCGTCCACAGGTTCAAGGCCGATCCCACCCCGAGATCCTCAAAGCCATGGACTCGATCATGAAGTTGTGGCACGTCGAGGACGACTCGCTGCCTATCGACATGGACAGCCAAGTCCACTATGCTGATCGCTTCCGTATCAGACGTGCTGGTGATAAGGAATATTCTCTCAAGGCCCACTTAGATTCTTCCGCCATCGAGCGATGGGAAGATCCGAAGTATCGTTCCAACTACGAAGCGATACTCAAGGGCGAATGGGAGAAGTTCGACCCATGGCGTATGGACAACCGACCGGATGCTGTCACCGACCTGTACCAGCAACAAGGCTCGTGTTCGTCGTTCCGTGCTATGCAAGGCTGGCTGAGCATGAGCCATTGCGGACCGGGCGAAGGCACCTTGAGAGTGCTGCCCAGTCTCAAACTGTCCATGGCGTACATTATGCTGAGGCCATTCTTTTTGGATGAAGAGCTGGATGCTTCTGAGCCGACGTTTCCCGGAGCCACGCCGGGCAAAGGCCAGTTCTATCCAACCTCGAAATTTCATCCCCATCTGAAGCAGGACACGAGTATCATCAGCGTTCCAAAGGTCCATCCTGGTGACTACATGTTCTGTAAGTTGTAGCAGGATTGATGGTGTGCGTCTTGGCTGACACCTCGCAAGGGCATTGCGATCTGGTACATGAAGTCGAGGACCAGCATAATGGCGAAGAGGACTCCAGTGTAAGCGAACTCCTCTGAATATTGCAACTCCAGCTCACTTCTGTCAAGGTCTTCTACAACGCCAGCATCCCACTATGCCCATACAATATCGAGAACATGCTCCGAATGCGCCAGTCGTTCAGGGACGTGGTTCCTCCCAGAGACTTCTATCGTGACATCGGTGGTCCATACGAGCTGGAGCGAGAGCATGAAGATCATGGTGCGAGGGAGGAGAACATTCTTTCGATTGAAGGTCGTCGCGCTTTGGGACTGGAGCCATTTGATGAGAATGAAGCTGGACTCAGTGTGGGCCAGAAGAATGTTCGCAAGATGGCGAACGATGCGATGCGAGAGTGAGATTGCAGAAAGGGGGTGGCTGGTGAAGGCTAGACAGTTTTCGGTTGTTGTTGCATCGGGCAGGAAGTAGACAGTGGTGCTTTTGCATTGGCTTTTTTTTTCTCTCTTATCTTTGTTCTGGAATTGCAAATGCCATCTCTTTAATTGGTTTCCGCCGTCCCGAAATGATCACTTCGTGAAGTCGATTCGAGGCTGCGAGCGTTTGAGTTGGTAAGAGTCAACCGTTTTGAGAACATATGCGCTTGAAAGTAAGCCTTGATGCCGGGCTAAAACGCCACATACGTGCGCAAACAGACTCAACATACCATGAAGTTGGATTTTATTGCGGACCGGGAATCATCATTTGTGTTCACAGCCCCCCTTCAGCCGCTGAGGCTTCTGTCTCGCAATTTCGTGTGTTTAAAGGCCCACAAACGGGGTACATCTTGTAAGAGAGCCATCGCCACAGCATCTGGCCGCGGGAATGCTTTAAAAGAGAGAGTTGACAGGTCTAGCCGCTTGGGAGCATGCTACCAAGCTGTCCCTCCTGTTTCTCCAACACATTCCTTGCAGTATGTTCACTCGCTTGTCTATGTTGCTTTTCATTGCCATCATCCCTACTTGTCTCCAGTTTGCACAAGCAACACAGGATGCCAATGCTCTCGTAGGACTGCCGCGACCAGACTCAACAGAAAGAACATCGCCGCTCGACGTGGATAGACTGAGCTCAGTCCTTCCGATCCACGACCAAAACGGCTCTGCACCGCGGTCGAGCAAGGCTATAGCAGAACTCAAGTCTAGAGCCTTCGGTCAGCAACAGCGCAATAGGAACTGTCCCGCCATCTGGAAGACAATCGCTGCCGATCTCAAGCTGGATTTTCTGGGTTGCAATGACCATGCAAGATCAGCTGTTCGTTTTGCTTTCCACGATGCTGGTAAGAGTAGAGCCATAGCCAGAGCCACTGCTTTTATTAAGCAAGTAAAGCTAACAAGGCATATCAAGCTGGCTATTCATCACTCAATACCCTGTACGGCCCAGCAAGTGGAGGCGCCGATGGCTCGCTTCTCCTCAACGACCAGGAGATCTCTCGAGACGCCAACGCACCTATGAAGACGTTTCGAGATAATTTGCTTCTCCCAAAGTACAACACTTACAAGTCTTCTGGGGTTGGCGCTGCAGACATTGTCCAGTTCGCGGGTGCTATCGGGGTGAGGAGCTGTCCCGGTGGGCCAAGATACAAGACAGTGAGTCGGTGTGGCTGCATTCAGACGGTGGTCTGTGACTGATTATCGAACAGGTCATCGGTCGGACTGACGATAGCAACGCATGTCCAGACGGAACCTTGCCTGCTGCGTTTGGGGCGAATTCCTCGTACTCAGCGATAGTGCAGCTCTTTGCACAGAAGGGTTTCAATGAACGGGATTTGGCGGCACTGTTGGGTGCGCACTCCACATCAAGAGCTTTTGCTCAGCAGCAAAATGGGATTCCTTCTGGCCGTGAGTGGTTTGGTCGAGGAATCTGCCAGAAAATGAACATTCTTAATAAACATGAACAGGTCCGCAAGACAGCTCGCCCAATGTGTGGGATACCGCCTTCTATCGACAGACACAAGCCTCTCAAGCGCCGCCAGGAGTGTATCGTTTCGATTCCGACGTGAACGTGGCACAGCCTGAGACCACGTGCGGTAAAGCGTTTACGGACTTTGGGAGCTCTCCGCCTAGTAAGTCACTCCTTCTGAATCTGTCCATCGTTTCCAGCTGATATTGGCTCAGCTGTCTGGGCTACAGCCTTCGCGGATGCTATGTACAGGTTGAGCGTACTTGGGATTTCGAAGGATGTTGTGTCCGGGCTCGTTGATTGCACAAGTGCTGTCCTTTAGTCAGATTCTGCGAATACTGCACAGTCGGAGAAGTACAGCCTCTCCGCGCATCGGAACGATATTCGACTTAAGCTTGACTAGGGTCTCGACGGGTCCGATTTGTCCAAAACCTTGCTAGCGAAGAAAAGTGGATTTCAGATTATCGTTCCGATGCGCAGAGAGGCTGTATTTGCACCACCTTGCCGCATCACGTTAGTTGTCAAGTCGCAGGGGAATGGCGGAGAAAATCTAAGCTCGGCAATCGAAGCAAAACGATATGGATAATCTCTCAAATTTAGCGCTAGCGCACGGGCCTCTATCACATGCCAATGAACTCCTTGAAGCGCCCTTCTGTTAATCCCTAGCTCAGGCACCGTCATAATTGAATTGACGGTCCTCCACAGAGAGCAATCTGCGTTCTCACTTGCGAGGACGATGTACAACCATAGCGACGCACGAATCCCGAAACTTGCTCAAACCAACTCGGGTAAGCAGGAGGCCATTGGTCGAAGGCTCCCACACACTGGGGTGGGAGAACAAGTCGCGGCTACGACGCGCAAGTATTCTCCATTGATGGATCATCTGCGACATTGCTATAAACTCGGTGAGAAGGGGCTGCCGCTCGGGACAGCACTGTGCCATGTCGATCTTCTTGGAATGCATTTCATACATTCATCTTTGATACCCGTTGTTCTTTCATTCATTGCCAGCATAGGATCATGCACGGCGTCTCGAGCTTTTGGATGCTCACAGCAGATTATCGATCATCTTCGGCTTGCCTTCGATGACGTTCAGACGACCCTGAGGACAGTGCTGAGCATCGAAGAGACATTGGACCATGCTGGCGTGATTGGACCTTTTGGTGGCACTCAACCACAGCAACTACGACAGACATATTTCGGAGACGCGGACGAGGAAGAATACGACCATATCAAAGCGACCCTGAGCAACATGCCCGAGGCGATCGGAGCCGCATCGTTCTCCTGCATAGACGCCAAGCACGACCCATGGGGCCAGCGAGACAAATGCGACACACATGTTGCGCTTTCGCAGCACGAGAGGAACCATATCGTGCTTTGTCCAGCCTTCTTGCGCACGTCGCTCCTGGGCAACACTTCGACGATTGGCGCAACGGTGGAGCAGGTCCATGGTGAGCAGGAGCATCTTGCTGCACATGTTCTGATTCATGAGCTGGCGCATACATCGGCTGCGAGCGGTTCTAGAAGAAGTACGAAGACTTTTCCCGATGCTGGTACAAGGACTGACATGCATAGTCGTTGACTGGTTCCTTATGGCACCGCTGGGCGGTGAGAAGGGGAAGTTCGCTTACCAGTCTTCTCCGGTACAAGAACTTGCTTGCATGTCTCCGCGCCATGCTGTCGAGAACGCTGATAATGTTGCTTGGTATGCGATGTCGATGGCCCTTGCAGTGAAAGGGGCAGTCGTAGATCGCATTTCGAGGTGGGATTGTAGGCAGGCGAGGCGTCGCTACGAGGCATTGATAGATCCTGAGAACTTTATGATATCCACCTGAAAATGATGCTCCTTTCGGCGCCCCCATGACGAATTACAGTTAACGCTTTCGCTCTTCGTCAAGCAACCACTTGACTCCAGTGAGAGTATCATCCACAAACTCCTTGCTGCGCTTCAACTGCGGCCAGTTGGTCCAGAACCTAAAATACGTTAGTACTCCCACGAGCCTGCTATGTCTTACTTACATATGCCCAAATCCATCATAGACCATCAGCTTCGTAGCCGCATCATTCTCCTCCCTCAGTAGCCTTTCATAGATCAATGCCTCATCTCGCAGAGGATCAAGTCCAGCTATTTGGAAGAAAGCCGGAGGGAGATCCTTGAGATTAGGATGCAAAGCAGGGCTGAAGCGTGGATCCGCTGGATCAACCTTGAGCTGCTCGAGTTTTCGCTTGCCACGGCCAGGCTCGATCTTGATCACGGGGTCATATACTGACTCGGTCCTGCTGCGATAATCTGACTTTAACCGCTCTGGCACGACATGCTCATCGAGCAAGGCCGGTACGCAGAGATACTGTCCCGTGAGGGGAGGATCCAAGCCATCGTCTCGAGCCATCTGGCACATGACAGCGGCAAAATTCCCTCCAGCCGACGCACCACCAACAATAAAACCTTGACGAGGGTCTGCCGGTAGAAGCTCCGAGGAGGCAGAAGCCGTCTTCGCGCACCACTTCACTGCGTCAAAGGCATCATTCACGCCGTAGGGAAAAAGATACTCGGGCGCCAAACGATAGTCCACATTGACACACACAGCTCCAAGATCTCGAGCGAACATGCGGCAATTGAGATCCTCGTCGGTCAGGTCCCCTCTTGTCCAGCCTCCTTCGTGGAACATCACAACAAGAGGTCGACCTTTTCCGCTCTCGAGAGGCTTGGTGGGGATGTATATCTTCACGGGTATCTCGAATCCATCTCGAGCGGGAATATGATGCAAGAACTCTTGCACTTCGTCCGGAATGGGTCCTGGCATGGGATATAGATGGCGAAGGCTGGCCAGATGCGCTGCGCGATTCTGCCGGATGTCGTGGACGCTGGCATTGACGTTGCCGTTGGTCGTGTCCGGCAAAGGGAACTTTTCCACAGCCTGTGAAAGTAGTCACACCCACTGATCACTTTCGGTGCAGGTCCTGGACACATACATCTGTGAGCTCTGGATGAGGAGTTCCCATGCGCTTTCTGTCTGCTTCGGTAAACGCCATAGTGATCAGGGCAAGATCAATGACTGAGATGGCCTTATATTAGCAAGTGATGTATATGAGCCTCCAGTTAGCGTGAGATCATCGCTGTGTCAGCTCGATGGATGTGCAAAGCAGTAGAGTTTTACGATCACTGATCAGTGCCAGCTCAATTGGGAAGTAGACATGTCCGGATAAATCCGGCTAATTCGATCCTTCGGAAAACCGGTGGATCGGATGTCGCTTTTCCGACTACACCTCAGCCCCTGACACTTCTTCAAACATTGGTCAACCAACACCTGTAGAGTACTCCATCGTTCCAGAAAAGCAAACCATACAATCACGCTCATCTTTGGTTATACATATGTTAATGACTACTCCGCAGTCGACGTGACATCCAGCTTCAGCCTTGCTCTCGAAGATAGTGGAGACCGCGATACAAACAGCATGAAAAAAAAGATCGCATCAGGAGATACCTGGTCCGAGAAAAGAGTAAATCGAAATCAGAAAAAGATAAGTTCCACCGATCGATCTATCTATACTCAAGCCCTCGTAGCAATCACTAACAGACATAGCAACATTCGACATGTGGTTTTCAAGGAAAAGAGTTTCAGAGAACGACCCGATACATCTCTCAAGTTATATCCTCCCTCAGAAAGCAAACCAGTCCCCCGTCCTGCTTTTTTGCCACCTCCCCTGATGTTGTTTTTTGGAATGAGTGTCCTGGTTTTCCTTCTCGAAACGCCTATCCATGTTTTGGTGGGTTGTTGGAGAGACGTTTAGACGTCGGTGCAGATGACGGCTTGGCCGGCCTGAAGGGGAGTGTTAGCTGGCATGTTGGAGCTTGAAATGTGGTGGAACGACTTACAACTGGGAGGATACAGCACTGGGCGCGGCTGCCAGTGTTGGCGCAGTCATCGACGAAGGACTGCTGGGAGGTGAGGCCGAGCGATGCTGAAAGGGTTGTTAGCGTAGCCATAAGATCATGTTACGAAGCTACTTACGAGCGTCGCAGGTCAGGCCGACGAGGCCGAGGACATCAGCCTGGCAACACTGAGGAGTGTAGAGAGCTGGGCAGAGGTCGGACTCGTTGCCAGAGCCGGAGCCGGAGCCACTGTTGTCAGATCCGCTGTTGCCGGAGCCAGAGCCGTTGCTGCCATTGCCAGAGATGGGAGTGACACCTGGGGCAGCAGCAGCGGTTGTGGCGCTGACGACGGCGCTGGCAGAGGAGGTAGCAGGAGCCGTGCTGGTAGCGCAAGAGGTGGTGGTCTCAGGCTTCCATGGAGCGGCGAGAGCGAGGGCAGCGAAGCTGGCGATGATGGCGAACTGCATTTTTGATTGAGTTGTGTTGGTAAAGACTGTGTCTTGAACGAGTGTGAAGGTCCGAGGACTGTGTGCTGGAAAGATGAATGAAGTAGTAAGTTGCTGTGATTGCTTTGTTGGCTGATGGGAGAGTAGGATACTGGAGCAAGTCGTCGACCTTTATATCACTCTCCGAGTAGCATTGAGTCGCCCGACTCGTGCATCTTCGTACTCGTTATTCGCCCAATGCATCTTGAAGGTGACCAACGCGGCACTGCCAAGTCAGAGCGTTGAGCCTGAGATCCGTTCGTGGACGGACGGCTATGCTCGATGCCGACAAGGTGGATCTTCTGAGCGCATTGGTGCGGCGTAGTCTTGCTCCGTAGTCTGCACAAAATGATCCTTTCTTTGACGCTTATGCAGTCTTTCGACATGGGCGAATCCTTCTTCAAGCCACCATAATATTGCTTAAGTGGACTTCACTTGCATTTCTGTATGTCAAGTGCAGCCTGCACTTTAAGCCATCCACATCTTCATACCACTCCAACCACCGACAAGGCTGCTGATGCTGTTTGTGCGCTGTCGCAATGGACGTTCTCCGACGCTGCACCGGCAATCCGTCCTCCCGTCATCGTCCACGTGTTGGAGCGTGTGATGTCGTTTGTACACGACTCCGCAATCGGGTGATCGGCATAACCGTCAACGTGAGAATGATCGACAGGAACACTGCCCGAAGCTCGCGCTGAAGGATCTCTGACTGCCCCTTTCGCGAGTAGTGCTGTCGATCCCTTGGCATCCTTTCGACCTCACTCCTAACTTTTTCCTGTGAGGTTTCAGTCCCTGTCTGTACTCGCATCAACTCCTGAACTGTACGAGAGAAGCCTCCCATCAAAAGAGCATCTTTCGGCGACCGGTCCGGATGACCAGCTCCCATTTCCGGCTCCATTCTTTCTCGTAAAATCACCACTTCAACCAGAACCGCACGGTTCATTGACACAACCCCTTCCAGAAACCTTGCAGATCCGGTCTCCGGCATGTCCAACGTGGCAAAGAATCGCTTTTGCCTAATTGGATCCTGCCGCGTTCGCCTTCGATAAAGTAGAACGTGCATGGCGAAATTTGCAGCTATTTCTGACGATCTTCTTCGATTCCCACACGAACCGTTCTCCGGATTTGCAAGCAAAAGCAGACAGCTCTGCCCGCAAACCCGCCAAGACTGTCTGCTTTTGCTTGCAACCCCCTTGCCGTTCGTTGCGGAGATTATTAGAGCCACGAGTCTGGTTGTCTGTGTGATTCGTTTATTCGCTTGTCAAACCACAACGTTCCGCGGGCGACGGCCTTGTAGTCACGACTCGTAACGTTTCGTGAACGAAGTCGTCGTGCTTTCCCGAATGCGACTCCTTTTTCTTCCTACCATTTCGTGGCTTGACACTGCCACTGTCAACGGAAATGCTTCAGCATGCCGAGAGCCAGCTTGGTGTTGATCCTTCGTTCAGAAATGATGTATCGCACGTAGGCATATGCTCCAAGACCATAGGCTTTGGGATTTTGGTGGCGCTGCGAATGTCCTGTTCAGTCCAAAAATTCGTCACCATACTCAACGTCGTTCTGCGACATTTATCTACGGTTGCGATTCAATTCCGGACCATGTCTGTCCCGAGACTCGCATACTCGGCGGCGTGGAAGCCTTCGCAGAGCAGCATGCCATGACTTGTTGTCATTTGGAATGCGTGAAGGGCGACGACGTGCAGGGGAAGAGGAGAGGGTGGAGTTGCTCCTCTTCCTCAACTGCAGTCTCCGCCTCTCAACAAGGCGAAATAGCTTTGTTGAATGTGCCGTACAGTGCGCTGTTATTTTGATGCCATTTTGACAAATGGGTAAGAAACGAATGGCCTTCCGACGAATACTTGTGTTCTGCGCTTGAAAAGATACAGGGAAGAAAGGCGCCTAAGCCTGTGGGCCAGTCTATGCGTATCTTCGTACAACCGCTTCACCCTTGTCTAGGGCCAAGCACCAGCGTGTCTAGACCTCAAAGAAGCAGAAAGAGCCGGGAAATGATACACGGACTCGCCAAAACATGCGCTCAGAGTTCGACAATTTTGTTCGGCGAGAAGGCCGCTCGCAGCAGGACCTGTCTTTCTGCCTGGAGCGTCACGCCAGAATCTGCGGTATCCCAAGACTCAGACGTTGTCGACAACAACTATGCTCAACTCCTGGAGAGACGTCCTACCTACTTCTCAAGCAAACTCAACCCCGCAAACGCTTTCAACACTGGCGCCTCCCGTTTCTGCTGCGACGCAGACATCGCCTCCCAAAGCACGCCCTCCCCGCCCCACGGCCTCGCCTCCACCTCCCCATTGACCTGCTGCTGATCATCAGACGAAGGAGAAGGAGTATTGAACACCTCATCCATGCAGCTCCTACACGCATCGATGACCTCTTGGAACGCCGCCTGCACAGCTACCGCCCGCTCCCTCATCGTCCTCCGCATCAGACCTTCCACGAGCTTCGACGTATCCTCGCCGGTGGAGTTGAGGCGCTCGATCAGACGGGCGATGGAGTTGACGAGGTACTCTTCTTCGTAGACGGTGCCTTTCTTCCCTCTGGCTCGTTTCCTCTCTTCCCGTCGCCGATTCTTGGAGGTCTTTCGAGTGGCATTTGTTGCGAGAGTCCCTGTCGAGCGGTTCGTGTACCTTGTCATGAACGTCCCGGCGGTTGTCGTGTCGGTGGGAGCGAGGGAGATGTTATCCGGCGCATCATCGTATTCGCCCACTCCGGCATCTAGGAAAGCCATGGGGTCTTCGGCTTTCTTTTGACGTAGCTCGCGGAGTCGGGGAACCTGAGCTTGAAGTTGAGTCTTCATCTCAGCGAGCATCTCGGTCATGGTCGCGGACGCTTCGATCAAGCCAGGGTCTACTAGGTTCCGCAAGAGCTCTGGTCTCCGCCGTAGCGCGATCTGCCTGATAGCATCTGCGAACTGGTATCCTCGACACAGAAACTTGACTGCAGATTCGAGGTCGTCCAAATGGTCCAGATAGATAGTGGCCGCTGCAATGTAGTCCTTCGCCTCCTCCAGACTGTCAGCACAATCTTGGGCCAGCTCGGCCATCTTCTCGTCCGACAAGCCTGTCAGGCCAGCAGAAGCGAGACATTCTCGCCACATGCTACACGATCGGTACGCTTCATAGGCAGAAGCATAGTCTGAGATGTACTCATAAGCGATGCCGGCCTCTTTGTAGCGGTTTCGGGAGCTCAAGAATTCGCCATATATTCTCATAAGTTCGACCAAGCGAGCATTGTCGTATCGATAGAGATCGATGGCGGTGCTGTAGAGTTCATGCTTGGCGGCGTAAGCCTTGACTTCTTCGAACGCGCCAAGTGCATGAAGGTGAGACAGAGCCTTTTGATAACGCTTCAGATTGTTGTCGATAGCATGCCGCTGCCTCAATGATTCCATGTCGTGAAGATTCTGTAGGTAGGGGAGATACTCTCTCGGATCTTTCTGTGACTGTTGAGCAACAAGCAGAGCAACATCCAGATCGTAGATACCGAGTGCGGTGTCGTAAAGCTGATTGACGTCTGCGAGAAAGCAAATATGTTCCACGGCTTGCTCCAGCTGGTCTTGCTTCTCTTGTCTGCAAAGATCTGCGACAAGCAGGAGACCAGCTTCGAGGTCTGGTGGGTTCTTGCATACATGTGCCGTGACAATGCTCTGCAAGTATGTGCTCTCGAGCCCTTGTAGACGGTGCAGGAAGGCATCACAGATTCGGTTAACCTTCGAGGAGGATGTGATAGGAGCGAGGTGGGAATCGCCATTCGTGAGCCCGTTAGCTGTCGCATCCTGCTGGCTCAGTTTGAGAGTCTCTTTGTATATAGTCATTGAGACATCTTCCTCTGAGAGCGAGCTGAGAAACAGGTCGATGTACTCCACTTTCTTCAACTGCTTGATGAACAGATCAACATCGCGCATGAATTGCTCTGGGGCATAATCGTGCAAGATGTTCATGTCGACTCTCTGAGTTCGACAGATGGAGAAGGCTTTCTTGTAATCCCGATTCGAGATTGCGTGGCGGATAGCGGCAAGTACCAGAGCTCGAGGATAGATCGTCTCCAAATTCCCGCGAGGCATCTGCAGTACCAGCGAATATGCGCCAGGCATGACTGTAACGAGCTTCGTACCGCGCTCGACATTGCGACATCGTTCATCTTTCTCCGGTTCGTCAGGCGGCACTTCAAGTTCGCCATGATGCAAGTGCACAAATTTGAGAAGATGCTGGCTCGTGGTGTAGATCAAGTGGCTCGTCGTGACGACGAAGGATGTGCAGCCTGGAATCTTCAGGGCTTGGGTCTCGCCTTTGACATGCAATGTGCCTCCAGGCGTGAGACCGAACAAGATATGCGTGTCATCCTGTTTCCATGCGTCGACCGTTGGGCATAGGGTCGGCAGCTTGCCAATCGAATTGGTAGAGGTTGAGGCATTCATGAGCTCCAACACCTCCCCTTTGTCATTCTCGGCCAGTATTCTGTCGTGGTTCGTGCATGGGAAGAGGCTTGAAACGCCGCTCAAGTCTTCTACAAAGTCAGATCCATCATGATGTGGTCGAACTATTCTTGCTCCTTGTTCATTGACACTGCACGTTGCGACCACAATATCCTCGCCCGGCCCGATAGCAACCTGGTAGCGGACCTCGGATGAGGGTGAAGCCAACTCGACTGTGCGGTCCAACTTTGCACGCTTTGCAGGCCGTGTGTCGTAGTCACACGTCCACAAGGAAACAGAATCTGTATGCAGGACAGCAAATCGATTTCCAATCTTGTTGAAGGCGACATCGATGGCGTTGGAAGGGAGTTCGACCTCATCGAAAGCCATTGGTGGCGGAACGTTGGCGGTCTTGAGGGGAGTAACTTTCAGAGTTTTTCCATCTATCACGGCCACTGCGCCCACGTCGTGCGGTGGGACCACAGAGCCGCGAGACACTTCAAGACTGTAGTCGAGGAGCCGTATATTGTTCTCGTGGAAGCAAGCTAGTCGGAGGGGCCTTTCAGCGTGCCAGATAGCGTTGGCTTGTTTGGAGCTCTCGGGTGCTAAGACGACTTCTTGCTTGAGATAGTAGTGATAGTTTCCCATGGTCCAGAGCTGCATACGGCCTCCTAACGAAACTGCAAGGACTGAGGAGTCGCTATTCCAGGACAACTCAATGTTGCTGCCAATTGTGTCCAATTCTGACTTGCTGAGTCGTAAAGAGAATTCGCCGTGGCGCAATCCATTCCGTTCGAAGAAGACAACGTCGATCTTGTCAACGTGTCTTTGGATTCCGGCAATCAATTGACCGCTCGGCTTCCAGCTAAGTGCGCCTTCGAGGCCATCGACAGGCTCGCTGACACTGTCAAGGACACCTTCTCGAGAGAAAACTCGGATGACTCGTCTCGTTGTCTCTGCCTCCAGTATGCTATTGATAGCCACATACTGTCCGTCGCCTCTCCAACTGATCGTAGTCCGGCGATCTTCGAATTCGCTAAGCTTGCCTTCATCAACATGCTCAGGAACGGTCGGATCCCGCAGAGCTTTTGCACCTCGACCTTGGAATTGCGTCTCGCGTTTGCCCCAACCCACAGAGACATGATTGGAGACCTTGAGATCATCTGCCGAGAGGTTTATGCTTGCGGTGCCTTCGAATTCCCTGGTCATAAACAGCACAGTGTCGGCTTTGGTGGCAATGACGAGCAATTCTTCATCTGGGCTCCATTCGGCAGCAGAGATGCCCACATCGACAGATCCAACAATCTCGATTAGCTCTTCTCCAGGTTGAGCATCCTCTCGTACGACGATGATGTCGCCGCCTTCAAGGACGAGACATACAGAGCCGCTGTCTTGCAGACTGTGAAGATTCAACACTCGGTCCACTGCCAGGTGTGGGTTGGGAGATGGAGCGTCCCAGGATGCGATTGAGACTGTTTGATCCGGACTGAAAGTGTCGTTTGATAGTCGCTTGAGGGTGATTGTCGCACTGCTTTCTGATGGACCGAAGCAGCAGATGAGGCCAGTGGAGTCCCATGCGGTTGCTACGAGGTGCGACTCATCTTGGCCGAACCTTATTGCGGCATGCTTAATATTGCGCAGATTCCGCATGGCTGACTCGTTTCGATCATGGAGTGGGCGAATTAATATCAGGAATTGGCCTCACAGACTGATATTCACATGGTGGCACTGATTCTTGAGATTGATATGTGTGGTTCACAGTTTTATACAAGCTAGCGCTCGCGAAGCCAGCCAATCAGAGCCTCTTCATCCGTAATCCGACGGATGGAGGGCGACAGCAGTGTGAACGTGCTGAATTGGCCTGGATGCATGTAGTCACATAGGAAATGCCTCTCCTGCTTCACCTCATCCATGTCGTTGCCTCTGACCTGTATTCCACCGCCCTATCTCCATCTCCATCACAGCCTCCATAGCCAGCCCGTTTATGGCTTGTTCTTGTACGTCTGCCAGACTGTGCCATGTGTCAGCTCCTCCAATCGCTCCAGTGCTTGGTGTCCGTTCTTACCTGCAATGCCAAAAGGCGCGCTGAATCCAACGGCTGTGTCCTCAATCAGTCATGTCCCTTCTTCTCCACATTCACCACCCATTTTTCCATTTGACGTACCCATGAACGTCCAGTATCTCAGCCAGAAGAACCGCGTGAGTGGGTTAAAGGGGATGTTGCTTCGTGGGCCCTCGGGGTAGTGGTATGGCGAGGAGAACTGGGCGCGAGTCGAGTGGAAGCCGCGACGGCCAAGGGTGGTTGGGAAGCGGGCTGCGGCGGTTCGGGCGAGCATCTTGGGTTGTCAGCGCTGTCGGTGGTGCTTCTGCGCGGTGTAGTTACCTTGAATTGGAGCTGAGAGGAGGGGTGTGCTTTCAATTGGAGGTTGTCGTTGGAGCTACAACTTCGAGATTCAATGACGGGAGAGCTCGGCGACGTGCGGAAGGAGCCGCGATCACCTGACGCCTCACGCCAATGCGCTTTCGCTTTCGCATCGACACCTCTGCCTCCTCCATCAACACCATCTCGCCTTCGCCTTCGCGAGCGACATTGTAGACAACTGACTCACAGCAGAAGCGGCCAGTCAATACTGAAAATCTTCCTCGACGGGCAAAGCAGCCCAACAAATCCCAACTCGTCCCAAGTCAACATCGCCAGCCTCCACCATGGCCACTCCTCTCCTCGACCACTTTCCCACCTACTGGCGCGCCATGGGCCTCTCGGTCGCTGCCACTTTCGCCGGCCTCGGCTCGTTCGCCATACTCGCTCCAAAGCAATCCGTCGAGCTTTTCGGGATGAAATCAACCACCCCAGAGTCCGCAGCAGTGGGCGCCAACTCCATGTTCCTGCTCGGCGTTCGCGATCTCTCGTCCGCAGCTGCGCTGGCCGCCTTTTACTACCAAGAGAACCCGAATGCCATGGGTACTGTCATCATGTCCAGCATGATCCTCTGTGTCGCCGATTGTATGTGGATGTACAAGCTACGACGCGACGCTGCTGGACCGCTGCTGGGAGTCGGCGCTGCAATTTGGGCGTACATCGGCGTTGGACTGTTGAAATTGTGACGAAATGAAGGTATCCGACATCGTCAACGACCTTTTGCGGCTGCTGATCTTTTAGGACTCGAGACTATTTCATCGTACCAGTTTCACTCTATCTTATCGGACTGACCATTGTAACATTTGATCGACGATGTGAACACCACTAAAATCTTCTTTCAACCGCGTGCGATCTCGCAAAAACATCAAAAGTGCCATTGCTCCATTGTCAGAGAGCTGCAAAATCATGAAATGCCTGCCAAGAAGTTACATTCGAGTAAGTACTCAGGAAGCGTTCTATTTCTCAGTTCACCTGTCGCAAAACATTTCTCATTCCCAGCGTGCCGGCGGATCAAGCTCAGCCTCGCCCTCTCTGGAAAGTCCTGGGCAAACATGTCCGCTGGGCGGCTAAACCGGTCAACCACGAGGCCGCCCAAGCACAAGACGCCACAAATTGTTTGCCATGCCGTTCAACTTCACCCAAAGATTCGGACACTGCGATACAAGAAACAAGATGCATTCCCGAACTGCGCAAAGCCCCAATCGCAATCAGCGGCAAACGCGACTCCAGCTAGGCGCCGTATGACTCCAAAGCGCTTGCAGCCATACATTTATGTGGCTTCCCTGCACAGCGCCACATTCCACTCATGGCGCAAGCAAGAATGCCTGGCCGCTTCATAAGTTCGAAAATATCACAGAGCCGCATCGTCGCATCACGGGACCGAGGACTCACGATCGAGGAAGACCAGGCAGTGCGAACTGCAGGCACGAGAGTGGAGTCCCACGATTGGAGTGACTCGATCGAATAGATGCTGCGCTTTTATGTGCAATGCCCTGAACGATTGTATAGCCCAGAGGTCTGCTCCCCATCCATATGCCTGCGAAGGGGAAAACGATTGGCATCGCTGGAAGGGGAAGCCTGGCAGCTCGATGATGCCTCTATTCTGTGCCGTCGAAGCAACGACTCAGCCTTATGTAGCCGTCACCGAGGTCGAGCAGAGCCTCAAGAGGATATATGACAAGGCTAAAGGCACAAAAGGATTCCGTTCCCGGTAGGTACGCTCGACTTGGACATCAACACGCAGCATACATCGCTTCACTATGGATCCTTCGGCACCAGCATTCAACATTTCGCCAAGACGGACGATCAACAAGCCCGACTGGATCATCACCAGTGATGAAGTCGAGCAGGGCTGTATACTGTGGCTCGGGACACCTACAGAGACGATGGAGTCGCAGCGTCGGAGAGGAGCGCCCACTACGCAGGTGATCAACGCACAATCAAAGTTACCAGCCAACAACGGCATGTACGAGCATCCCTTTTTGGTGTTGTCAAGACCTGCTTCGGATCCATCCAGGATCTACTTCTTGCCTGTAAGTGATGCTTTGATACATTCTCTACCACGATGTACTCACTGAATTTATTGAAGATGACTTCCCTTGGCGGACAATCCCTCGCTTCAAAATACACCTTACGCAAAGCAGCATACCACCAAGCAACATTCCTGCCAGTCGCACCCGCCGAACTCCATCCTCTCTATCTTGCCGGAGACAATCGCTACCGCACCTTAACATTAAAGAACGGCGATCGTCTCGAGAAGTCGACCTACGTCAACGTCCGAGAACTCTACGAAATGGACTGGAGAGACGCCCAGCTCTACTGGGGATCCAATCCCACCCTCCGAAAGAAATGGAAACTCGACATGCCTTCAATACAAACCGTCCTCAACGTAGCGACGAACAACTTGAAGATCGCGGTGGAGAGGCAATACTTCCCCGCCTTGGAGAACGTGACTTTCTCTCCCACGAATCGTCTCGGACACGGATACAGATCTCAGCTCCTATCTCCCCTGCACCGCCGCCTATCCAACCATTCGAACATGATGCACCGCTCTCGGACTATCCCCGCTATGGCTTCTCCGATCTACCGTCCCATCACGCCCCCACAGCCTTTCGTCCAACGCTCACCGACAAGTCCTCCGAGATATGCCGTTCGATCGCAGCCTCCGACCATCCACCCAGCACTGCAGGCTGAGTTCTCTCCACCAGGTAACGTACAATCTGAACGCGCGGAGGGATCTCAGCAGGCGCAGAGGGCTGTGGAGGAGGAAACGCCTCTGCTCCTCTCGTACAACCTACAGACGCCGGGGGACGTGGAGCAGCCTGAGCAGCAGGGAGGCGAGTCAGTGTGTGGTGGTTGGTGGATGCTATGGTGCCCTTGTCAGTGAAAGAGGAACAGAAAGGAATACGTTCTCCCAAAAAGGATCTAAAGACGGGCGGTGGGGCAGGCGCGACATTGGGGTTTTGGATTGATGGGGGATGGAATAGAAGATTTTCAGAGTATGATGCGAATCTATCCTAGTTCTCTTCACTTTCGCCGTGATACTGATATCTGTCTTTCACAATTACCACTACTCTTCTCTATCGTGAAGGCCTCCCGTTGTAGCAGCATAAAAGCCCACACCGACACCTCCTGTCTTCCTCTTTCGCACACCAACACCCCAACCCACACCAACACGAATATTCCAACTTTTTCTTCTCCCAAAATCCCTCGAAGAAGTACCACCAATCCCCATCCCCTCAAATCTAACCCCCTTACGCAAAATGACCATCTCTCCTCCCACTTTCTCAAACAACATCCAGTACGACGACGACGACACAACCCTCCACAAACAAGACCCCAAGCCCCGATGCGTCTACTGTGGTGCGTACTTGTCGGAGGGGATGCATGAGTATTGGTGTGCGAGGGTTCGTTGATGTCAACCTACAATAAGGTCTTGCAGTTTGGTTTAATTTAGTATAGTTTAGCAATTCATCGATTTCGAAACGAAAGAAGAAAGGAGAGGAAATACAATAGGGGACCGCTCAAGTGCCACACCTACTCCTTCTTTCGTTCAAAGGTTTTCAATTCGGCGAAACCGCAACTCCACCATTCATTCTTTATGGAACTAACCCCAGCGCCTTGCTCTTGAAACCCGCACGCACCAACATCATCAGCCGTAGTCTACATCGTCTTCGTCTACACCCCTCTTTCGACTTCCAATCAACGCCTTTCATGCACCCCACCTAACTCGTCTGCAAAGCCGCCTGCCTCACACCCTCGGTGACCTCCTCCACCGCATCCCCAGCCTTAGGATTGCTCTCTGCGCCATCCTTCTCTGCGCTCTCGACCGCCTTGCCTGATTTTTCAGCCGCTTTCTTGGCTTTCTTCTTTTCCTTTTCGGCTTTCTTGGCCGCTTTCTTTTTCGCTTCCTCCTCCTTCGCCTTCTTCAGCTCGTCGCCGCCGAACATCTCCTTCCACTCCTGCTCCTTCTCGGGCTTGATCATCTTAAAGAGATGTTGAGCTTTGCCGATCTTGTGGCCCGCGGGGATGCTGGCGGCCTTCCACTCGTCTGGGATGATGAGCATCTCGGTCTGGAGTTGCTCGAGGATGGAACGGGTGGTAGCGGGCATGTAAGGTGCGATGACGGAGGCAAGGAGATGGACGTGGTTGACGGCCAGGTTGATAACGGCGTCGCATCGTTGTCGCTCGTTGTTGAAGAGGGAGTTGTCGATGCGGTTGTCTTGCAGCAGCTTGTTGCCGAGCGAAGAGATCTCACGGGCAACAACAAGACCTTGCTTTAAATGCACAGCATCCATCTCCTCGCGGTATTGCTTCAGCTTCTCGTTGACATCTTCAATATGCTTCGCCAGACCCTTCGCAACGTCGCTGGATGGGTCCAGTTCAGGGTACGCAGGAACGACCGAATCGTAGTTGGCAGAGTTGACGAACTTGAGAATGCGGTTGACAAAGTTGCCGAAGTTGTTGAGGAGTTCGTTGTTGTTTGCGGCAATGAAACCATCCCATTCGAATTCCGTATCACTGGTTTCGGGTCGTCTGAGAAGGAGGAAATATCGCCAGACATCGGCAGCTATTCCGGTGTCCTTCGCGCTGGTGCCGAACACGCCAATGTTGCGACTCTTGCTGAACTTGCCTCCTTCATAGTTCAGGTATTCGGTTGTGCTGAGGGTGTTGAGCATCGTCCACTTGTCGCCAGTGCCCAGCTGAGAGGAGGGGAACACCACAGTGTGGAAGGGGACGTTGTCCTTGCCCATGAATTGGTATAACTTGACGTTGTCTGGATTCCGCCACCATTTCTCCCACTGATCGGTATAGTTGGCAGTGATAGAGACATAGCCAATGCAAGCATCGAACCAGACGTACAACACCTTGTCACCGTAACCCTCCAACGGCACTGCAGTTCCCCACTTCAGATCTCTTGTGATACCTCTTGGCTTCAGTCCTTCCTTGAGCCATGCATTGGTGATGTTGACTCCATTGTCGCTCCACTGACCTTCTTCATGGCTCTTTCGGTTCCACTCTCCCACCTGGTCCTGCAGCTTGTCCAGCAGAAGGTAAATGTGCTTGGTCGGTCGTGCTTCTGGTGTTGCGCCGTCGAGCTTACACCTCGGTTTGATGAGGTCGAGTGGATCTAGCAAGTGGCCGCACTTGTCGCACTGGTCTCCTCGGGCATCCACATACCCACACAGCGGACATTCACCCTCCACAAATCGATCTGCCAAGAAGCCGTTGTGCTTGGTGCAGTAGGGTTGTGTGGTTGTCCTCTCCTCCAGGTACCCATTCTTGTATAGTTTCGTGAAGATATCCTGCGCGATATCCGTCTGCTGCTGTGTTGGCGTCCGGCCAAAATGGTCAAACTCGATCTCAAACCAGTCATACACCTGCTTGTGCAGTTTGTTGTACTTGTTGCACAGCTCTTGCGGTGTCACACCCTCCTCAATCGCCTTCGTCTCGGTCGCAGTACCGTACTCGTCCGTTCCACATATGAAGAGTGTCGGGTTGCCGCGTGCCTTGCTGTAGCGGGAGAAGACGTCTGCTGACAGCACCGATCCGATGACATTGCCCAGATGCGGGACGTTGTTGACGTATGGGAGGGCGGAAGTGATGAGGACATTCTTCTTGCCTTCCTCAGGCAGGATCTCGCGTTTTACGCCGTTCATAGCTGGTCGTGTGCTGCGAGAGGATGGGCGTGATTGCCCGGAGTCCGAAGTGGGATGCGGCTCGAGGTGGTGCTTTGTTCGTGGGCAGCGGCGGACAGTGTGAGAGGATCGTAGTGGAGTCGACAGCGATGTTGTATGCGACTGTGTCCGAGGAGTGTGTTTTGTTGGCGTGTAGTCGAAGTGTAAGGGTTGGTGGAATAAGAGGTGTGTCAAGTTCAATTTCTTGACATGCCCCTCCGACTCCAATGACTCAAGCTGCAGGGGTCACTCCACCTGCCAGCCCTACGACGCCACCACATTCCTCGGTCCATCTTCCCCGAAACACTCTCCAATCTCCTGAACTCTAACCATGGCTGCCGACGACGTCTTCGAAGATGTCTTGAACCTGGAAGAACAATACTACCGCGAGGGCTTCGAACTGGGTGTTGCAGATGGCTCCAAAAGCGGTCGCATCGAGGGACGGATCTTTGGTCTCGAAAAGGGGTTTGAGAAGTTTCTGGAGATGGGAAGACTGAATGGAAAGGCTTTTGTGTGGGAGGCCAGACTGCCGGATCATTCAGCAGGCTCGGAGTCGACGACGACCGCTGCGAGCGAAGTTCAGTTACCAGCTCTATCCGGGACGGAAAGATTGAAGAAACATGTGGACAGACTCGCTGCTTTGAGCGATCCAGATGGCCTGAGCACGGAAAACAGCGAGGATGCCGTATCTGAGTTTGATGACCGACTGAAAGATGCAAAAGCGAAGGCGACCTTGATCTCAAGAATCATAGGCGAAAATGAAGTTGATGCTGGCCAGCAAGGTGGTTCGCGGCCCTCCGCTGGGCGTGGCAGAGTAGTCCGCGTGAGACGCAACGACAGCAACGCAGCTCCACGAAATACTGGCGAGATGGAAGACTTTGTTGGCTTGCGTGGATCGAGAAGCTGAAAGCGACAAGAGAACATTGAGGTTGCACTTCTACGACTACGCACACAACAATTCGAGCGAAGCAGACGCTGCACTTCGAACTCGGAACTTCGATCAAACCCTCAGCCTCCTTCAAGTATCCCAAAGCAGGCTATAAAGGTGTCCAGGCTGCTGTCGTAAGCTACCAACCTGCTCCGGGATTCGGCCAAGCCTGGCGTACAAAATTTCGCAATCTGAGAAGAACTGCGCTGGACAGAGAATTCGACAGATCCCCTCGCAGGAGCCTTGCTGAGAACAACAGATGTGGAAAGCTCTCCGTCCGTGGACCAGCCTGAGACGACTCGCAACATACCTCTCTGCTTATGCGGCACCAACGGCGAGAGCTCTGAAGGTCAAGTGGCGTCGAAACGCCCCGGGGTTATTCATACCACGAACCAACGTCTGGGAAATGGTATGTTGCCACCACTGTTTGTGCAGTCAGGCCCGACAAGCTTGGAACTGTTCTGTCCTGCTACCAAAGCTGACTCGGCACAAAAGTAACGAACAGGAACGGGCAAAGCCATGGGGGAACAAACAAGCTCTTTCATAGCTCCAGCAGAACCAAGCGACGACACCAAAATACGCCCCGATTCATAGCTATCGAATCGCACTCCTGTCCGTTTACGACCAGTATGAAAAATTACACGTGACCTCGGCGTACCTTCCTTGTCGACCAACTTCACTTCTTTCCCCTATCCCTCAAGTCTTTCGTCCAGGACAGCAACGAAGACAGTGCCTTAGACTGCAGTGATGGGCGTGAGACTGGCTGGCATCGTGTGTCTCCAAGACGCACCTCAAAGCATAGTCAAATAAAGTTTTCGAAAATACTCTGCCAAGCTTCCATTCCGGGCAAAGTTTACCTACGCTCACCACAAAGAGCCACCGCAATACGCTGACCAAAACCAATCCTCGAGGCTCCATAGAGGCTGCAGCAACAGGACATATTCCGGCTGCAAAGCCTGGCGAGCTGTCCTCATCCAGCGACTCACGTTGCTCGGTTTGCTTACCAGCTACCGCACGGTCCTCGAACCCAACAATGAAGTCGACATAAGCACCTTACGAGTCAAGAAGCTTCCCCTAGTACCACGGTTTCCTCTCATCCCCACGAATCAACGTCCGACCAGGCCAAGCATGACACCGTGTCGATATCGCGTCAAGGCGCTGAGATAGGGTTTGGAAGATTCCTGCCTTGCGGGTGAGGTGTTTCTGCTTACTTCGAGTGCAAAAGTTTTCAAAGGCTTTTAGTCTGGTGGTTCCCTGGTACGGTAGCTTTACGTGTATGCTATTGTTTCTTGGTGGGTGAAGTGTGAATCGTTCGCGCTTCCCTTAGTAGCTTGGTTGCGATGTTTCCCTGCGAATTTGCGGTGCCATCCCCATAGCCTGTAGATCGACTATGCTGACCTGCATTTATTCGACAGGTTGGACCATGGAGAGAATGGGGAGATTTGAGCGGTACCCGGTAGAAACACATTGTGAGGTGAAAACAATGCACAGGGCCGTGCGCAGGCTATTGGGGTGTGAGGTGTTGTAGCGTACCATTCAAGCGCTCACAGGAAACATAAAAGAGCGCTGATAGACCGCAGAGGCGCTGTTTCCTTCCTCACTTCTACATCCCACTTGCTCGGTTGACCACTTCTCACTCACAAGAGAATTTTTTTCACATCGCAGCAAGCGCAAGGCTCAATCAATATCAATCATCATTTGATTTAGCCTCACATCATCGTTTATCGATCACATGCAAAGCAAGTCGAGCACCCTTACACTGCCCCTTCGCCATCACCATCACATGCAAACGATCGATTATCACAAGCTTCCCTTCACTTGCAATCACATGCAAATCCCCTTCACGCCCGAAGCACAAGCACAAGCCAAGATGGCTGAAATCACCTACCGCATGGCCTTCGCCAGCGTCCCCTTCACCCCCGCCGCCGACTGGGCATCCTCACTCGGAGCCCAAGTCACCCCTATCTCCCCTACTGCGCCCCTTGTCTCCGCCACATCCCCGCGGGCCAAGCTGACAGCAGCGTATCCCCCGGCACGGTCGTCTACCTCCCAGCGGAGAAGACCGTGCCGCGCGACTCGATCGTCCGCCACCAAGCGGCGGTCAACGCAGGCGCCTACGCCCACCCAGGGCTGGCCCTGCTGGAGTCGCGCTGCGGGCACCTCGTCTTCGTCGCGCCCGTGACCTCCTTCGACGGCGCGGGCATCCAGGCGAAGTACAACCGCATCGGCGCGGCGTCGTACGTGCATCTCGACCATGGGTACTGGATTGAGAAAGTCCTGCTCACGCCGCAGGGCGCCCATCTGCGCAAGCGCACGACCGTCACACAGACGGCGTTGGCGTACGCGCAGTGGGCGTACTGGGTCGCGGAGACGCACCGCCAGATCACGGGCATCGCCACACAGGTGATGGGCCGGCAGCAGACTGCGCTGCCAGAAGGCCAGATGCCGAGAGATCTTTCCTCATCATCAGCTTTCCCCGTGACGACGGGAGTCAGCCAGGGTGCTCTGTGGATCGACCAGCCCTCTGCGACGCCGTATTCCTTGGGGAAGGATGCGGTGTCGTGGAGGAGCGGGGGCAATCTCCCTAAGGTCGGCGGTGTGGAGGGGAGGGCGTCGTGGAGGAATCACCACGCGGCGTCCTCGGGGGCTGTCCCGTATGCTGTTGGCAAGAGCCAGGCTTCGTGGAGGCGCGGGTCGTGAGTATTTTTTACGTATCTTTTCCTTGGGTTTTGATGAGGTGATTCTGATGAAGTGATTCTGATGAGGTGATTTGATGGAGTATCAAGATTTTGGTGGAATGAGAGGATATGATGGGAGATTTATAACTGCCGGCAGCCCTATGTTTGAATATAGCGCACAATGATGACGAAAGTTTTCGCTGAAACCAACAATCTTCTCGCCTGTTTTCTTCTACACCCACAAATCCATGCCGCAGTCGAGGGCATGGTCGTTCTCGAGGTTGCGGGGATGTTGAGGCTGGACGAGAGCACGTACGAGCGCCATGTTGACTCTTCACGCCTTCTATAGCCAATGTTCCCCCATAATCAGAATTCAACACATACGGACCCTTGCGAGCCGCCCGTCTACGCTCATTGCGCTCGCCGATCGTCGCGGCTAGCCAGTCGTCCAGCTCCTCTGTGGAGGCGTAGGCGTAGACCTCGGCCAGCTTCTCGTCTCGTCCTGATAGTGAGTGTGTTTCCCTCCTTGCAGAGAAATGCAGCCTCCTGGGCTGCTCGTTCGGGAGGTGGAAGTCGCTCGATGGCGAGAAGCGGAATTTGGTACCTGCTCGCGGTAGATTCAACTCTACTTTTGTTCACTCTGCGCGGGGAAGATGTGAAATATCTTCATGATGTTGTCAAGCGCACGCTCGGAGTTTTGTACCTCTGGATACTCTCTGGCGTGAGAGGCGAGCTCGGCCGAGTGGTGACGCCGACCGAGGGCCACCAGTTCACGTAGTTTTCTCCAGCCACCGCGCTCATAGGGTGGTCCGTCTTCTCGTAGCCAGGCTGGGATAGACGGGCATCGATGGCAAACCGAAACTGTTGAGGTGCACCTATCATGCGCACGACTCCACCACGTGTCCAATCCTTCAATATTTAGGCCGCCAAACCTTTTCTCAACATCTCGACCAGCACAACAGCAACGGCGGCGACCAGCGCAGACGTCCGGTGTGCTTCTGCAAGTATGGCCCAGAGACAGACTCGTTCGCCCTCAGCGCGGCATGTGAGCTTTTCTCCTCGGTTGCATAAGCGCCGATCTCACAGGCCGTGTGATGGGTAAGTAGGCCGTGTGAAGGTAGTGTGCGCTTTCCTGCTCGTGAGCGCAAACCGCCGCTGATGCGCTCTATGCGAAATTTGCTCTCTGTCATGGATATTCAGTCAGGTATGCGATAGTCCCACCATCTTTGCCTGCTCGGCAACGGTTAGTCCACCCCTAAAAGACCCGCCCTTGCTCTTGCCCCTGCGCTCGCAGCACGCGATCTCGAGACTTCATGTTACGCATCGAACTCCCAACACAACAACTCTTCTCATTCCCCTCAAATTTTCCATCTCCTTCCAACCACTCGAAGGCACCCGATACTTCCGAAACCGCCGCTGCGGTCGGTCGGTGCGAGGATGCAAGTTAGAGGTGAACTGACGGCTGATGGTGAGATATTAGCTTTAAGAGATATTTTCCGCTTCTATCAACCGTGAATATGAAGGATCGTACATGTTGCGTGAGGTTGAAGCGATCTGTTTTGTCCGCAGTGTCGGACGTGTACGCAAGCAGGGCAGACCTTTGAAGAGGATGGCATTCCGCCAATGTCAGTCCCATTCCCGACTTTCCGTCTCCTCCAATCTCTGCTTGTAGCTATGCATAGCATAGTCGCCCTCGAATTCGTGGAGAAGGTGCAAGGTGAAGTCGAAAGTCAAGCGCTTCAGAAAAGCCGAAGCCGAAGTCTTGCCGATCAGCGCTCGTCTTCCTCTCTGCTTTCATCCTCATCCTTTAACACAACGCTCTGCAACCCGTTCCATCCTGAAGCGCCTCTATTCGCAGCTCTCCTTCCGATTCCCCAGGATGGGTGAAGCTTCCCGCGCGAACGATGAGGGACGAGGGCCGTGAAACGGCGTCCGGCGCGCTCGTCGATGGAGTTATGGTCGGGAACGCGTACCAGAAAGGACAATTGGAGCACGCAGTGTGGTCTGGTTGGACTTGATTAAAGACCGCGCCGTAGAAAGAGCACATGAGTCGAGTAAAAGAGACTGTAACAGATGCGGTCGGTGTGGAGAAACACAACAAAAGCTGGAATACACCGCCAAAAACTCGATAATAGACCAGACCGCGAAGATCCTTGCAACATGGACATGGTCAAGGGATTAGTCTCGACACTTGACACTTGACACTTGACACTTGACACTTGACACTTGACGCTTGCGACTCATAATGGCTGCGCTGCATGTCGCGCCATCGAGAGCGGGACGGTTTCGTCGGGAGATTCGGCGTTTGGATGCTACGTGGTTACGTACACGGTAGGGAGTGTGAGGATGAGGATGGGGATGAGGATGTACTGCCCAGCCTCAGCTGTGAGAATGTGGGAATGACAGGTAAGGTAGGCAAGACGTCAGGTCCAACTGATCTTTCGATGGAAGTGCGATGACCAGCGAGGCGCGAGATTGTGCAAGTCTCACTCCAAGAATTCCCGTCTCAAACACCAAATCTCGCCAAACCAGTCCCTCGAGGAGATGAAGACATCCATTCAGCCATCGCACCATCGCCATTCACCACCACGAACGAGAGAGAGAGAGAGAAACACGAACGCCGCCCAAAGGAGACCGAATCGAAACACCCCGCCACCGCACTCCCCGCATCCGGCAAGAGAGCACACGACACCGACTCACTGCACCCAAAGATCCCACGTCTCAGGAACTCAGAGAAGAGGAGAGAAGAGGGGAATAGGAAAGTGAGCACACGACCGATGATGCAAGGAAAAGAGTTTGACACATGTACTGTATATATGTATCGAAAGTTTGTAGACGAGGAACAGGATGTACCGGTGGTACTGGCCGTTGGAACGCACAGGTTTCACGGAAGTTTGGTTCGACGAAGGGGAGATCTGCAGAAGCCGTGGAACTCCACGTCCCGCGCCGACGGATGGAAGAGGATGTTGTGTAAGGTAGAGACACCTTCTCTTTCGGTCGGTGGAAAAAGTAGTCGGTCAGTCATGGTGATGTATTGTCGCTTGGAGGCGAGTAAGATGTAGATGTATATGCAGATGCAGATGCAGACGCAGATGCGGACAGGGATCTCGGACAGGACACCGCTGTGGTGATGATTGGAGGTATATACGTGTCGCATGAAAGTGCTGTTGAATCCTTTCCGGCATGTAAAAAGAGCTGTTCGTCGACAAGGGTCCCTGCCATAAAAGACGGCAAATTTCCAAGGAGCTTCGTTGCTCTGCTCACCTCTCACTCTGCGCAAGCGCGAAGAAAGTTTTTTTTCTTCATCATTCGCGAGCGAAGCCCTACACAGGCTACTCATCCTGTTTTGATGGTAACCGCGCTGTTCGCCCCCGGGACGTGAAGATCGCAGTGTCCCTTGTGGAGACGCGTTGTGGAGGTTCCGATGCGAAAAAGGGTCGACGGGCCGAAGAGAGCAGAACTGGAGGTGAGGCCGAGTACGAAGGGCCGAGCGGCGTTCTTGTCGTTCTTATACGATGTATTGGATAAGTGGGTTGGTTGGTTGGTTGGTGGGAGGGGGGACCTTGTTCATGATGATGAACCGCGTGGGGCAGTGAGTCCACTTTTGATGTCTTGAGCCGAGAGGATGGACAAGCCGTGCGAAGCACTTTTCGCGTCGTAGGATGAGCCGGAGCCCGCCGCTTTTACAATACTGTGATGTGAGAGGCGCGCGGCGAGATCACGTAAAGCGGTTTGAATTGCGTTTGCCGGATGTTCTGCTTGAAGGATTGTGTGAGGTGCAGTAGCTTGGAAGAAGAAGAGCTTGAGGATCAGAGTTTGGGAGGAGGCGTCGTTAGTAACTTATCTCCGACATCGATACTTCGTCAAGCAGCACTATTTGCCTGCTTCTCGTATTTGTTCGCATGGATACCATCTCTTGTCGGACTGCGTAATTCGCAAGGATCATGTACTTTGCTTCACTCGGTCTCGAAGACTCGATATGCAACTACATCTCCTCGGCCGGCACTTTCAACGAGGGACGGCAGGAGGAGCGGTCGGTTGAGATCATGCATGGATGGATGCTCGTGCGGTTGGGCGGCCCGCATATTCTTGCAGGGCGGCGTGCAAGCTACTGTCGCATGCCGTGCAACAGGAGTGGTGTCGCGTGAGCAGAGCTAAGCAGAACGATGCCTGCATCCACTTGGTGGTCGAGCAGACCCTTTTGCATGTGCGACGTGACGGCTTTTGCTCAGGGTAGGGTTGTGTGTATCCCACGCCTTCTGGCTGACTGTGATGGTGGTGGAGCTGCCAGGCGTGCGGTGAAAAGATTGTGCTGTCGATGGCTGGGAGGCGTGGGTTTTTAGTTTCTTGGACGAACAGCTGATGTGCAAACTGCTGCTCGTGCGGCGAAAGGTTAATTTGATAACGCCAGTTTGAGTTTGGACGGGTCGGCAATTCCAGACCGCGGGCGAGGGCGAGACCGTGTGCGGGGCCGTCGAGAAAGAAAGACCAGACGAGACGATGAGCAGGTTGTTTTTACGATATCGATACTGAGTAGTCGCACAACTGCTGGGGCTCCCTTGGTCAAGCTCACACCTGTGTTGGACTGGCATCGACAGGATTTGTTAATGGAAATGTCGCCGGCGAGACAAGACAGTCTTGCCAATGCCGGGGTTGTTTGGTACGGCTCAACGACGTGTCGTGACGTTGGCGGGAGGCTGCGACCAGGGAAGCGTGCGCCGTGCGTGCTGGTGCCGGCGGATAATCTCATCTGGTCGTGTGCTCACATTCCCAAATCGTGTGATGGCGGTGGTGAGCAGCGACGGGTGCGACGTGATTGGGCCGAGTGGGAGGGCGGGGGTGGGCGAGGGTGGCAGGGATGGTTTGACGTCGCCCTTCTCACCTCTGTGCCTCTCGCAGACGCTCACACCCTGGGAAAGTTTGGTTGACGGATGAGACCAATGGGTGGCCATGCGCATCCACAGAACCTCCTGCCCTGCCCTTCCCTTCGCTTTCCCCACTCCAGAGCTGCTTGAAATACTGCTGCACCGCCGCCGCCCGTCACCTCTGCTCAACCGCATCCCACTGCCGCCACACTATCACCAACACCACCCACATGTCACTGCAATAACACCTGCTCCTCCCGCTGCTGTTGTTGTTATCCGCCATGAAGTACGGCAAAACTCTCCGTCAGCGATCCGTCCCCGCGTGGAACTGCTGTATGTGAATTTCCCCAAAATTTCCCGTTTCTCAACACTTTTCCAATGCCGCAGCTTGGTTCGCCGACGTCGAGATGGTCACTAACATAGCTTCCTCAGACAACATCGAGTACGACAAGATCAAATACTACATCAAAGAACAGACCACCCCCGGCAATGGCAAGGCCGTGGCCATCCCCGGGCGAGGAGAGCTCGACAAGGCATTGGACTTTGAGGATAAGCTACATCAGATACTAGCAGACAGTTACGCCAACATCACCCTGTTTGTTAAGAGCAAGTCGGGTGAAATCCGCTCAAGACTCGGTAGGGTCGTCCTCATTTCCTTCATTTCAATTCACTTCGTCATGCGTGGTTCGCTTACTTCTCGCAGCCCAGAATGAGAAACAACTCGCAAAGCTCGCGACCCGGCCGAAGGCGTTCAAATCGAATAGGATCCCTCTGAGCGAGCTTCAGGCATATGCGTGCATCGAGAAAGATGTCATTCGCGCCGGTCAGGATATCGAGAGCTTGTCGAGGTTCATCAGCGCTCAGCGGACCGCCTTTCGCAAGCTTCTGAAGAAGTACAGAAAGTGGACTGGTTCGACCACCCTCGACGAACGATTCAACAAGGGCGTCTTCAACGATCCCAAGGGATTCCATCGATTCGATGCTGGCCCGCTGCTGGGCACTTACTCGACTCTGCTACATACCATCAGAGTGCAGTATGGGAAGCTCATAGGCGCGCCGTCCAACTCAAGACCAGATACCCCTCTCGAAACAATCGCCGAAGGTTCTGCCACGATCAGGGAGCTGCAAGATGAGCTGGATAAAGAGCAGAAGTCGGCTTTTGATACAAGCATGATGACGGTCCCGCTGGGCAAGCGTAGCACTTTGGCCAGCTACTTTGTACACCCGGAGAATGTCATGGAGTTGGAGGTCTTCTTGATGCAGTATGCGAAGTACCACCTCCACAGAAGCCGAAACAACTCGTTGGCATCGCAGATTCACGACCTGAGCAAGTTGACCAGCTTCACCCCTGCCGAGCCAGACGTATCCGACTTCCACACCATTGCAGCCGATGATGTTGACCGATACTTGAATGAGGAAAGGAGTTGGAAGACTGATGACATTGAGCGAAGGTCGGGAAGCATTCCACAGCGGACAACAGCAGCCCTTCGCTGGTCGGGAGATGAGCTAGCGATGGCATCTTTGCGCACAAAGAATGGCAACGTCAGCCGGGCCTGCGTGAGCCAAAAGAACATTCTCGACTTCTTCAGCAAGGACGAGCAATTCCACGCGCCGCTCGAAACTGCACATGGCGAGGATGGTGAAAGTATTGAAAGAGTGCGAAGTGACATGATGGTCAAGGATAAAGTCCGGCCTCTATATCACTTTGCGTCTTGTCGCTCGCGATTCGTGGGTCTTGAAGACGGTGAGGCGGGGCTTTGTCTTGCTACGCTTGATACTGGCATCAGGATTGACAAGGCTGACGCACGGGTTGTGGATACGAAGAGGGCGGCCAAGTTTCCTTTTGGGGTATTGACAGTGCGACAAGAGGGCTTTCCATCGACACAGTTGCTTTCTGTCCTTGATGAGAGTCATTTGGTAAGTTCTAAGAGATTCTGCTTGCTGTGTGACTTGCAGGGCATGCACCCACATCAAACCGCCTCGAAAGTTCGAACAGCGTCCAACGCCGCGAACACCTCCACCACCATCCATATAGCACTTCATCCAGCATAAAGCTAACTATTTTCAAGGTCGAGCGGGTGCCTGGATTCTCCCTCGAGTACCATTGCATCTGGGAGCTGATGAAGACGGAAAAAGATATTCCCGCACCAGCCTGGGAGGCCACACTCGGACGAGACATTCGCAAGATCCCAAAAACACCCCCGATGCCACCACGCTCGAGCTCGAGACAGATGTCGGGAGAACGAAGTCCACTTACACCCCCGGTCAGGCGTTCGAGTGCGAAAGATAGGTTAGGATCGGGTGCAGGGTTCAGGTCTGTTGGAGTTGGTGCGAACGCTGCAACCCAGCCCCAGACTCTACAAACCGTCATGAGTCCACGAGACAGCAACGATGGTACAGTCGACAGCGGAACCGCCGTGGAGCAGTCGAGCGCTGAATCGCACCTCTCCGCCCTCGAGAACCCACCCCTCCGAGCCTTCCGCAAGAAGAAGCGACCCAACTACCCTGAAGCACCCACGCGATCGCTGAAGCAACCCCAAACAGAACAACAAAGATATTGGAACGAATACGACAATCCAGAGGAAGGAGGGTCCGATGAGGGCGGCTACGCCATCTACGTCGACCCCTACGAAACCTCGCCCCTCGAACGCGCCATCGATAACTTCTTCGGCAAGCTGGGGAGTCTCTTCAGGAAGCAGTGGCCTAGTGAGGAGGAACCTCTCCTCCAACAACACGCCGCGCCCTCGGACCCCATCGACGAGGAATCTTCCGACGACGAACTCGCCACGGCCACGACGCCCAACTTCGGCACTTTCGCGCAAACCACCACCGCCACCACGCCGCGGGCGCAGAAACACCGCTCCCTCCTCCTCACGCACCTCGCCTCCGCCTCCCTCCTCATCTCCGCCGTCTTCCTCCTCGTAGGATACATCCTCTCCGCGACCGGCAAACACAAACTCGTGACGGAAGTGCGCGTCGGAGTGGTGCTCTGCGTGGTCTGTGGACTTGCGGCGGCGTTGGCCGGGTTTCGGCTCGTGGTGGTGCGGAAGAGGGAGGAGGTTGCTTTGTGGATGTGGTGGGGGGCTTTTGGGGTTTTGATGGGCGAGGCGGTTGCTACTGGGGGGTTGTTGGTGGGGGTTTTTGGGTAGGACTCGAGATCTTGAGAGGGTGATGAGGGGTGGGGTGGGGTGGGGTGAGGAGTGAGGGGTGAAGCGGGAAGGGGTGTGTGTAATGGGAGTTGTGTTTTGTGGATATTCTTTCTTTCTTTCTTTATACAGTAAGGAAGGGAGGGTGGATCGATGGTTTTGTACAGCGTACAGCGTACAGCGGACTGGGACCAGGGACAGGACAATGGGTATAGACGAAAGGGCGGGCAACTGCGATGAGCGATTCCAAGCAAAGCGAAGCGAAGCAGGGCATGCTTCCGGGTTCCTTTCTGGGCGGATATTTAGCGAGCGTGGGAGGGTCGTTCTTGTATTTCTTCGTTTCCTTCCAGGAGGAGTCATTGAGCAGTTCGGTGGTGGGTGGGGTATGGGTGTTTCTTAAATAATGAATGAGACGACTGACTTGACTTCACTTGAGTTACTGTGATTCTTTTTCTTTCATTTCAGAGTTGTTTGCGTTTTGGGGGATGGATGAGTGGGATGAAGCGTTATGAGGACCGTGGGATTTCTACGTCTGTTTCTCTACCTCTTAGACTTTATAGTATGTAGTTGTATATGACCAGCGACGATCGCTGGCAAAGGGTTGGTTGGTTGGTTGGTTGGTTGGTTGGTTGCGATCGAATCGAATCGAATGGGATACTTGAAGACGCTGGCTGGCTGGATGGCTGGATGATGCGGCACGAGGGAGGGAGGGAGGGAGGGAGGGATGGATGAGTTGTGCGTCGTTTTGATTTTTGACAGATGCTTTCGTTTACAGTGCTTCTGTTTTTGTTTGTATCTTCTTCTTCCGTGAGAAGCCCGTCTATCAATTCGTTTCGTTTCATGGCGCTTTTCTTAGCTTGGGACTTGTGGGAGGGGAAGAAGGAGAGATGGGGTGCATAGTCTCTCTGGGGAGAGAAATGGAGTTTGATACGTTGGTATGAACTGATGGTTTTGAGTTAATTCGCTCTGTTGAGAATCTACAAGAAGCTGCATGCTCCTTTAATTGCCGTTTCAGATGGGAGGATGCTCGCTGCGGCGCTTCGTCCTCTTCACCCGTTCATCCCCTTCGTCAGAGCTACTCGTTGACTGTAGGGACTCAGGCTGCGTTCTTTTCGTACTGCTGGTGCTGGTGGGGCGGGTCGGGCGGCGGGTTCTCCTCGAGTGTCTCGATCTGGCTCTCGTCCGCCTCGGTAGGGGGATCTTGACCTTGATCTCGATCGAGAGTGGACTTCCCTCCTTCGTGCGTAATCTGGCGATCTCCGTCTTTGCGGCGGTGCTGGTACCTCGCGGGACGGGCTTCGATCTCTGGGGTTTCCTCTTGCTGGTGGCGAGTCGTCGCGAGTCCTGTACGTCCGTGACTTAGAGTAGGGAGAGCGGGAGTCGCCTCGTTTTGCGCTCTTGGGCCGAGATGATCGAGGGCTGCTAGGTCGTCGTTTTCGCGGTGATGGTGAGCGGGACTTGGATCGGTTGGTTGAGCTTGTGGAGACAGAGTCCGTGGAGGTGGAGCGTCTTCGTTTGGCCTCGTCGCGTTCCGAGGAGTGAGAGGGGCGGCCTCGTTTGGGGGATTTTGATGGATGGGGGTTGGATTCGAGTTTTCTGAACACGTAGATGTTAGCATGATCACGGCTATATTCGCAATCATGGCTTCCTCACTTCGTCTCAACTTTCGGCTCAGGCGCCACAGCTGAGATTTTGGGCGCGAGCTTCGGGTTGTGGAATTGTTGACTTCGTGAGGGTCGGGAGACGTAGGGTCGGTCTTGTTGTGTCGAGGTGCATTCGTAGCTGTAGTGGCCTGGAATGAGATTAGCATGAGGTTTGTGGAGTGATTGGAGATGGAGGGAGATACCCTTTTTCAGACATTTTTGGCAGAGTGTGGCTGGGGTTGCCTTTGAGGGGCCGCCGGTTTTATAGCGGTTCATATTCAAGTTCTTGGCAGTTGAGTAGGAGTTGGAGTGCAATCAGTGTTAAATATTTGACAGTCTGCAAATATGTTGTTGGAATTAATGTCTATCACAAGCCATGATTGAAGTTCATGTTGAAGGCGACAACTCAAGCTTCACACTAACTACGGCCCGCGCGGATACAACCGCCGTTTGACGGCTTTGATTCAAGGCACATCATCTCACCTTGAACCTCGCACAAGGCTCAAAACCTGGCGACAGCGTCGACCTCGTCCTGCCTGCCCACCACGCAACTACCACCACCACCACCCCTCGTCGCCGCCGCCGCCGACTCGATTCTGCGAGTCGACCAGCGACGTCCATCCTCCCCCGCGACGGCGCACCACTCCTCCCTTCACCACTTTGCGGTCAAAATTCCCTCGCGCGACTCCGGCTCCATGTGCGCGCAGCACAATGTCCCAACTTCTGGCGCTGGACTTGACAATCTTCCTTGAGCCGCCAGTTTCCTGAGTCTCTCTCCCCCGGCAGACACGCTTCTTCATCAAATCACAAACGTCTCTCCGTTTGGCACTCGCCAGCCTCAGGAAACAGCGGCTCTCGGTTCTCCTTCTTCTTGCAGCCAACCAAACCGCGCCCCCGCTGTCTCTGGATTGCGCTCTTCATTCGGCATCATGGCCTCCGCCCCGGCGGCGTCTTCGGCAGACGCAAAGAAGGACAAGCCCTCTTTTGCAAAGGTATTTCGCCCCCGTGACGCAACCACCTTTCAAGGATCTCGGCTGACTTGGGTACAGATCGCCGCAGCCGGTATTAAGCCTCCGAATGTTCAGCAGAATCCCCCCACTTCTTCTCCCAACACCAACCAGAAACATGAAGTACTACCTTCTCCGCCGCAAGACGGCGCCCCCATTGTCGCTCCTTCAAACGGACCCAGCCAGACCGCTGGTGGGCCTAGGCATAAGAAACTTGTGCAACTTGCTTCCAATGACATGAAACATACAAAAGAGCCGGTCGAGATGGGTCCTAATGGACCGGAGGTGCGAGTGCAGATTGTGGAGTCGGTGCCCCAGCGGCCGCGAGAGCCTGCGCCGGAAGGGTCACTCATGCCCTCGTCAGATGATGTCGGCACACAGGTCTCCTCGTCGAGCGGGTCTAACAAACCTCAAAGCTTGGACGGGAAGAGTGACGTCGCGTCTGGGACTACATTCGCCTTGGATGAGAAGGACTCATTGCGGCCGGATGATAGCGCCAGTGTGAAGGCCGTGGATGAAGAGGATATGTTTTCGCCTCCTGGGTCTGGGCTTCCTGGATCTCGAATAGGATCTGATGATGGCGTGCGCGCATTCAGGGACCAGCTTCGAGAGATCTCGTCCATGGAGCCTCAGCGCAGAGGGCCGCCTCCCATCTTTGGGCATGCGCCGAAGGGTGTTCTATACGTACCACCACAAGGTCCTGGCATTGGCTCTGTGCCCAGTGCCCATCAAGCAGGGCCTCCTCCACCGGAACCGGTCGTTGACTGCGCTCCCGATCAGAAGCTGCTCGACGCGTTGGAGAACCCGCGCGATCGAGTGTGGGTGTTGAAGTTGGAGCAGGACGTTATTGATTTCGTCAAAGACCCGAAAGAGTCTTCCCTGACGCTTCCACAATGCCACGCATTTTACAGACTATTGGCGCACAAGATGGCTGATTACTACATGCTTGGACACCTCGTCGACGATACCTCAGCTGCAGTGCGTCTGTACAAGACGCCTGACTGCCGAATCCCACCACCACTTACCGGCATCACTCAACCCTCCACTGCTGCGAGCACGCCTCCTCCTTCGGCTCAGCCGATGAAGATCTTGAAACGGGGAGCTGACAGGCCTGCTATTGCAAACGGCTCCAACATGCAATCAAAGAGTGGATCCGAGAATGGCGATAGTGGTGATGAGAAGAAGAAGGGGCCTATCACTCGTGAAGAGAGAGAAGCGAGGTATGAGGCAGCACGGTTGCGGATTATGGGCTCTGCGAAGCCAACCGAGTCGCCGGAGACGAGCAAAGACAAGCAAGAGTCGCGACCGAGCTCTACGACTGGCAAGAAGAATAAGAAGAAAGCTCGAGCGGATAGTGACGATGGTTTCGATCCCCGTTCGGCTTACAGCAATTTCTACACGCCGACGTATGGTTCAGACGGAGTTACCACGCCTTCGTATGGCTACCAAGGCTATTCAGAGAGCGGAAACAACCCTTTCCCCAGCGCCTACGCTCCTCAGGGTGGCACAGGCAGTATGCAACAGATGCAACTTCAACAAAGTTCAAGCAATCCGAACTGGAACCAGCAGTCCTACCAACAAGTTGACCCCACGCAAGCATGGGCACAAGGGCAATCCAGCGGATACGATCTCTCGGCAGATTTCCAGCGATCGATGACTTTCCAGAATCAAATGCCGGCACAGAGCCCAAGTGTTGGTTATAATGCGAATTATGGTCCGCAATACAATTACGGTGGACAGCAGCAGGGGTGGTCTCAGCAACAGCAACAGCAGCCGCCGCCGCAATATCAAATTCAGCCTATAGTCTCCCAGGCTGGCTACGGCTACGGCTTGACATACACCCCAACGACGAGTCAATCACCGCACGATCAGCCATACGCGTTTGGGCAACTGCCAAGCCAGGCATTCCCCGGCCGGCCACCCAGCAAGTCCGAGCATCCCTTGCCTGGCAGTTACAAGAGTAAGCATTTCAACCCACAAAGTCAGACCTTCATCCCTGGGCAGACCAACGGTGGTAGCCCGTTCTCTCCACATGCAGTGCCGGCGGGATTTCACCAAGGCTACGGTGGGCAACTTCCTCAGCGCCAGAACTCGGCACAATCTCAAGGCTCTGCTTTTGGTTCTCCGCATCATCATAACTCGCCCAATATGATGCAGAATCGGACGCACTCGACGCCTCTCACGCATCCACTGCCGCAGCCGGTGTTCCCACGCCAACCATCACCCAATGTACCTCTCCCCCCAAAGCCCGGCACAGCACCACATCGAGCGAACGAATACGCACCGATCCCACCACCCGCAACCACAATCCCACCCCAACAGCACAGCCAGAGTCTCCTCGCGAAATGGGGCGCTCCCGCATCACTCCCCGCCAAACCACCGCCCTCAGCCGAACCCTTCGATGCAGTGAAGCTTAAGCAGATTCAACAGCAATCGTTCGTCAGTCCAGCTGCCACGGCGCGGCATCCACCTGGGTTGCCGGCGTTTGGGACCATGCCGCAGAACGGCGGGAGTCAGATTGTGAATGGGTCGAAGAGGGGATGATTGTGATGATGGAAGGGTGGGGAAGTGTGTTGCTTGTGAGTAAGCGACGGGGCTTTGTAGTTGTACTTATCGCTATGAATGGCGGATGCGAATGGATTGGGATGGGTAATGATAAAAAGCTGCATGTTTCATGATACACTATGCCTTGATCTTCGCCTTTTTTCACACTACTCGTTTCCTTCGACTTCGTCGCTCCGGTGTTTCTCACAAGGCGACCATGGTAGTTCTTGCGTCAAAGCCCTACCCAACATCAACATCAAGCTCTAAACCTAGGATAAGAAACAGTCACAACCGCAACAAGCTTTCATTGCATCATCTCCCAAGACCCGGGTTGCTGGGTATGCTTGTTTATTCTGGGTAGGGAGGATGGGATGGCGGTTCCGAACGATTGGTCCTGGCTGGCTGGGGGCTCGTTCGCGTTGCTGATGGGAGTATTGGGAAGGGTGGATAAGGAGTGGGCGAGGACGAGGACATTGTTCGTGCTTACTTGGCATCGTACTGTAGTGTATAAGTCTCACGGGGGACTTGGTGGATGTTTCACCCGGTCGCGATCACAACGCTGGATTGGGTACAGAGAGTTCGGAAGGTCACACTCATGTTCATTCCATTCCATTCACAATTCGCTATGTATCGCCCCTCTCTGGCAGAAACCTACTTGACCTTATCCCTCTCCCTCCCCCTCTCCCTCTCCACCTGTCCCTTTTGCGAATGTGTCGCCAACGCGACCAAATTCCCTAAATGCCCCAGCCATGCATCACTAAACACCTTCTCGGAGAATCGCCAACTGCTCTTCCTCGCGCGCTGGCGCATGGCTAGGGCTTCGGAGGGGCTGAGGGAGAGGGCTTGTGCGAAGGCAGAGGCGAATTGGGTGGGGGTTGTGGCGTGGAAGCCTGCAAGATATGCTGTTAGTAGGGTGGCCGAGAGAGAGGCGATGGGAGGGTGTGAGATGCTTACCGGTGGGTTCCCCGTCTATGGGAACGACGATATCGACTTTTGGACCTCCGGAGTCGTTGACCACTGAGATGAGGCCGGCAGCTTGGTATTCGACGACCCCAATGCCGAAGTGTTCATTCCACATGCCGTTGACACCTACAGAACTCGTCTTGAGGAATTCGAGGATCTGCGGCCATTTGGCGTTGACGACGAAGTCGACGCTGTCTTTGATTTCCTGCGCTTGGAGACGGAGTTTGTACACTCTCTTCTCGTCGTGGTCGTCTCGTACGCTTCCTACGAGGATCAAGCGGGGGCGGGATTCGGTCGGGGTATCTTTGTGGTGGGTTTTGAGGAAGGCGTGGAAGGCTTCGATGATGGTTTGGTGCATTTTCTCCGGGCGGAATTGGGCGATGTAAAGGATGTTGCGGGTTCGTTGGGGGTCCCCGGAGGAGGGGATTTTGTCTTGGAGTTCGGCGACGGCGCAGGGTGGGTAGACGACGCCGATGGGGTGAGGTTTCTTTCGTTGCGTGCGGGGGCGGGTCCAGAGTTGGGAGACGTGGTTTTGCGTCCAGCTGCTGTTGGTCATGACCACGTCGATTGTGCCGCCGACCCAGGAGTAGAGTTTGGCGAAGAGTTCCCAGTAGAACTGCTTCGCTTTTCCTCGAGCTCCTTTGCCCTGTCCTGCGTTCACACCACTTCCTTCCTCTTTATGTAGTGATTCCAGCATGTCGGTGCTGATGGTAGGGTAGTGCACGTATGCTCCTGTGGGGACATCTGGGAAGAGCCATTTGACCAGAGCCAGTACAAACGCGTAGCCCATGGTGTCGACGAAGATGTCTGGTGCAAGCAAGTTCATAGCGTCCCATCCCAGAACCAAACTTCCCAAGCTCTGTCCCAGCAATGTGAAGTGTGGCCATCTACTGGCTAGAACAAGGTCGCGGGTGGTCAGGTAGAGGAAGACGATACGGGCGGGAATCAGGTGGATGTTGAAGCGGTTGCGGACGTTGGTGAGGATCTGTTCTCGACTAGCATCATGATCGCCCGTGTATACGACACAGAGGGCGTTCGGATATCGTTGTTGGGTTGCGAGAATGGCCGCGAAGAGGACACGTTCACCTCCTCCACCAGCATTGCAGAAAGGGTGGAAGAAGGTGATGATTCCGTCGTAGGAGTCGTCGGATGCGCTTATGGGGGAAGATGTGTGGTTGCCCGTCGGAGTCTTGTCACCACCATCGTTGACCTTTTCCCAGTCCGAGTCGAGGCTTGTGGATGACGACGCCTTCTTCTTGCTGTCCTGTTCACTCTGCTTGTCCTTCTGCTCTGCCTCTTCCTTCAATGCACGCTGTACCAGGATCTCTCTCCGGTGCTGTGTCTTGCTACGGATCGATTTGCCAATCAGTCTGCCCAGCAGTCTAAAAGCATAAGGCAGTAAGCCAGCTGTCAGGGCCAGACCGATGCACGCGGCCAAGAGGAGGGAGAGGAGTAGTGCCATGACAGGCACTGGTTCGACTGGGGGAGGATAGGGCGGGCAATCGATTAAATCATCGTTGGTGGGCCATGGCATGCGAGCAGGGATCGGGTGGTGTCTGGCACGAGCAAACACGGCGCTAGGGAGAGGTGAGTGAATGACTGTGCTCCGGCAGGCCAATTATAGCTGGCAACGTCACATGCGAGTGGTCGTTTGCCCGCAGCGGCAGGAACCATCGGACACGCGGCACCACCCGCTGATCGACGGCCAGGGTCTGCATGTGGCCGATTGAAGCTTGCATGCGACCTCACGCGGCGACTGTTCACGTCCACGTGCAGTTTTGTTTGTTGTTTCCTGTTCCGGCATCGACAGCAGGCCATGGCATCGCCAATAATATCTGGTCGATGCCTGAGAGCCAACATCCTCCACCTCCCGCCTGCGATCCGCACCTCGATCTACGCAAACACCCGCTCCTTCTCGTCAACACCGCAACGAAAAGTCGATGCTGGGAGTACTCTGACCTCCATCGCCGTCGCCGTCCCTACCGCCGTCCTTGATGGCGTCCACGCTATCGGCCTTCCCTGGTGCGCCGCCATTCCAGTCACGGCCATCCTCGTCCGCGGTGTATTTGGATACTACATCGCCGCCAGGCCTGCACGCAAACGTGCGTTGGCCCATCTCAACCTCGCACCACTCATCAACGCTCGCGCCAAAGACGATATCCAGCAGTGGGGAAGCCGGCGAGAGCAAGCGTACGATCAAGGCACACTGAAAAGGCCTCCTGCGGGGGCACGTAAACTTCAATTGATTGCCATGGCGATGTGGTACAGGATAAAAGGGGGATACCAATTGGGCAAAGCCTATGGCGCCCCAACGTTCACTTGGCAGAATGGGATCAATTTCGCGACTTTGCTTGCTTTCACGGAGGCTGTGAGGATCAAGTGTGGGACGAAAGAGGGTCTTCTTACTCTGCTGCTGGGGCCTTTGCAATGGCTGCAAGATGATGCTCCTGCTCGGCCCGTTGATCCAGCAGAAGCTCTTGCCGAACGATTAGCCGCTGCTCGGGAATCAAAACAACAGCAATTACTGTCTTCAGATGCTCTGCCCGATGGAAATGCTCTAGCCAATGAGTACCAGCTGCCACCACTTAATACGTCGGCCTATCTTGACTTCGCAGACCCGACCATGAAGGTGGAAGGGTTTTCGTGGCTGCAGGATCTAACCATTCCGGATACGACCCTGATCCTGCCTATCACTCTCGGATGCATCATGGCCGCCAATGCTCTGCTCAGGCCATCAGTGAAAAAGCAGCCGGACACCGTCAAAGATATACAGGAGAAACTCCAGGCATTCGACGAATCGAATGACATAACCCCTGAGAACAAAACGTCGACTAGTAAAAGCACTTCCCACCGCGACACGCCCAAGACAAGTGCTGTCACGAACGATGTGCTGCATGCTCTCGAAGTGGCCGAAAAGCTCAACGCGGAAATAGCGGCCAAGAAGAACAAGCCAGACCGCTTTTTCGTCAACCTCAGCACTGGCAAGCGCTTGAGTCTGATCTTTGCATTAATGTTTACTGCCATTGCCCTTCAGATGCCGGCTGCTTTGGTCCTGTACCTGTTTGGCACATTGGCCACCGCATGGCTGCAAGGCCGCTTCCTCGATGTCAAGTATCCTATGCGCCAAGTCATCGCGCCTTGCAAAAGGCAGATGAGGTACAAAATCAAGCGAGAGTATAGCGACGTGTGAAATGTGAAAGGGGATAACGCTTTGTGGGTATTCAAAATCATCTGCAACAGAACATCAAACGCTCAATCATCGCAAACGGCGCCAGATCCAACGCCATCGTAATTCAGCTATCAAACCATCGCCCTCTCCTTGCCCTTCGGCCGACTCGAACACATCGCTCCACGTGGGAAATACACTCCATTCGACGCTTCCCTCTCGTCCGCAAAAGCAGCCGCCCGCATCTCCCGCATCTCATAACCCATCGCCTCCCCATCCACCGGCGCCATCGAATCGACCCTCGAATCCCCCGTCGAATCCCCCCTCATCCTTTCCTCCAACACATCCATATATGTCCTCGTCGACAACCCCCTCACCGCCATCTGCATCTTCCAACACTGATGATGCGTCTCCTCGACCTCATCCCGCAACTTCCTCGCGGCGATCAACTGTCCCCGCAATTCCGCTTTCTGCTCCTTCAGCTTCGCCCGTCCGAATACGCAGTCCCATGTTGAGGGCCGGAAGGCTTCGTAGTCCTCCAAAGCGGACATGAAGCGGTCTTTGGCGGCGTTGACGGCTTGGTGGCAGCAGCGGATGTTGCAGCAGAAGGTGAGGGTGTTGGACGCGCGGGCTTTTTCGGCGCAGACGGGGCGCGTGAAGGTGGGGGTGCACTGCGTGGTGTGCGTGGGGCCTTTGTGCTTGCAGAGGTATTGGGAGTGGGTGGTGATGCACATGGTGGCTTGTGCGTGTGTGGTGCGGTGTGTTGTGGTATGTGGTGGTATGTCTTGAAGGTTGTGGTATGTCTTGTGTGTGTTACTTTTCGGTGGCAGTGCTGTATGGCTGCTTCTCGATGTCCAGAAAAAAAAGTCTCCAAGAGACCACCACCACAGTGATATATATTCCGCCCATCACCCCGCCAAGAGGAAATTTTTTCTAACGGTATAGACATATAGCACAACTACGATTGGACGCACTAGGGACTTGAAGATTTCCTGCTTTGCTTACCACCTGCATCCCAGAAATGGGTACTGCAAAAGTTTAATGGTCTGGCGCCCACGGAGTCGGTGGTGCTATCTGCTTACCCCTTGTATTTTTATAGGCGTACCATAGAGGTGGGTGGGCTTCTTGCTTACCAGGACCGAAGATGTGCACTGCCAAGCCTGAGATGGTCATTTAGGACGTATACCACGACGCCTATTGGATGAACGATGGAAATTCAGCACCACCGAGTCCACGCGATCCATTTTTTGCTGTGGTCGTAGGTATGCTGAACGACTTGTTGGGAGATGTACTACTAGATCCGGTGCGGTTCGTTAGATAGGATGGTATGGGGTGTCGTGCTCACCATCGGCGTCTCCAAAGCGCGTGGTAGAATGTCTCTGTACTCATAGTATCCATCCACATCAAGTAACGTTTCCCTACTCCCCTTCCGTCCGGCGCTTCCGCAGACCCAAACATATTGCTACGCTGCCTTGTGGCCTAAGGCCTCTCACTAGGTTCTTTCTCCATGGTAGCCCGCATAAATCCCTGGAATTTTCGGGTTTCAGAATGATGGGGAGGTAGATAGCACCACATGATGACATTTTCGGGTTTTGAGGCTTTCTTGGGTGGGCTTTTGTGAGGGGGAGGGTGAATGTGGAGGGGTCATGGAGAGCGATGGGTGGGGTAAGGGGGAGGTTTGGTTGGAGTTGGCATTTGAGGGCGAGGGAAAGGAGGGGGTGGAGGTATGTGGTGTTGAGTCTGTCTTCTGAGTGACACTTGGAGGGAGGGTTGATGAGATGATTTGATGTGTATTGAGCTATGAGGAACAGATGGAATCGCAGTCCAAGGCTTCGATGCGATGGAGAATAGCTGCTTCCTATGGCTATGGCTATTTAAGCCTCCTCCAAGCCCGATGATCCATTCGCTATAATCAAGGTCTACACGACTGGCCAAGCCCCAGGCACCACCTTCTCCTCATATCCATCATCTTCCCCGTCATCGCTGTCATTCTGGTTGAGCTCACACTCCGGATCATGGACGTAATTCCAGTGGCCGCAGACGAGACAACGGAGCATGGGCATGCCGTGGACTTCGATGCGTTCGTACAGCTGGGCGGTGATGGGCATGATGGGTTGGTTGGGCATCTTTGCGGGAAGGTAGGAAAGCCAGTAGGCAGAGTCTTGATGAAGTGTGATGGGTAGGAGAAGAAGCCTGAAGCTGTCTTCTAGGGAGAGGTGTGATGGGAATACAAGATTCCGATGCCCGCGAGGTGAGACATGATTTTGTGGACGGCGGGAGGCTTGGACGTTGGTCTTTGCTGTATCTAGTGTTACTGCATCACTGTTCAACCTCATCGCCAGAGATGGCGACATGTACGTATCGAATTAGTCTCGCTCCACAAACAACCCTTCTCCGTCCTCTGATCTCATGAACTTTTTCATCGACCAACTCCTTATCGTCTTGCCGTGCCACTCCAACACTCCCACCGCCGCAAATCCGACTAGACAGAAGAAGGCCATCATTCCGAAGGTCCATCCTGGGCCCACAGCCTCCACCCAGGGGGTGATGAAGAAGGCTACTGTCAATCCTAAGATCAAGCAATAGAACTGCAAGATAACGAAGACTTCCGAGGGATGCGCAACGAAGCATTCGGAGACGTAATTGACGACAATAGGCGTGATTGCGATCTCACTGGTATTGAATAGGAGGATCCCCAAAGCGAGGACTTCCCAAGGAAGGTGGTATTGCAACGCCGCGCCGAAGATGCCCAGACCGACAGGCAGGAAGAAGACGTGGGGGAGTAGTGCGGGCCAGAGTCTGAACTCCGGTTTCCACACACCGCCGTTTCGACGACAGCGCCAGAGCAGGATGCGGTCGTTGCAGAGGAGGCCGTAGAGTTAGCCGAGGAGGGCAGTGATCCAGGTGACGAAGCTGAAGCAGGCGTTTGATATGGGCGAGAATCCGTAGCCGTCTTCAGAGGTAGGAGTTTGGAGGAAGACGGGGACGAGCACGGCTGTGGCGACGGCCCATCCGAAGGTTATCATTGAGAAGAGACCGCAGATGATGGTGATGGGCTGGAGACCGATGAGGAGGGCGTCAAAGGGTTTGTGAAGGACTGGGCAAGAGGAGATGGTTCTGTGGCCGGCCAAGAGGAGTTGGACAGCGATGCCTGCGGTACTTGCTTGGGCTTGGGCTTGGCCAACGAAGGCGCAGAAGGAGATGATGGCGAGGGTGGTGATCTTCTTGGTAATGGGCCAGGTGAGGGGATCTTCTGCGCCTTGAGGTTGAGGTTCGAGTTTGATGCCTTGTTTGGTGCGGAGCTCTGTGGAAGAAAGCACGGGACCTGGGTGGTGTTTCTCCATGATGGTCGTTGCAAGCTGCAATGCTCTTGTTCGTTCCCGTCAAGTGTATTGGTAGCTGCAAGGATTGGTCGAAAGGAGATGCCCCTCTGCTGCAAACCTCTCTATTTGCTGCTCAGAGACATATGGGCCTGAAAAACTTGCTGTGATAAAGATCAAGCGGCACTGAAATTATAGAGATGAAGAGTAATGAAATGAAAACACCCACCATCCTACCTTACAGCACCTGTAGATCTTGCTTCAATGGAGTCAAACTCTCGACGACGCGGACGTGGCTTTTGCCCTTGCCTGGACAGGCAGAAAGCACACGGCGAGGACTGCATACAACCGGCCGTCGTATACTGAGCATGGGTGGTGTGGTTGAGATAGAGTTGGCGTCGTCTTGATGAGTAACAGCGGTTCCCGTCATGTAATGGCTTGCGTGCGCGCTGCGTCGTCGCTCGAGGGCTGTGGGTGCGTTGATTGAGCGGAGGACATTCTTCTCCGTTGAGTACGATGTGACACCATGGTAATTTTTGTCTGTCGTTGTTGTTACGAGGTGGGAGATGGAAAGAGGGGGAGGACAAATCGGGAGGTCGAATAAAAACGTCGATATCCCTGAGCTTTCCCTCTTTGAGCTCGTTTCAACGATCTGACCTTGGCAGTGAGGCGCGTGCGCAGACGCTAGTACCCTGCACCTGACTTCACGTTTCGATGGACTTGACTATCAACCAAGCACATCCACTGCGAACGCCGAAGCAAACATCTCCGCCGCTCAATCCTTGGAAGCAGCAGTGTGACCATAACCTCAACGTGGAGACGCTAAGCAATCTCCTCGCCTGACGACTGCTCCGCCCTCCTAAGCTTGACCGGCGCATCACGTCGCCTTCAACAGTGGAAACAACTCGCACGGCACCATTTGTCCAACACAACGAAAGCTTTCATTGATTTGCGACGCCCAACAAGCGATAGATCTGAAGCTGTTAGAGGCGTAATCGATCTCCTCGTGCTGCGGCGCAGGGGTCAGCCCTCGTAGTCGCCATGTCGGTCATCCTGTGCACAGCTGGCTATGATCACACTATCCGGTATTGAACACTTCGCATGCCTTCTCAGAGGCTCTGTGGGTGGCGATAGGGGATTCGAAGCCGAACACGTACTGACGTGCGACATCGCAGATTCTGGGAAGCCTTGAGCGGCATCTGCTCGAGGACCATACCCCATCCTGACTCGCAGGTAAGGGAGCGCACTCAACTTCATGCGGCTTTCAACTGATGTGTCTACGACAGGTCAACCGCCTCACCATCTCCCCCGACAAGAGATTTCTCGCGGCCGCTGGTCATCACACAGTCAAGCTGTATGACATTAAGAGTACTAACCCGGCGGCGGTCTTGACCTTTGAAGGCCACACTGGCAATATTACTGGTGTGGCGTTTCACTGCGAGGGAAAGTGGATGGTCAGTGTCAGGCTTAATTTCAGATTCAATTCCGATACTGATTCATCTCGCAGGTGACTTCGTCAGAAGATGGTAACTAACGGTGCCTTCCTCCCGACTTGTGCTATATCTGACGCTCTCTACAGGCACCGTCAAGATCTGGGACACTCGAAGCGGCCACATTCAGCGAAACTACAGCCACGGCGTACCGGTCAACGATGTCGTGATCCATCCCAACCAAGGAGAACTCATCTCATGCGATCGAGGAGGCAACGTCCGCATCTGGGACTTGGGTGAAAATAAGTGCTCTCACCAGCTAGTTCCAGAGGAGGACAAGAGTGTCGCCTCAGTCACGGTGGCGACCGACGGCTCATTGATGTGCGCTGCTGTCAGCTCCAGCGTCAACGGCAATGTATTCGTCTGGCGTCTCATCACTGTTCGGGATGTGACGAGTCTCGTCCCAGTCACCAGATTCAAGGCTCACGGCACATACATCACCCGCGTGCTCCTCTCTCCAGACGTGCGTAAGCTGGCTACATGCTCTGCGGACCACACCGCCAGGATCTGGACTGTCGACCTCGAGAACGTCAAGCCAATCGACGAACAGGAGGAAACCGAGGAAGAAACCCTGAGTCGACAAGCTTCTGGCGAAGACCCCGGTGCATTCCCTCTCGAGAACGAGCTTGATGGCCACCAGCGCTGGGTCTGGGACTGCGCCTTCTCTGCCGATTCCGCTTATCTTGTAACCGCCTGCAGTGATCATTATGCGCGACTCTGGGAATTGGCGACCAAGAACATCATCCGGCAGTATAATGGACACCACCGAGGTGCAGTCTGCGTCGCATTGAACGATTACTCGGAGACTAGGTGACCTGGAGAAGCTTGACGCTTGGCGGCTCTTTTGATACTAATGGCATAGTAGTGATAAGACACAGGACGAGGAAATCGACATGCCCGTGCCTGAACCAGCTCGCACTCGCCGACATGACCCACGAGGCCCAGCTCAGAGGATGTAATTGATCGTACAAGCGTGTCAGGATGCTCTTGTATCACAACAAATCCATCAACGCAATATATCATGCCGTTAACGAGTTGAGCGGACGACATCGCATTCGGTGCCAGAAAGCCGAAATGGGCCATTGCTTCGCAGCTTCGGGATCAGTTGATGGTCGTCACAAAGTCGAGCTTGGTACTTGCGCTGTGCTCTGCGGTGATAGTTGCTATGAAAGGGGTGGAAGAGCCATGATTACGTGCTTCTAGTTCATATGCCGAACGCGTGGGGTGGGAAAACGATTCATGCATTCGGTCGCAGCATATTCATGGTACGAACCGTAATGAGCATTGCTTGCAAGATGATGCCAATTCCTTTCTATTCAATCTGAACTTCTGTCATATGCGAGTCTGTGATATATGGATGAAGTGAACATGAGTCTCGGCCAGTCTGGGTCACATCTGAAACACGAGGGCGGCGCGGGATGGCGCTAGCGGGTCGGGATGCTGGAGAAGGACAGCTAAGCGGTCGATGAAATGTACCTGACCAGCCCTGCGCTCCCAAGGAAAGCAAACTCTCTCCGCGCGACACACGCCAGAACTATGTCGGCTGCGAATGCCCCCGTCGACGTCGCCGGCAAAACAGGTACGCCGCCCCTCCCACACCGCCCTTCGTGACCTCTGCCTTGGCGCCGCATGGAGGCGGGGACATGCATGTGCGCATTGGAGATTCGCCGGCTGACTCGGTCGTTCTGCTGTAACAGCGTCGAAGAAAAAGAAGAAGAGCAAGAAAAAGGCCAATGGCCAGCCTGGGAGTGGGAACAATGCCGCAGAATCGAATGGCGTCAAGGACGAGCAGGTAGCGGAGGATGAGGACGAGGATGAGCCGAATGTAAGCTCTGTGTGGGATCAGAGAATGAACGAGAGAGATACTGAGACATGTGACAGAAAGGATTGATGCCACCGCAGAGACCGGGCGAGGACTCACTACACATGCCTTCGTCGCCTCCAGATCCAGCGTCGCCTGTCGATGCGGACACGCCCGTTCCCAATGGCGCGCGTGAGCCTATACAGCCGACTGCGACCGCCAACGAGCCCGAAGACGCCGAAGACGACGAGGAGGAGGAAGCGGACGAGCCTATCGCTGAGGCAGTGACATCTTCGAATACAACCGCACGCCTCGACGCCATGCAACAGGAGCGAGACTCATTACGAGCGGAAGTGACCCAGCTTCGCAAGTCGTTAGAGAGTCTGCAAGAGAAGCATACTGAAGAGGTTTCCAATGTAAAAGAAGAGCTCGAGCAATCGCAACAAAGTCGAGAGCATGCAGAGACACAGTACAGGAATCTGCTCGGCAAAGTGAACACGATTCGATCACAGCTCGGCGAGCGTCTGAAGGCTGACGCTGCGGAATTGGAGCAAGCTCGTGAGAAGATAGAAGAGCTGGAGACGTCAAATAAGACAGAACGAGAGGAGAATGAGACGTTGCAAGAGACGATCAGCAAGCTCAAATCAGACAGGGAGACACAGAACGCTGAGGTTGAGACGCTGAGGAGTCGAACCAACTTGTCAACGAGCAATTGGGCAAAGGAGCGCGACGAGCTTACATCGAGGGAGGCCTTCGTTCGCGAGGAGTACGAAGTGGCGAAGCAAGCCATGCAGGATTGGGAAATTCTGGCAACAGAAGAGCGGTCACGACGGGAGGGACTCGAAGATCGAATGCAGGAGCTTGAGGAGCAACTGAATGGCCAGAAAGAAGCTTACGAGCGAGTCAAAGGAGAGGCGGAAACCCAGAGCAACACAGTCGATGGTCTGCAGAGGGCACTGCGGGAGGTGCAAGAAGAGCGGAAGCGCGAGCTGCGTGAAATGGTGGAAGAGTCACAAAAGCAGTTAGACACCCTCCGTGCACAAGCCAAGACTGCTGAAGAGACCGCGGCAGATCTCAAGACCCAACTCGAGACGACTCAGAAGGAACTCGAGCGCGCAGCTCCGTTCGAGAAGGAAGTCAAAGAGAAGAACCTCCTCATCGGCAAACTTCGCCACGAAGCCGTCATCCTTAACGACCACCTCACCAAAGCCCTACGCTTCCTCAAACGAGGCAAACCCGAAGACAACGTTGACCGCCAAATCGTCACAAACCACTTCCTCCAATTCCTCCAGCTCGACCGCAGCGACCCCAAGAAGTTCCAAGTCCTCCAACTCATTGCCGCCCTCCTCGGCTGGGACGAACAACAACGCGAGCAAGCCGGCCTCCTCCGCCAAGGATCCGGCTTCGCCACCGCCGGCGGCAGTTTGCGAGTCCCAGTATCGCCTTTCAGACGGACGCCTAGCACGCCCGCTCTGTCTGGTGATTTCAGCCCGTTATCCCCAACGGGCACCGAAGGTGGAAGAGAAAGTCTGGCGGAGCTGTGGAGTGATTTCCTGGAGAGGGAGGCAGAAGCAGGGGGCAGTCACAGTCGACGGCCGAGTCTGGCGCTGTCGGCGAGGAGTCCGAGTCTGGCGAGTCAGAGTGGGATTATGAGTCCGACCAGTTTCGGGGGCAAGCCTGTGGGTAGTCCGGAGATGAAGAGGAAGGAGAGTCAGGCGAGCCAGAGGCCGGAGAGTAGCGGGGGAAAGTGAGGGGGTGGTGTTGGGGATGTGTATATGAATGTGATGCTGTTTATGGTCGTTTCTTGCAAGCCCCTTTTCCTTTTTTCTTCGCAGAAGCATTCTCTCATCTTTTGCCTTGGAGTGGAACGAGGTATCGTCATCTCTTCAATCTCTAGCTAAGCGACTCGGCTCTGGATCGTGCTTCACCTGGCGTGGACAGCTCGCAGGATACTGTCTGTGCCGAAACGCTTGTCAGTGGAACCGCTGAGCTCACTGACGTTCGGTGTTTTCCTCGCACCTAGACGTCGCTAATCAACTGCTAGAGGCCTATTCTAGGACACTAACAATTGTATAAAGGATAGTGATACCTCTAGTAACAACAAGACGACGACATAAGACTAGATGGGCCTAGAAGGTACGATTTGTGTAAGAAACAGGTAAGAAGCGTACCAAGTACTTCAAGATCCCAGTATGAGCCAGCCTTTACTGACAAGCGTTTCGGCACAGACAGTAATAAGGAGAGTACGCAGCGCCTACTAGAGAGACTCACTGGTCTCGCTTGCAGAAGTCCGGAGAACGTTTTGGGATGCATGCATACAATCACTTCGCTGGCAATGCAGAGCAGCGGCACGGCGGCGCCAGCCTGCTTTCCTCTTCCAAGCATACATTTGCCTCGCCCGACTTGTCATGACCGTCAAGAAATCATCCGGCTTCATCAACCCTGAGGTCTTGGTCCTGACAGTTCTCTCACGCTTGCAGTCCTGTTTGATGGATCTCCGAGATGCTGCCCAAGTCACTTTACTCCAGCTACGAGCAGTACAAGACGGACTCCGATTACGTCGCAAACTGGCTTGCCACTACCGCTCGAACGTGTGGATACGTTGACCACGAGGCTCCTTCAACAGCTACTGCGAAGACGAGTACAAGGCTCAAAGGAAAAGCACGCAAACAGGCTCGCGAAGCTACTTCAACGCCGACGGCAACGAGCAGTACACAGCAGCGCAAGCACTGCGTCAAGATCAAGGATTTTGCGCGACTGGCAAAGGTCATTGCCGACAGCACTGAGCCGCGAGTGAAGGTGCCCAAAGCCTTTACATATCGATTGCGACGGGCTATCAATCAGCGCAAGTTCCTTCGAACGTGGTACAGCGCACAAGGACAGGCAACACGAAGCGCTGACATTCATGATGGCCATGAGCATTTCATTGGCGTTCTAGAGCAGGTCGCAAAACTCCTCAGACCGAATGAAGCGCCGAGCACCGAGGCAGAAGCTGGCACGGACGACACGAGCACCAGTTTTGCGAACATGTTCGAGGGCCTCCATATTGAAGAGCCGGTCGACAACAGCAAGGATGAGCAGAGCGACAGCATGCCTGATGTCGCAGGCGAAGGAGAGTTCACAAGTGAGCTCGGCACGAACAAAGACGAGGCATTGACGGCGTTGATGTGGCTGTATATTGATGTCCACAGAATCAGGAAGCTCATACAGGGGCTGTGGAGATTATATCGACAAGGAGATGTAGATCTAGCGGCTGTGTCCATCACAACCAACACTGCCATCGACTTCGTTCGAAGTCTCGAGGATGATTTCGCTACTGCCTTTACAGACTCTGGCCGTGACTCTTTATGTGGACGACTTTGTCTGTACTGCGCATACCAACAGGATCCGGACAACGTAGGCGTCACACCCGACTTCCCCTACGAACCCTGTCTTCTGTTCGTCCAGAAGATCACCGCAACCCTGCTGCGCGACTTTGTCAAAGACCCTTCCGACTACGTTCCTGGCGTGTCGCCTCAGTACACCGAGCTTTATGATCCCCATGCGGACTGGGCGACAATGGCAACAAAGGAGCGAATTTTTCATCATTTCAAGATGGCGATGGGGGTGATACCGGAGTTTCTTGTTCTGGAAAGGGGCTCTAAGTCGGTAGAAGCAGAACACGGCATTGTGCGAGGCCTGCGTGACCTAAAGCAGCGAAAGTCTCCGCTCCTCTGGCTGGACTTTGCATTGCAGGTCTTTCTGGATGCTCGCCATATTCTGCGAGAGCACGTGGATCTGGCATTTGCCGATCTGTGTCAGGGTGCGGAAAGCATCGTGGGGGACATTGAAGAGGTGCTGGATTTTCATGCGGACGTCAAAGTCAAAGATAGGCCGATGCAGAACGACGACAGCCTAAGGCAGGTGCTGGACCTTATCGCCAGGTGGACTAAAGAAGACTCAGTTGAATCCATAAGGAAAGACTTGCTAAAAGATGAGTCTGCGTACGACCACCTTGAACCGTTTTACCTCCTGCGGCGAGACCCTCTATGGTGTGGCCTTCTTCTCTACAAGTTCAGGCTCGTTGCCTACGAAGGGGCGATTGTGACAGCCAACTCATGGTTCTCCATACTCTCTGGGGCTCACTTCTATAACCTTCTACGACAGACGGGTCCACTCCGTCGTGAATGGACAGACATGGAGACTGCTTTGAAAGCCCAATCATCGGCGAAATTATTCATTGGCGACCCGCCAAGCTCTCCAACAGATTGCACGATACGCTTTCTCATGGCATTGGGACTATCTCCAACAGCCCTTGCCCGCAACCGGCGGAACTCTGACATACGCCTCAACCAAGACAAAGCCAAGAAGCTGAAGACACAGAGTCCCGTCTACTGGATCTTCAAGCATTGCTACTGTGACAACAGCGGCCGTGTCGATTTTCAGCCCAGTGACTTCGAAAAGATCCTGCAAAAGACCAGCAAATCCAAAGACGAGACCGCTGCAGTGGTGAAACCCAACGACGGAATCGACATGTGCCATCTACTTCTCCGTCTCTGCAGTGCACTTCATCTCGAAACGAAGGAGGTCACTTTCAACTACTTCGACTTGCACATCCAATGCTGGAAACTCTTTCGTCGCCTCAGGGACAGTCTAGGCGATAGATTCCCGGACTGGTCTTCTTATCCGCACGGAGAAGAGCATCTACCCACTTTGCCGTATTTTCTGATGTCTGAACTGGTGATGCCTTCGACAGGGAATAAGAGTGCTCTGCGGGGGCTTGTTGATGAGGCTGGCCGGATTGTCGATGATGTCGTGGTTTCTGAGGGTGATCGTGCGAGTCGAAGGCAGGCCTGGTTGTTGGGTCGTTCTGTTATTGTGAGGCAGATGGCAGGTCGAGGGACTTTGTAAGCCCGAACGAAACTCTTTTTGTCTCATTGACAATGAACAGATATTGGAGAGTGGGACTTGACTCGCGAGCTGCGAATTCATTCACCAGCGTATGTTAAGCTTCACGTCCGTGCGCCTAGCGTCTCCAAGCAAACTCCCGCTGCTCTTTCCGCCTCAAGCGCTTAAAATCTAGTAACATCAACCCTCGACTGGAAAAGTAGACAACCAGAGCGGACAAGATCCAGACTTATCCGATGCCGACCACCCCAACGCCTCTCGGGTGACTGGAAGTCCTTCCAGGGGAACTCCGAAACGCCATCTACGCACTCGTCACCACAAACAAGCACGACGTCGAGGCCGACTATCATCAACCCTGTCGCCAACACCAAAGCCTCCACCTCGTCTCCAAGAAAATCCATGCCGAGACCAAAGCCCTCATGACGAAGTCGGCGCCCACCAGGACTGCGAACACATCAAGTACAAAGTCACCCTCCCAACCCTCACCGAGATGCCACGCAGGAAAAACCACCTCAAACTGCTCGACTCGATCGCCGCCCGCGTCCCTGGCCGACCTCATCGAATCGCACAAGCTGCGACGCTGCGTTTCCTGACCGGACACTTGGGCAAGGACGTCCCACTTGCTGTCGTCTGCCATCTCAAGCTCCCAAACGGATCGACCTTCTCGATCCACGGCGCTAGCGCCGCTTGGCACGAGCAAGTCAGCGACGAGGTGAAGCGCGTGCTGAGGGGTCTTGAGCTGCGGGCTATGGCTGGGTCATCGGCGGAGTTTCGGGCTGGAGCTGGGGTAAAGATGAAGAGTCCAGAGTTCCGGAAGGGCGACTTTACGGGTTTGGCGGAGCGGGTGAGGGACGCGGTTTGTGTTGCTGTGAAGCCGGATTTGGGGGATCTGGAGACGCAAGAGACTAAGGGGTGTTTTGGGACTTGGGCGAGTGACTTTCAGGGGTATGGCAGGCAGGGTCTTCGTTTTGTTTGAGACGGGTCGTATGGGCTCTGCAACTCTTGAACATTGAACAGATCGCTTCATCCGGACTCGGCGGATCGGAAAGGACTTCATCCACCTTGCTCGGAATAAGAAGAGTCCTAGAGACTCTTGAGATCTGGAATGCTAGTAGCGATTGTGTTAGCTAGTCAGGCCTTACTTCCTGTACTGAAACGGGAATGCTCGCAACATTGGCTTCTACGGACCATTCACAAGTTCTCCTGGCCCTCGGCCACTCGTCACAGGCTATCCGAATGTTCACTTGCCCAGAAGTGAATACTCGTAGGCTCTGCGTTATGTATTCCAAAGCACATTCTCGTCCTACATCTAGCATCACCCTATCCTATTCCAATCAATCGACAACCTCCCAAGTCGACCCACCATCCAACCATGCCGACGACTCCACCTCCCCCCGTCGCCAACCCATCTCTCGGCACCCTCGAGCGTCTACCCGCCGAGTTGCGCAACCACATCTACCAACTCGCCATCGACACCGAGTACGAGCTCGAGGCAGCCTACAACAAGCCATGTCGCCAGCGCCAAAGCCTCCATCTAGTCTCGAAGCAAATCCACGCCGAGACCAAGGGCTTCCTAGTAGATGCGAAAGCACGACCGTGTCCGCATGTCAACTTCGCCGTCACGATTACCGAACTCCCGGAGACCCCAAGCGCCTTGAGGATGCTCGAGGGAATCGCCCAGCAAACACATCCGGCACACGACATCGCAAGCCCAGACAGTCCGCTTCGTCACTGGACATCTCGCCGCCGACGCTCCACTTGAGGTGACTTGTCGTCTGCGACTTCCCCACGGCTCTTCGTGCGAGGTCATTGGCGGGAGTGAAAAGAAGAACGAATATGTGGCAGCGGAAATCAGGTCAATGCTGCTCTTTCTGGAGAAAAGAGTGCAGAGAGTTGCGTTTTGTTCGCCATTGTGTTGGACGAGGAGGGATATCGAGGATTTGGCGCGGACGGTCATGGTGACACTGGTGGAGGAGGTTGATGTGTGGGAGGTAGAAGAATTTATTACGTGGCGAGTGGTAACGGGCTATTGAGCTTGGAACAGTAGACGGGGACGTTGCAAGGGAAGACAATGATTGAGGAAGGTTGAATTTGCAAGGCATATCTTGATGGCCGACACTTGAAGGAAGTGTTGACTGGCCTTGCGGATACCCCTCTGCTGCTCAGGCTGGGTCTGTCAGTTAAGACATGCATGCACTTGTTACTGTAGAAATCCCATCAGCCCAGAGCAAGGCTACATACCATCCTTCGTGAAGCTCATCACCACATGTCGTCGAGACCCCACTCCCGCACGATGAAACACATCAAAACATCCCAAGCAGTCCCTGTCTCGTTTCAAAATCAATTCCGCATCCTCGGAAATTTCTCCTAGATCGTTGGATACGATGTGAAGTCAAAATACAGTAGGCGTTACTGTAGCTTGGCAGTGCCAACGGTCGACGATGGACCGAAAATCCTCATACAAGCACTTTGTTTGAATTTGGCTTTTGGGTTTGAGATCTGGATCTGGATTGAAGATGCAGAGAAGGAAAAGTGGTGGATTAGTGGATGATTATTGTGGCGAGTTACTCGAGCAATAACAATGGGTATTCTCATTCCATCTGTGGGATCATTACAACAAAATCAACAATCTGCTAGCCAGGAACTCGGGCCCTTCCTATTTCTTTCTACAACAAATCAGAAATATACTGCGTCAGCGTCTGATTCGCTCCACCGCTCTGGCCCTTCGTCACGTCCAACAGAGGGATAAACTCCGAAAACTCAGGCAGCACACTCGCGCTCGAGGGCTGCGACGCCGTGGACGCGAAAATCGACACCACGAAGCCCTCCACGGTTCCCGGGTCGATGGAGTTTCCCTTGGGTCCGAGGATCCGCCATTGTAGGTTCTTGGTCAGGAAGGGCGCGACGATCGCTTCGGTCATGGCGCTGAGGGCGCCGCCGTCCACGAGGCCTTGCAGGGCGCGGGTGAGGACGATTTGGTTGGAGGTGATGAGTTTGCTGTCTTCCATGCCTTCCTGCGCGACGACACCGATGGGCCCGATGAGGTTCTTGTCGAAGATCCAGGTCATGGGGTCTTCGCTCGTGGGGAGGCCGTTGAAGACGAAGATCTGGTAGGAGCCTCCCAGGGCGTAGCGGGGGGATTGCACGTTGGCGAAGTACTGGAAGAGGGTGCCGTTTGCGGCGGCGAGGGGGTTTGAGGGGAGGGCGTCGGCGAGGGCGTCGGGGACGTCTTTGAGAACGTCCAGGTTGAGGTTGTCGAGAAGCGCGGCCTCACGCTTGGAGGAGCCGGCGACTTTGTTGCCGTTGGGGCCGTAGAGTCCGTTGATGTAGTTGGTGATGGAGGCTTTGCTGCCGTCGCTGTTGGAGTATTCGGGGTAGGTGTACTTGAAGGTGTTGGCCCAGTCGCGGACGTCGTTGGTGGTCCAGAATTGGCCGTTGGTGTTCTTGTAGAAGGGGGTCAAGGGCGAGCTTGGGCCTTGCGTGGAGCCTTGGGCGATGGTCCAGGTGCTGTGGGGAGCGACTTGTTGTGCGCCGTACTTGTCTGGGTTCAGAGTCTGCCACATGGCGAAAAGACGGTCGACGTTGCAGTGGTGCAGCCAGAAGAGAGGATCGAAAGCGGCTGTGGGGAGATAGAACATATGGCCTGCAGAGACGCTGCCTTGGCCAGTACCACCTGCGGTCGAATGAATGGTGTTGTGGATAGATTCAAGACTGAGCGAGCATCCGGCGGAACTCGAGCCAGCGTCGTCGTTGCTGAAGTGGAGGTAGTCGTGGCAATTAGTGAAAAGTTGATAGATCTGATCCGTCAAACTCTGTCGAACGTTGTTGAAAGCATTAGTAGCCGACTGTGTCTGGCTGTCCGCATTGACACCATTCGTGCTCGGGTAGCGGTATGTCCTCTTCCAGGTAGTGAAGGGCGAGTAGTACATGCCCGAGGAGTCCGTGAAATCATAGCGGAAGAGTGGGTTCCTGAACGTGGTGGTTCCTTTCGGGCCATTGACAGTGACTTCGTAATCGGTCACGATCTTGGGCAGATGTGGGCGACCCGCTGGAGGCTTCGCAGCCCAGTCCCAGTATGGCCATCGCATCTGGTTGGCGGCGGCAACCATGGTGCTCTTTTGCGAGTCGGGGTATTCGTTTGCGATAGTCTTGACCAGCTTCAAAAACTCTTGCTCGAAAAGCGCGACATACACGCGATGCCATGCCGGGAAGTGTACTGAGTCGTGGCAGCAGTATCCATCGGTACCTCCGCATGACTGGCACTGACCGACTCCGTTGTAATTTTGTCGGGGTACACCGTGAATGCTCGAAATTCCAAAGTATGAGGTCTGGCTGCTTTGCGACTGGCTCTGCCACCGCTGCATGGCCAGGACCAGAAGGGCATACTGATTAGGCCTGGTATCTTTCATCTGTCGAACCTCCAATCGCGGGTAGACCGTCGAGCCTCCGGCACCAGAAGTAACAACAATGCCATTTTGGCGCTCCTCCAAAGTCGGGATGTCGCCAGAAGGGTGTGCAAGAACGGAAGAGCAGGCGAGCGCGAAGGTCGAAACAGCCGTAAGAAAGTTCATGATGAAACAAGGGCAAGAAAAATATTAAGTATGGTGTTCAACGAGTGTCGTGACAAGCGATTGTGAGAAGAATGATGCCACAAACGTGCTCAAACGCAAGCACGCTGGGCAGGGTGTTGTTTGAAGGAGCAGGGTATGGACGACGGACAGAAGAGAAGTGGTGTTTTAAAAGGGAAATGAGGACTCACTGGGCTGGCTAACGGGAGACGTTTGGACCGTTGCGCGAACGCTTCTCTAGACAGTCTAGTGTCTAGTGCCAGAGAAATAGACGACACACGAGGTCTCGCTTGGCTGAAGCAGCGGTTGGGTAGGATACAGGCTCTGGCAAGAATGATATGAACCCCTGCTAGTGGCATTCCTTCTGCTAACTATATATGGTTGTTATTGTGGGCCTGCTTCAAAACACGCTGTACGCGTCTTGATTCCTATATTCTTCGATATAGTAATACTAAAGAGGATATTCTTAGCCTTTAAGAAGGGCTAGATATAGGCCCTTTATAAGTACGTATACTAGCTACTTTAGCGGATTACTAAGAAACTAGATACTTTAAAATATACTATATCTTAGGTTATTA